GGGAGAGCGGAAGGTGGATGGTGGTGGTGATGGTGTTCGTTTGTGGGCGTGTGCGTGTTGCGTGTTGCGTGCTGGGTGTTGCAAGAGCGAACGTGCGCCTGGTGGGAAGGAAACGTGCCGGAGCTCGTCAGTAGTCGATGCCAGAGCGGTGACGGGGGTGTGTGTCTGTGTCGGTGTCTGTGTGTGTATGTGGATAAGGTAAGGTACGAGGTAAGGTAGGCGTAGGATACGACACGCGGGGACACGCGAAGCAAGCTTGCGGGATTGTAAAAGGAAAGGAAGGGAAAGGGTAACTAGTCAGGTCAAAGGGAATGGAGGGGTGATGGGAGGCGAGGGGGAATCGCGAAACAGGATGGCTAGCTGGACGGCATGGCGTGGTGCAGTGAGGTCGGAGGAAGATGAGGGAAGAAAGAAGGCAGAGGAAAAGAGGTGAGATGAGGTGGTTTGAATAGTAAGTATACTGTGTTACCGTCGTAGGTGGAAGTGGAGTGGAGTGGAGTAGGTAGGAGGTAGGGTAGAGGTAGGGTAGATGGAGGGAACGGGCTATGTAGGCGTAGTTTGGGTGGTTTGGGTGGTTTGGGTGGGTATCTACTATATTGAGTCTATCTAGCAGTTGGCTAATACTGGTAGAGATGGTTCAAAGCATCATCTGGACGACAAGAGTACGAGTGGATTTTGCTACGAATACTCTAGAGTTACTGTGCAATCCTTTAAGAGGGAATGATGGTTGATACTCCCATCCTTCGTGATGGTAGTTGAGTCACTGGTTGATATGATTGATTGTCTTATTTTATTCTACGATGCACCTGCGGGCGGATCTACCCACACGATGCCAAACCCTCGGAAGGATGATGATTGATGAATGACATTTCCTTCTTCTTTTCTCTCGCGACTGCCTTCTTTCCAATTCTTACTGGTATCATGCAAATCGTTCATGGGCAATGTTAACCTGTTTCCATCTGATCATTGACGATTATTGCTGCTGTTCAGTTGGAACAACGAGGTATGTAGGTAGGTACCTGGGACAGAGAGGGGTCTCATTGGTGGGTTAAACTGGTGGCAATTGGCTATACGACCACCTGTACGAGGATAGATGTTTGCTTGATCCGAGAATTGTTTGTTTTATGCTCAGTGGATTGTTTCTATACTATCTGAGTGTGTGTGTGTATCCAGTACATACAGTGCAACAGTGCAATACAGCAAGTGATGGCGGAGGTGGATGGCAGTCGGGTCGGGGATGGGATGGCGCTGATGATGACGATGATTATGACGATGACGGGAGGCCGGTTGGAGGATGAGGCGCTGGCTTGTGCCGATGGACCAATAAGCACCCAAGACTAACAACACTTTATTTCATTGTAGTTACTTCTTGTTACTTGAATCTACTTGTATTTACTTGTAGATACTCGTAGATACTCGTAGATACATACAGTCGTACGAGTACGAGTAGTAGTATTGATATTCTGAAGTCCTTCTGGAATCTAAGGAGAGTCTTGAAACACTGCAACACTTAGACGTACAGATAAGAAGACAGGCACAGGCATTACCTCGTACCTTCGCCGCACACCTGCATACAGTCTACTGTAGCTACAATCGACCATCCTCAGTCTACGGTAATAACAGTCTCGTTCATTTGTTCGTTAAAGAAAGGTTCGCGCCATACCCGACCCCCCACCGGTTATCCTATCCGTGCCTCATGCCGACATACGAGTACATACGCACCTAGTACTCTGTAAATACACGATATTGCTCGTATATCATTCGAGAACGAACCACTGACATGAACACCAACATCTATGGGAAGTCAACTCATATTCGGAGTATTGTGCACCGACTAAACCACTAATCATTCGTATGTGTAGCTTTTCCGTACATGTATGTACATGTGTGTACCCAGTACAGCAACCATTAACCACTACGAGTATTACTATTCTTAGCCCTTTCACACCCCCTGGACGTTTCACTTGCTTCACGTTTCCAATTTCTAGTTTCCAAATTCCAGTCGAATTAATCATCCTCATGTTTCCGACTCTTCCACTCTTTCTCTTCTCCCTTTCCCGTTGCTTTTCCTTTTCTTCTTGTCCTTCTCTTTTCCCCCGTCTCGCCACGCCGTCTTCCCCCCGTATACGAGTTCTAGCTCCCACTTCCCATGGGGCATTTGTTGGAAGATCGCCGCCACTCGTTCTGTTCATCGGCCTGGGCATCTCCCTCCTCCATCCAAGTAATCACAATCGCCAATTAACTAACCACCTACCCAGTAACTCGTAACTCACCATTCCCCATCTCTCAAAACCCGGTACCGGTTGCAATTTGGTTCCGCGAACCGGTCGATTCTACCAACCCCGGCACCAGTTCAATTCCGAAGGCCCAGTCAGTTCTATGGGAGCGAAAGCCGTTACCGCTCCACTCCACCACCAACCCATCACCATCACCATCTCCACCGACCTCGCACCATCACCAACTCTTCATCTTTTCCCCTCCCTCTTCCTCGTAACCTCACACCTCCGCCGTGCCGCGCGTTCCTTAACCTCCCTGCCTTCTCGAAACGAAGAAGAACACATCACCCACCCACCCATCCATCCATCCATCCATCCCTGTAGTTACGCTATTCTCCGAGAACCAAAAAGGAAAAAGAAAAGAAAAAATGAACAAACAAACCCTCTCGAAATTCCCCGACCGTCACATCATCCGCTCCCCGGGGAAACCCATCCCATCTTCCTCGCTCGCCCTTGTATCCATGCTCCCATGCTTCCACCTACCCATGTAGTTTATCCATCTTCGACTCGACGTTTCCAAAACCTTAGTCACATACCCAAGTCGCGTGCTCATAAAGACCCCGAAACGGATCTACATAGGCTAGGTAGCGTAGCTAACTCACATGCCTGCCCTGCTCACCACGCTCCGACCCATCGAAAAAGAAAAGAAAAACGACGACTCGCTGCCGCTCTATGGTGCCAGTGCTGCACGCGACATACTTCCCCCTTCACGTCCCCACTCCCAAAAGAATATACCCCGAATCTAGCAGGGAGAGAGGGATGGGTATGCTTGCTTGCTTGCGTCCGCTCTTCGTTCGTGGGGACCTGGAGCTTCTGGGGGGGTTGTTCGTTGTTTGTTGAAGGTTGGGTAGGTGGGTAGGTGGGTAGTCATCGGGGTGGATCATCGTGGATGGGTTTGTAAGTATTGTATTGTATGTTACTGTGGTGCGGTGGAGAGAGATGGATTTGCTGGTAATTAGGGGCATTTGATAGACGGGGAACGGGAATGGGTGGTAATTAGGGGAGAATTGAATGGGTGTTAATGTTGATGGTGATAAGTGGTATGGGGGATATAATTGTGTGAGGTGTGGATGCTTGATATAGTAGCGGACGTGTAGATGAATGTTCTACTCTTCAGGTATGTATAGGTTGTCGTTATGGTGAGTGTATAGAAGTATACTTTGATCCCTTTTTTTTTGAAGTCGCATTATTTTATATCTAATATGTGAGGTCATTACTCAGATCTCAATTCTCGGTCTTGTTATCTCTCGATATGATACTCCCTTCGTATGTTTATTCACTCGATTTGCAAATCCCAGTCCTTAATTCAGGCATCCAATTTCTACGTTTTTCAAACCTCAAGTATCTGTTGTTAAGGTCTGGTTCTGGTGATCAAGTCTCAATCCTTGCTTGTCGATTTCTCAAGTAGAATCCGCTAGAGTCTTAAGCTTGCAAGTGATTAATTTCTCTCTGGGTTTACATCAACTCTATCAATCCTTTGTATATATCAATCCCTCGATTCCCAGCATTCAACACAACACACATTCTCGACATCTCGCCCCCTATTCCCATCCCGAAACCCCTCGAACCCTTCAAAACTACTAAGAAGAAAGAAACAAAAGTAAAGGAACGGCCATGATTCATTAAAACTTCGTAAATATAAAAAGAAAACATTCAATAAGAACCGAAAATTATAAACCGCCATCATAACTCATTAGCCCATTAAATTCATCACCGCCCCTCCCACTCCCACTCCCTCTCCCTCTCCCTCTCCCTCTCCCTCCTCCTCCTCGCCCTCTCCCGCGCCCTCTCCTCACTCCTCTCCCTCTCCCACCTCCGCCTCTCCACCATCCTCTCCACCTCTCTCGCACCAAGCCCACCAACCACCGCCCCCGCAACCGTCGTCCACGCTGACTCCCTCCCTCGCCCTGCCGCGTTCGCCAGTAAACCTCCTGCCAGCGCGCCTACGGCCACGGTCGTCGTGTGGTCGTGGTACGGGGAGCTTGAGCGGGTGCGGGGGCGCGGGCGAGGGCGGTGCCGCGGGGGAGGCGGGGAGGGGGAGGGGTTGCTCCGGCGGCGGTAGGGGTTAGGGGGACGGGGGGAGATGGTGGTGCGGTTGGCTATGTAGAGCTCGTTGTTGTTGGGGCTGTTGCGGAGGGGGTCGTTGTAGGGTCGTTGCTATGAGGGGGGTTAGATGGGTGGGTGTTTTGATGCTGAAGGAGGGTTTGTTTTGATGTATGGAATGGTGTATGTGGGAAGATGGGGATGGAAAGAGACGTGTATGTACTACAGCGAGCCCGCCGGACGAGAAAATGAAGATGTACGGGAGATCAAACGCAAGAAATGTGGATAGGCGAGTTGGAAGAAGAAGAGAGTATGAAAAGGTTCCAACATACCATCATAACGCCCTGATACCCATCATACCCTCCCCCTCTACCACCATCACGCTCCCGTACGACCACCAATCTCCCTCCATCTCTCTCACAACCACGACCGACGTACTCATCCTCATAAACCACCCTCTCCCCTCCGCCTCCCCCTCTCATCGTCCCCTCAACAACCCTCCTACCACCTCCTCTATCATCAATGACACTCTCAGTGGCATACATCTGTCGTTCTTGACCGCCAGCAAACGCTGGTAGTGGTGGTGGTGCCAATGGTGATGATGACAAGCTTCCGCCGTGCCGGTCTTCCGGGGCAAGAAATGGACCAGGGGGTGGTGGTGGTGGTGGTGCTGGCACTGGTGCTGGATGTGGGGGGAGTTCGACGGCTGGGTTGAGTATGTTATGGGTGCTGCTGCTGTTGCTGCTATCTTCTGGGATTCTTATGTCGTTGTCATTTCTGGTGTTTTCAATGCCGCTGGGGTGGTGCTGGTGCTGGTGCTGGTGGGTTTGATGGCGCTGCTGATGGTGGTGATGTTGCTGGCGGCGTGACGTGCGAGGGAAGTGGAATGGAGTGTGGTGGTGGTGATGGTGGTGATGGTGGTGACGATGGGGGAGGTGGATGTGGTCGAGTTTCGTCGCGAACTTGTCGAGGCCTTCGAAACCGAGTTCCTGGAAGTTTGAAGCCTTGTGTTAATTGGATTTCTCTACGTTGAAGATTTCAAGGGTTATGGTTTTGAGTTGTTGTGTCGTGTTAGGCTGATTTTCAGGCCGAAGCTTATAGTCCTCGTATAAAGAAATATGTACACAAATATAGGTGTTTACAGGTGTATAGGGAAGATGATGATGTTATGAAGATTAAATGAACTTTGGATCCATGACTTTAAAATGGATGCTCGAGAAACTACGGGACTCCCGGACTTATGACTGCTTTTTGTCAAGCACATTGAGCCTGGAGAGAAAGAAAAGACAAGAAAAAAAGAACTCAAACGTACGACTAAATCTTCATACTCGCTCATCATGAATAAACCAAACCCAAACCCCAATCCAGACACACTATAATCTTGTGGTCGAGCGCTGGCTGGCTGGTTGAGTGTGTAATTGTATGGGTCCCCCGGGTAATCCGGTTACGCTCCGCTGGTTCGCGCGCCGGCCTTGCCTGCCTGGTAGCTGGCTGGTAGGGTAGAACGCCCACCTGTTCGGAAGATGTTCCGTGAAGCTCTAATAGCTCGGTGCTTGTTCGTTCGATCTGTGCGACCCACACGGTTCCTTGGATATATGGATCTTTCTCGTCGTTTTCTGGGGTTTTCCTTGGGAGGGAGAGGAGGGATTCATCCTGGAAAGGCTGAGAAGCTGAGAAGCTTGGGAGTTGGATCGCCTTGGGTAGACGATGACGTTGTGCTTGGCTTGACAGGGCTGAATTCGAGCTGTGCTGAATGGCTTGGGGGCGTGGGATTGACGATCGTCAACCATGGTGGGAATTGTATATTATCAGAGAGGTGACTAGAATGACGAGTGACGTGTTGGATGTGAATAATTTCGGATGTGATAATTTCCTATAACATTATCCTTCCAGATAAAACAGTGATGAAGAGGATGAAGTAGTAGGTTTGTTTACGAGTATGCCGATGTGTTGTCGAGGTACGGGCAGACCAAAACGTCATACTAGGCTGTCCTCCATTAGCTCTTTACGGCTGAATTGTAGAGTAGAAAAATAAGAAAGGCCAATCTTTAGGAAATTTAATGTACTCGTAGTAATTGATTTATTTACCTTTAATATCTTGCTCTTTTACAAAAATAATAAAATAAAATTGATTCAAATTTATGTTTGGTAGATAGACTTCACGCCCGTTTGAATGTATTGGACATGTTATTGCTTATGAGTCTGCTACTTGATCAATACTGCTCTACGTAAGAACAGTTTGGATAAGGAATAAACATTTGTCGATAAACTTCTGGCTGATGTTATTCTAAAGATGAGACTTGAGTGGTAAACATTCCTTCATAGACTTTTGAAATTTTGATTAATTCTTCTTGCTTTGAAATAGCGAGTAGGGAATGCTCACTATACAAGACACCTCAACAAGATGCATAACATATGCACGCTTGAGTCCCCAATTCCCATCCCAGTACGCCAGATGTAAATGCAAGTAAAAGTAACACCAAATAAAGCACGAACCAAACTCCTTTGCAATGCCTCCCGGCTCGAAATTCCCAATCACCATACCTCGCCTCGCCCTCTCCTACCCTTCTCATGCCCTCGCAGCTAATTGAAACAACATCGCGTGATGTCCCGGATGTGTCTTCTCCACGTTTCCCTTGGCCATCTTCTTCATCATAAAGTTCCCGTCAATCATGACGTCCTCGACAAGCTTGCCGCCCCCGACCCGCCATTTGCCAGCGATGGTAAGGATGCCCACTGGCGGGTTTGCATTGACGAGGGAGTCGACACCGGTAGGATTGTTGGTAAGAGTGAGTTTGTATGTTGTCTGCATCAAATGTGTCAGTTTTGTTGTGTATTTAGGTCGAATCGTACACGAGCAGGGGTACGCACGAGGCCATTGGGCTTCCTATCTGTTACGGTGTAGGTTGCCTGGGTGTTTGGATTGCCAGACTCGAAGTTGTAGGACACAAGGGCTGGGCATAGAGTCCGGATCATGAGGTCGTGGTTGTGCAGCGCGGCGACAACTAGCCTTGACGAGAGCCCAGTGGGCAGTGAAGTGGAGACGCTGGTGGTGCTCATTTTGTAGTAATGTTGTTTATGATAGGTGTTGAGTTGAATTGAAGGTCCTTGCTGGCTGTAGTAGAAGAGCTGTGAATTGGTTGTTGATTTGGGTCTATGTGTATCTCCATGAAGGGAATGCATGATCTTATATCAATCTTCTGGCGATACCTCAATCAAATCCACAACCCTATTCCCGTAACCAACACTCCCCAATCCAAACATGGTCGCTCCGGGAATGACAATCAATTCCATTTCCAGCACCAATATTGCCATTGTCCCCTACAGCTGTCCGGTACGCCGCCCAACTCTAATTACACGACCGTTTCTCACCTCACTCACCGGTATCCCTCGCCTCAACCCATTCGCAAGACCCCCGTCTCCATCCTATCACAGCATCGAAACGCCGCGGCATCGACCTCACCATGCAGTGCAATGTCCCATTCCTGCACGTTGATGACTCCAGGTTACACCGTCCGGTACGGATCTCCGCCCGCCATGGCTGTGACTAGCCGGACCAACAAAGCTGGTACTCCCAATTGGGACGAGCACGACCGCAGCCACGCCCATCTTGCACCGTTTCGAGAAATCCACGATATTCCTGAAGCGTCGTGTAAGATAATTTCCCCGCTGCTGATCTCACCTCCTCTGCAAAAGAATTTGTGATGTTGGGAGCGTGGCGGTGACGACGTCGTGGGCCCGGCGTCTGCCACACGTCGGCTAGGTTGTCGATCACCCGGCTCCCCCCAGTGATTCTCCGCGATAGTAACGGCTGAGTTGTCAGCAACGCTGGGTTGAAGATACGAGGTATATTCTGTGAAACAATTGAATTTTGTGTCTTGAATACGAGATACCGGATTTAGCCATTAATCTATCTTAATCCGAAGATTAAGCTTGCGGAAAACCAATCCTTGCATTCCGACTTGGGCTGATTAACATGCATCTAGGAGCGAGGATGTAGAGAAAAATAAGAGTAAGACTTCAGTTCTTACTGATATCTCCATCTTCACTGAGTACCGGACTCGAAAGAAATGGTTATGGTTATAGAATCACGTGCTCTTCCCCCTGTTGCTGTATGGAAGTGCAAGTTCTGGGTCGGAGAGAGTTAATTCATGTCACAGGTAGTCAAGCATATGTCTTTACTGGTCATTTGATAGCAACTCAATACTAACCACTCGAGAACACTTCGTGTACGCTCAAAGTCCCACTTGCACATTATGACCTATATGTAAACCCTCGCAACAGTCGCTTTCTCTACTCAAAAGTCGGTTCATCCAACCAAGTCCGCAACTTTTCCAGAGCGAACAAATCATGGCCATAGTCCGAAGTGTGATAGTCCTTCAACTCACAGTCTATCCAACCCTTCGTCCCCCGACTAGTACCCAACTTCATGCCCACCTCACGCGCCGAGCCGAAATCGATCAAGACTGGCATGCCCTCCTCATTTATCAGGATGTTGCTGGGATTAAGGTCGTTGTGAGCCCAGTGAAGAGAATGCAGATGAGAAATAGCCGATTGGAGGGCCTGCATGAAGGGTTCCTTATCAATGGGCCCGACTTTGCTCTTCAGGTATTCTGAAAAGGTGTTGGGGTGGCGATCAAGAACGAGACCGGTGATGCGACCCCGGCGGACCTGGCAGCCGTGGTATTTGATGATGTTTGGATGTGGGTGCTGAGAGAGCATTTCCATGGCGTCTACCTCTTCAATGAAACCTTTGGGTATCAGGTGGAGGACATTGTGTTCCTGGAATGTATCGTAGAATATCAGTGCTGGGCGCTTGATGTAGACACTAGATGGAAGCGGTTCGGAAGCTTTGGTGAGCTTTGACGAGGACGACCATTCTGGAAAGACTTCATCATCGGAGATGGATAAGAGGGCAGAATCGAGTTGGTTCAATGTCAGATTGATTTTGGGGGTGTTCAATTTGCCGAAGTATGCAGAGCCGTCTTCATCAACGAATGCGAATGTTGTGTGCTGGAATTTGCCAGTAACGTCGTCGACTTCCTCGTAAATGAAAACCAAATCTTCCCACTTAGTAACTAGAGGTGCCATTTCCTTCTCACGGCGAGTATACTGACAGTTTCTTAGGATCCTTACGATTGATCAGAAGGGAGATTGCCTCTGTTCAGGAGTCGAAGCGTTTCAATGTATCTGAACGTCTTGCTGGACAAAATTCCCAATTATGAGACTCGAGAGCCAATGTAATGACGGGAAACTTGAGGCATATACCACATTACTTTTGTATAGATTTAGTCGTATTCCTATGAAACAAGAAACCTCAATATGGCTGCCTGTGCGGCGTAAATCTGAATCCCTACCATAAGAATATGTTTGTACATACAGGTAGCATTTGATTGGCTGATGGGGATTGAGCACTATCGATAGCAGACAACTTGTGTGCCTGTGTTGACCCCACCACGTCATTCATTCATCTTGTCCAAGCCCAACCAAATATCCTCAAAATATAAACCTCCTTCCCTTCAATATTTCGCCACATTGAAACCTATTCACACAGTCATAGCATCTGCGGTAGACTTCAAATCATTGCAACAAATTCAAGCTTGATACATACCCTCATTGTTCACCCATCGACGCATTCCAGTCAATTTTCATCGTTTCTTCACATTTCATCATGCGACTCTTAAAATCGCAAATAGACAAAAAGGATGGCGCAGGATATGCGTCACTCCTCCCAGAAGAGCCCGAAGACATGGTACGCCCACCCCATCGCACAATCAAGCGCATGCATCAAACTAACAACAACCCAGTGGCACGCATACAACCTAATCCAACCAGGCGACCTACTCCGCGCGCGCGCCGTGCGCCGCGTATCCAAAACCTCCGACAGCGGCTCTGTCGCCTCGCAGCGCATAGTCCTGAACCTCACGATATCGGTGACCTCGACGGACTTCGACATCGGCAGCGGGCAGCTCCACGTAGCGGGGCGCGTCGCCAACGAGAACGAGCACGTCAAACTCGGCTCGCACCATACGCTCGACCTCGAGCTGAACCGCGACTTCTCGCTGGAAAAGGCGGACGGGTGGGACAGCATTGCGCTTGAGATCCTGCGCGAGGCGTGCGACACGGAGCGGAAGGCGGAGCTGTGGGCTGTCGTTATGGGCGAGGGTGTGGCAAATATCTGCTTGATAACCGAGCACCAGACGATACCGCGGCAGAAGGTCGAAGTGTCGGTGCCGAGGAAGCGGAAGGGTGGACTCGATGGTCACGACAAGGGGATGGAGAAGTTTTTCAGCACGACGCTGGCCACGTTATTACGACACATCGATTTGGCGGAGAAGGCAAAAGAGGATAAGACTGTTCCTTTGCTGCTAGCGAGTCCGGGGTTCGTTGCGCAGACGTTTCTGCAGTACATCAAGAGCGAGGCGACGAGGACGACAAATAAGCCATTGCTTGCTGCGGTCCCGAATATACTAGTGGCGCATTCGTCGTCATACCACGTTCATGCGTTGAAGGAAGTGCTGGCATCGCAGGGTGTGCTGTCGAAACTCTCCGACACGAAATTCGCGCGTGAGACATCACTCATGGATAAGTTCACAACGCTGATCCGACAAGACGACGGACGGGCGTGGTACGGACCTCGTGAGGTCGAGCGTGCCGTGGAGAAGGGGGCGGTGGGGAGAGGAGGTGGTGTGCTGCTTATATCGAACGCGCTGTTCAGAGCACAGGACGTCAAGGAGAGGAAACGGTGGGTTGCTCTGGTCGACCGGGTGCGAGAGGTAGAGGGTGGCGAGGTCAGAGTGCTGAGCAGTCTGCACGAGAGTGGGAAGCGATTGGAAGGATTGGGAAATATAGCTGCGATATTGACGTTCCCGCTCGAGGACCTTGATGAGGAGGAGGAGGAGGTCGCGGACGGACAGACAGAGCAAGAGGAGACGATGGTGATATGATAGTACTGCATAGACATGAGCCATAGATGTTACGAACGAAAACGAGATATCCAAACACCCATCAAACCACTTTCCATAAAAGCATCACAGTGTAATGCAACAGTGACATCCCCTGTGTCCACAACAATTCTCTTCATATCAACCAGCACAAGACCGGCATTATCACAGATGAACAATCCTTTAACATTCAAAAAATGAATATTTACATTTTATGCAAAGCGAAACGCTATATACGTATATGATCAGTCAATCAAATGCATCCACCCATCCCCATCACACCCTCACAACTTCGCCTCCCCCTCCTTACTCTTATCCATGCCCGAAAACGACACTCCCAGATTACTTTGCACCGTCCCACTCTTATTAATCAACTGCAACTTCCGTCCCCTACTAAATGGCTCATCATCATCATGGTCCCTGATATAATACGCCCAATCCGCCGACTCGTCCAGCTCCGTCTGCGAATACCCGTTACCCAGCCACGCAAACCTATTCCCATTATACTTGACCTCCCAGTCATCGAGCCGCAGCTCCATCAGCGCCTCGATGTAATGCAGCGTTGACCCGGGCCACAGCGCGGTTATCTTCCCGTTCGGGCCAGCCGCCTTGTACCACGAGCGACACGGGTCGTGCCAGACGGTCTTCGACATAAAGAGGTCCTTATGCGCGATGAAGTCCGCGACAGCCTCGGCCTTCGGCGCGAACTGCGAGATGTTGTGCGTCTGGAAGCGGTCGATGAGCTTGAGCATGTAGTCTGCCTGGCATTCGATGGCGGAGAGCACGGGGCCGTTGCCGATGGGGCAGTTGGGGCCGAGGAAGATGAGGTAGTTGGGGAAGTCGGCGGCCGCGAGCCCGAAGTAGGATGTTGCTTCCTGTGCCCAGACGTCCTGGAGGTTCTTGCCGGAGGGTCCGATGACGGGGAAGCGGGGCTTGAAGGAGGTGTTGAAGCCCGTAGCGCAGATCAGGATGTCGACGGGGTATTCGTTGCCGTCGTCGCATTTGCAGCCGCGCTCCGTGATCTCGTTGATCTCGCCGTAGACGACTTGGACGTTGTCTTTGCCGAGGGATTCGAGGTAGCCGACGCCGGGGGTGAGGCGGCGGCACCCGACGTGCCAGTTGGGGATGAGGCGCTCTTCGAGGTACGGGTTGGAGAGCTTCTCGGACATCTGCTGGCGGAAGTAGGTCTCGGTGTCGTTGTTGGTGGTGGTGCCCTTGAGGAAGATGCCGAATTGGCCGTTGAGGCCGCGCTCGACGTTCTTGCGGTAGTCGACGAGGGCTTGGGGCTTGGTGGCGAATTCGAGGCGCTCTTGGTCGCTGAAGACGTGCTGCTCGAGGCCTTGCACGGGGGATACCCAGGTGGGTTCTCGGATGAAGGTGGTTACTTTGGAGACGTGGGGTTGGATGGTTGGGAGGACTTGGATTCCAGAGGATCTTTGGGGATGTCAGTGGCTGAATGAATGCAAAAAGGAGACGGGGGATGTTGTCAGACTTACCCATTGCCAATGAGACCGACATGGCGACCCTTGAGGTCAATCTTATCATCCCAGTTTGCAGTGTGCAGAAGCGTTCCCTTGTACTTGTCGAGTCCGGGGATAGCAGGCCACGCCCAATTGTTCAAGATGCCACTGGCATTGACGAGAATGTCGCAGTGATCACGCACATCCTGACCTTTCTGGAGGTCCCGAATGTGCACGTCGTACCCGCCCTTCTCGTGGTTCCAGTACGCGCCAGAGACCTGGTGCTCCGTCTTGACGTACTTGTGCAGGCCGTACTTGCGCGCAAAGTCGTTGAAGTAGCTGAAGATTTCCTTGGAGCTGGCGTACACGGCCGACCAATCGACTTTTGGCTCGAAGGACCAGGTGTAGTTGTGTGAGGGGACGTCGCATGCGCAGCTGTAGGTTCAATTGTGTCAGCTTATGGTTTGGTTCATGATTCCCTTCGGATGCTCGAGTCATTGGCTGTTCATCTGTTTTCGTGTGTGGTTGGGGTTGGATCAAGTGAACCGAGGTGTGTGGGGTAACGTTACACAATGCCATCCACAAAAAATGTAAATGGTCGATTCATTCAAACACGTCGAGAAACGCCACCACCAATTCGCTCCAAGCTTGGAAAAAAAGTAATTACTTACCCAGGATATCTGTTCTCCCACCATGTGCCCGAGACTTCTGGGTTCTTCTCGTAGACTGTGAGACTGAAGTTGTTGAAGTGTCGTTGCAGCTTGTATGCCATCAGCAGACCCGACGCACCGGCACCGACGCAGATGATTCGCACGTGGCGCTGCGCATGGATGGGACCGTGTAGTCGGTGCTGAGCATCCGATTCCGGGCGATTGGTGGACGGGACAATGAAGTCTGCCATTGCGAAGGTAGTGAAGCAGATTTCTGGGGTATCTGGAAAGGAAAGGGAAGAAAACAGTGCACAAAGCCAGTCGCACACAAGCTACCCAACGTTACAGCAGATCTGAAGTGCAAAGGTAAGGAGGAAGAAGTTGAGGAGAAAGATGAGAGAACGGGAGGGAGAGAGGAGCTAGATAAATGTGCAACGTAAGGTCTGAAGAAGAGGAGATTCCGTGCTGCCACTACTTTTATACCCTAAACTGTACACTGCAGGTGAATTGCTGCTCCATATCTCGTCCCGTCGAGCGGTCAAGAGTCATGTTAGGCAGGTAGCTCATGACAATCTGATTCAACTCCAGTGGACAGCCCATTAGGAAACCCGGGGCCACGAAGGGTCCCCAGTTGTTTCCAAGCCATTCCGGGGTAAACGAAGCTAAAATCGTGGAGACGCCATCCACTGAATTGGTTGGATCTCGTTGCCGTTGTGGTAAACCATTTCCGACTGCCAGACTTCTCGACACAAGAGACTAACATTCAGGAACATTGTTTTTATTTTTTGGAAATGCCACGGAGAAACGCTAGACCCACCGTCCGTCCCCCGAGCACTCAAAGTCGCGTTATCTTGCAAAAGTCGCCTTGCGAGCAGACTAATGTCGAATACGTGCGGTCTAATCGTGTTCATGCAGTAGCCAGCTCGTAACATGAGCAGATAGCGCCGCGGTCTGGAGTTTCTCGGTGCAACACACACAATCGAGTCTCGAGTCTCGACTTAATTGTTCCGCTCGATTCCATCGAGTACGAATACGGTTGTTCCATGTAGCTAACGGTCTGAACGGTACGAGGACCCCTCGTCTGATCTGCCCATCATTTCAATCGCAACCGAGGATCCGACAAACAAAGGTCAGACCAGGCTATGTCGAAATTACGGGACGAATTTCGGTCATTTGTGAATACGCACACACAAGTTCCAATACATAGTAATTGTGTGCGTCTGCCAAATCTATTGTGTTGTTGAGACTGTAGAAGTTTGGCCTCGTAAGCAGGATGTTTGGTTCAATTATGATTAGCATTATCGTAGAATGAATTCATTTGCATCTATTGTATCGTAAACCCACCATCCGCCACCAACGAAGCTCCGATCATGTAACTGCTCGCTTCTGAGTGGAGGAAAGATACACAATCCCCAATTTCCTCCATCGTCGCCAGCCGTTGGACGGGCACCTTCACGCGCTCGTCGTCCATAACGCTGCCTACATTCATCGAGCTCATCACGAGCGGAGTGGCTACATAACCGGGACACAGCGCATTGATCTTGATACCCTTCGGCGCAAAAGCGATGGCATCTGCTCTCGTCAATCCAATAACGGCGTGCTTGCTCGTGGCATAGGCTGTCGATGGGACGTTCAGTGATGGGCCTAGGATGCCGTACATGGATGCGGTGTTGACAATCGATCCGCGATATGAGCGAGGGGAGTCACGTAGTTTGTCCTGCGTGAGCATCTGGCGGATCTGAGCCCGCTGGCACAGCCAGACGCCCGTAGTGTTGACCGAAAGCACCCGTTCGAAGTCGTCCTTGGGGATCTGGTCGGTCGTCTTGAGGGCTCCGCCAATGCCTGCATTGTTGAGCGCATAGTCGAGCCGACCGAATTTCTTGACCGTCTGGTCCACGCTGTTATTGACGGCGTCTTCGCTCGCGACGTCCAATTCCAGCTCGAGGACAGAGACATCCGGTGCGATCTTCTTCAGCTCGGAGGCGGTGTTGGAGACTGAGTTGCGGTCGAGCAGGGCGAAGGAGCGTACACCCTGGCGTGCAAGCGAATATGCAGCATACTGTCCAATTCCTGGAGAATGCAGATGTGAGATGAGATGCACATGAGCGGCGCAGCTACAGTCGACATGGGAATGCTAGATTGTCGAGATCACTTACCTGAGCCAGCACCTGTGATGTAGGCGACACCCTTGAGTGCGAAAGCCATTCTATTGCCTCTATGGAATCCCGGTATCACTCGCAATAATGGTATGAAGTTGTGGTGTTGAAGATATGCTCAATACGACAGAAGAGCGCCACGCCGATCCCTTTCAACAGCTCCAGGCCATACGAGGTGAATTGGTCAGGGTCCAAGCAAGTAGTTAATAATTAGCATCAATTTACCATACCAACTCGGATAGCTCTACTAAAAGCTCCCCCTCACTCCCTCTGTTCTAGGTAGACCTCAAGCTCCCGTAGTCACTCACAAGCCTGAAAGGCAATAATTATCCCCCAGCTACGTTTGCGGGGGTGGACGCGCGGGGATCTGGCGTTCCGACTACCGGCTCCTACCACCAGCCCCAGCAGGCCCAGTGTGTGCCATTGTTCTCCCACATCTGACGATCCTTTCCCATTCCATCCCATCGCAAAGTCAGGATGAAGTTTCCCGCGGGTGCTCGGGAACGCCCTACAACCTCCCCTTCCGACTTGATTCATACGACAGGCACTTCCCCAGACAACTTACTCGTACTCGAGTCAGATTCCAATCGAGATTTAGTTAGCCTTTATGGCCGTTTCCATTTTCAATATGCCCTTGATTGCTCTCGTCGTTCGGTGTTGCGTGGTCATGTCTCACATGTTGAGGTCATCGATAATTCATGCGCCCCCCGCTACCGGACATGCGAGTGCGGTTACCGTTGTGACAGCCACGTCGTACAAAGTGTGTTTTGACATCGGGAGCCTCGTTCCTATTAGGCTTATGTTTGGGGCGTGGATGTTGCACGGAGGCCTCGACTTCGTGCTGTACAACCTTGATAGGGTTCTAGTAGGAACTGTTGAGTAGAAACGTGCTTTTTGCTTCAATGACTAGGCATCGCCTCATCTTTATAGCCAATCATATGCAGATTGTTATCTTCCGTGAAAAGGAACCCTGGCCAACCCTGGCCTTGAATTCACCCTCATTCGAGGGCTTTCACCAGATCTGCCAACCCCAGATTCGATCACGTGCGCACGCGCACAACTCGTCAGACGCACAGACTTCAGCACCCCCGACATGCTTGGCGAATTCACTCTTTCGCGTCCGTCCACAATGACGATGCGCCACCCCCGTCAACAAACATCCCCACTCCCCCTACACCCCCATCACCCTACCCCAACAATGCATCTGCTATGACGATCACACACACGCGCATCGCCCAAACCTCCAAAGAGGCGCAGAAAGAGTACAAGAAGAAGAGTCATGGCACCTACATCCCGCAAGGCCAAATGCGCCAGCTGGAGCGCGGAGTCGTGCTCGACGAACGCGCGGCCAAGTATCGCGAGCAGGAGCGGCGGAAGCGGCTCGCGAAGCAGAAGCGGGAGGAGAAGGAACGGAAGGAGCAGGCGATAAGGAAGCAGTTGGGTGTGGGGCTCGCGACGCAGTTGATCGGGTACTCGCATACGCAGGCGAGGATGAAGAGTGGGATGGAGGCGTTTCTGGGGTTTAGGAAGAAGAAGGAAGAGGAGGAGAAGGAGAAGGAGAGGGAGACGAATAAGCAGCTTGAAGATTTGGCAGAGGAATTGGATAAGGAGCCTTGGGATAATGAGGATGAGGTCGGTGCAGTGGTAGATTTGGCGATCGGGACACCTGAGAAGCCGAAGGCAAATCCGGAGGTCCAGCTGTTCGATGAAGTCGGCATGGTGCTTGATCTGGCGACAGTGCCACCTGAGTTACCGAAGGCGAATGCGGAGGACCAGCTGTTCGATGAGGATCTAGATGATGACGCACTACTCGAGGCTCATGATACGTTTGTTTCTGATTCTCCAGAAAAGGCAAGGGAAATCCCGCCTATTCCTACACCGACGCCTGTCCGAGTATCGGCACCAACAAAGAATATAATCTCACCTCAGAAACAATCTCCAATCAAAGAGGGTGTGGATTTTACTCGTCTCCATGGTCCAATTAATAAAGTCATCGAAAATTCACTAGCTGCGTTGCCAGAGCCCCTGATCGAACTTTTGTCTGTCGATACATCAATGAATACGCCCAAATGGGAGCCATCCGCATCGCTACTACATAAATTGAACCCCCTCGGATTGCCACCTCACCGACTGCGGATCAAGATTGGATGCACATTAACTGTCCTTCGTGATCTCAATTGTAGCAGCCAGATATCTAAGAGTAGTCATCTTCGAGTCCTGCGGTTACACAACGAAAGACTCGAATGTCTTGTTCTCGATGGCCAACTGGAGGGTACAAAGACGATCCTTACTCGCTTCCCATTTACAGCAAACTACAGAAACGACGAGCAATGTCCATTTCGAAGGATGCAATACCCGGTTCGCGTAGCTACAGACTTTCATTATCCCGGCGCAGTTCAATCAGATAAAGAACCAAGATTCAAGCAACCCTTGAAATCAGCTCCACCAACGAACCCAATCAGGAGCTTTAAGAAGCCTCCAATCTCAGCCACTGCGATCAAACCAAACATGAATCCAAATCCGATCTTCAAACGACCAAATTTACCAGCGTCAAAGACAAGGGCGGCAACGCCGGTGCTCAAACCCACTGAGCAGGCATCCGTGCCCATAGATCTCGATATCTTTGACTTCCTAGACAGTGCAACTCAAATTTCACGCGATCTTTCTTCGGACGATACGCCGTCATCGCCAAGCAAGCCTTTTTCCAACAGGTTTGATTTGAAAGCTCCCGCAGTGCAGGAGCCAGTCCGAGAGTGTAGCTTCGACATGGACGACTTGGACTTTAGTACCGATGATTTGGAGGACATCTTAGAACCAAAGACATCACCAAAATCAATTGACGGCCATCAGCCTCCGCGACAGATAGGCACGACAGTAGCGGCGCCAGGACAGCCACCGCCGTCCAGCACTAGACCCATGAAGTCGCCTGGCCAAACGGGAGCTCCCAATAAAACTCAAACTCCGCGAATGGCTCCTCCACCTTTAAATTCGAAGCGAAAAGCAGACAGCCCTCTTGCACAACCACCGCCAAAACGACTACCCGCCAGACCACCATCTCATATGGGAAGCGAACGGCCTTTCATATGCTCCGTGACGAAACCTGAACCTACAATGGCACGAGGGTCATCTGATACATGTCTTTCATTCTCAAAACCAACATATCAACCACCACCACCTCAGTCATATCCCTCATTTAGTGAGTTTGGGCTATCGACCCAGGAGGCGGTTTCATTCTTCGACGACGACGAGTTTTCTTCACCCACAATATCTGTATGAGTGGGTTTGCGATGCTTATCTGTAATGGCGCTTGGAGTGGAATTACGGTGTTTGGAATTGGTTTTGGAGCCGGAATACCCATGGGAAATTTTTGGAATGAATTGGGCGGATTGAACGTATTGATGGAAATGGGAGGTTCTGGACAGCGTACTACAAAATTAAAGATTTTGGCACCTTGGGTCGATTATGCATAACGGTCCTTTGGCCTTTTTGGCCTTCACGTAACGAAGACGTATAGCCAATACAATCAGCTTCTCATGCAACATCTCTTCACTGACATGTAACGGCAAACTCCCCACGTATGTTATCACAAAATATGTATGACTGTCAATTGATGAACATGAGAAGGAAACGCTATAATTCGCCACCAATCTATATAATCGAACGACACTCCCAAGTCTACAGACTCGCTCTCGCAGCCTGTCCCCCCTTCACCCTCCCCACCAACTCCCACGCCATCTCCGCCGACGGCCCCCTCTCCTCTCCAACCCTCTTCGCCTGCTCCGAACTTGCCTGCCTAACCGCATATCTACTCGCGATGCCCTGAAAGATGATGGCATCCCTCCACATCGCGAACGCCATGCTCCAGTCGAGTTCACTGCCGGGGTGCCAGCCCGCGACCTCTGCATACCACTGCACGGCCTGCTCGGGCGTGGGCAGGCCCGGCGTCGAGGACCCGGGCGCGAAGTTCTTGTGCGAGTGGTGCCGGTCGGGGGAGAATGCTGTGACGGTCCAGGGGGCAATGAGGTTGGAGAGGTCGGAGAGGGGGTGCCCTATTGTTGCCATTTCCCAGCTGTTGGACATGTCAGCATTTATCAATCAATCGAATTCGCACATAGACTCAAGGTCTCGTGGGGATGTGTAAAACGTACTCCAAAATCCCAATAACCCTCGGTTCCGTCTTGTGGAAAACCAAATTATCAATCTTATAATCCCCATGAATCGGCACGCCCCGATCCCTCGGCTGCCTCCTCTCCTCCTCAAAGAACCTCTTAAGTTCCCCCATGTGCGGAATCTCGCCGACCTCCTCCCCCGTCTCTACGTCCTTCGTCTTCGCCTGCGCATCCCCCAGCTGCGTAAACGTCTTAATCTGCCGATTGTAAAACCCCCGCGGCTTCCCGAACGTCTCGAGACCTATCGCCTTCGGATCCAGACGGTGCAGTTTCGCGAGCGTGCGCACGGCGTCATGCCACATTTCCGTGCGGTCCTGGGGCGAGGCGTCAGGGAAGGACGGGTCGGTCACGATGCGGCCGTCGAGGAACTGCATTATGTAGAAGGGGCTGCCGACGACGCTGGAGTCTTCGCAGAGGCAGTAGACCTTTGGGACGGGGACGTCAGTGTTTTGGAGCGCGGAGAGGATCCGGTATTCGCGCTCGACTTTGTGGGCGGTTTTGCTGACGAGTTTGCCGGGAGGCTTCTTGCGCATGACGAACTTTGAGGAGGTGGAGTCGGTGATTTGGTAGGTTGGGTTGGATTGCCCGAAGCCGAACTGGGGAGGGGGTTACTTGATGTTCTGTATATTCGATTTTTGTTTGAAGTATAAAAGATACGGACCTGTTTTAAGGTTATGGGCGTTTTGATCTCAGGGACATTCTGGGTGATGTAGCGCTCAAAGGACGCAATGTCAATTGGCTGTCGCACAGGGCCCGCCATTGTCGATATGTTGGAATTTTACGACGACTAGTTTTGGGTATCAATTTGCTATCTGAATATATGTGTATTCAATAATTGTAAAAAGAAGAATTGAGCAGGGTAAAGCTTGAAAAGAAAAAAAGAGTTGTAGTTACAGATCGGGAATCCGACGGCAACATAGCGGTAGAGAGAGTAGTTGTTGGTTCACCAAAGCCGACAAGCCGAGGTGTGGGGAGCTCTGGAGCTGGGGAAACTTCTCCGCATCATTGGGCCAGAACGTAGCTTATTACTCGTAGAATTTGTTAGATCTACCTTGTAGTCCGATACGGGATTTATTAGCCGTGGAATTGTATGTACAAACAAGGTTAGAGTCATATCGGGGAAATACCAACATAACTCATGCATGCACTTAATTCCCTATTGTTTAATAGCATTGTAGAGGTTATACAGTATCTCACAGTTCCCACACCGTTCCTAAACTCGAGATGGTAATCCCATAGGAGGGAGGATCTCGAGTTTTCTTTCATCTAACGCTGCGCCAGTTTGCTCCGACCTTCCCTACTGCTTTTGACCATGTTTCTCTACTTGTCATGCACGATAATCCGGGCATCCGTCGCGGAACATTAGCCATTGCCTTTTCCAAAGTTCGCACAGAGTGAGATGTTCAAACCCTCGAAATGCATCAGTGCCTCAGGCAAATGTCTCAGGTAAATCAAATATATAAGCATGGAATTCTTGCCTAATTAGAGTGACCTGCATCCCCGTGTAACGGAAATCCACCGCAGCGGAACACCATTGCAACGACTTCTCATCTCCATAACACCGACAATGAGAATCTATCATATCGATGTTCGTCCATTGACATCTGAACCGGGGCGTACCTCCTGCTACACTCAACGTCTCACACACTAGTGTTTAGTAGCCGGCTTCCAGGGTGACTGATTCATCGGAAGCTGATTCATCGCGAGCCGCTTCAGCAGATAAGCAACATCACGTGGCCGTCCGTTAACCTCCAGCAACATCGTCAATATAGAGTCATGATAAACGATCATCACATCGCTAATTCTTTCATATCATTAATACCATCAGACCTTAAGAAACTCTTCAGGAGGATACTCCAACAATCATTAGAACCGTAACCCGATCCACAATGAAACACTCGAACTTTTCAATGAAATTGGAGTCGAAAGACATGCTCGACCCCTGATAGATCAACGATCCTACAAAGGTAAGGTATGCTCGCGGGGTTGCGACTTCCCATTCTCAGGCATGAGCCGCACCATCTCATGTCCAGTCTCGATGGATCCACTCAAACTCTTCTCCTGCACCTTCGGCACCTCGCGCATCCCATGTATCTCGAAAGCCAAGACCACCCTGCAAACAAGCGTCCCCGTAAACACCAGACCAATCATCCAGATGGCGCTCCACATCGGGACGAACAGGACCGTCGAGAGAACGATGATGCCGTAGATGACATCGGCCCAGATGCAGAGCTTGATCAACCAGTTGAGGAACTGATAGATATAGCCGTTCTGTAGTTTGATTTCCTCTCCGATGTCGTCCGCGAAGGCACAGGGGGTGAATTCTCTTCGGAGGAGGGAGAGGAACGTGGTTTTGCCCTGGGGGCGTGTCGAGGCGACATCTTCTGCCGAAGGAGGAGCGCGGCACCAAAACAGCTGCATAACACCTAGAGAGTGTATAGGGATACCAAGAAAGACCCAGAGTAGCGGTGAAAAGGCCTCTAGAGTACCGCCATACTGCCCCATCTGTGTGCTGATCAAGACAACGGCATAGAAGGTCAGGCGGTAGAACTGATACACCACGTTTCCAGCGGCAGCCATAACGATCAAGTATTGGAGGAGAGAAACTATAGCGCTAAACCACCGCCGTGGAGTCCGCAGCCACATGGGCCAGAAAGGCGGCGCGTCCTGGACGAGATGGTTTTCCATACCCGTAGTCTCGTAGTCCAGAGCTGGGCACGGCGACCCAATCGTTAGCAACATCGCGAGAAAGGGTCTCCGTGTCGCGAGGAGGGCGAGATCGCTGAATTTCGGGCCGACCAGTTGCAACACCCCAGGAAGCAGACCAAGCATGACGGCCACGGTGCCGAATTCAGACTTTGTGACCTCGTTGGCCTTGCCGAGTATACCTGATTGAGAGGCTGGGTCAGCGGAAAACTTTTAGTAGAATGGGTTCGCGTTGGTTGACGTACAGTCAATGAGCGCGGTTGCATTTGAATTCATCTTTTGCTTGTTGAGAGTTTGGTATGCCTCCCAGCATTCCTCCTCTTCCGTGATTATGTTCCATTTGTTAAAAGTGTCAAAATCTACGTGCCAGAGGTTATTGCTGTATGCGTACGCCGACGTCGCAAGTGCAAGCAACAGGAAAAGACGTTGTGTGGGAACGAGAGAAGCCATTTTAGCACTTGGGGTTGTGTCAAACGAATGTCTCTCTAGCTGCAAAAGAAGCTCTCGGAGTAAATATCGACAGAACTCATGAGCGTCTCCGACTCGCCTTTGTACACATGGTCTCAAACCCTGAACAACTCACCAGCCGCGTGGGGGCCGATTTCCAGCCCTGTGTTGCATAAAGTCGCGAGGTCCTTGGCAATACACAAAAATCAGTCCATGCTCGATCCTTCACGCGAGGCGCACCGCGTTTCTTTTGACAAGCTCTGGGGGCCAATATCTTGTGTGCTCTTGAGCTTCAGCATCTGGATAACCTACGCGAAAGCGAGCTGACCTAAGACTGCAATGTGAATACCTCGTGTTGACCATGGCGGCTTCGAGCTATAATTATTCGAGATCAAACATGTAGGTTGATCCTTCGGGTGGTGTATTGCGTGGCTGGTGGACAGGGGAGGGATAACCGGGGTGGTCACACATTCAATGCAGCAAGATAATTGAGATCCAAGATACGGCCGAGTACAGGCTTCGCTATATCTCTGATTCTCTATTGTCCAAAGGTTAACGATTGCTGAGACCCAAACATCCAAGCGCCCAAACTACTTACCACACAGTATATACAGAACATGCAAATGCGACCAAATCTACAACTCTCTGTCCCTCAGACAATCCCCCAAAACTCCTCCGGTTCAAGGTTCCATTTCTTACAAAGCTCCTTATATCTCTTCGTGTAGCCCGCCGCCCGCTCTCTAAACGCCTGTGCAGTTTTCATCTGGTCACGACCGACCTGATGCCTATGCGCCGAGTCAGGCCCATCAGCAACCCTAACGAACCGTGCGTAGGTCCACAGCTCCGGTAGCGGTGTATGTTGCGTCAGGCCCTGCCCACCATATATCTGCATGGCCTCGTCGATGACCTTCATCAGCGCGTTGGGTACCATGATCTTCGACTGTGCAATCGCATAGCGGCCCGCCTTATTGCCATGAAGATCCATAGTATCAGCCGCATTAAGCACAACAAGACGCATCGAGTCGATCGTCATCCGCATCTCAGCAATGCGCTCGATATTACTGTCAAACTCGCCGATGAACTTCCCCCTCGGCTTCTTATTCGGCTCGAAGCAGCGTACGAGCGCGAGTTCGTACGCCCGCTCTGCCTGCCCGACCAAACGCATGCAGTGATGGATCCGCCCGGGCCCTAGGCGCCCCTGTGCGATTTCGAACGCGCGGCCCGGCCCGAGAATGATGTTCTCGACGGGAACCCGCACGTCTTCGTAGATGTATTCGCCGTGACCTTCGGGCGCCCAGTCGTAGCCCATGATGGTGAGGTTGCGGACCTGTTTGAGGCCCTTGGTCTTCGCGGGTACGACTAGGGTCGTGTGGCGGCGGAATCGGTCTGGGTTGTTGGGGTCCGAACAGCCCATTAGGACGAAGAGTTGCATTTCTTCGTTGTACTGGCAATTGCCGTAGAGTTTGCGTCCGTTGATGATGACTTCTTTATCTGTGATCTCCATCTTGATGCCGATTTGTGTGGCGTCAGAAGAGGCGACGTCTGGCTCTGTCATGCTGTATGCTGAAGACATGTCGCCGTTCATCAATGGGTGGAGCCAGCGCTTTTTCTGCTCTGGAGTGCAGTACTTTGCGAGGAGTTCCATATTGCCTGTCTCGGGAGCATGGCAATTCATCGTCTAGAGAACATTAGCTTTCATTCGAGTTACTAAATTACTGAGGAGTATTACCTGTGCCGCCCAGTAGACTCGTCCCATAATCTCAGCACAGCAAGAATACTCGAGATTCGTCAAGCCAGGACTCTCTTCGAAATGGTTCGGTAGGAACAGATTGAAGAGGCCCTGCGCCTTTGCCTTTTGCCGAAGCTCATGGATGATAGCGGGCGTCTTCCATCGGTTGCCTTCCAATTGGGCTTTGTAAATGCGTTCGGCGGGTATGCACTCATTCTCAACCCAATCGTAGACCTGCTGGATCTTTTCAATGGCAATGGGCCGGAGCTTCGACTTCACCCAGGGCGGGATGCGGTCGAATGCAGGATTGTTGTCCATCTTGATGTTGGATGCCATGATGGATGGTCAAAAACGCTCTCTCCAATGTCGAAATCTCAAGTATTCTTTTACTTGAATTCACAAAAGATCGATGTAGCATACAACAATTAAAACCAGGAAAAAGTACGATAGCTATAGCTTTGCTAAACCGAAAACAGCCTTCCGGCTAGATAGCTTTCCTCGGTTTGGGGATTTGCGGGGGAGCATCTTTGGACCCTCGGGTGTCGTTACGCGCCGGCTCGTTGGAGCATTGCAATCCAGAACTCTTCCCTATTGGTCACTTTCCCAGACCACACCAACTATCCCCGAATTGGCTGTGGCTGGATATGTCATGTTTACCCATCGTTTCCCTTGATGATTCAAATGTGTTGGTGATTTACTAAGCTCTTTTATTTACTATATGTGCCCCAATTGTTGCGATCATGGGAAATCTGCAAACTCTTTCTCAAAAACAATTTGAACGTCGGAAATGGCAGCAGCACAAGGATTCGCAAAACCGTGGGTAGAGGTGTGTAGAACGTTAACTACTGAGGCAACATCAGATATTGACCCATCATCATAGTTCGAAGAGGAGCTAGGCGAACGCCCTCTCCTCCACGGACCAGTTCCCACCGCCATTGAAGAATTTGCTGCTCTAGGTGGAAGATTGTTCGCAAAATACACATTCCCTGCGCCAGACCCGGCCGTCAAGACGGAAGATCGAACGACGGAGGATGGATTGAAAGTGCGTGTGTACACGCCAGAAGGCTACTCGGGCGGGAAGCCAGTCGGCGTGTATTTCCATGGCGGTGGATGGGCGCTAGGAAACATCGACGGCGACGATGCGTTGTGTAGGCAGATTGCGAAAAGTGGCGACGTAGTGATTGTCTCGGTCGAATATGGTCTTGCGCCTCAGAATGTGCATCCAGGCCTCATCAACGATTGTTTCAAGGGCTTCGAATGGACGTTGAAGAATGCGAAAGCATTGGGTGGTGTTGAAGGCAAGATCTTTACTGCTGGCGTCTCGGCTGGAGGTCACTTGTCCATTGTTACGGCTCTGAGAGCTATCGATGAAGGTTATGGAGATGCCCTGGTTGGTGTGGTAGCTCAGATTCCAGTGACGGTCCATCCAAAGGCAGTTCCCGAGGACCTCAAATCGAAGTACACATCGTACGAGGAGCATGCTGAGAATAGCATTGCCACAAAAAGCGCTATGGAAGCCTTCTGGGGTACGTCTCTTATATCGCGTTACACAATGACTTCCAATGCTGACAGATACACAGAAGCATTTGGGGCTCCTCCAAATGATCCATATGCTTCGCCTCTATTGCATACTAAGATTGGAGAACTCAAGAAAGTTTATCTCACTATAGATGGACATGATACACTGAGAGACGATGCACTTCTATTCAGGGAGAAGCTTGATGAGTTGAAGTAAGTTTCACTACTTTTCCCAATGGTTCATTCTAATTTCAATAGGGTACCATACAAGTCGGACTTCTACGAAGGATATCCTCACTACCACTGGACCTGGCCATCCCACAAGTTGGATGAGCCAAGGAATGAATACAATGCCAATCTTGCAGCAGGAATCAAGTTTGTAACTTCATGACGTAGAGTGAACGAGGTATATAATGGGTAATTAGACTGGGCCATAGACAATTAGCTAATAATGAATACGCTGCATAATATCCAATAAAGACTCAGTCATGTCCATTGCTATATGCCGCTTTGAACGAGTCATCAGATTGTCTTCAAGGAACGATGATTCACGTTTCTGAGGTGCCTTGATCCTAATGATTCATGGTGTGTACTACCCCGCGTGCCCACACCTCCGGCCCCGCAGCACCCGTCCTGCCGTCTCCAACTGCAAGCGTTGTCATACCATTGGAATCTTCCATACAGTGCCTTGTCGGTGGTCCTTTTCCGCTCGGACATAGGTAGGAGTTTGTTTGCAGGTGTGTTCTTCATCACATTCTTGTGACGTGGATCCTATGAAAGGAACCTGCATTCATCGTCTCAATTGTTTATAACCTGTAAACACTCTACTATATGAAGTACGACGCATCTTACAGCTCTTATATATTAGTACTGTCCATCACAGTACTCACGTCTGCCCACCGTAAAGCATATTTCCATTAATAGTTGTCGTCACAATGAAAGCTGGCCAATGGGATCCGTTCGTCCATTGATCTCCCTACCATCCAAGACGTCCATGCTAAACATCGCAGGAAACAACAAAAGGTTGTCATAAATGACATTCCTAAACCATCAGCCGGAAAGGAACAGTTTCTTGTAAAGATCCAGTCCGCATCACTATGCCACTCCGATCTTTTGATGCTCGCTCGTCCCGATTACCCCGTGACTCTGGGTCACGAAGGTGTTGGCTACATTGAGGAGATCGACCCTGCAGCAGAGGGCAAGGGTTTCAAAGTCGGTGATGCAATTGGTTTTAATTATTTCATTGGATGCTGCTTTGAATGTGAGGGCTGCATGGTCCACAATTTGTAAATTGTTCTCCGCTCATTTCCATTGAATTTGGAGACTGACCCAGTGCAGGTACTGCGAGACCGGCGGCTCCAAACTACAAGGCTTCGCCGTCGACGGATTTTTCCAAGAATACGCAGTCGTCGACTGGCAGAACGCGGTGCAGCTCCCCGAAAGCCTCGACATGTCCAAAACCGCACCGCTATTCTGCGCAGGCATCACCGCATTCCACTCCGTCGACAGCTGCGAGCTCAAGGAGGGACAGTGGCTCGCTGTCATCGGCTGCGGCGGCCTCGGACAATACGCAATCCAGTACGCCAAAGCTATGGGAATCAAGACGATCGGCCTCGACATCAATGACTCCCAGCTTGAGATGGCGAAAAAGGTGGGAGCAGATGCTACGTTTAATACGATGACGAACAAGAACTACGTCGATGAGGTCAAGAAGTTGACGGGTAAGGGATGCCATGCGGCGGCTGTGTATAGTGCGGCGAATGCTGCCTATGCGGGCGCTCCGAACGTCCTCAGGATCGGAGGCTTGCTGATGGTTATTGGAATCGCACCGAAGGGATTGGACTTTGTCACGACGTTTGATCTTACTACTGGGCGGTACCGCATCAAGGCGGACAGCACTGGTATCCCGCAGCGTATGAAGAAGGCTGTAGATTTCACAGGGAAACACAAGTATGTTTTGGTCTCCGAAACCCCGCAAGGCTGGCCTGATGCTAACATAAGGAAAGGATTCAACCTGACGTCGAGTTCCGCAAGATCGAGGATCTTCCACAGATGGTCAAGGACATGGAAGACGGCAAGGCGGATAAGAGACAGGTTGTGATATTTTAAGTTTTATTGAGACATGCTCTACGGTAGGATCATTCCGCGATGGTAGCAAGCAGTCAGTAGTATAGCTCCGGTGTAATACCCCAATCGCTCAAATTATCGTGACATCCCTTCGAGCCCATGTGATGCCATGCATTAAACTTTCGAGACGACCGTGGCTAAGTTGTATCCGCAGAAAGCATTCATAACATCCATGTTTTTCAACGTCATAACAATTGCATAGTGCTCGGGTAAAGATCCCTCCGGCAAATAACCAAAGGAGTATTTACAAAAAGCGTATCACAAGGAATTACTTATAAATTTACACCAACAAAACAATCATGAAAGAATAGCCCTGACAAAGGTACAACTACAAAGACCAGGGTCTCGCACAACTTGAACAATCCAAATCTATCAACAGCGTCAGAAGAGAAAGACCATCTATCAATTTAAATTTACCAAGAACCGGTATCCATTTTGACAGGCGCGCTATATGATCTAAAAGTCAGAGGAAGATCACATATGCTTTTTCTAATTGCTAAGGATCTTGACCGCCATTTATGGCGAGCATAATGGTATAACCCTACTTCAACCCCCTTTGACCGCCACTGATTACTGACCATATCATCTCACTTTATAAACACTCACTCTTTATAAGTCCAGCTCCCTGGATGCCGATATGACTTTTTCAAAAAGTTCAACTGCTCAAATTAACATTCCAAGCCCCACGGTTTACCCTCACAGAAATGTGCAAAGGCGCGAGGTTTTCAAGCCGCTCGTTTCAAACGAGCTCGGCGTATATCTTCTATCGCTAGTCAAATCAGATACTGACCTGAGACCAGACCTCCACCGAAGTATCCGATGTTGAGTTGACCTCCATCTGCGAACATTTTGCTTCAGCCGGCCAAGACCGAACCTGCGCAATAGGTGCATAGCTAGGAAAGGAAGGAAGTACGCCAAGTTAACTATGAGAAAAGACCTAGAGATGTCTGATTACATTTGAATGGTTAACAGCGGCACTGTGTAGGACCTAGCCATTCCATGACGACAAGTTGGCCAATGGCGGTCAGTAATGATAATATCCCTCACTCGGTAACGAGAATCATTGTGTACTAAGATCAAATTGCTATTTTGTATAATAGCTCTCAAGAGAGACAGTTGTATTGGAAAATTGATGACTATTCATGCTGCCGTTGTTTCGTACTACACATGAGTACCCACTGACAACCTGTACGGATGAAGTACATAGTCGCCAGAGCGTATAGTGCCACTCGCCATCGCCCAGTGGCTGATAGTCTCAACAAAGCGAAATGAATGTTGAAAATATTGCAGCTCCTGAAACTGATGGTGGGATCCTGTACAAGGCAATCTTTTCGCCTTTAGCTATCAAAGGTGTATGATGAAATGCTTGCAGATAAGAAGGTATTTCCATTGTAATATCCCCCAATACGTGCCGAGAACCACGCCGTAGAGAGAAGAATTTACTATTTTGCATCTTAAGACTTCCTCATTTAAGAAATTTAATAGCCTTCAAGCATATCGCCGTCATCTATAGATTAGTAGTAGATTGTTTAGATACCTTTTCAAGAATAGCTTTCTGCTATTGAAACCAAAAATGACAGTCTTGCTGTCGCTTCCCTTCCTAAGAAACGAGAGGATTTCTTTTATAGCGAAAACGCTTCTATCAGCTATAGCAGCATAATGAGGTAATTTTCGGTGCTACCATAGATATCTACTTGGTCCTTGGAGGCTCTACCTCCCTAACCATTCGTCTACCTTCAAGTGATACATGCTGCTTATTGTGACCACGTTAGCGTTCAATAGGCTGCTCAAGTTACCCCTACTCTGCGCGGGGAATTAGCTCACCGGTAGCTTTCCGGTCGATAGTTGACCGGTAGCTTTCCGGTCGATAGTTGACCGGTAGCTGACCGATTGCTGCACCGTAGCTCACTTTACCGGTCAGCTACAAAGGAAGCGCCAATGCTATGCGCATTCGCTTGTGCTCCAATCACGTTTATACTTATCCTCCGCGAGCGCGATGCAATAGATTGAGGGACATTAAAACCTATCCGATAATTCGGATCGATGCACAATGGGGAAACATGAGAAGCGTCCACGGATATGATTTGCCTACGGATCACAAGAGATGCGTTATAGTGACTTGCCGATGGCTCACCGGTGTGCAGCAGCGAAACTTAATGACATCGTAGTAGAAGAACATATAAGCATGTCCAATCCAACACTAAGCACGAAAGCACTCGTTCATCTAGCTTCTAACTGCACTTTTCGATCCTTTTCAGGAACAACTAGTAATCGCAGTTTGCGCCATGGCAGAACCAGGTATGCCCATTCTGGATCAGTCCCCCGACGACGCTAATCCATTAGGATCTTCTCATCAAACTAGCACACTGAATAGTACTCAAGACGGACCAAGTACCACCTCGTCGGTACATCAGGGCCCCGAATTGTCGGCGAATTTGGATAACATGCCTGCCAGTATCTCAACATCGTATGCTAGATTACTACAGGAGAGGGCAGAACAACGCCGAGTAGATTGGTTGCCCGATAACAGTGAAATCGACGTTGACTTTCTGATTCAATCTCAGAGCCAATCAGGGGAGTTGGAAACAATTCACTGTGACTCGGAAAGCGCGGTTGAAAAAGCTTTAGAGGTACTCTGTCAAACCAGAGCACGAAGCATGGGAAAGCTAAAATATGTGCAATAGACAATCCGTTCTGATGAGAGCCTCGTTCTGATGTAAGCCACATTCCCCATATTGCCCCTTGCTCCCAAGGCTAAGTCAATAAGAGTAATAAACGCTCGAACCGCGGAGTCGAATTCCTCAGGCAATGGTGATAACGTAAATTTCCTCTGAACTATCTCCGATATAGTGTCTGACGTTGTTCTAGAGTGCCTGTTGCTCACGTCGCACCTTCCAATCAATATCCAGGAAGTTCGGGCTTCTTCCAACATTTCTCGTACCCATGGTGGGACACCCCGGAGTCCATTTCGAGTACATGTCCAATTCCACAGCAACAGAATCGCGCCGTTGCGATTTAGGTCAGTACCAACGCCCTTATATTACATCTAGACGATATTAAGAGCTTCAGACTTTCACTACGCATTACCACTACCGTGGCTATTTCCAGACTACCTTGACGGAGTACCCGCTATGCACACTCAAGTATTTAGTATAAGAAACTATACTAGGATTGATTCAAAGGGAACCCCGACATTTACAATGTTCATCAATATTCCAAAATCAATTAGTGAAGGGGTCAGGCAAAAGTGGCAAGAAATTGTTCAGCATCGCCCAAAATATTTTATGCATCCACTATATGATCATCATGAGATTTTTCAACAGAGCCTACACAAATTACGCCACGACCTGGTAAATCTTCAATTAGCACAATCATTCCTTGTAAGCTGTAATTGCTCACACTCAAAACTTAAGCTTACTAGAGATAGGCGGAGCAAAGACTCGAGATGCACATTATGAGCACAGAGACGAATATAGATGAGACGATGCGAGATTCACATTCCTTTACTAAATTGATCATACAATATCAGTTTTCTTTGGAAGTAGTGCAGAAAACAGTTCTTAACCTTCACGAAGAATTGGAAAGCTTCAAGCATCATCTTCAAGGCGACCCGTCATCGAATGAGACTGAAGAATACATGCGAGGTAGGATCGCTTATCCCTTGTCGGAGATTTGGAGTCGCAATATAACGAGACAATTTTGCATTGTTCAAAGTAAACTGAAGGATATAGCTGAGGTCCAAGGTGTAACACAAGCTTCTGTAAGGCCAATTATTTACCAGCGTACGCTAATTTTAATAATATAATAGCAGGCTAACACTACTCAGGTTTTATCATACATAGCTCAACGAGACAGTGGTGCTCTAGCACATAATACGGAACAGATGGCGCACATGGCGAAGGTCACGGAAGTATCAGGCCAGGAAATACATGCCATGACGAGAAGAATGGAGAACGATGCTCGACAAATGAAGTTTCTAGCTGAAATCACGGCATTTTTTCTACCCCTGACAGCACTTGCCGTAAGTTTCATCTAATGGTTATGTTATATCTGCTATACTTGGCTTGCTAATCATGTCTGGTATAACAGACCTTTTTTAGTATGGATTTTGTTTCGATTTCGGAAATTAGTAAGGATGGGCCGTTCCCAACACTCGAGAATGTGAAGTTCATATGGATATACTTCCTCGCTTTGATTGTTATGTCGATAGCCGTGTTTGGCTGGTGGTACTACAAACGGATGTCCGAAGCAAATAAGAGTCCAACAGCGGCGATAACCGAGGGATCCATTGAAGATCAAGCCGAGAGCACAATAGGGTTGCAGCCTCTTCACAACCCGGCCAATGAAACAGCGAATCGCAGACAATACAACGGAAAAGTGCTAAGACAGGCATTGGATGAGTTCAAGAATCTTGGTCGAAGTCCAGAAGTCAGTGATGAAGAACTTTCAAGGGCCTTCAAAAAAATCAGGATTGCCAAAACGGCTTTGGAAACAGGGTATGATTTTGACGAACTTTGGAAATCAGTACAGGAAGCCGACGAACAGTTGGGTCTGTCTCACGGCGAAGCTTGATACAAACTTATTGTAACAGCTAGTGAGCAATATACATGAGCGCGCTTGTAACCTGCTGTGTATCTGCTCGCAGGTCAAGGTACGCACGCCTGACTGGCACCTCGTGTTCAGATTTCAACACCTAAAAAAGGAGTGCCTGATAGGACATGTGACAAAGAGACATGCGCCCTAGTTACTAGAAAAGGAATAGCTTGAGTTAGTTACTAGAAATAATGATAGCACATAGGTTCTACGGCGTGGAAAGAATTCCCTCTACTTTTAACAAAAGTACCTACTATTCTTCTCGTTACACAGTGGTCCTCGCAGCATAGTGGGGGATATTGATACGTCTGCAATCTCTGTACGTCCATGGTAGACCTGCTTCTTGGAAGAGCTTGTTCATATCATTGGGTCTAGTCATTGAGCTGAAGGTGCCCATGAGAACGAGGGTACCGCCACCGCGAACATAGTCAAGAAGCTTCACAAAGACAGCACGATGCTGTGCGATGGCACCGTCGGTAACTAGAACCGCCTGCAGAGGCTGATGTTCTAATCGTTGTAGTGCTGAAGCGGGGTTTGTGGCATGATGAAGAGTGGCTAGGGCTTTCAGCTTCCCCACAGATGCTTGGTAGATTTGATCAAACGGGAAATCGGTATCAAGTGATACTAGCAGGACATGTGGCTTATCGGAAGCTGTCGTTGACATCGTGTGAAGCTGTCGAGAACGCTGAAATGAATGTTTTGGGGGAATGCAAGTCGAAGAGCAGGTGGGGGAGGGCCTGCAAATATGAATGTTGTTTGTGCCTGTGCACACAGAAATCTGGTTCAGATGTGGTACACTAGTCCCAATCTGGGAATTATTCCATTCACTCATATTGAGGAGAGTACCTACTTAGGCAACAAACTTAGCTTCCGTTTCTTTCCCCACACTACACTCTCACACAAAACCCAACTCCAGACCATACCGCCAGCCCAGCCAACAGCCGCAAATCCACTGTGAGACACGCGCTCATAACTGCCCCATTCAAGCAAACACCTCAATTCAGAGTACAATTACAATGGCCAAACCAAAAAGAAGGACTAAAATGGATGCCAGCTCTCTTGTTCTCGCTGCCGAGGGCGACGTGATATTGGTCGTGGGTGAGAAACGACTTCACATACATGCGGACTCCCTCTTCCTTAAGAGGCATTCGACGGTCTTTACAGCTCTATTTGGCCCAAACTTTCGCGAAGGTCAAGATTTGAATACCTCATCTCCAAAAGAGATCACTCTGCTGGACGATGACCCGTATGCCATGACGGCGGTCTGTGCAACAATGTACCACGATTTCGATCACATTCCGCGAAGCCCAACAATAGACCAGGTTCTCAGCATAATCAGACTCGCGGATAAATACGATTGTCTCGATGTCCTTACCCTACCGTCCCAGGTCTATGGCTGGCTCAAATCCGATCATTTGACTCTTGACAAAGACCTAGTAAATACTCTCGCCGTGTCGTATTTGGTCAGAGATCAGGAAGCGTTTAAAAATGCGTCGGAAGCCTTAGTCTCGAACTACAATGGATCATTTGCAGATCTAGCTGATGATATAATTTGTGATGTTCTGCCTTGGAAAATATTCTGTAAGTAGACCTCCAAATGATTACCTTCGTATCTTTTTAAAGATGTGCTAACTGGTAATGAACGTAGGCAGATTGGAGGAGCTTCGGACCCGTATACGAATACTCGCAACCAGTATCGCTTTACCGGTCAAACCCCAGGGGCCCTATTCATACACACTCCATTCCGGATGCTCTCAACTCACTGAAGAGATTACACAAGATTTCACTGACGGTCTGTTAAATGTGGTGCGCAAGAGAGGAGAGGAGAGGAATCGCGAGCGCTCGTATACGACACTTCCGCATCCGCCAGCAACTCCGCCGTCAGCAATTGGGCCTTTGCTTGAGAAATTACAGAGACTAGCGAAAACCTGTAATGAATGCAAGAAAGCTGTGGAAGCTTCCCAGCTAGACACATTTTGCCTCAGTTTAGCAGGCAACAATCTCAGACAGGTTGCTATGTTACCCGAATGGTATTGGGGTTTGGATTTGACCGATTGAAGAGCATGGAGAATGATAGTCTGTACAGTCTACATACCGGTGGACCAAACCATAGATACGATCGCATCTGGCCAACAGAAATCCGTGGAACGGAGGGATGGGAGAGGATCAGGGCATATCAAAGCCTCAAATGAAACAATTTCTGAAGTTCACGAGAGTAAGGGGACGGGTCAACGAATAGGCAGGGAAAGTACGGGAACAGGGCGGAAATGCGGAGCGACACGGTATTGGGTGCGGCAGTCTGCTGCTTAGGCTCTCATTTGTATACAGAAAAAGAAAGTATCTAAAAAATGAGAGTAAAACTTCCCTCCAATAGAGTTAAGAAAAACACAGTAATATCTTTAGTAGATGTATGTTTGGTTTATGTTAAACACCTATTACTCTCCCGCAGAAGCTAGGAATTTACTGCTATGCTCTTGGCCAATTGTTCCCCCTTCCCTGCAGCACTCTCATATCGAGTAGATGATTGGTGTCCAACACTGTTGGATCTATGTCTACCAATTTTCCTTGGCAGCTGACAACAAGAACAAATCCTATACAAAAGCACTTCTGTAAAAGTCCTTTATCATACCACTTTAAAAGATTATACCCTACCTCTAAGTTTTCTAACCTTATTAACCCTTTCCTAAGTGTTTTGTAAGACTTGCTCTTATCGTTGGTTACTGAGGAAAGATTGGTGGACACTGATCCCCAAGTGATGAACACCGATCATCTACCTATCATCTACCCTCTCATCAGCCTCATCAGCCTCTTCAGCATCATGGGTAAGCGAGAGTTGCGGGGCAGTGCAGTGCATACCCCAAGCACATTAAAGTCAACATTGCCCGACTCTGTTCTTCGCACCGACATACAGCAAGCTTTTTTATGTCCCGTCTGATTTGAAATTAGACATGGCGGCTGGGTCCCAATCACTGTTCATATTGTGTGACGGGACAGGGCAAGACGGCATCCAGAAACACAAAAGTACCCATGTCACACGGTTCAAAGAGTGTCTGAAGAAGCAGAGGAGAAGTGGTCAAAGACAGAACCCCCGCTATATTGAAGGGATTGGTACGAACGGTTGGGGCAAGGGTAGTGTTGATCGCCTCACAGGTGGAAGTATGACAGAGCAAAGAACCCTGTTGACCGTTGCGACCGCTGATTCGTTCTCCAGGCATCCATGAGAGTATTCTGAGAGCATATGATGATCTTTGTACAAAATATAGACCGGGCGATGAAATACACTTGGTTGGATTCTCTAGAGGTGCCATGGTCGTCAGGAGTCTGGCTTGTTTCATCTGCGAATTCGGGATTCTGCGCATTCCCAATTCATCGATCCAGCTCCAAGCATATGAATATTGGCTCAATCGGAAGCACACAAAACTGAATGATTTGGCCGCCATATTGGATTACGACCTGTTCCGAGATGTTCCAATCGAAACATGCGCGGTATGGGACACGGTATCGTCCTTGCGGTTCACCTCGAGCTTGCAGTTCGTAGAAGAGCGTGTACCCAGGAACCTTCGGTGCGGATTCCAAGCGCTTGCGCTTCATGAGTGCCGAACGGAGTTCATGCCTGTACTTTGGAATGCTTCGACGAGCACACGCACGATCATCAAGCAGACATGGTTTATGGGTGATCACTCCGACATTGGAGGCGGCCACTCCGATGACTCGGGGCTTGCAAATTTCTCTCTGTTATGGATGCTTTCTCAATTTGGCGAAACCACGAACGTAGAATTCGATGAGCAAGTGGTCTTGAAACTCATGACGCCGGGTTTCTATTACAAGGACTCTTTCTCTGTGGATTCGTGCTATACCGAGGGTAAGTAATTCGCCCAGCCGACGAACATACATCTCAATAACATCTAGGAGCACTACATGGAGATGATTCCCACAAACCGCTCTGGCAGAAGCCTAAGGCACGCATGGAACTATTCAACTCGGAGAAAAGGGTTCTGTTGTGGCAGAACAGACCCCAGCGTCCTAGGAATCGTGCGCAAATCCCGGCAAGAATAGAGGCCAATACTATATCGGCGTTCACTGAATATAACGTTCCCTTAGCTACGGTTGGAGAGTCCATCAACACAGCAACAGCGAGTGCCAAGGCCAACACGACAATTCATTTCACAGCAGCATTGATGATCCAGAAATTGTCTTACAAACCCGGCTTGCTTGAGAACATGGAGTTGAGGGCCGTGGAGAAACCTGGAGCCGGTTGTTGCCGCGCGTGGATAGATCCCGAACTTCGGCGTCCTTTTGGCATATGGGAAGATCGTAGCACAAAATGGGAAGATTGGATGTTCCGTCAATGGATCAAACGGGAGGAAAAGTGCTATGGCCCCGAAGAGAGCGACCTTGGGTTGTCGCTGCTCAGCTTGATGCCACCCAAAGAGCAGGACCTGTTTCTAAGCACCCAGTCTCCAATCCGGAGCACGCTCTCAGGTACATTTGACGCTCTCTATCGCATGCGCATCGCCCCATACCAGAAGGAAGAAGCAGAAATCAAAAGATTCACGGCAACTCTATACCGTTTTCGGAACTCCAACAACACGAGGTCAACGCGTGGGCAGGTTCGTCAAACATCTAGTTGCGATGGCCTGGACACTGGTAGGAAACCTTCGGTCGATTCGAACGTTTACGATGCAGATGCTACTGACGATTGGAGAAAGCACTCGATTTCTTCGCGTAATCTTTCCACGTCCAGCGGTGTTACTCATGAGCTGCAGCCATCCAGATTTGAAGGACAGCCGCCAATCCCGAGAAGAACCAAACGAAGCCTCGGTCTCTACACTCGTGATCCTCTTCCGTCACGTGTCCGGAACAGGTATACCATGTACAGTCGTCAAGCTGCAAATAATTCCTTCAATCATACCCCTAAATATGCCTCTAAATATTCATCTTCAGAAGAAGAATCAGAGGTAGGCACCAACATGCATGATCAAAGTAGAACGAGATACCGCTATCGCGGAGATTACTGAAAAGTGGATCCTGGGGTGCACGTGTGCTGTAGTTGCTGAGGTTGTCGGGATCGACGCAGTAGGGAAAGCGGAGGATGACTTGAAGATGTCCCTTGTTGCAGTCTATGGTTGGAAACTTAGGGGTTTCACTTCAACGTATTTCTGCTCTCTGTCATTACCCAGCTACGAGGAAAGTATTCTGAATTTTCTCGTACAGTCTGTGTTACTCAGATTCTTTCTATATACGATATTTCCGATGAGCAGCCAATTGATCGGCCTTCTTATCGATTTGCTTAATTTACCCATGCTTTGGAGTTCCATCCTTTCGTTATCCGGGCTTCCAGTGAAGTCTTTGTATTCAGGTTGGCATTTTCGCAGACGATAAACGAATCACTACTTTAACACCGAAGTGGAACATGTTGAATCTAGTTGAAAGAAGCATTTAGGCATTGATGTTTCTTTCCTTTTCAGAAAAGAGCATGCTCAAGATCGGAAGGACTGGCTCCACTTAAGATCTGTTACTTGACAACAGTGTTGATGGAGGATGCTATCAAGAATAACCTTAAAAAGCGAGCACACCTAGCAGACCAATGCTAATTTGATAGGTAGTCCATGTGGTGGTGAGTTTGTAAATACATTGCTTATCGTGGGGCTCTTTTAAATGCGCGTTGGCATGTGTTGCACTCGGGACAATCTCGTATGGATGGAGAACCGTTTCTGTCAATACATTGGCGCAGTCACGGCTCTTGTTTTAGCTTGTGGAGTGCCATAGTCTCCAGTACTAGGAATGTGCTAGTATCGATGTTGAGGATTACCAGAACGCTGCGCCCGATGACCTCACTTCATGTAACCTTCAAGCGGCCAGATTCACTCTGTGGTGTATGGTATCCCGATCTTCATTCCGTGGCGGATCTCAGAAGTCACATGTATTCGCAGCGTGCTTCGTTACGGCTAAGAATGTACGCCGGGTAGAGTGAGGGAAACGAAGTAGGGTGCATTTCCCTCGACCACGTCGGTGCCATGGCATAACCTGCCGGAAACCCATCAATGGGATATCTCAGAAGCTACTCAATCCAGCGCGACTGCTCAACCTGGTAGCAGAGCTGCCAGATGTCTTGCGCGAACATGGACGCTAAGTCCAGAGGGTCCTTGTTTGACTGATCGCAAGGGTCATGTTCCCTCCTGCCCGAAGGATTGTTGGCTATGAGTTCGACGACAAATAGCAGCACACAACATTGGGCTAACGTCGGTTTGTCACAGCCCGAGTATGCTCACATAGCCGAGTCGAACCTGACGCAGCCTACACTTCTCTTGTTGTAAATTATAGCTTGTGTTTCAAGCAACCAGACATCTTGGTCTGATCGGCGAGCCAGGAATATCACATGCCTCCTCTTGTCACATTTGGCGCGCTGGAAGTAACGTTCAGAGTGGGTTGAGTTGTAATTACTGGATCGCTTTTGTGCGGTCTCCGTATCGTGTATCTAGATCTCGAAGGAACGGATACGGAATGGTTGAGTTCGAGGAACGTAGATCCCGAAGGAACGGATACGCAAGGGTTGAGTTCGAGTAACGTATCGGAGATGGAACAATCCCGGGTCGGGGACTGCATGATGAAGAGTAGTTGATTTAGGACGTAGAACTCGAGTTTCAGTTTGATACTGTAGACAACGGTCTTATAAGTCGTCTGGATGTCGAAATTGTTGGTAAATTCGGTAACGAGGAGAGTACCATCCATTGCGATGACAAGGAGGTTGACAATGATCAAGTGCTGAATAATCTTCTTCTCCCGTGGTCCTTTAAATTTCAGGATGGGTTCCAGAGTCCGTTTTGCGCCCCAGATATAGAGGCTAGCAATTATCCACTCCTGAACACAGAAGCCCGTGAGCTGAACCTTTTCGTAAACGTTGAAGACGTGGACAACGGAGTCGATGGGACGTATATTGATGGCGAGGTATAGTCCTGAAACCGGGAGATGTAGGACGACGAAGTTGAAGGCAATCATGCCCAGCACCCAACGAATAGTTTTGGGATCGCAAACCAGATGCAGTCGCGAATAGAGGACGACAGCCTGGCCCGTCACCATCATCCACCAACCTAGAACAACAAAAACACACATGAGTACGTTCGGCGCCAGCCGGAAGTTGCGCAACAGGACGGCGGTTGCGTGGATGGGAATGCCAATGCATGCGACGAGCATGCTCCAGAAATACAGCCCTTTGCGGGTCCTGAAACGGTGAAATATAGAGAATAAAGTCTCTATCGAGCTGTAGATGGATATGCCGAAGAAGGCGGCGATTGTCATCGACTTCGCCAGCGGGAGGTCCACGGGTCCCGTCTCGCCGGCCATGATGATGTTCAGCACGAGCGCAAGCAATCGGGGGGTAACAACTCAGTGAGCAAACCGAGAAGCAAAAGTGATCAAATTTGAGCAGATGGCTTCAACTTGAACATGATGCCCAGAGAAGCGTGTGGATCAAGTTCTGCTTAGCTCGGACGGATGTGTTTCCCCGCTGCGAATAATTACGCTATTGTACCAAGTTGCGGATCATGGCCCGCTAATCAGCTGGCAAGACTATCATTCAGCTTCCTCGTATGTCGTACGCGGGAGCGCGTAGGCCTTTTTAGGGGCGTACGGTAGTTCTTTCAAGTAAGATCCCGCTGGTTGCGGCGATTCATCGAACCCAACGAAAAGGGGAGAGGGTTCGAGACCTCCAGGCTTTGGGTGGGCACGGATGGGAGTTGAGAGGGACAGACTGTCTTAGTGCGTGCGCCACCCACCACACATGGAATTGTACCTCTAAGAACTCGCATGTGTATAATTATGCGGTCATGGCATTCCTTGGGCAAATGCGCCATCAAGCCACATTTGTTGGGCCACCAAGTCAAATAGCGTGCAACCTGGGGAACGCTGGAAGGTATCCCGACACTCTCATCTTTTGCACGCACTCAATACGCGCATCGACATGTTACATAGCGCTCGATACCACAGTCCTGTCCGTAAGATATCTTCACCTCCTCGCAATCACCATTGGAATCAGATCATAAGTGGCCTGATTACTTCTGAGATTGTAGGTAGTATTCCATCACCCTCCAACCTACGGATAATTCTTGATCGGTCGTTGCGCCAGCCACTTTGGTCTAGTTTTGGGCTCTCGCTTCACAGATGAATAACATGTGATCTGGGCAAATTAGCTGCTAAATAAAAGAGAGAGAAAGGGATTTCTTCTTCTTGTGATTGGTTCATATCATTGAAAATGCCTTTCGAATTGCGAAGGACAATCTATGGGAATTATATTCCAGATATGAGGTGACTTTCTACACTGACTTCCACACAGCGTTGCGCAGTGCTGGTACGGCTACTATCAGACACCAACGGCGATCGTCATTCTATGTTGCACAGAATCGTTACACGGACTCGAGAGGAGATGTGCTTCCAAGAAGTGACTTACCAGTTCAGATGAAATTGACAGCACCAACGATAGCAGACCAAGGAATGGGCACAAGCCTGCGAATATCGGAGAGTATGAAGACACCACCGAAGGCGATGGCAACAAAGACTGCGCTGTAGTACCGTGGCTGATTAGGGCGTTGAAAGCGGTTGAAACACCTAGTATGGTTGATCCAGCGGTCATCACCTACACTGATGCCCATATCTTAGCAGGTGAATCACCCATACGCAGGGTAGGACAAGAGACACTTTTAACTTTGCCTACAGACAAGCGCATTCTTCATGTGCTTCAGGTTGGTAGAGGGGGGATTCTTCTTGTCCATCGTCGAAGTTGTCTTTGTACCTGTGAGAGTCCTGAAGGGTCTAAGATGGAATTGAAAGATAAATAGAACCAAGAGTGTGAAGACGATCTTGTAAGATGAGATGCGGTCTTGTATGAAGTCCCAAAGGTCTCAAATCAGTAAACTGTGATAGCAATAAACGCCGCCATCATAGGGGAATACGCTATAGCGCACGGTGAGGGGAGATACCTGCTGTAAGAATGATTACATTGCCGCGTAAAGATGCCTTTATAGTAGGGAGCACCGCAGGCACGACCCGCAATCGACGGAATGGTAGGATTGGTGTACTTGTAACTTTACCTAGTTGTGATTCACGTCTACCTAGGTACCTAGTTCTTATATACACACACATATGTATAGCCTTGCGAACTTATTGAGAGGTTGGAAAGTTCGCTATAGATCTTAATACAATTCCGGTCTAGCCCAGATCGCCCGAGTACCCATTGATGTGAAATCGGGATCTCCTATAGCCCTTTCCACAATTAACTGATTATAAAAAACCACTTGGATAAGTTAATTAGCTACAACGTTTGATGTACACCCCTTTTTAGTTGTTGTTGTTGGCCTGATAGCGGTAACTCGACCCGGGATTTAGATTTTGGAAGCTATGCAATTCGACGCTGGGTAGTTGCTCATCGATTATTAACCCAAAGAGGGAATGTTGAGGCACGTTTTCGGCCTCAGGTAGCGGACAGGACCTTACTTGGTTCTTCTCGGCAAATAAATAGCAAGTCCCAGCTTACAAGATACAGGCTAGGATCTTCTATCTCGATTACGCTAAGTCAATCGGTAGGGAGAAGGCCCGTGGCTACCTACTGCGGGATCATGATGTGCGATGTTGTAGGGATGCCTTCTTCCTAGCACCAGACTTTTTGGTTTTGTCTTTGGGTGGCCAACCGGTTCGCAGAGGCTTTTGAGGAAGAACCGAAAGCAGAGCAGGCAGTGAGGAGCCTTCTCCTGCTGCGCGTTCTGCATTTTTGTATATCTTGCATGCAGAAGTCGGTGTACAACCGATTGCAGTTGATATTTCTGGAAAGGTGAGGCCTAATATCTTTCTCAAGGCACAAATGGCTCCTTTTTCAGAAGCAGTAAGGTCTCTGGCACCCTTCGTGCGTCCAGGGTGTGATTGATAATGGGACATTGTTGGAGGAGCCATTGCTGGAGGAACTATTGCCGGATGGGTCATCGTTTAATAGCAGTGAATAGATGGGCAGTTGGTAGATTGCTGGTGGTAGATTCTCGTGCCTGTATGAGGGGCGGGTTTGTTTATAATTGCAGGAGGGGTCGAGCGAGCGCGAAAATCACACGTCATTTGATCTTCATCTGTTGAAACCATTAAGCATAGACCATTAAGCATAGACAAACTACGCTTGGCACATGAAACCGTGAACACATTCTCTGATGCGTCGAACCAGCTATCACTGATAAAGTATTCCGCCGCTATGGAAATAACAAACCTGTAGTACATTTCACTTCCTGCATGTATAGTTACTCCAGTTTTGAATGGTCGATCATTGATGAAAACGTTAGCTAGTTCTTCAGTCTCGTGTAGTAATCAATTAAGATCTTGCTTGCGGTATTTGTGGTCTATAAATCCCATGTCCAGTTTTCCATGCCAGCATTTGGTTTAGTTATGAATTCGGTCGTGCGAATTTAGTTCGTAGTGGAAGGCTCGTGGCTCCCATATACGGGCAATGCACGACCTCCAGCTACTACATAATTGATCGAGTTCTGCTCGCTAGTACTTAAGCACCTTTGATACCTATGATGGCATTTCGCAATTGAAGACACATGAACTCTTTTCGGGACGTTTCATGGGAATAAGTGAGTGTGGATTAAGTAGAGAATGGATGGTTTACAGCTCTGTAGTGTGAATCATACATAATTCACTCTCTTTTATCGGCCTATATAAACCCCAATAATTGTAAACACTTCCATGAGAACCACGACCCGGACTTTAGGCTCGATCGACCAGGTGGCCCACAGGGTAGCTTGGTCGGTTGGGAATCCTGGGCTAGGCCGTGGTTTCTCTGTTCGTAGGCTGTAGGCTGTTGTGTAGGCTGTTGAGTAGACCCAGATTCGAGTCTGCTCTTCAGAAATTTCTTTTCTGCATTTTTTTTGCGACTGTGTAAAAGATGGGATGGTTTTAGCGTCGTCTGATCTTCTGGGAAGAATATGGATGAATGGGTACGCAGATGGATGGGTACGCAGATGGATGGATGACCTAAGAACTAAAAGGATTGTTCTGTATTGGACTATGTCTGCCGATTGACTCTACCGAGTGACTCTACGCAGCTCTTTGGAAAGTACCATCATGCATCCATATTTGTAGGCTGTCTTATTACATAAGAAATCTGAGTTTTGGCTGAACATGATTGTTTTGGACCCCTTGGTCCCTTCGCCAATACCAATCATTCACTGATCAGCTCTGTTCAACCCCGCAATGCGCAATGCGTCACCGCGGAGCGGCTCACAATTTCCGTATATCCCGTCTTAGTATAAGATGAATGAGAATGAACTTCCAGGATAAATATTGCCCACTTAGATTTCTTAAAGAGGGTTCTGTTATCCATTGGTGTTATGCATAATTCGTTGCGCTTATCAGAATCTTTCATTATGGTTCACCAGAAGATAGATCATCAGTTTTCCGATTCTCGATTCGAGTGGGATTCAAAAGAGAACCTTCAACGTGAGTGCTCTATGAACTTTACCAATATTCATAGTTACTAACGGAAGAAGCATGCATCAAGCTTTCGTTCTTCTTCAAGAAGCTACCCAACGTTGACGATGACCATTTCCAAATGCATTACAACCACGTCCATGCGGACCTTACTGTAGCCTCAAAACAGTTTGATGTTGTCAAGATACAGAGATATGTTCAGGTAAGAATCATCTCTCTAGTGACCTTGTTCACCACGAGATCCCCGCTTATAATGCAGACATATCAAACACCCGAGATGAAAGAAAAGATCAAGAGTCTTGGAATGGAGGTATTAGACTACGATGCATGTTCTCAAATCTGGGTCAAAGATTGGGATGCATGGGAGAGGTTTAGTACAAGCCCAGAATATGCTGCTGGTAAGTTATGATTTGATCTGGACACTGAAAAGACACGCGCCTCTCCTGAGACGGAACCCAACCAACAAAACCTAACGAGAACTGCAGCTTTGCTACCTGATGCTGACCACTTCATGGATTACAAGACAAGTGGAATTAAATGTTTTGCTGGGTAAGTTACCAAGAAAAGAGATTCGCGGGAGATGCTGAAGTACAGCGACAGACACGATATGATTGCATTTGGGAAAGCAATCCCGGATTGCGATGTGAAAGACGGGATTACGCGGGGTAACAAGAGCCTGGCTCGTGATTCAGGAAACTTCTCAACTTGATAGCAACTATCAAGTCATGTATACAGAATTGATCGGATATTGTTGCCGAGAGGGCTGGATTGTGTGCTTCAAAATGGAAGGTGTCCAATCACAAGATCCGATACTTGATAAGGACGACTATGTCAAACGTCTTGATTTACTGGTTTGAGATTGTGGCGTTGACTGATAGTTGTATGGTCTAGTTCCCGGATGTTGAATTTCCTAGTGATCTACATATCACTAGGCGCGATGAATCAGTGCACTTTCACCCGCAGTTCGGCACCCGGCAGACGTACCCCGGACCCCACAATCCGGGGATAAGCTTCGTGCAAGCCAACAAAAACGCTATCTAAATCTAGAATCTGGGGTAGGCATTTGTTTGTAGAGTGCTTTGAGACTAGTTGCGGATGGTCGATTCGTGTAGTGATGGTCAAAGGAATAGAGGAAAACTTTGCCCGGTGCATGCACGTACGTGTCACTATATACTTGATCAAGCTCCCATTTGCTTCGAACATCTCATCACTGCCTATTCCGCGATAATGGCCGTCAAAGAGGTAATCCAAGACGGCACAATGCGCTCCGATTCTATCGAGAAGCAAGACATCGAGCGCATTGAGCGCGTGCCTGATTCCTCCCCTGACGCAACTGAAGTGCTCGAGAATGCAGAGGGTGAGACTGCGAAAGTCACAATGAAAACCTGGAGTGTGATATTTGTCAGTATATATATCTGCCGGGTGTTTTTACTCCCCTCTGACAGATTTTGAAAGGTCTTGTCCGCTACATTTGGTTTATCATTTTGGCCAGTCCCAACCACAGCGGCTCTCCAAACCAAACTTTCCATAGCGTTCAACGACCCCGTCAGTGCATTTTGGTACATACCGGCTTATACCTCAAGCAACGCAATTGGGTTTCTCATCGCTGGCGCGAACTCCGATCTCTTTGGGCGCCGGCTATTTCTGCTGTTTGGAAATGCATGCTGTTGTGTAGGATTCATCGTTACCGCCACATCCAACAATGCAACGCAGTTCACTGCCGGATTAGCCATAACTGGGTTTGGTGGAGGATTCTGCCAAATGGCAATGTGTTCGATCCCAGAGCTGCTTCCCAACAAGTATCGTCATATTGGCATCTGCCTGAGTGACGGTTTTGTCTTTGTTATTGTTATCATTGGACCTATTGTTGGAAGAGTAAGTTAATCTCCACATCCCATGTCTGAACGGCGAGAGTAATTTCAACTAGTATGCCATTGACAGTGGCGGTCATAAATTCATCTATTGGGGTGGATTCATCGCCCAATTCTTTTCTCTCGCAGCTATCTTCGCCTTTTACAAGCCGCCGAAGCATCCTAAGGGAGTCCCGTGGAAGGAGGCTATCAGGGGGCTCGACTATGTAGGATCGGCTCTGATTATACCAGGCATCTGCTTAGCATTGGTTGGAATTATCAACACGACCTACAAACGAAGCTCCGATGTCACTGTCGTTGCGCCTATGGTAGTAGGATTTGTTCTCATTGCCGCTTTCGGAGTCTGGGAGACTGTTTCCAACGTCCCTTATAAGCTTTGTCCGCCTCATCTTTTCAGAGTCAATAAGGGCAGATCGTTCACGGCACCGGTAAGCTGAACTTCTTTTCGCTATTAATGGAAGACGGCTAACGTGTTTAGTTCATCGTGGCCTTCATCGTAACGATGTTCTATTATTCAGTCAATATCATTTGGCCAACGATGGTCAACGTCTTCTACTTGACGCCAACTACCCCTAGAAAGATGGAACTTCTCTTGACATTACCGCCGAATGTTGGGCTCGTCTTTGGTGCTATCTTGTTGAGTTTGTTCGGCCATGTGATAAAGGTAAGAGGACTTAACCTATCAATTCCTTCACAGCTAACAGTCAAAGCACTGGTACTGGACTCTTGCCGGCGCTTGGTTTGGTATGACACTATTCGGGGCACTCATGGCATTAGTGACGCCTTTCAACCAAACCCTCATGATCGTTTTCTGCTGCATCAATGCGAGTAAGTACTGTCAATACGAACCCAATATAAATGTCACCACATGCTGACTTGTACAAGCCTTCTTTGGCTGGGCGCAATACGAGTCTGTCGCTTTCACGCAGTTGGGAGTACCACAACAAGACCTTGGATTCTCGGGAGGACTCGCAGGCATGGCTCGATACGCTGGCGGTTCGCTCGCACAGGCGATCTACATGACCATCCTGGCGAACACGCAAACATCCCGCGCTGCACAAACAGTACCTCAAGCTGCAGTAGAAGCAGGAATGACGCAGGAAAACGCACAGGCTCTCCTCGCAGCATTCCCCCTCGGCGCACAGGCGATAGCGAAGGTTCCCGGCATCACTCAGGAGGCATTGGCGGCGACTTCTTTGGCATTCCAGTGGAGCTATGCGCATGGGTTGAAGGTGGTGGCGCTGAGCTCGCTTTCCTTTGGTATACTTGGTTTGATCTGCTGCTTCCTCTGCGAGGATCTTACGCCGAAGATGACTTCTAAGATTGAAGTCTTCCTGGAGAACGACGTATACGCGGAGAAGAATGAGTTCCACTAGGGTGGTTTGTATATCAAATGAACTTTGTAAAAGTGGAAGTTTAATAAATATAATTAACAATTTAAAGTATTCAATTTTGGGCTCACATGTAGAATTAGAATCAACTTATCAAACTCGTATACTTTGACGCAACATATTTCAACAATCCGGCTTAAGGGCTCTTAATCACAGATACAGACGGCTTTCCATTCAGTAACTAGAGGCAATCTCAACTCTCACCACTACGACCATTCACATCTCGGCACGAAGCAACCAATGAGAAGCATCGCTGCTTTCCCGCATCCCACACCTATGGCAAACTCGCAAACATACACCCTCACCCCCCAAAATCATTTCCTTCATTCCCTATACCCGAAAATGCACAATTTCATGCGCCACGCATACCGTCTCCACACTGTTGCAGGTCAACACGCCACCGCCTGAATCATTCGTCTTGCGGGGTACCCCCGACACGAGTCGCGTCCTGGGCGGGGAAACGTCAGGCTAACATTTACCACGCGCACCCAACAGCCTTCGAACCCCAGTGTTTCGCACCGCATTAGCGCGTGACGGAGTGCGGCACGAGTCTTTGGTCTATTTTCTTGGTGGGTTAGTGTTTTCGGAATGGGTGTCGGAACGTTAGGCGTATTGAAGGGGGTGGTTTGATTACAGTGGGCACGGCTATGAGAGGTTCTGATGGGAGGGCGTATGGAGAAGGTTATGCTTTGATGGCGGGGTTAACAGTGGGAATATGGGAATTTAATCATTCCTACTCTTGGATTTGAAAATAGTACGGTACACGCAGGTAAATCAATACTCTCTATCCTCTATCCCTTGTGCTTGTTTATTTTGATAGCTTTGACGCAAAGTCGAATTGTCCTTTCACTCCTTCCGAGAGCCTTCCAACTCTTCCTTCTATCATCCCAGCGTGAGGCTGTAACTCCAAATAACAATGTCGAAATCCGCGTTAGTCTTCGGCGCCTCAGGCGTAACAGGCTGGTCCTTCGTAAACGAGCTCCTCAACGACTACCCCAAGCAAGGTCTCTGGGGAAAAGTGCACGGATTAACCAACCGCCCCTTGTCGCAAGAGCAATCACAGTGGCCCAATGATCCCCGGCTGAACATTGTGTCCGGAATCGACCTTCTCAAGAGAAGCCAAGAGGATCTCGAACACGAATTGAAGACGAAGGTCGACGGGATAGAAGACGTCACGCATGTGTACTATCTCGCGTACAAAGCCGGTACAGACGTGCAGAAGGAGCTCGAAGAGGCGGTTGCGATGTTCAAACGGAGTACGATTGCGCTCGATCGATTGAGTTCGAAGTTGGAGTTTGTGGTCTTGCAGACGGGGGCGAAGATGTGTATGTTTTTCCTCCTCCAAATCCATCATCCCATGACTACAGATACTGGTAGACCGTATGGGAAAGTAGCTAACAAGAGAGATAGATGGGTGTCACCTCCTAGAAAACCACCCAACAGACTACCTGCACGTCCCGCACAAAGAGTCCCAGCCCCGGCTCAAACAGCCGTACCACGACATGCTCTTCTACCACCCGCAAATGGACTGGCTGACCGAGTACGCGAGGGATAAGAAGTGGAGCTGGTGTGACACGCGGCCGGACATCATCATCGGGTTCGTCCCGAATCAGAATTTCTACTCCCTCGGTGGCGTGGTGGGGATCTACCTCAGTCTGTGGAAGGCGGTCGAGGGCGAAGGCGCGGAGTGTCCGTTCCCTGGTACGGAGAAGTCGTGGGTGGCGCAGAGTAACGATAGTAGTAGCGATATGATCGCCCGTCAGACGATACATTTGTCGTTGAGCGAGAAGACTGAGAAGGGTGGTGGGTACAATGTCGCTGATGAGAAGACGCCGAGTGATTGGAAGGCGAAGTGGCCGATTCTGTGCGATTACTTCGGTCTAAAGGGGACTGGACCTACAAGCAACCCGCCGGAGATCAGAAAGTATATCAAGGATCATTTTGCGGAATGGCAGAAGTTGGAGAAGGAATATGGGTTGCAGACTGGCCATGCTGATAGCGACAAGACTTTCCCCGGGTTCGAATATTTCTTAATGACGCAGTTCGATTTCGATAGGCAGTATGATATGACGAAGATGTATGGTACTGGATTTACGGAGGAGAGAGACACGCGAACAGCCTGGGTAAGTTTCACGAGCTTATAGAGCTGTTCAACATACTAATTTTGTCTTGTAGGGCGGAGTGTTTGATCGAATGAGGAAGGCCAAGATCATCCCATGAAGAGTTAAGGTTTGAATGAAGACCTAAGTCAAAGTTGAAATCCAAACATGAAGGCAAGGACCGAGTCGATGACGTTTCAGCAAATGTACATAGGATGCGTAAGTCCAGAAACGATTACAGCATAGTTTTAAGAAACAAAAATTTTACATCTCACGCGAAGTGTTGTGCGTTTGATATTTTCAGAGGTATAGCACATATAAACACTTTCCTACCCTACATAATCGCGAACAGACGTCACTTTCATTACTCGCAAGTCATGTGTCTTGATATTCTGAGTGGACACGGAAGCAACAGTGATCGTGAGAAAGCGGAGTGAATGAGAGGTGTATCATTGACATTTTCGTACTACAGTTACAGCTGAACTGAAAAACAAGCGCTTAATAATTCATGTTCACCATAATTGTCTTTGGCTCCGTGAATGCCCTCAAAGCGTGAATGCCACACTCTCGTCCTAGTCCACTCTCCTTGGAGCCACCAAATGGGCTGACCATAAACATCAAACTGACACAGTTCACACCCACCATACCAGACTCGAAATCTGAAGCAACCCTCAGAGCCTTGTTGATATCCTGTGTGAAGACACCAGCCATGAGGCCGAAGTTGGTGTCGTTAGACAGCTTCATGATCTCCTCTTCTGTCTTGAAGGACTTGACAACCGAGACTGGGCCAAAGATCTCTTCGCAGTGGATTTCTGACTCGGGATCAACGTCGGTGAAGACCGTTGGCTCAATGTAGTAACCCTTGTCGCCGATTCGCTGCCCACCAACAAGCAATTTGCCTTGTCCCTGCTGGCCACGCTCGATGAAACCAGAGACACGCTTGAATTGGGCCTCATCTACAAGAGGACCAATGTTGGTGCCCTCCGAATCGGGATCGCCGACCTCCTTTGCCTTTGCCTGCATAGCCTCCTTATATTTCTCAATGAACTTGTCGTAGATGCCCTCCTGAACGTATACGCGAGAAGCGGCAAAGCAGACCTGTCCGGTATTGGCTGTGATCGCATTGGCCGTCCACGTGACGGCGTTCTCCAGATTGCAGTCGTCGAAGACTACCGCAGGAGACTTTCCACCAAGTTCCAAGGTCACGCGCTTGAGGTTGGACTTGGCCGCCATCTCCTGGATTTTCTTTCCAGTCGCAATGCTACCCGTGAACGAGACTTTGCGGATGCGCATGTGGCTAGCGAGGAGAGCACCTGTGCTTCCGTCACCGGGCAAGATCTGGAAAACACCTGGTGGGAAGCCGGCCTCTTTGATCAAGGTACCGAGAGCGAGGGAGGAGAAAGGCGTCTTTTCTGAAGGCTTCAAGATGAAGACGTTTCCGGTCGCGAGCGCAGGAGCTGCCTTGAGGCCAATCGTTCCGACGGGGCCGTTCCAGGGAACAACGCCAGCTGTGACACCGAGAGGCTCATTGCGCACGATCTTGAGAAAACCATCGTCTTGTGGCCAGGACTCGCCGCCAAACTTGTCAATCCATCCAGCGTTGTATCGGAAAGCCTATTCGTGAACATTAGCTGCCAATACCTAATACTCGCGACGTGACGAGCTTACCTCTGCGCAAAGGCCGACTTCGAAGGCACCAAACGCCTTGAAAGGTGCACCGAGCGAAATTCTGGTCAATTCTGCGATCGCCTCGGCGTTCTTCTCCACGAGATCGGCAAATTTGTTCATGATGTTGCGCCTCTCGGTAGGAGAGGTCTTCTTCCAGCCAGCAAATGCCTTCTCGGCGGCAGCCACAGCCTCGTCGACATCCTGCTCGCCAGCGAGCGCGACATCGTTGGCAATCAATTCGCCATTTTTGGGGTTGTGGAGAGTGAGCTTCTTCGCAGACTTGGATTCCACGTATTCGTTGTTGATGAAGATCTGCTTGGGCAGGTTCTTCGCTGACCAGGGGAAAGACATTATGTGTGAAGCTCTGGGGGGGTATATTTGACAATTGAACAAGGGAGGATGATGTCCAGTGTGAAATACTTTCGAGACTAATTCACAATCTAGAGCGGTGTGAACACAAAACGAGAAGGTGTGAAAGATAAGAGGGGCGAGGAGAGGGGTCTATCTCGTATTGTAGCTAATATTTACGAAGGCACAGCACGCACTGTGCCGCTAGTAAGACCGTTAACTCCGCGTCTGGACCTCCGCGGTAATCTCAATTAGACAACTATTGTGTGTTAACTTCTTCCGCAATTCCAGCCCGTCCTGTGGTGAGAAATTGGACGGGGCAATGACAGGCTGACGGAGCGACAAGCTGGAGTAACACATACTTCGCGGTTTGTTTTCCGCGTTCACTACTTAGTAGCCGACCAACTGACGTCGTGCGGGGTGGGAGACCCCTGTTGCTTGATTCATGAGCTTTCACATCCCCGCATTGCACGACGTCGTGCACACTTTTGCTGTAGAGTTTGTGTGTCTTGTAATGAATGTTACTCTGGGTTTCCTTACGCATGGGATCCGCTCCTGGACTGTGGATACGATCCTGCTGCAGGGACAGGTGTATGTCTATGCATAATCTTCTCATTGACTTTGTTGTGGCGATGTGCTCTGAAGGCAAAACGGATCTTGACATTGACGCTGTTCAGTCAATTGATTTTTCAAATTGAGTTCAAAGATCGTCTGTGGCAGGCTATCGCAAATGGAAAGCTTTCGTGGTCCCGGAAGAAGCGTCCCTTAGAGACTGTGGTTCTCCCGCGTGCGGAGAAGCCCACCATTGATTCTCCGTATAACCTTTGGCTTGTCCTCACGTGTAGACGGCAAGACTGAGAGCTTAATAGTGTTTGATCGCTTGTAAACAAGCTAAAAAATACTCGCACGTCAATTACGAACCTAGGTTTCAATTTGTTTCAGCAAAGATTGTATTCAACACAGTCGTGACACTGCACAGAGAAGAAGCGAAGAAACAAGCCACGATGACTCGAAAAGCAGCCTTCATCACGGGCGGAGCCTCCGGCATGGGCCTCGCAGTCGCGGAAGCTCTCTCCGCCCGCGACGAATGGGACCTCCACATCGTCGACCTGAACGCCTCAGCAGGTCTCAAAGCTGTATCTACCCTCAAGAACGCACACTTCCACCAAACAGATGTCACGTCCTACGAATCTCTGACAGCAGCGTTCGAGGCCGCGTTCAAAGCGTCCGGACGCCTGGACTTCGTGTACGCGAACGCGGGGATCGTCGAGAGGGATAATTTCTACGAGAAGCATGACTTGTCGAAGCCGCCGCCGGAGCCGAATCAGTTAAGCGTCGATATCAATTACAAGTCTGTCGTGAACACGACTTGGCTTGCGTTGCATTATTTCAGGAAGAGTGAGAAGACCGACTACAAGCCGCTCCTAATTATGACAGCAAGTTGTGGTGGACTTTATCCCTCTGAATTCTGGTAAGTCAATAATGGCATTCTTCGTTGTTGATGGGCCAGAGGCTAATCACACGAAAAAGTCCAATGTACTCGGGATCAAAAGCTGCCGTGATCCATTTCAACCGTGCCATCTCTTTCGCGTTCAGACAGGAGGGGATCCGAACGTATGCGACGGCACCTGGAACCATTCGAACGAATCTAATGAACTCTGATGAATGGAAATCGTTCCCTGAGCAGTTCTTCACTCCCATGAAAACGCTCGTGAGGGGAGTGTTGCTTTTGGTGGATGGAGGCGATCTCGAAGACTCGAACGGGAGAAAGGTGGCAGAAGAGGATGCCTATGGTCTAACGGTAGAGGTAAATGGCGATAATATCTATTTTAGAGACCAGGCGGCGTTCAGTGATAAGAACATGGAGGATATGATGAAGTTTACGAGTATGAAGAACCAACTCGCCAGGATCGAGAAGACGAAATCAGAGCAGAATGAAGTCAATGGAGCATAGAATTTGTATGATTGGGTACCAGTTTTACATCACGAACTTGAAAGATCTAATATTTTTAATGACTGATATTTGCTCATGATAAATGGAAATAAACACCTTATACGAACAGTTGGGACGAATAGTCTACAATTTGGATTGCCTTCCCTGAGCAAACCTCACTCCGCCATCAACGGCAATATCCTCTCCATTAACATACGCCGCTGCAGGGCTAGCCAGATAAACCATTACGCCCGCAATGTCCTCCGCCTCACCAAGTCTTTTCCTCGGGTTTCCCTCTTCTAGCTCCTTTTGGCCACCAAGAAGTTCAATTAAACCGTTAGCCAATTTCGAGGGAAAGAAGCCGGGCGCAACTGTGTTTGTAGTGATGTTGCGAGGACCCAGTTCCACGGCAAGTTGGCGTGACATGTGATGTGCTGCAGCTTTGGAAACACTGTACATAATGGTTCCATGTTCGCCAACGTGTGGGACTGTTGTGCCAGCCGTTGAGCTAACAATGATGATGCGCGAGGGATCTTGTCGTGTGCCGGCCTTCTCAAGCATAGGCGTGAAGCTGCACGAGTTAGTACTTAATCCAAATTTAACATTTCAGGTAGGAAACTCACAGTCTAGCTAAATTGAAAACACCTCGAACGTTCAAATCAAGCACCTTCTGTGATGAAGAATCTGGCGTAGGTTCAAAAGGACCACCCCAGGTCGCGCCGGCATTGCAAACCAAAATGTCCAATTTGTCGTCTGTCTCTTGAATTTTCTTGACAAGGCGTGCGATATCGTCCGTATCGGCAACATTTGCAGCGATTCCAATTGCCTGGCCCTTGACATTGAGTTTGTTTAGTTTCTCAACGGCCTGGTCTATGCCTTGGGGTCCTGCGTTCTTTCGTGCTGAAATAAAAACCTTCTTCGCACCCGCGAGAAGGAATGCAGTCGCGGTGTGAAGACCCAATCCTCGCGATCCTGTTTTGTGTTAATTGTGACTCTCGTTATGCAGTTTGATAGTCTCGCCCATACCTCCAGTAACAAGTGCTACCTTGCCATCGAGGCGAAACATGCGATCGAAATTCTTGATATCTGACATTTTGAAAGAAAATTACAGTTAACGCTTCGTAGGTTCAACAATTCGTAGAAAGTAGAAGGAATAAAAAAAATAATGGCCGCCGAGCTCCTCATACCCGCAGCGGGGATAGTATTGAGAGATTGGGATATTAGCGTTAGTTGGCAGATAGCTCGGGCTACCATTACCCTCGGATCTGGGGTAGCCAGTCGTCCCAGTCTGTGCTCACGCCTCCCCATCGGCTGTACAATTCACTCCCCCGAGCTTAACACAGCTCCAGCTTTGGGGAGCTCTGGCTACTCATGTTTGCATATAACCGTGACTGGGCGGGGAACACGAGATGGATGGTCCGAATTATCTCAACGGCCACTGGATAGTTGGCTGCCCTTTTTCAATTGAACTCTTATCTATATTGTCAGAACCACACCCTATTGTCTCACAGTTCCTACCTCTTTGATTTTCTGTTCTGTCTTCGTTTCTTTGAATCATGCCTTTCTCTTCCCCATTTCCAACCATTGATATCCCAAAGTGCAATTTACTCGAGTATCTGTTTCCGAAGGGTCATGAACCCACGGATACACCAATATGGATTGATGCGAAAGACACAAACCATAATCTCACCCCAAGGGCCTTATTACAATGGTCGAAGCGCTTAGCATTGGGCCTCGACAGGCTAGGTAGCAGACCTGGTGAGGTGGTGATGATTTATACTCCAAATCACATCTTCGTACCCGTCGCATATCTTGGAATTGTGGGATCGAAGAGAGTCTTCAGTGGAGCGAATCCCGCATACACATTATCTGGTATGTCTGATCGGGGGCTGTTATTGCATTTTAACATAATTAACACTTTGCGCAGAAATGGTCCACCAAGTCTCAAACACACAAGCGCAATACATCCTCGCACACCCTTCCCTCGCAAAAACCGCCGTGCAAGCAGCGCGAAAAGCTGGTCTCCCTGATGGCCGCGTCTTCCTCTTCTCAGACGTTCCCAACACCTCAATTGAAGGATGTCGAGATTGGCGAGAATTCCTCCCTACCCCTTCAGAAGCCGATGCATACAACTTCCCCCATCTCTCCGCAAAGGAAGCCACCGAAACAACCGCAACAGTCAACTATTCCTCCGGCACCACCGGACTGCCAAAAGGCGTCGAGGTCAGCCATCACAACCTCGTAGCCAATCTGGAGCAAACAATCTACATGCGATACCTGCACAAACCATGGAACGCGAACTCGCGACCCCGGGAGGTCTGGATAGGCTTCCTGCCTCTCTACCACGCCTATGGCCAACTCTACACAATCGCAATGGCACAGAAACTCCAAGTCCCAGTGTATATCATGAAGCAGTTCCAGTACGAAGAGTTCCTGCGCGTGATCCAGAACCAGAAAGTCACACATCTGCAAGTGGCGCCACCGATCATGGTTATGCTGAGCAAGAGACCGGAGACCGCGAACTATGATCTCAGTAGTGTTACGGACATCCTTTGTGGTGCAGCGCCTTTGTCGAAAGAACTGCAGAATGAGATATCGAAGAAGCTGGGCTGCGAGATTTTGCAGGGTTGGGGGATGACGGAAGTTACCTGTGGAGCCATACATGTTCCAGGCGGCACTATCGATGAGTAAGTACCTTGAAGTTGTGATAATGTTCCATTCGCTGATAAAGACTAGCTCGGGAAGCGTAGGACAGCTTGATCCTAACTGCGAATGCATGTTGCTTGACGACGACGGCAAGGAGGTTGCGGCCGGCCAACCAGGAGAGCTCTACATTCGTGGACCACAGATCTGCCTAGGCTACTGGCGCAATCCACACGCGACCAAAGAGTCACTGAGTCCGGATGGCTGGCTGAAGACAGGCGACGTCGCCGTTGTCAAAGATGGGTGGTTCTGGATTGTGGATCGCAAGAAGGTGTGTAGAGGCATTCAATCCCGACTAGCAACGTACTGACCTAAAATCTTAGGAACTCATCAAAGTCAACGCTCTCCAAGTCGCCCCCGCGGAGCTCGAAGCGGTTTTACTCGAATTTGATCCCATTGCCGACGCTGCAGCAGTGGGGATAACGCTCGACGGGCAGGAATGGCCACGAGCGTATGTGCATCTCAAAGACGAGTTTAAAGGAAAGACCACTGAAGAGGATATCCACGCACATATGAAGGATAAGGTGGCGAAGCATAAACAATTAGTCGGAGGCATTTCATTCGTTGATGAGATTCCGAAACTGCAAAGCGGGAAGATCATGAGAAAGGTGGTTAAGGAGTGGTCTAAGAGGGATGCAGCAGCTATGCAAGGTCAAAAGCCCAAGGCGAAGTTGTAATTAGACAATGTTGATGTTCGATCAGAATCGTCTATGTATAATTTGCGAAATCTACAAATCTCTGGAACCCAAATGATCACGTGCCATTTGGCCATGGAATTGATTTCGTATTTGCTCCAAATAATTGTTGCATTTTGTATCCCACGTCCAGGATTCTAAGGTCTAGCATGGTTCGATTCATCGATATTGGTTGAACGAGGCGTTGTCGCGATTGGGTGGCAGACCCAGTACGCAGAGTACCACAAAAGTCAAAGCACGACGAAATGGCAAAGCTTTTCCAATCAACTCTCAATGTCACCTTATCTGCATGCGATCCTAATCTCTCGATCTCAATCGAATAAATCTAGAAACAAGCATTCATAAAGCGGTCGATACCGAAAATTACATGACATAATCGGCTCTGGGTAAATCGGTCGGAATGTCGGAGACGTTCCGAAGCTTCGCGTCTTGTTTTCCGCATGGAACGCTTCAGCCAAATCTATACGACACCATCTAGCCGCCACATGATCCGCCAATGGATGTACCAACAGCCTACCCAACGCGGACAGCGTTCGTGCCATTGTTGCAAGGGTCAAGTGCGGGTCACGTTAGGCCGGGAGAATGCACATGCGTACGAGACAAACGCGATGACTTCTCAGCTAAGTTCGTATGTAGGATAAGACTACACGGTCTGCAGCCACCGAGGGACGGTTAACGACTTCAGAAGCTCCAGACTGATCGTCGTACGCGTGTGGTCTGATCGGTCTAGCTCCAAGGCTGATATAAGTGTCGAGACTCCCTTTTCATGTTCACTTTTGTCTGTTATACTACTTCGCTCCATTGTACCTTACCCCACCTCGAGCATCTCCACATCCCAAGAAAGGAGATCTAAAGGGGCACAGCAGACACAAAATGGCACCATCAGAGATGCCCAGCTCCTTAAACGGTGTCAATGGAATCGCACAGATGTACGACTATCCTCCAGCCAACCCAGAGGGCGAATATGCCATTCTCAACCAGTATCACTCGAAGCCCAGCAAACTGCGAGTGGCATGCGCTGGAGCTGGAGCTTCCGGCCTCTGCTTGGCATACAAGATGGAGAGGATGCTTACCCCGGGATCGTGGGAATTGACACTCTTCGAGAAGAACCCACACTTTGGCGGTACTTGGTACGAGAATACTTACCCCGGTGTGGCTTGCGATATTCCCGCCCACGACTATAATTTCACATGGGACCCCAAGCCCGACTGGTCACAATTCTTTGCTAGTGGCAAGGAGATCCAGGGTTATTTTGAGAATTTTGCGGACAGACATGGTTAGTTCAAATGTTGACAAGTTGGAAAGTATAGGGGACTGATTATACTCCAGGAAGCCGAAAGTACATGAAGCTCAACAGCAAGATCACCGAAGCGCGATGGGATGAGAACAAGGGTGTGTGGAGGCTGAAGATCACAAACCCCCAGACGAACGAGCAAACAGAGGATTGGGCACATGCTTTCGTGAACGGCACAGGTTCGTCAGGCCGAATCATTTCTCTTGCAATCTACTGACACTGCCGAAGGAATCTTGAACACATGGAAATGGCCTGAAATCGAGGGTCTCCACGATTTCAAAGGACCACTGATGCATTCCGCTCACTGGGACCATACCGTTGACTTTGATGGCAAGACCGCTGGCGTGATTGGCACTGGGTCCACAAGTGTTCAGATTGTTCCACAACTACAGAAGATCTGCAAAGAAGTTCAAGTCTACATGCGAAGTCCAACGTGGATCTCTCCTCCTTTCGGTGCCGGCGCACTCACGAACGACCTACAGAAGGGAGAAGACGTAAACCCAGGGCAAAGACAGTACGACTTCACCGAAGCAGACAAGAAGAAGTTTGCCGAAGATCCAGAATATCATCTGGATTTCCGCAAGCGCATCGAGGCAGAAATCAACAGTCTATTCGGAATGTATCAGCAGAACTCGGAACTGAGCCACATGTTCCGCAAGGTCATCACTGAGGAGATGAATCGTCGCATGGGCCCCGGTCACGAAAAGCTCAAGGAGTTCATTATCCCTAAATGGTCGCCTGGCTGCCGAAGAATCTCGCCTGGTGATGGCTATCTTGAGGCTCTGGTTAAGGACAACGTTACCCCAGTTTTCGGTGGCATCAAGCGCGTGGTGCCCGAGGGAATCGAGACCGTCGATGGACAGGTACACAAGATGGATATATTAGTCTGCGCTACTGGCTTCCAAGTCGCCTTTCAGCCTGCCTTCACGGTCATCAACGGCGAGGGCAAGTCGATCAAAGAGGACTGGGTAGACGGACCCAACCTTTACTTTGGCGTGTCTGCGCCTCGATTCCCCAACTACTACACAATCGTCGGACCAGGCGCTACATGGAGTAACGGCACCTTGCTCCCGTCGATCGAGACCACAATCGAGTACTCTGTCAAGTGCATGCGCAAGATGCAGACAGAAGGAATCAAGGCCATGGCAGTCAAGCAAGACGCTCTAGATGCGATCTACGACCACTTCGACACATACCACAAGACGACCGTGTGGCAAGAGGAGTGCCGCAGTTGGTTCAAGGACGGTAAGATCAAAAATCGGATCTACTTGTGGCCTGGCGCAGTAAGTCTTTTTCACAGTTTCCCCCTCATCGTTCACCCTTTGTGATGCAATACGCGCGAAAACTGCGGCCCGCATGCATAAGGAGGGGCAGATCTGTACGACATGCAGTGCTAATCAGTGATTTCCCCGCAGACGATCCATTTCCTCAAGTCGATCAAAGACCCTCGATTCGAAGACTACGATTACACCTATCGATACAAGAATAGGTTTGCGTACCTGGGCAATGGAGACGTCAAGGCGACGGCGTCTCGAGATGTTCTTGGTCTCAGCCCTTACATCAGGAACTCAGATCACGAATGGCATGTCGACTAATGGTGGCAAAGACGAGTTCCAGCAATTCATCGCATCTTGTTAGCGTCTTTATCATTGTGTTTTTCCGGAATGAACAGCTACCTATTACAAGTAGGTGGCATACACGCATAGGTGGGGTCAGCAGGGCTCGACTATGTGCACTACCATAGGGTTCAGCGGGAATGGTGTGGTGGGTGTCGATGGAAACTATTGGGGCCCGGACCTGGGCGAGCATCTCGCCTTTTCGGAGAAAAACCCGGAGAATGTCACAGCTGATGTGGTTTGCCATTCATCAATTTGGTATCGAATTCCTTCGTGGCCATTAGCTTCTTTGATTCTGGCATAGTCCATACCCGAAGTCTATCTAGCGATCTTTTTCTGTGCATAGTAAAGAATCATCACCATATTGATCTCTAAAGAGTCCAAATTCACACGCATCTCACGTCGTCTACCGTAGCCTTCGGTTTTAACAGTTCTATTAGAAAGAGAAGCTTTTTAAAATGGCATTCCATGTCATGGTGTAGGCTACATGCTAGCGATGGAATGTGCTTAGTCGATGTGGCTGACTCGTCCATTGACTCAGTGCTTGTTGAACGACTTGGCATGCGAGTGCTCTGCTCCGACCTTCCGCTGGACTCTCCAATTGCCTTCATTGGCGCTCCCAATAGTGCCCTGAGCCATAATTCAATTTGCTCGTCGTCGAATTCGTCCGTGTCTAGAATTTCTTTTCCGGAACTCTCTATTGTGGTGATGAATGTCTGCTTGAGCTCTGTCTAGCCGAAGTCAATCTATCTAGTCATTATTGTAGATAGGTACATCCATTTGAAGATCCAATAGTTTCTGCTCTGCAGGTTTTCTACAAACCTCCTATGTTATCCTTTTGCTATGCTAATGTTTCCCCAGGTTAAATGAAAGAGGGATGTACCAAGTACTCGCACGTCAAAAGCCGACAGACTCACTGTGTTTAGTATCTTTTCCCGATGTGTTCGGCGTCTCGGATCTCTCCACTCCCCAGGCACTCCACATTATTCAAGTATACCCCGGATTGATCGATCCCACGTCCTTTCACGAATCAAGCAGCACACGTTTTGCATCCAAACCCATGGCACGGGAATGAAACTATCTTCCCCGATTGGGCACGCCGCCCTTCTTCAAGCTCCTCTCTTGTGCTCTAGTCCTCTTCCCCATAGGCCTGTGACCTCAACGGCGTCTCCTGTGACCTTCGTTTGGACGCGTCCTTATGCTGTACTTTGCTGCGCTGCGCAATCAAAGCGGTACATCATGCAAGATGACTACTAACACGGAGCTGTTGCAGGGCTTCCCCTCTCTCGGGTTGATGGAAGGGAAGCTTGAACAGGTTCTTTGATGGCACCCTGCATATCACCGCTTGCCTTTTCTAGCGTTCAGTTGTGCATGTCTTCAGTGCTTGATTGGGCTCTCAACCAGGTTCTGGGTATCAATGGTCGGCAATAAAATATGAGCACGGAGATGGCTGCGCTCTGGCCCAGCAGTTGCCGATGATTATCGTCTCTTCGCAGCCCCTGGTCAAAGAAAAGGCAACCATTGCATGCTTAGAACTCAGCCGTGCCCTCTCAGTGTGGAGGTTAGGCGGTGGGGCCCCGCAGTTTATTGTAGTCTCCCAGTCCGTCTCCAGCTCTTCTCCAACGACTAGCTAGCCCAGTCAACCGTCCCGGCTAGACCCATGCCCAAGGGGACGCAGTGGACCTGCTGGAGGGTTTATCTCCATCTTTTTGCCTCCGTGCTCCCTTTTCCTCACTTTCCCCCGCAATTGTCGTCTACACTGTTCATGTACTGTTGTGTTCAGTTGTCCTGTTGCCATTGACCTCTGAACTGAATTGCCTCACCAACCCGTATCCCCAAAGCGACCGAAAGAATGACCGAAACCATGCCGACCCCACCAGATTCGACCAAGAATGAACAGGCTGAAAATCAAGACGTGAAGCTTGCTCAGGAGTCCACTGAGAACCAGAACGTAACTCAACAAGCTAATACATCACAAACTACACAAAAGACACAGAAGTCAAGACACAGAGCTTCGGTAGCCTGTGCCTCATGTAGAGATCGAAGGATTCGGGTATGTTCACACTGACTTCCCAATGAATGAAAACGCCAAACTAATACCACGTCCAGTGTGTTGTGCCTGCAGGAGAAAAGGAATGCACACAGTGCAAGCGATCTGGCGTAGAATGTGTCATCAAGAACGACGATGAGCGACGGAGGTACTTGATCTATGCTGTCCGGCCTTGTCCATGTATGAATTAACTCGCATCCAGGCCCATCTCACGAGCGTATATGTGCTCCCTCACAGACCGTGTAGCTCTCCTAGAAGGGATGTTGAAAGAACGAGGCACCGAACCTCCACCAGCAGACCACCCGCCGAAGACCCGACACGGCGCACCAAGAACGGACGAAGCATCACCTTCGCGGAAAGGCGCTGAAGGCCAAAACCAACAGCACGACAACTCGAGCCCTGGAAGCCAGCAAAGCCCGCAAGAAGATTTCATCGATGTAGACCAAGAACAGGCAAGCCCGCGCGAAGTGGAAAGCGCTGGCTCGCCATCAATGCTTCCACCTCCGAAACGAGATGGCATGGTGAGCAGGCTCCTATCTACAAGAGGGCACTTGAGTTTCGACCAGCTTAGCGGACGACTGCGATATTTCGGCCCCACTACGAATTGCCATGTGCATTCTGAACTTGGAAATTCGTTAGACAATGTGCAAGAATATAGCGAGCAAGCCCGGCGTGCGGAGAAGGTCATTCGCTCTCTACCTATGGAGACTTACGACTATCTTATGGACCTTTTCTGGCAATGCTACAATCCAGTAATCCACGTTTTGCACCAAGAAGCCTTCAATGAAGATCGCGAGGCGGGACGCACGCAGTTCTACTCGGGATTCCTTCACATTTGCGTTCTCGCTATGGGATTCAAATTCGCAGACAAGCAGCGGCTAGATATTCAAAGAATCATGCTCCCGCAGTTCGAAAGTACGCTCCACCGCGAAGCAAAGTACATGCTTGACCAGGAATTGGAGCGGCCAGGTGGAATTCCGTCGGTTGTTGCATTGTTGCTGCTTGGCGATCTTGAATGCGGAGGTAAGTTTACTGATATTACTGAGTACGAGTCCAGATCTAACATCATTTTAGTTGGTCGTGATAACCTGGGATGGCTTTATGGAGGTCTTGCCGTTCGACTTGCATTCGACATTGGGTAGGTAACACAATTCTCGGCATAACATATGTATGCTAACATCTTCTGATAGCCTACACCTCGATACACGTCTTTCCGGTCTTCCTGTACGCGAAGTAGAGATCAGACAGATGACTTTGTGGGCTTGCGTGATCTACGATAAGTATGTTCTGCGTCTCTCGTTCGTATGCTTTGACTAATCCAAACAGGTATTGGGCACTTTTCCTCGGTCGACCTACAAGCATGAAGAGTGCAGATCTCGAAGTCTATTCTCTATCCAAGCAGTTCGAGCGTCTCGGTACTTGCCGACCTGCAGGGCCTGAAAAGAGCATGGAAACCCAGATCTACGAAGCACTACTCGATCTGATGGAGCTCGCTGGCAAAATCACGGAGAACATGGACCCTCGGTCACAGATACCAGAGTCCGTCGTCGACCGCAACCAATATCTACGGATGGCAGCACTGGACCGCGAATTCAGCAATTGGTATGCAAGGCTTCCAGAGCAGCTCCGCTGGACACCTCAGAACATCGCGACCGCGCCCTTTAGCTTCTTCTTGCTACATCAACAGTACCACTCGAGCTTGATCTTGTTACACCGACCATTCGCTATGTATGAGGATCATAACTCGCAAGGTTACGAAGGCACTGGCCCAGATGATCATTTCAGTGCATTGAGCCGAACTGTATGCACAAAGCATGCCATCAGGGTGGCACGGATATTCTGGCAGCATCGTCAGCGATTCGACACCAGGCAGATCTTTGTCACTGGTCTTCAGCATGCAGTAAGTGAATAGATTGAACATCCTCCAACTTGCCTTTCTAACATCACATCTAGGGCACAGCAGCAACCGCTCTCGTGGCAGCTCTCGCCTTCATCAAAGACCCATCCGACCGCGCCAACAACATGCAGTATCTCGAATGTCTTTCCGCTGCCCTCAACGACATGGCCCACACCTACCAACCCGCCGAGCGCATGTCCGTGGTCCTCCGCGCCGTCATGGTCGAACTTCGAGGCGACGTCCCCGAACCCAACGCCACCTCATTCAAACTCTACAAACCCAAATCCGCCATCGTCCCCGCCCGCCGCGGCAGCACAAACGAAACATCCGACATCCCCATGTTCAAGCGCCGCCAGACCAGCCGACCACGTGCCGGCACCACCGGGAGCAAGAAGCGCAGCATGAGCACCGCGAGCGTCAGTATCGCCGACATGGGCGGTCTCCCCTTGAAAGCACCAGCGGCCGGCCCGACACGCTTCGATGCGGAGAGCGATCGTGGAGACGGCTACATAATGGTGACGCCGCGGTCTGAAATCTCATCCTGGCCGAACCTCGACAACGCAGCATCTTCACTTGACCCGGCGCTCACCACCGCCACGCCATCCACATTATCGACTTCCGCGGGCACAAGGAATGCGTGGATGGGTGCAGAACTGGATCCCTCGGACTCGATATCCCAGCTCGCGAACGTGCATTTCCCCGAGATACCTGCGCTCAGTGAAGCAAATGGGGGAGATAACATGAGTCATTTGGATTTCATGAATCTCGGCGACGCGAGTATCGACTGGGCGAGGGAGTGGCAGAGCAGTGGGAACGGTGGCTTGGGTAGCAATTCCGGGTCGGGGGATGGGATGGGCGTGGGTAGTGATCTTGATGGGTTTCCACCGCAGGGCAGCTTCAGCGGTATGGGGTTTGGGAGTAGTAGTGGTACGGGTGAAAGGTATGGTGGGATCATGTCTGGTTGAGATTTTATGAGCGAGTAAGAAGATGATTAATATAAGAGTTATGGGATATATGGCTGGGATACATTGGGTGGATTTATGTTGAGTTTGCGATAATTTAGCGGAATACGATCTTTCATGTTGTCTGACTTTGTTGGCGCAATACTCAAGACGTTGGATCTAGGTCTTCATCTATGGTATCATATAATCTATTGGAATTGAATTATTCCTAAAACTGTAGTACAAGAACAGCACGTAGATCTGCTTAATATCGGTGTCTGTAACATCACCCAAGTGCAGTCTGAAGGCTCTGGTCGCCAATTTCTCAAACTTAAATGCAAACCCTACAACTGTCAAACTGGCCGTGCACAACATTGAACAACGTATCCAACAGTTGATCTTCACTAATCTGATACGCGCCAACATATGTGACGGAAACAGAAACACCCCTGCACGCTCAGCGCTACTTATGGCAATGCTTTCAGGGGTGTGTTTGGGGAAGGTTCGATTGTTCGATTCCTGAAACAAGGTTCCGCACCCCATGCTGAAGATCAATTTGGGAGGTGTGTTTTACAGCGCCTGTGTTCTTGGAAGCTTTTTGTTAGTTCGAGTGATTGCACATGATAATAGAGTAGCTAGAAATAACTGGATGGAGTTTGCGAGCATTGGTGTAGAAATGGAACGGTTGTTATTCGTGATTTCGTTGCGCTTGGTACAATAAAGGATCGATAGAAACATAAGAAATGAGATGCTAGCATAGCATGCGCCGTAAAGATCGTGGGTATTCTGACAAAGCTGTGGACGCCCTTCGCTATTTGTATGGAAATATGAAACCTGTAGAATTCCGCCGTGCGTGCGTAATCGTGGATAGCTAGAATGAAGAGGAACATGTTTTCGTTGACTCTTCTGCCTCGCTATGAGCAGTTATGCTGTGTGTTCTTCGCGATCCTTCAACTCCCCTCTCTTGTGGAAGTGAATCAGGACATGGTGCTCTGTAATCAATCAGTCACCATCAACTGCGTCAACGCGGGATGACACTTACCCTTATCTGTAGATCTGTTCTTCATGACAGCCTTATATGTCGCCAGGCTTCGAACGCCTCGGAAGTATCTATGCGGATTGATAGCAGGACGGTCTTCAACAGCCGCGACTGATTTGCCAGCCGGAGCTGGTAGGATGTTTGGGGGCGGAGGCATGTTCCTCTTGTCTACTTCCACGGTATGCTCTTTCACATCATAGTCATCGTTGCCCTCTGTGATGTGGGGAGTTGCCGAGCGCACTTCGCTAACAACTGCGTCGTTGTCTTTGTGTTGCAATTTCCGCGGAGTATCGTCGTCGGAATGCTCTTCATGTTCTGACGTTGGAGTCAATGCCGGGATATCATCGACCTCAGGTGGACTCAATGGGGGCGTGTGTGGTCGTGTGGGCACTCCATATTCCCAACCCAGACCAGAGAATCTGACGGGTGTTTTGAGGAACTCATTCGCACTCATGGGAGTGTCCGAGTTGTGTGCGAAGTTCTGGCATGCCTGCCACCACGACTGGCTCTCGGGTGGTGGCACCATGGTGCTGTTGCGTTTCGATGCTCGACCCTCCAGACGCTGCAATGCTGAAATGAGTGGCTCATCGTCATGCAAACTGGCGACTGATTCGTTCTCGAGATGTGTTACTCGATGTTGAACGTCGAGCAGGATTGTCCGGTGAGTGGTGAGTTCTGCCTGGATGTTCTGCAGCATTTCGATGAGGAGGTGATTGGACCGGCGGAGTTCAGACTTGGTGGTTGAGGCTACTGAGCAGCGATTGGAGCTCATCCTGCTCTTCGTCGAGTGCTTGGAGCCATTTGGACTTGCACTGATAACTTGAATCTTTGGTTCTGTGTATGCTGCCGTCAGGTCGGCCATGGTGGCCCCAGATAAGTGGCTCATATCCATGTCTGGCGAAATGCAATCCTCGGTGGGATAGACATGAGCGGGTTCGAAAGACAGAGGATGTTCTATAGCAATGGGCATGATGATAGGTATGGAGATTGGTCAAGAAAGGGATCTTGGTAAACGGTAAGCCAAGCAAGGGAGTTCAGAAAAGATGAAGATGGATTTGTGGTACAAGGCATCTGCGAGGTCCATAGGTTCTCCCATGAGGCCTTTAAGACCCAATCCGGACCCCCACAGTTTCCTGTCCTCCAGACGCCAAGTTCGTGATGCTCCAGGTATGAATGGCTTGGCCTTGCTAGCAACATTCTTTCTGATGCTTAACATAGGAAGATCCTCCTGATTAGGCGCCAGAGCACGAACAAATGTCGCCGTGTGGCCACAGCCAAGTTGCATCAAGGCATAGTGGTGGAAGGCCAAGGCTGCGACGCGACGATGGTGCTGCTCCAGCAGTGTCTTGATAATGTTTCAGTGAGGGATACTCGGTGTTTCGCCCAGCGATCGAGACGTAGACACGGAGATGATCGACCATTTAGCGATATCGATTAACTTAGCGTGAACTTCTTATGGCTGGGGGGAGTGTCGCCCCAGATCGTTCACAGTTTCACTTTCCGGAGGTTTAATCTCAGAATGCTGAAGGCTGAACCGTTGGTGGGTTGTTTGTTCACCACATCTTCACACAATTGATGCTTCAAAACTTGCATCACTAAACTAATCAAGATAAGAAGAAATGGCTACAACACCATCAAACATAACGATTGAGATGCTCGATACTGCGGTTCTGGCTTCATGAACAATACTGGTATTTGATTCAATTTGATTCTTTTGGTGTTTGAATCCCCATTGCGTGCTGCTCCCTCCATGATTACCACCTTCCATGTATACAATCGCAAGGCCTGCAACATACCGTGCGTATGGACCAATAGAGAGACTATCATCCTTCCCTATGCAACGATGTATAGAGTTAAATTATCTACCGATATTTTCACTCTACCCAACTACCTGCTTCTATCCCGACCAAATCCTTCCCACACTGCTTATACGATCGAAGATACCAAGCACCAATGACGACTCGGAAGCTCGTTGACGACGACGATTTCTAAGCATAGCTTTAACACACTTAGGCCATAGGAATGACGCCTTCAACAAGTCTTCATCATTACCAAAGCCCTCTTCTAACTCACTTGGGCTTGGGAGTGGTTGATACGAATACGACTTGTAACGAGTCAAGTAACGAGTCATAACATCATCAGAGTCGAACAGCAGGATCCAACTATATCTATCTCCGATGGATCGTTTATCCGCAAACTCTTCACTCGGGGTATAAGTTTTGTCTTGTTCGTCGAGGTCGCGAACATCAGGCAAGAATTGGTAGTTCGACCGAATGCCCATCTGGTTGCGGTCTCTGATTTTCTTGGCCACCTTGCGCTTGTTCATAGCGTAGTCTTGAAGTTGACCAAATGTTGAAGTCGGAAATACGGAAATGATCCTGGTAGAAGTAGCCAAGATCATATCGGCCGTTGATAGAATCGGTGAGTAACCAGTGCGCCATTGTATCCATGCCCCTTCCCCAAAGTCAACTTCACGAACGTACACTCGAGGTGCGCGGTGTTTTCGATTCTCAGATCGACTATGGAAAAGTGAAACTGACAATGATGCAGGATTGCTGACATCCTCATATCCGTCTTGAATGAGGAAGTTTCTTAGATGCTCTTTCACATAGTCGTGACACTCTTCGTCCAAGATAATTGTTATTGGCATGTCCGAATTTTCTAGGGTATGAATGCTCGCCCTTTGAAGGTACCCCAGGATAGGAGTTCCAGTCAGCAGGAAGCCGTATTTTTCTTGTAGAACACGAAAGCCAACGGGATCCGAGAAGAAGATTTGCAACCTGTGTCATCGTTAGTTCGTGGTACTGTCATCAGGTTATGTAGCAGGGAAGGGTGCCACAAACTTACATTCTATTATACTCCGACTCTGTCCAGGCAGTCCTATGTATGTTGCGGAAGTGCTTCGATACCAATCGCAACCGGAGAATTTCCGGTGCTTTCAAGTACGATAGAACTGCATTTTGGATGCGTACGAACCGGTTGCTCATCAGATCAGTCAATGTCGAAGCCATGTTTGGCTCGGAGGTGTTTTGGTCTGTAAGGTTGTGTTTAGTGCGTCGAATCGGGAGTTGTATTGCGTTGATCAAGTTGAAGCGCGTCAATTGTCTGCCTCCCGGTGGATTATATAGAAGAGAAGGGAGCATTGTACAATGAAAATGTAGCTCCGTGAAATCGGTGCAGTGATAATAGAGTGAATGAATTTACGTGAAAACGCCTATATGGTAGATTCATTCCGGAGACGACCTGCAGTGTGAGTATCACATTTCACTAGTAAATGAATAGTTAACCAACGTTTCTCCTCGGGAGTTGGTGAACGCTGGGTCAGTAAGTAAGTGAAAATGTCGTACTAAATATCTATGCGCTCTGTTCTTCGTAGAAGTAAACATCTTTTGCGCACATTTACAATCTACAATGATGCCCCCTTACAAACTCGCTGTCTCACAAACTCGCTGTCTCACAAACTAACACTAGCTGCTGTGATTTTTGATGCATTTCAAGGCCCAGGGGACATCCGGGATACACAACCCCAAGGAACACAATCTAGGATGCAATGCTGATGGCTTTGCCAAAAGACCTTCAATTTCATTGTTCAATTACACGTGGTATACTAGAATATTGCAATGATCAGATAAAATAAGTAGCATGGTCCAAGCATTGTGTAGTAGTGTGCAGTGCGAATCGATTGATAGCATTCTACAGAAACAATCCTCTGAAACACAAACTAGTATCCTAATTCGAATCAAGTGTTCTACAAGTTCCTTGCCTGAATTGCGGTGATCTGCAGGAAACACTGAGTCTGCCTTGACTTGTTGTCTCAATTGATTTACAACCCTACTATCATCTTCAGGAAGCAAGAATGGATCACAAATATCATCAGACAACTTACATCACCTAATCAGTATCAAACATAACAAAGCATAAGCAACTTATCAAGGCAAATACACATGCACGCATACACGTACCTACACAGTAATCCAGTCGGAAGCTCCACGCCCCGAAAGCCCGCGCGCTGACAAACCCCCCTCCTCCTCGTCCCCCCACACACCGCGACCGCAACCACCAACGATCTTTCCATCACGACGCCTGAAGACACCATATTCAACCAATTACCCGTCTACGATATTGCCAGAACGCCCACCTTACAATATACCTACATTCCATTTTCGTGTTCCCCAACGGACGAAAATTACGCTATCTGGCATTGGCAATAACCATGCAGCAACAGCACGACTCCCCGCAATATAAACACCCTTGGCCACCGGGACATCCACCGTGAAACGTCACCAACATCAACATTGCCAAACACCAACCTCAACAACAAAAACAAAACAAGAGGATATCAATTAGGAACCCCCGTTCAACAACACCAACCACTCAACCCACCAAACCATGGTCGCCCAACCCCAGCAAAAGCCCATCCTAATCTCCGGCGGCGGCCTCTCCGCCCTGCTGCTCGCGCGCTCCCTCCTCCGCTCCAACATCCCCTTCCTCGTCTTCGAGCGCGACGCCTCGATATCCTTCCGCGCACAAGGCTACCGCCTGCGCCTCTCCAACGAAGGTCTCGACGCCGTCGAGGCCGTGCTCGGGCCCGAAGGCTTCGCGAAATTCTACGACGCCTGCGGGAAGACGGGCGGCGCGGGGTTCGCGGCCGTGGATCCGCTCACCGGGGAGAACCTGGGTACGGAGCACTCTACGGTTAGGAGGGAGGGACTGTCGTCGCGGGACGGGAAGGTGATTGGGATTGCGAGGGGGACTATGCGGAGTTTGTTCATCGAGGGGTGCGAGGAGTTCGTGCGGTGGAGGCATCATGTCACCGGGTACGAATTGACTGACGGCGGCGTCCGAGCTATCTTCGCGGACGGATCGAAGTCGGTGGAAGGGTCGATGCTGATCGGTGGAGAGGGCATCAAGTCGCAGGTCGCGAAGCAGCTGTCTGGCGGCAAGCTGAAAGTGTACGACTTGGGAGCGCGGGGTATCCACGGACAGGCGTCTACGACTGCATTCAAGGCGCTCGGCGAGGGCGTGTTCCGCGCGGTTGACGAGACGAGCCACCCGGAGGGGAGAGTGTTTCTCATCACGAACGTGCGCGCGGGCGACATGGACGACCCGAACGTGGATTTCGGGTGGACGATAGGCGGGTCCGCTGGTGTCATCAAGGCTCCCAACGACGACTACACCATCATTGGGAAGCAGGCCGCCGACATCGCGAGGGGCCTGACCAAATTGTGGCACCCGCGCGTTCGATCCCTCATCGACAATATGAGGGATGACGACGCTGCGTTCTGGAAAATCACCTGTTCGTCGCCGGACGGGGTCCCTGAGTGGCCGAACGAGCCGCGCGTCACGGTCATCGGAGACGCAGTGCACGCGATGACTCCTGCCGGGGGCAACGGCGCGAACACGGCCATGCGAGACTCTGCTCTCTTGGGTAGGCTCCTCGCCGAGGCGGGCGGCTTCAAGGAGGGCGTCACGGCAGAGTATGAGAAGGTCATGCGTGTGTATGCCAGCGAGGCCGTCAAGAAGAGCTTCAGCACCGCGGAGGTTTCGTACAGCGCAGTCATCAACGAATCGACAGCAACGATATGAGTATGAGGTTTAAACGCAGAAGTCACGGCTGGTAAGAGAATTACGAATATCAAGACAGCGGTTTTTTACACTTCCTAGATCGATACATCCCCTGGACAAGCAGCATCTGAATGTTTACGAACATTCACTATCGAAATATCAATCTGGACACATATAGACAACATTATCATTTGTTACTTCAACCACGCTACTTTTTCCCAAGCAATACATGACCACCGTCCATCTTGACCTCAACCTCACCTCAACCTCACTTATAGTATCCCCTTCTCCTACGTTCACATTCAACAGACCATCAAATCCACTCCGGAAGAAGAGGGAGAAGTATGATCTCCCAGTGGGATATGCGTGATATGTATGAATTTTGATATGTACGTTTTGATTTGACGGAATACCGCAGATATATACGAGCGATGCCACTCCGTTCAGAAAAGAACCCCAAAAAGCAAGACAAGAGAAATTCATCTCCACCAGTCAGACCATATGCTGCAAGTATGCACGCTCCTATATACACCCACAACCGTGACGTCCCCTCACTCATTCACTTATTAAACACCCTCTCGACCTTCCCAAACAACCCCTTCGCCTCCCCCACAATCCTACTCTTCACCACATCAACACCCACACCCGTATGATCCACGCTCTTCCCCGGCTTCCCACCCCCCTCCTCCGGCTTCTTCTCCCCACACCCACAGCCCTCCCTGCACCCATACAAAAAGTGGTCGACATCACCACTACACCTCCCACACTCCCCATCCCCCATATATGGCCCAGCATCCGACCAACCGACCCTCATAACTCTCGCCCTCCTCCCCTCCCACCCCGTCTTCTCATCCGTCGCGTGGAAACACCCCCACACCTCCGGCGTACTCTGCCCATTCACAAGCACGAAATTCCCATGGCCCGGCCCATAAGGCGGCGTATTGTTCTTATTCGACGCGAGCAGCGGCCTTGACCACTTCTTCCAGTGGTCCGCATTGAGCGGGTTCCCGCCGCTAAAATGCAGCACGTTCATCTTGTACTCTGACGTCCACGACCCGGCGCAGCTGTACGCGATTCCCGTCCACCGGCCGTCGGGCGAGGACAGGAACTGCGGGCCCTCGTTTATGCCTGATTTCCCCGAGTACTCCCACTGGTAGTCTGGCGAGGAGATTCGCACGGGCGGCGCGATGACTTTCGTCGGCGACTCCATCTTCATGATGAAGATCTCCTGCTTGGAGGCCGACAGCGTCTCGCCGATCGGCCAGCCCGAGTACACGAAGTACATTGTTCCCTGGAGTGTGATTGCCGTGCCGTCGATGGCCCACTGGTCGTCCCGCATGCCGTGGAGCTTGGAGTGGAACTTCCACTTCGCTGCGTCGAGCGGGGATTCCGAGGCGGAGGGGCCTTCGAGCACGTACATCCTGTGCGTGCGGTTGCCGAACGCAGGGTGCGCGGCCGCGAAGTAGACGTACCATTTGCCGTGGATGGCGTGGATTTCGGGCGCCCAGACGTCGGCCGTGTACTCTGTGTCGGGCGGTGGGCGCCAGATGACGGTCTTCGTGCACTTGGACTCGAAGTCGAAGAGGGATTCGCCGGACCAGACTTCGACGCGGTTGCCGTCCGCCGTGAAGGTCATGTAGTAGGTGCCGTTGTGGAAGAGGACGTAGGGGTCCGCGCAGGATCGGTCCGTGATGTTGAGGATGTGGTTGTTGTAGGCCCGCGGCAGCTGCATGTGCATCTTGCCTGGGTTCTCCCCCGGGAAGTCGATCATGTTGTCCGTTTGGGCGAGCTGCTGCTCTTTCTGCTTGCGTCGTGCTTTCTGGAGCTGCTCTTCGTATTCGCACGCGTTGATCGAGGACACGGCCGTGAAGTGCATGGTCCAGCGGGAGCGGGATCAGGGTCAGCTGGCCCTTTTATAGTCATGTATGTACCAAGGTATGTATGTATGCCCCCGTCTGGTGGGCTAAGGAACGGCAGACCGTAGAGGTAGGTCGTTAATGCAGGGTGTAGCACGTGGACGCTCTTGGGGCTTGCTTGGTATGCGGTCTTGTGTTGTTTTTCGTTCGTATTTTCTGTCGTTCCACATGGGAAAAAGCGGGAAAAGCAGATATAAAAAGGATTCGCATGCACCCCCAGGAACCTTGCCTCATCCATGTTTATCAATTGGTGGGTTGGTTGGCTGTGCACACACGATCGAATGCACATCATCGTTGTTGGAGGACGATGCGAATCGAGACTTGACGTCACATGGAGGGGACGCCTCACATCACAGACATCGCCAATCCCGACCAATCACCTCCGACCCCTCCCACAGTACTGTTCAATTAGGTAATTATCCACGACTGTCTGCGTGAGGTGGGTTTCATAAGGCACGACAGAAAATTGGGGGACAACATCAGGCGACCAACTCTGCAAGGCTAGGTATCCAAAAATGTCATAATTTTAGCGGTGTCATTAACTTGGGGACTCGGGGAGAAGGGGAGGGTACGGGAGGCCCTTTTTTGCTATTGTGGGGTGGGTGGAGAGGGGCCCAGGAGGCAATGCAATGCAATCAACAAGTGGCGGTGGATCTGCCAAAGTCGTAAACTTGCTCTAGAATCTCAAGCCACCTGCGCCTCGAAGAGGCTCGCGGCTGGATAAGTCGGCTCGTTCGTTCCGTGATGCTGCAGTAGATGATAGGTACCTGGTCGATTTAGTGGTCGACCGACCATCCAAGATCATTGACGGCAGGTGGATCAAGCATGATCATTTAATGAACAGAAGAAATGTCACTTCAGCAGCAAAAGATGCAGTTTGCAATTATTCTTTCAATTGTGATAGCCAGGGAAAAGGCTCCCTGCCATATATATCCCTCTTCATTATACGAAGAGTTACAGTCGCTGGTCGCACAAGTGATGATGGAGCGAACATCCTGTTCGTCCAGAATGAAACCTCCGAATCCACAAATCCACGCTCCTTTTGACTGGCTTTGAATGTGTATGACATATCGACATCAAGCGAAAACAAATATTGGTATCCAATAAACACATGCACAGTAAAAACTCCAATCCCCAGCTCCCTTCTCACAAGAAAGGGCAGAGGCCGCTTCAGGACAGCCTCCCAAGATCCAAATGGCGAGAGAAAAAGATATAGAACGAGTAAGAGGTTGGTCGAATTCAAAATGTCACGCTCGCCTGTGACGCAAACGGGGAGGTCCGCAGAGGGTACCGTAAGAAGTATATGCCGCAAAAGAGAAAAGAAATTAAAAGTCGTCACGGAGGGTTTGGTCAGCACTAAGCTCGCCAGTTTCGATGCGTTCGACACGTAGAACGAGTTCCTGGTCGAATGTTAGTGGCCGTCGTGCCAAAAGACAGTCTAATACGTACCTTCATAGTTCGTGCAGTCTTGAAAGCAAGCTGAGACACCCGCTCTCGACCGCTGTCTCGACTGCTGATATCGAGCAGACTCTGCCTGCACTCTTCGAGAACTTCAACAACGGGAATTGCGTGCTTCTTCAGAGCCAGATTCTTCGTCTTCTGAACGGCTTCACGCGTCTGGGAGCCCGTATCTTCTATAGCATAAGAAATATCCCTCAAGTAAGCAGAGATTTGCTGTTCTTCTGCAGGCGTGGAGATCGGATTCGATCGAATAAGGTCGACGAGTGGCTGGATGCTCTTGACGAGCTTGTCGGTCTGCTCATCCAGGTAATTCTGGTGGAATGTGAGCAGACTGCCCCTGACACTGGAGAACAAAGGGTTATACCTTGAACTCAGTCATACCAACATCCTTCTCGAATCCCAAACCATTCATCCCGGTGCTTTGCCTGTCATATCCGCTGTAGGGAGAACTATAGGTACTGTAACCCGCCGAACTACTGCTACCTCCACGACTGCGATGCCTGGTGTGGCCCTGAGCAGCCCCGTTCAATCCGCCATTGGTTGCATTTGAGTTGTAGGGATTGTAGGTCGAATATGTCGTTTGTCCATTTGGCTTCAATGGCATCGGCATGTCATCCTCCTCTTCAAGTTCAAGCTCATCATTTGAGCTTGGCCTCACTTTAACGTGCTTGACTAATTCAATAACGGCGGTCGAGAGATGGCTGGCGGCGGCATCGAGAAGGCTGACGGGAGACAGGCCATTGGAGGACGCATGGTTCTTACTAGCAGTGATCAGGTTATTCGCGGTGGCGCTGACACGGGATTTGAGCTTCATCTGCTGCTTTTCCGGGCTTGCAAAAGCATCACCATTGACACTGCTGTTGGGCGATTGCATCTGAGAAAGAGGCGTGCTGTCAATATCTCCAGTGATTGCTCGTACGCACTTCACCACATGCTTCATGCTCTCGAGAACCTGCTCTGACTCTGGACGTCGAGCAACCTGCAACAATTCGTCGATGCTAAGCTGGAATTTAGTAAGATGAACGTCCTTGACCATGCCATCTGGGGTACTCAAGGTTCCGTCGCGACCGTAGTTGGCGACGTTGGGAGAAGCCAGTGGCGCCAGTCCGATTGATGAAGCCTTCAGGGTGCGTATCTGAGTCTTTAACCGGGCGTATCGAGACTTCCAGTCTTTGACCTCTGCTTCCAGCGATGTTACTTGTCGTGACAACTTCTCGTCTTTCTCCATGGCTAGGTCGCTACGGGCTGATAGTTCCCGCATTTCCTGTAGATACTGTGAGGCGTCTCTTCGTACTTCATCCGCAAGCTGCTGTTGCTCATTCAATTCTTGCTCGAGCTCTTCAGCGCGACGTCGCCACTCGTCATCGCCAGTGTTGGAGACTTGCTGGGGAGGCCGCTGTTCCAAATCAGCAATTTGGTCTCTCAGGCCACGCTCGACCTCTGAATTCTCCGTTCGTATCCGTTCGATTTCTGATCGCAAGGATGAGTTGAGGTCTTCGGCCTTTCCGACCTTGTCTTCCAAGGAGTAGCGAAGCTCATCCCATTCCGCTCGTTCAGAGGCAATTGTCTGCTCAACGTTAGTAAGGGGTGATACGTTAATGTTCGTGTGACATACGCTATCTCGTTGCTTGTCGGCGTCTTGCAATCTCTGCACCTCGGTATCTTTATCTTTCAAAGACCCTTCTAATGACTGCAGTTTGGATTGCAAATCTGCGACTTGGGATTGCAAGTCTGCCACGAGCTTCTCGTTCTGCAAGTGTGGTCAGCTAGATTGCACAGGGCAAAACAGTACTATATCCTACCTCGGGATTAAGACTCCTCATGCTCTTGTTCGTCTGTCGTCGACTCTGTCGTGGAGCAGCACCCTCAAGGTTGAATGCGTCTTCATCATCTTCATTTGCTGCGCTGTCGTCATCATCATCCTCGACCATGGTACCCTTATTTGGCACGATTGTGTTCTGTTGGAAGGTCTTCGGTAAAGGTCGACCAAAGTCATTGCTCGGCGCGCCGGGTCTATGGGCCCCTGGTGGTGGTGGACCACGGAAATTTGGTGGACCACCAGGCGGCGGGCGTCCACGCATGCCTCCACCCATACTGTTTGGTGTGCCGACCCGACTCGGTCCGTTCCTGCTCGCCGAACTCATTATACTGCTTGCGGGACTGGAGCTTCGCGGGATCTCGCCGCCGGTGAAACGGGGGAACCTCCTCTCCAACTCATAAAAGACATCGGTAGCAAGTTGTCGAAAGCGCTCGAGGGGCAGTGTGGAGAGCTTCTGTCGCGCTTGGTTGCGCTTCGGGTGGAATGTAGTCTTCGGTAGCAAGAACTGTGGGGTATCGTTTCCTGGAGCACCTGGCCCCCCTCGTTTGCGATCTTGCTCTCTTCGTATCGACTCGTCGTAGACATCGGTGCTGAGTTCCTGGAATTGGACAACCGAGAGTCGTGTAAGCTTGTCCTTGGCCCTGCTCGCCCGTGGGTTTCCCTTCTCGTCGTTGATGTACGGTGCGAGATAGCTTCGTAGTACGCGATAATGTTCTGATAGTGTCTCCTCCAACTTCATCATCTTTTGTCTGTTCAAGTTCTGATCGGGAAGACCTTGGGCATAAAGGCCAGTTCCGTCGCTAGAGCGGCCTACAGAGCTGGGGGGCGACGGGTTGCCGTTTCCTGCAGGACGCCCCATTCCATTTGGCATGCCTCCATCGGTGACGTTTGTGCTACTGTGTACGGATGCGGGCGGCGTAATACCGCCACGGTTGTTCGGTGGGAGGGCGGGGGAGTATGGATTGTCGCTTCCTCCTCCCAAGCTTTGGTATCGAGTGATGGGGGACCATTCGGTGCTATCGGTAGAGACAGGCGACAACGTGCCATTGCGGCCTGGCGCATTCATCATGTTTCACAGCGTTCGCAGTGCGGTGAGATCTGGCAGGAGGAACTAGGGCGTGTAGTGTGTCGGAGTCCGCAGTGAGGGCTCAGCTAGGCCAACGTCTGGCGGCGGTGCGCTGAGTGGGATCGGAGCAAAAAAAGGTGAAACCCAAGAGTTCGAAATAAGGCCTCGGGAGGACACAAACTTTGCCGGATCTGGGGTTGAAACGTAGTCGAGTCTAAGGTGACACGCTTACAGGAGCGTTCGCAGGACGGGTATTGAACATATAAATACGATGGGAGAGAACAAGGCCGTGGGGAATAGCAGCGCAGTCGATTACGATTATCTGGGGACGTTTTTTGAGGCGGTAGCGTCTAGTTAAAGCGCCCGCAGAGCAGCAAACACGGGAGTGATGGCAGGGACAGCGACAAGCAAGCTAGCGCTGTATAGAAAAGAGAAGTCGAAGATTACGCAGTTGAAGAAGAAGAGGAATGATGAAGGAAGCAGCAGCAGTGACTGTGGGAAGTGAAAGGCACGCGAAAAGGAGCGAAATGTCGAGCCACGGGCCGTGAGGGTTAAACGGGATTAAAGGGATGGGATGGGATGGGAGGATGGGGATGGGGTTGACGAGATTGCTGCCACCGCTGCGAATCCCAAATGTCGGTGATGAAAGGGCAAGGGCCCCCTTTGACGCGGCTGGAGGGTACCGGGAGGGTAGTTAGAGTGACTAGAGCATCTAGGTAGGTGCTACAATAGGTACGACGGCGGCGGTGCAGGTGGGTACCTGTTGTAACTGTACTCGTCGATAGACAAGGCGAATGCCAGTTTACTAAGGCAGTAAATGGTTTGGACTGTTGAGTGGTGGTGGTTGTCGTTGATTCTTACTCGCAGTACACAGTATTTTGTTGCAATTTCGCAGTGAATGGTTGATTGTTGTTGGTTGTTTGTGGAGGGTCATTCGTTGTCTTGGCTCCGGGCGCTTTTCTCGTTGGAATTCAAGCGCTAAATTGGACCAGCCCAGGCTAACTGCCACGAATGATGATGCAGTACGGCAGGCCAGGGGGAGGGGTGGATGGATGATGCAGTATCGAGGTAAGAACCGCAAGATCTTCCTTTTGCTCTTGTGTTGTTCGCAGAAGACGAGATCGTGTATTTTCGAGTGCGTACTTGGGTATGTAGTAGGTAGGTACGACTTGAAAGAAGAAGTAGTAGTTCATGGACCAGTGGGGACTGATATACTCGTAGTGTGTGGAGGGATTGATTGGTTGCGGTCGGCGGACGATGCGATTCGTTCATCCGTCGCGTGTGTAATTCAGGTCTTTGTTGTTGCCAACGTCTTACGAGCAGTAGTGAAGATGAAGGTGAAGGTGAAGGTGAGAGTGAAGGTGAAGACGAAGACTGTTTACCTAATTCGTAAAGTGAAGTCACTGGTGAAAGGAAAGAACAGATGAAGGGCTTAGATAGTCGAGTCGTCCCAAGCCACAGATCCGGCAACAGCGACGACAATAACAATGGCAAGAACGAACCACCACCAAGTATCACCACCATCATCATCATCATTATTACCAGTGTCCGAATCTTATGATTGCTGTATGTAGGTAGAATCTACCATCTAGCCTCCAATCGAGACTCCACACCCGAGCAAGAGAACAAGTCTCGATCTCGCACTGCATCCATCCATCATCCGATTCCAATCATCTGCACATTCATTTCGTCCCTTTCATTCTTCCCTACTCACCCACACCCGATTCTTGGGGAACACTAACCGGTAGTTACACCCACCTCCAATGGCAGACAAGTAAGCGTTGCATTTCCAGATAAGCCGGTATGGTACATTGGAACGTACGGTAAACCTAGCTAGTGATCACCATCATATCAGCCATCACCGTATAGTATACGGAGTACTCCGTTCAGTACAGCACTCATACAACCAACTACCTCTTCACACCATGATATATTATCAACCACTGGCCCCTACTATAACAACGCTCATCTCATCTCATCGCCGCATCGCAGGTTCCCACGGACAAAGTCTCCCCCTGCCCTGTCCGGCGCACATTCAAAATTTCCCATTTCATGCCCGTCCTTGTCAATGCATGCCCACCACGCCCTAGTACCATTTGAGCCACTCGCCCACGGAGTGGAATTGCATGTGTAGATTGCTGCGAATGGGTTGGTATGTGTGTGTTTATTGATCATCATTGTCACTGAGTAGTTACCCATAGTCGCATTTTCATGTCGACTCTAACGTAGAAGATTTACTTTGACTGCATATTCCCATGGGGGAGGGGAGAGTTTCTTGAGGAGACTCGAACGAACGAACGCCTCCTACAACGCCGTGCAGCTGTTCGCGCGCGCCCCTGCCGAACGCCCCGATGTCTCCCTGGCAGTAAAGTTTAACTACAGTCCAAGTTTGCTGCGCGGCGCGCCGTTGGAGAGAAAAAAATAAATAAAATAAGATAAGATGGCTATATGTACCCCATACGCCCTCCTTAAGCCAAAGTACGCCGGCACCTGTCTCTTCCCGCTCCCGAGCCTCCCTATCGATTACACTCCTTATTTGTGCTTCAATTCATGCTGTTGCTATGGTCATTATTATGTATTATTATTGTCATGTGATGCCATAATGTTTTGATTGTGTGGTCGTGTCCCAGGCGGTGCCAAGTCCCAAAGTCAAATCTCCTTGTTCCTGAGCACCGACAGCCTGATGTTCAGTTCCCTGAATCCAGACTGTCTCCGCCGTGGTATCCCGGGTTCCGCTAGGATCAATCGAGTTGCAGATCTGGTACCAAAATCCACTGCAGCATCGCGATGCTTACGCGGTGCCTGGTTGCGGAAAACGGAGACACGCACGTACCGTGCCGTACCTGTCGTAGTTCGCTTCGTACTCGTAACTCTATCGGACCAAGTCGCGCGTCTGCCCGTGACTTCGCAATCGCTGGGAGGGATTCCTTGGCACCGCCGTATCCAGCACCCAGCCTTACGCAGGCATTTACTGTGTGATTACTGCTAATGCGGAGCTCATCGCGCCCTCTTGATCTTATTCGGAGGTTGCTTCCTGCAATCGGGACACAGCCAGTCTCCCACAGGCTCTTCCTTGATGCCAACACACTCCCAATGGAACCACTGATAATGACAGTTGTCGTTGTCGCATGCCACCATGTCCCCGAAACTAACGCGCTGACAGAAGCAGTACTTGGTGTCGTCTGACTCGTCCTCCTCGTGCCCCATTCCTCCCATTTCCTCGTCTTCTGTGCCACCTTCACTGGCCGCACTCTCATCTTCCGCCGTTGTTGATGGCGACGCGCGTGAACCGCCGCCGTTAGTCCCCACATGTTTGCGCCGTTTCTGTTTGTGCACTCCAGACTTAGCCGTCAGAGCTGCCTTCCGCAACGGTTGTTGCGGTTTCGCCTTCTTAACTGTGAGTGCGTTCTTCTGGGGTTGTCTAGGTCCTACACTGCCCTGCCGCGATCCAGGTGTTGACGGCTTCGGCGTTGATGGCCCAAGGGACGCCTGTCGTCCTAGCGACGAAGGAGGCTGCGGAAGGGGCCCTATGCTCCCATTCGGACGTCGACGTTTTCCATCGCTCCCTGTGGATGATTCCCTCTCTTGCCGTGGGTTGGCAGGCAGAGGGCTTTGTGCATTTGTGAGTCTCTGTTGGTTAAGCAGCGCCTGTGTCTGCATGTTCTGTGGGGCAGATGGATTCATCCTGGGGGTAGGCGTCGTGGCACTCGTGATGCGCGCAATGGCGGCGGCCTGCGCGAGGTTTGGTCCTCCTGGATTATTGCCAGAGACTGGATGGAGAGGGGTGCTGGCGCCCGTATTGGTCAGCGAGGATGGTGGTACTAGATTTCCAGGAGATTCCCGTAGTAAAGATGGCATTTGGGGGTCTGTTGGTAGGGAGCCATCACTCTGTAGGTCTCGCAATTTGATATCCAAACGTTTCACGTGACGGTCCATCTAGATGTGTCAATAACGATGGTTCTGCTCATGCGCGATGGGTCAGATCTTACGAGTGCAGCAGCCTTCTCTACTAGGCCTATTTTTTCCTCTTGTAGGATCTGGGCTTTTTCATAGTTCTGTAGTACCGTCTTGGTGTAGAGTGCTTCTTTTGGATTCTCAACTAGGGCCCCGTTCAGTTTGATGAACTTCTGCAGGCTATTGTCACGCCCTGCAATGATAGCTCGACATTCTTGAATCTGCTGATCTTTGGCCTGCACCTCTTCGTAAAGATGTGTTATCTCTGCTGGCAAATTTGCGACTGCATAAACGTTAGCATGCATTCAATTTTGAACAGACATCGCTCTGCAAACCATCATGAATGAACTGCTCCAGGACAGTTGCCGCGTCCTCGGCGATCGCCATGATCACGACCACGGGTTTCTGATCGCTAAAAGGTGGCTAGAAGGCTGCAGGTAGCGTTGTTCTTCCAGAAAGCGCGTTGATTTTGATGGAAATATGATGGAAGTGATGGTCTTTTGATGAATTATGGATCGTGGTGGTTGATGATGGTGATTTGCGCCAGGACCTTCTACCACGTTTCCAGGTATGGCCCCGAGGAAGTGGCGAGTTGTGCTTATCTCCGAATGGTTCTTTCTCTCTCACTCAACCTTATCGCTTTCCCTTGCACGGAATTGAAAACAATTTAAATAACTTCTTGACGTACGTTGATGTTGGATATCGTATCACATTCTTTGTACGGTAGAGTAGATGCAAGCCAAGAGACGAGCACGGATCGCCACCTGAAAGCTAACGCACGTGACAAATTCCGTCAGCACGTCCAATCAAAACCGGGAACATGGATCTAGATTCCGCCTCGGAAGAAGAGCCTCAACCCGCCGACAATGCAACTGACGATCCAAGCAACGACGATTTCGTCGATGCCAACTTTGTGACCCGTCTGGAGAGAAGAACGCTGAACCATTAAGAAGGTCGCTATACGAAGTGCGCGACTGTCTGGCCATCTACGGAATCGCGGGTTCGTGGACGCTCATCCTCTTAGGCGAAGGACCAACGCCATCAGCGACCGTTGTCCCTTCCTTCTGGTCATTGTCGCCGCCATCAGCAAATTTGGATCTGGAGAAGCCAAGCGTGTCGCTGGACATCCATCGCCAAAAGTAGTCGGTTACTTTCGACTCGTCAAGCCGGATCGCGGGGGTTCCAGACTGCTTAGGCCACGTTCAGTGGTTGTGAATTTCTTTCCAAACCCTACGACATTGCGCGCTGGGAAGCATAAAGCGCACCGTATTCTTTAACGCACCAGTAATAGGACTGGACAACAACGATAAACATTATGAAGTCCACTTTTGAGTATCCTATACCGGCCACCAACGGTAACGGTATCATCAACAGTAACGGCAACAGCAATGGCAACGGCATCAACATGGGTAATGGTGCCAATAATCACCCTAGCAATAACATCGTCGAGGAATATCTTTGTGACGCCCCGGATCTTCCTGAACTGGACTACCAGGCCTTCAAGGGCCTCGCAGACGGCGACAAACAGGATGTCATCCAACGAGAAGCCGAAGAGTATGGATTAGAGCGGCCAAAGGGCTACAGTGTTTCGTTCCACTACAACCCCCATGTTGAATACCACCATTTCGGAAGCTCACATCCCATGAAGCCATGGCGACTTACATTGACGAAACAACTCGTCGTAGGTTACGGCCTAGAGTACACCATGGACCTGTACGAGCCGCGCCCAGCAGGCTTCGATGAGCTTGCCATCTTCCACGACCGAGATTATCTGTCTTTCCTGAGCGAGTAAGTGACAACTCGATATTGTGGTAGATCTTTTTAACGCGTGGGCCTAGAATCACACCCCAGAACATGAAGCCAGATGATCAAAGTTATCTGGGGTTCGGCTTTGGAGGTGACTCAAATGATTGTCCCGTCTTTGATGGCATCTGGAACTACGTTTCGCTTTACAGTGGCGCATCCATGCATGCCGCTCAGAACCTTCTCAACAACCAATCTGAAATCGCCATCAACTGGTCCGGCGGTCTACATCACGCGCTGAAAGGCAAGGCATCAGGGTTTTGCTATGTCAATGATATTGTCCTGGCTATCCAACACCTTCTGACCCAACATCAACGCGTACTCTACATCGACATTGATGTCCATCACGGTGATGGCGTGGAATATGCCTTCGAATCCACAGACCGCGTCTTCACCCTCTCGTACCACAAGTTCGGAATCGATAGAACAGGTTATCCCTTCTTCCCTGGCACCGGAAATATCAACGAGATGGGCCCGATCGACCCTGCCAACAAAGGCAAAGGCCACACGCTTAACATCCCAATCGACGACGGCATCGACGACGACCAATACAAATGGCTTTTTAAGACAGTGACAGGCGCAGTGGTAGAAAAATACCGCCCCAACGCCATCGTCTTACAAGCTGGCGCCGACTCCCTCGGTGGTGACCGTCTCGGCCGCTTCAACCTCAACATCAAAGCGCACGGCTTCTGCGTCGAAACCGTGAAAAGCTACAGCGTGCCATTGCTCCTCATAGGCGGAGGAGGCTATACGCCCCGCAACGTCGCGCGCACATGGTGTCACGAGACGGCCGTTTGCGTGGGCGCAACCCTCCACAACCATCTGCCCACCCACATCCCGTACATCCAAGCCTTCCAGGGCGAGGAGAACGGCGGAGGAATCCTCTACCCAGACCTGCACAACACCAAGCGCCACGACAACCTCAACAAGCAGCTCGCCCTCCAGGAGCTCGTCGCGCACGCCCTCGACAACCTCCGCTACATGGAAGGCGCACCCAGCGTGGTGGTCAACACCAGCGGCATCACGGAAGAGCAAATCATGAAGATCAGGGCGGAGATCGATCGCGAAATCGACGAGGAGCGCGAGGATAGACACCACATGAGCGTCGAGAAGGCCAGGCGGACGAGAGAGCGCAACACAGGCGGGCGTGCGGAACGCGGACTCCGCTAGCCTACCTACCTCCCTCCGTGTCCTCATCATTATCATTCACGAAGATATTCATCTCGACTACCAAGCTTAGGTTATCACATCTCGAACAACGCACTTGAATCGCTGTTATTTTGGTTTCTTTCTGGGGGCCAGGAGAGGGAGAACTTGGCGAACAAAGGAGTCAAATAGTGAACCACCTGTTTTATCATTTCTTCACTCTTTCTTCCTCTACTTCTACTACTATCATGTTTTTTCTTAAAAGAAAAGATACCCATCCCCACCCACACACGTTGGTATGGTTTGGCATGCCCCCTCCAGCCCGCAAATGCTACGTTTCTATGCTTCCTTTTTCTATTTTTTTGGTGCAGGAGTGTATATAAAAATTGGAGTTACTAAGAGCAAGAAGATCATCGAAACTATGCCACACATCTCGTTGAAAGATATATAGCGTGTGTCCAGTCCATGCGAGTAGTGAGCCAACTTACATCGAAAATAAATTTCCTAACACGCATCTACGTCCCTCTCCCGTCTCAAGCACACATTATATCTACTCACTAAATGTACATACATACATGCATACATAGTGTACCCACACCCGCACGATCTGGACCCGCCCGCCTTTGTCACCATTGGCATCAAAAAAAAAGCTCCAGTACCTTGGCTAGCACCGGCGTTTAGCGACCAACTTGCGGCCGACGTACTCTCCCAAACACCCACGTCTTATTCAACCCTTTCTATCCTGTGCATACCGCGGCGATATTCGACGGTGTTTGTCGGCCGCGCAGCAGGGAGGTCAAGTAGGACTTATTTGGTCACGATGGAGATCACGAGAGGTATATCGTCATATGTTAGACGGAGGGAGAGTGTTGTACGATTGAATTCACCGTTCGAATTCCCCGTGACGGAGATGTGCGAGATGTCCGGTGGGGATTTCGGGGATAAGGGAATTAGCGATTGGTTGAAGCGTAGTTTTGAGTCATCGTGGGTAGGTAGTTATGGTATTTTTATTTTTTGGGGTACGGAGGGGAGAAGGGACATGTTGGTCGGAGATGAGGATGGACATGCGGTACATATCGTCTTCATGTCTATCAGGTACGCGTATCAAGACATCGGATAAGATCCCAGGGCAGTCGGAGGAAGCACACTGCTGGTCGAGAGGGTTGTACGACACTTCTACACGGCGCTAGGCTGGGTTTGGAAGGGGGGTTCGTTAGAGCGAGAGAGATCGACGCGGGGAGGGATGTCTAGTCCTCCCGCCCGTTCGCAAACTCACACGCACAGTTAAATGTCTCCGGCGACCTAAGAAAGGTTGGTGGAAGCTTCTTCTTCTCGCTTTTTTTTTGTCAGGATGGGGTTCTGGAATTTGAGGCTCGCTTTGGACTGGAGGCTTGTGATAGTTGATGCCATGTGACGATGTACGAATATAAGATGGCAGCTTTGGACAACGATGGGATGTGAGAACGATGGAAGACGGATCCCGCGGGCGTAGGAAGGGCGGTTGCCTGGCATCCAGATGCAAATGTATGCGGTGTCAAAGTCATTTGATACGAGCTTCATCGATGCAGGGCAGAGCAAGGGAAGGGCAGAGCAGGGGACGGCGAAGAAAGGCATTTTCGTCCGTTAGCCACAAAAAGTGTATGTAGACCAGTACAATGCAATATCTACAGGCATGCTATGAGCCTTAAGGCGCACATGGAACTAGCATCGTACCTCATTCAACCAATCGCACACGCCGCCTGCAACGGCCTGCTCCGTAAGCAACGGAGGGGAAAGGTAGAATAGCAAAGGATTACCCATCAGATGGGGACGATGGAACACTGGAACGCTGGACTGGGGGGACCCTTTCTTTCTTCTTCAGTGACTCTTTCCGTGTGGCTGGATCTATCAAATCATCGATACCCTTCTCATGGGACTATGACGAAAGGTCATCGGCCCGATCACCTAGGAAAGTGTGGTTTTATTACGAGGTAGCTGCGAGGTACTATGTCATGTACGAGTTGGTGATGTGGTATGGGTTTATGGTGGGATTGGATTCCCATCCATGTACGAGTCACTACTACCAGCAAAAAAAAACTACCATTATCTTCCTCCTCCTGACGGTGTATGTACTACTAATTAACTCATCCTCTACTTTCGCATGATGCCAAACCCCAGAAGGACTTGCATGTAAGACCTAGTCAATCAAACTATTTTCCCTCTGAGCTTCCTTTTGTCGAGGCTGAATCCATTTCATTTCTACTTGTCCTTTCTTCTTCTCTTCCTCTTCTCCACATCGTCTTCCTTTTCCCTCTTCCTCATTTTCCTATTTCCTTCTATGCAGCCCTGCCAGACCATCGGGGGTTATTCTTTGATACACCTCCGACACCTCGACGACATCGACAGGGATCATCATTAAAGTTTCCCTTCCTCCCCCTCTGCTCGTACGAAATTCTTATCAATCAACCCAAACCCTTCCGCCCCTCTCGAGTGTGCGCGCGCATACTCCACAAACACACACGGTCACGATCCCCAATCGTGCGTGTCTTCGTTTCCCAACTCACAACGCCCGTTCCGTTCCCACTCTGCCGCAATGACAGAAGAAAAAGTCCTCCACTCCGCCGGCAACCCCAACCACGACCGCGTCCAGAAGCCCAACGGCAGCATCAGCGGCGCTAGCACCGGCTTAAATCCGCGCTCTTGCGTCACCTGCAGGCGAAGGAAGGTAAAGTGCGACAAGAAGCAGCCGTGCTCCAATTGCGCCCGCGCGAAGATCGAATGCGTGTTCCCCGGCCCCGGGCGCGCACCCAGGAAGAGCAGGAAGCCGCAGGATGGGGAGCTCATGGAGAGGCTGCGCCGGCTGGAGGGCGTCGTGCAGAGCTTGAATGCGCAGGTCGAGGAGCACGAGCAGGAGGCTGCGGAGAGGGAGAAGCAGACTAGTTCGAGTGACTGTCCGTATACGAGTAATAAGGCGGGGAGTCCCAGTGTCGCGGTTGACAATAGTGTCGAGGGGCTCGAGAGTCGGTTTGGGAGGTTGGTCGTGGACCAGGGTAGGAGTCGATATATCAATAACAGCTTCTGGGCGAGCTTGAATAATGAGGTAGGGCATCGCGTATGGGCTCTGTACTTTTGGTTCAGGTTACTAAAGTGCGCAGGTCGAGGATCTCAAATCCATTCTGATCGTCAATTCGGACGATGAAGATAATAACGAACAAGACAGTCCTGACACAAACTCGTCTTCGCAACATCAAGGCTTCGTCTTTGGTTACAGCTCTAACAGTGTAGACATGTATCCACTGCATCCCAAGCCCGAACTAGCCCGCGAATTCTGGGAAATCTACAAAGAGAATGTTGATCCGTTGGTCAAAGTCCTACACATTCCTTCCTTTGAGCCCGTCCTCTTCGACGCCTTTACACATCTAGATAAACTACCAAAGGGCCTCGAAACCCTACTATTCGCTATATACTACGGCGCAGTGACGAGTATACTGCCCCAGGAGTGCCAAGAACGATGGGGAGAGACCCGTGACGTCTTGTTGAGCAGGTATCGATTCGGACTAGAGCAGGCGCTTGCCCGAGCCAACTTCCTCTACTGCGATGAGATGGTCATTTTGCAGGCTTTCGTCGTTTTCCTGATCCTGCTGAGGAGAAACGACGACGCAAGAAAGATCTGGACGTTGACTGGATTGGCTGTGCGGATTGCGCAGACGCTAGGTATACACAGAGATGGCAGCCACTTCAGCCTGAAGCCGTTTGAAATTGAAATGCGCAGGAGACTGTGGTGGCAGGTTTGCATTCTTGATGCCAGAGCATCCGAAGACCATGGCTGTGACCCGACCATTGTTGAGGCACAGTTTGACACCAAGATGGTAAGTGAACCACGCAGGATGTCGATGAAGACAACTGACATATAGCAGCCTCTCAACGTAAATGACACCGACCTTGATCCCAACATGCAAAAGTTCCCCGAGGAACGCATCGGCTTCACGGACATGACATTCTGTCTCATCCGATTCGAGGTGGCCAACATCTTCCGTCGCATTCTCTACATCCCTCCCGGCCCAAATAGATGCAACGAATTCTTCGTCAACCTTACGATTCCCGAAAAGGAGAAATGGATCAGTGATTGCCACCAACGCCTCGAAGACAAGTACCTCAAGAACTGCGACATGTCTATACCCCTATTCTGGGTCACTGCAACGATTTCACGATTGGTAATGAGTAAGATGTGGCTGATTGTCTATCATCCTCATCAACGAAGGGACGGTGGTAAGTTGCATATTCCAGGACCACAATTTTCCGTGTATTAATATATCTAGGCGCCTCACTTCCCCAGGAAACCAAGGATAAGCTTTTCATCACGTCTTTGGAGAACATCGAATATTCCATTTTGCTCGAGACAGAAGCGCGGACGATGAAATGGGGATGGCTCTTCCGTACATACGTTCAATGGCACGCCATCGCCTTCCTCCTCTCCGAGCTCTGCGTCCGTACGAAAGGCGAAGCTGTAGAGCGTGCATGGAGAGCACTCGAGGCGACTGCCGGCCGGTGGTGGTTCCCCCTTGGAGACTCCAGTTCCTTCCGAAAGGGCGAGCAAGGATGCCTGTGGAAGCCACTCCGAAAGCTCTTGGCTAAGGCTAGGGCTGCCAGGGAGCGTGAGCTTGCGCTCGAACGTGCAAGTCTGGTGCTGAAGGGGGGAGGTGTTGCTTACCGTGACGTCCCCGCCCTACTCGAACAAACACCAGAAACTGCATCCTTGGACCAGCCCAGCTCAGAGAACATTGACAAGATGCTACGACCGTCCGCACCACGGCTAGGTGAAATGCCAGATGCAAACCCACCCAGCTGGGCCGGAAGCCCAGTGTCGCCTACCATGCAGTCCCCAATAGACGGACTCAATGACTCGAATCCAGCAACAAACGGACGCGCACCTCACCAGGACAACATCTTCAGTCAGCTTGACTACGGCCTGGACCACGTCATTCGCGATGTTATGGACGGACTGAACTATGATGACAACGGAATGTTCGCATCCTCCGCCATCGACATCCAAGAAATGAACAAATACAGACCATCCCTACAGCAAGTAAACCAACGCCAACCACATCAACAACAACTCACCCAATCTCCCGCCCAACTACTCCACCAAAGCCTCCCAGCCTCCACCACGACCTCACCCCAAATGCCACATCTAAACGGCACCGGCCTCTCAGGCTTTCCCCAAGTACAACCACAACAGCAACAAGCGCCAGGACCTTCCATCTTTGACTTCAACGACTCGCCACAATTCGGCGGTAGTGGCGGTGGCATGAGCAACTCGAGCGGGCCAACATCCGACTCTCCAGTGCTGGAGAACGCGAGCGGAGGCATGGATTGGGCCGGCTGGGACGACCTCGTGCGCGACTACGGCATGGATGGTGTGCAGGGTCAAATGACTGCGAATGGCGCTGGTCATTTAGGGATGGTGAACTGGTTTTAAGATACCTTGTTTCTCTTTTACATCAACATCAACATCAACGCATCAAATTTCATGGTTCGTAACGATGATAGACAAACCTACGATTCGACATTCATTGGGCTACGCGGATCTCGGAATCAGTATTTGGTTTCTCAAAGTCACGTCTCTATAGGAAAATTGCGAAATGGCCATCGCATACTTCCAATTGCTTCTTCATCCATTCAGCAAAAGGCCTCCGGCGCGAGTTTTGGACACGGCGTTTTCTCAACAGGATGACTTACATACCCCCCGCTCTTGCTTCGAATCCCTACTCACCTTTCTCGTCCAATATATCCACCATTCAGGAAATGAATCAGTTTAATTTATTGCGCCGCCATGTCTACATCCGCATCTAAATCACCTTACACTCGAAATCATGTATCCCGCACAAACCAACTCACAAATATGGCCGGAATTTTCTTCTATCTATTGTATGCATTACTTATACCTTGATACTTTTGCTTTCTGCATGGTGGTTTAAATGGGATGAGGTGCACCGGCGGATGTCCTGCTTGCTTGCTTAGTTTGGCTATGATGGAACAGGATGGGGGCTTCTGGTGGCCAGAATTGAAGGCATGAAATGGGATTTTTGTAATTATTAGCATTATGATGAATATGGAAATGTATAATTGAGGTATGATCAGATTCAATCTATTTCCATCGTGTGGATACATGCATGTGCACAGTTAGATGGCAATGCAGATCTCTTGTGGGTCAATTCGGGTTGCCTTGGCCGCCGAATATGAGTCGAAATCCGTCATTCTTAGTTTGTCTAGTCTGCTAGCCTGTAGTACGAGACATCCAACTTCACCCCACCGCTCCATGTCCTCACATATAAAAGGTTAGCCTCAAGACGTAGAATTAGGATTCTAATTAAACGAACGAAACACGACAAACACCCATTCACGTGCAGCCACATTAGAATATAATCAATTACCATGGAACCCGCCGATTTCGCACTCGGTCTCGACGTCCTGGGCGAGCAGCCGATGCTGCTCAAATTGTACACGCAAATCAGCAACATCTACCAGCTCCCCGACGACATCTCACACGATGTGATCGTGAAAACTTTAAAGGATGGATTGCACCGACTATCTGCCAGCTTCCCCTGGATAGCAGGGCAAGTGGTCAACCAGACCCCGGAATCAACGACACCAACGTACAGAATCGTGCCCCTGGAGCCAGCACCCAGACTGGTCGTCCGCGATCTAAGTTCCAAACTATCCTTTGAAGAGATGGAAAGGGCCAATTTCCCCTTCTCGATGCTCGACGAGGATGACATCGCACCGTGTAGGACTTTTGCTGGGTTCCCCTCCAGCACCACGGATGCGTCCGCTGATGGCAATGAGGCGCCTGTCTTCCTCGTGCAGATCAATTTCATCTCAGGGGGACTCTTCTTGACGTTCAATGCTCAGCACAACGTCATGGACATGACGGGGCAGGGACAGATGATCGAGCTGTTGGACAAGGCGTGTCGAGGGGAGGAGTTCACCGAGGAAGAGCTTAGGATTGGAAATATGGCCAGGGAGAACGTGGTTGAGCTTCTGGGAGAGGATTATGTTCCCGGGGACGAACTGAAATATCAGCTATCACCACCTCCAGATTCGACATCTTCAAACTCTGATCCCCCTCCGCCTCAAGAACCTCCCAGCTGCAAATGGACATACTTCAACGTCCCGCCCGCCTCCCTCAAGACCATCAAAGACCTCGCAACATCCACACTTCCCCCAACCTCAACCTCAACCTCAAACCCACAATTCATATCCACAGACGACGCCCTAACCTCGCACGTCTACCTCTCCATCCTGCGCGCCCGTCTCCCCCGTCTCCCCAACAACACCTCAAAAACAACAACCACCCTCGCCCGCGCCGTCGACGCCCGCCCCTTCCTCTCCCTCCCCTCAACCTATCCCGGACTCCTACAAAACATGACCTACCACACGAACCCGCTCTCGTCCCTCCCCTCCCTCCCCCTCGGCCACCTCGCCTCCTCCCTCCGCACCGCAATCCACCCCTCGACAACCGACATCCCGCACCGCAGCCGCGCCCTCGCCACCTACCTCCGGCGCCCGCCTCCGGACGCCCGCCCCGCGAACTTCACGGCTACCCTCGACCCCGCGGGCCCGGACTTCATGATCTCATCGTGGTGTAAGATCCCGCTGTACGCGCTGGACTTCGGACTCGGGGTCGGCGTGCCGAGGGCGGTCAGGAGGCCTAGGTTCGAGCCGGCGGTGGAGGGGCTGTGCTATTTGATGCCTAAGGGGGCCGATGGGGGCGTGGTTGTTGGGGTGGGTATTCGTGAGGACGATTTGAAGGTCTTGAGGGAACTGGAAGGGTGGAAGGACGTGGTCGTTGAACTTGGTTAAACTCCGCCATCGGCGTGTATATATTACTATCATCTATCTAGACGCTCACGAATCTATCAATCTACGACGCCTTCCTCCCCGACCCAACCGTAGCCCTAAACCACATCCAAACATGCCCGTCCCCCCTCCCCCCCTCCGCCTCCTCGCCCGCAACATCCCTAAGCTTCGCCGCGAAACTGCCCGCGAACTTCTCCGCTTCTTCCTCCGGAACCCCCTGAAGCCACGCCACGCGGATGAGCTTCAGAACCATGAACATGGTGTCGCAGAACTCGTCCGGCGTCCCGCAGTCGACTTCGCGTTCCTCCCGCGTCGTCTGCACGTCTGCGACCCCTGCGTCCGCGAGCGCCTGTGCTAGGTACTCGGGTGAGTTCCAGGGCCGTTTGGAGTACATGACGTCTTCGATTGCGCGCTCGGAGGGGAAGGGAGGGGCGGAGGCGACGCGTGAGGCTGCGCGCGCGGCGAGGTGGTACCAGGGCATGTGGAGCCAGGTGGAGACGGAGATGAAGGCGTTGGGGCGGAGGAGCTTGGAGAGGTCTTGGAGGACGGTCGGGGGCGAGAGGAAGACGGCGAAGTTGAGGAAGAGGTGGGTGTATGTTGTGGGGGCGAGCTTGGTGTCCTAGTTATATGGTGTTAGTTGGCTAAGTAGGCGGTTGATGTCTTAGAGACAATGTATGGTATGGAGGACGACAGCAACTTACGTTCAAATCAACAACCCGAGTCTCCAACCCCTTCCACCCCTCCTTCTCTCCCCGTTCCTTCAGGTACGAAAGCATGGGTTCTGAGATGTCGGCCCCGAGAACCTTTGTGGCGTCCCATTGCTCGCGCGGCAGTGCGTCGTACATGGCCTTCGTCACGGCGCCCGTCCCGCATGCGAGATCGAGGACATTGAGCTCCTGGCCTGCGGGCGTGTTCTTGATGTCGGATCGCTGGATCATGACCTCTGCGAAGGGGCCAGAGGCCTTCTCGGCGCGGGCGTATTTCTGCGCGATGGCGGGGTCGCTCCACGCGATTTGGGTGGTGTTTTTTACGGATGGGGTGGCCATGGTGGGTTGTGGGGTTCTTGTCGTTATTGATGGTGGAGATGCGTTTTGATATAAACTGCTGGTGGTGATGGTGGTCCTGAATTGATGGTGTTTTGTCAGAGTTGATAGTGGATGAAGGTGAATAGATGATATGAATGCTCTATGTATAGTCTTGATCATGTAAATAATTTGAAGCCTTGGAAATAACGATATGCTGAAGAGTGCTTACTGCGTCTTTTATATATTAATCCCACATGGCGTGGGGCGTACTTGTACACTTCATGGTCGCAAAATGGGCATGTCTAAGCCCTGCAAATACTCCACCGAAATCCTCAGCACTAGTCTACATCAATAGAGATCTGTACGATTGAAGTGGATGATTTCCCGCATTAACTCTAGGAAATCCTCCGCGAGGAGTTGGTGTTGACGATGTCTGAGGATGTTGTTGGTGAAGTGGGTATGGGCTCGGAGACATTTCGTCAGGCGTGCCGTGCAGAGTGCTTATAAAAGGCTCCGAGAGGGCCAGCTGGAGCAGGGCGTGCAGGGGTACACGCGCAATGCGTTTCGCACGAGAAACGGTGGAAACGATCAACGACAGGCGACTGAGAAGATATCGAGAGTAATTGGATGGTATTGGTATTCTGGAAATGGAGTACTGCTATGATATGACTCCAAGATGTGGGAAAACTCCTGTGAGATTTACCACGAAATGCATGTTTGCCGCCGTCTGTATGCCCGTGGAGAACGCCGCCCGCTATGCTTTAACAAAAAGAGATCGCTTTCCTCCCAATTCAATCTCATACTGCTTCTGACTCTGTGTCGAGCCACTCTCCAAAGTAAACGCAAGTCCTCGCGGATATCTCTCCTTCGTCGCTGCAAATTTCGAATACCGGGCAGTTTCCGCATGGTGCATCGACGAAGCCATTGAAGTTCTCCTGTGTTGACAGAGCGCGGCTTGCGAGGCGGTAGTTGTTGCCCATAATCTTCTCGAGGCGGCCTTCCAGCACCATCATCTCGAGGAGTTGCTCCATGTCTGCGACTGACAGACTCTTGTCCTTGATGATATTGGCGTTGTTGATAGCATCGCGGAGGGAGGTGGCGGTGGGATATTTAGGGCTATCGCGCAAGACTGTGGTGATTCTATTTGGATCTCTTGGAGGGCGGAACGTCCGTACGGGAGTGTCCTCAATATCCATAACCTCTTTTTGCTGTGCTTTCTTCCTCGCGATCTCGGCCGATCTATCTTGTGTAGCCGCTCTTGGGTAATCATTCCAATTGCCGGGAACCTCTAGGCATGTCTCCTTCTCTATAATCTTTTCCACTACCTCCGCTACTATTCTTATAAGAGGCATGTCGAATTCACCTTCGGATTGCCATGGACCGCCGGCGATATCTTCCGAAGGGCGCAGATGTTTCAGAAGGTACATTTTGCGGTTTGGATGTTTGACGCTCATGACCGATTGGACGAGGTCTTTTGACTCAAGGCTCTTCAGACATTTGTTCAACATCTGGGTGGTGACATTGGTACGCATGCGCAGGGCCTTTGACCAGATACCGTCGGCTTGCACTTGATCGATGTGATGGTAGAGAAGGCGCTCTTCGGGAGTTAATTTTCGTAACCTACATATCATTAACAACAAGGTCCATACAAATTAGAGGCGCCATTGTGTCTCGCATGCATACCTTTCAGCCTCCTCCTTTGTCCGGACCTTCCAGCAAGGCTCACCATCGAATTGCATAATCTTCATGAGATGCCTGTCCACCAATTCTTGCAGGATCACCACAAGTTCCTGCATATTCGCAATCGCCATATTCGCTAAGTCACGCTGGAAGAATACGGTGCCCTCGGGAGCCTCGGCGCATTTCTGGTAGAGCTGCTCCATCCGCTCCTGTTGCGTTCTCGCTTGGTCGAGTGCCTCGTCTTCGTCCCTTTTCACCGCCTCTGGCGCGGCTACAGAGGCGCTCGCCATGACGGGAGAAGAATATAGTGATGAGCGATAGTTGTGAATATGTGATGTTATCGGGAAATCATTTGTGGTGGGCGGGTAGGTGGTTGGCGGTGGGATACCAAGGTTGTCGTGGATTGTATGATTCAACACAAGAATTCTGATTGACTGACAAAAAAGTTTACTGGGGTGGGGTACCGTTGCACTTTGGAGCTAATACGGATACGGCTTAGTCATGTCTCAGCACTTTGCGGGGGAGGGAAAGCCAAGTTCATCGACCCTTTTCATCTCCAAAGACGCCGTCTCTTATTGCAATTTTATGCTCGTTGTCCAATAACATCTATGATTACAATAATGGCATCGTCAAAAGACTCTCCTATGTCTAGCTTCACACTAGATCACTCGCCTCCTCCCCATTGAGCTGTGACACCGCCTCCTATCCGAGTCAATTTCATTGCCGGGTGGCTGATGTATGATTCGAACCTCTCGAGCAACTTCTTATTGACTCCATTTATAAGCTGTGATGACGAGTACTTCTACGCAGCCGAACCTCGTCGGTAAACGATTCGCGAGTCTCACCATTCTGTGATTGATGGTTCATGGAAATGCTTCTCTCATAGCATACATGGCGTTGGATGCGCCCTGTCCATGAGCAGTGTACGGAGCATGTTCAACAGATTTCAGAAAAGATAATGCACATGCATCATCGTATCCCAGCGAGGCCCTGCTTGAGGTACATCCTTCGGTGTCGCGTTGTGAAAATAGACTGTCTCCCCTGAAACTTAGGACGAACATCAAATGCGGGGAGAATCCACCCTGGGGTAAAGCCGGATATCCTCTACCGAAGACACCGCAATTAGTTGCTGGGGCACGTCCATCTGGAGTAATTGTTACGGCAACCAGTGTCACAAGGCGGCATGCCTATGCCTGAAGCTCTGAGCCCTCCCAAAATACTTCGAACCGAGCTTCCGCGAGACTAAGACTGAGCCTGAGACCCTTTCGCCTTCCCACTCGTATCCATTGTGCTGGATGCTTCGGCTATGGAATCTCGCTAGCCACGTGGAGTATCATGCCGCACACATGCAGTATGTGCTATGTACGATGGATGCAGTACGAAAACTTGCGAGATTGTCAGCAGCGCCATTACGATTCGCAAACTGTTCCTTATCGTCTCATTCGTGAAAAATTGGCCGAGAAGGACATCGTATCCTGGGATGCCTTCGTGGAATGATCGCACTGGGCCCTCTCGGGCAGGTAATCTGGTCAAGCGATCGGAATGCCTGTTGTTTTGAGAGAGGGGGAGTTGCACAGGCCGCGTTCCCTAGCTGCTCCACTCCAACCCTCCCGTGTCCTAGGCTCTTAGTCTAGAATGGTATGTAATGTTACCTCGTATGTAGAGCCAGCCCGTGAAGAATAAAAAGATGGTCGATCACCCCGTGTCTTATCTGCTCGACACTCCCGCTGATCATCCTCTCCTCTCTCTCTTTTTTTTCGTTGTTCACTTTTCACATCTTTGTCCTGTGGAAAGCATCCGATATGGCTGATGAGAAGACTGCCCGGGAGGACGTCGCTCCAACCCATGAACCCTCATTAACTCAACATTCAAGCAATGGTCTTCACCACGATCATGTTGCAGAAGAAGCCATTGGTGGTCACACGAGCGATTTGCCGCGAGGGTATTACTACAGTCCCGGCTTCATTGGAACTGTCATTGTAAGTCCCATTGGAACAGCCGGTGAATGTCCATTCGACTAACCTCATATACAGGCCACATGTTTAGCACAAATATCAGGATACCTAGGGTGGGTGTTGCCATCAAACACTCTTGCACTCATCAATGCCGCCATTGGGCCATCTCCCAATATCATCTGGGTTTCCATCTCATGGACAGCCGGATTCGCCGTTGGATTCACTCTAGTAGGTCGGTTGTCGGATATCTTTGGCCGAAGATGGTTCTTCATCGCTTCCTCCGTACTTGGCTTGATTGGAGTGATCATCGGATCTGCTGCTCAGAACATCAACATGCTTATTGTATGTATCCCGAGATCCTACTGTTAGTATGACTCGACTTACACTTCCCTAGGTCACCAATTCGATCAACGGAGTAGCAGCTGCTGGGCAGTTGTCTTTCCATATCATTCTTGGTGAACTCGTGCCAAACTCCCTTCGTGGACCTGTCAACGCTTTCGTCTTGTCGACCTCTGTCCCGTTTGCCGTCTTTGGTCCTCCTGTGGCCCGCGCATTCTTCGAGAACACTGCTCTTCAATGGCGATGGTGCTATCTTCTCGGTGTCATTGTCAACGCACTTGCCATCATTCTCTACTTCTTCTTCTACCACCCGCCTACCTATGTATGTTTGATTCGAAACCCCATAATCCGATAAAACCTAACATTATTACTAGGAAATGCTTCACGTTGGTGGTAAATCCAAACTCAAGCAGCTCAAGACTCTCGACTGGATTGGCATCGCCCTCTTCACCGCTGGACTATGCGTCTTCCTCATCGGAATGAATTGGGGAGGTTCCGCATACCCATGGAAATCTGGACACGTGCTGGGAGCTTTGTTCGCTGGCTTCTTCACACTGGTCGGATTCTGCTTCTGGGAGGCTTACTGTGGGCTTGAGTACCCTTTGATCCCCATGCGTCTCTTCAAGAACATCCACTATGATGCCAACGTCGCATGCGCCACTCTCGCCGCTGTCGTCTACTATGCCAACACCGTAATCTGGCCAACCATGATCGGTGCTCTCTTCACTACTGATATCAAAGAGACGGGCTGGCTTTCTGTAAGTACCTTCCTAAGTTGGTTGGCAAATACGAGAACATCTAAACTAACTCAATGTCAGTGTGCCGTTGGCGGTGGCCTTCTCCTCGGACAAATCCTCGGTGGCGTAGGTGTTCGTTACCTTCCCAAGATGAAGATCCAAATGACCGTCGCTGCTGTCATCTGCACGGCCTTCGTCGCCGCATTGGCCGCATCCAATGCCTCCACCCAGAATCAAACCACCGCGCTTCTCCTCATCGGCACCATCGGCGCCGGATACATCGAGAACCTCACCCTCTCCTCGACCGCCTATCTATGGGATCCCGCCGACATGGGCCTCGTAACCGGCGTCCTCGGTGCCATCCGCACCGCGATCTCAGCCATCGCAACGAGCATGTACTCCTCGATCCTCGCGACCGAGTCCGCAAAGTACATCCCCCAATACGTCACCCCAGCAGTGCTCTCAGCCGGCCTTCCCGAGTCCTCGCTGCCCAGCCTCTTCGCCGGCATCACTCTAGGCAATTTCACTGCCGTCAAAGGCATCACACCTGAGGTCCTCGGCGTCGTAGGCACCGAGGTCAAGCGCGCATACTCCATGTCCTTCCGAACCGTCTTCCTCTGCACATTGCCATTCGGCGTGATCCTTATCATTGCAGCTATCATGAGCCCCAACGTCGAGGACTACCTAACCGACGAGGTAGCGCGAAAGTTGCACGGAAACAAGGAGAAGAACACGACCATGCAGAAGGAAGTGGCCGTCGCGGTTTAGAATTGGCATCGTATAATTACAAAAGTGGGAAAGTTCGCATGTGCATGCAACGTACGATACAACGTTGAGTAAATGTTATCGCGATATCATGTCGAGGGAAAGACTTTAGCGTCTATGTTAGATTACGAATGTATACGAAATACCAAAGACATTTGATATACTTGATTTTTTGCCATCAATTGTGCGCATACTTCCCTCATTTGCAGATTACCTTAAGCACCAAGGCATACTCAGAAAATATCGTTCACCACGCAGACCTGCATCTAAATCATGCATTACCTTCCTAATCCTTCTTTTTTTTCATTGCAATCTTTTTACACACAATCCTTACTTAACATTGATAAAGTCCAAGCTAGCACTATGTCCAAGGTTCCAATACGATGGTAAATCCCCTCCCGGCGTCATTTCGCCCGTATTCCAAAAGCGCCACGGTTATGGCGCGACCGTTGACAAATTCTGGACCGGCTTCGAACATTATTTTTCCATACGAACTCAAACCCGACGGAGCACCATCACCATCGTTCACCGCTTACTAGCGGCGCAAATCTAATCTCGAAGGTTTATGCGGCTCCCAGGCCGTTGGGAACCGTACATACCGCAGGGGTGGTAAATGCAATACTCGGCGTGTGTTGTGCTATGTAGACGAGATTATTCGGGAAACCAACGATGTCTCTACCTGGTTTGGCGCAAGTATGTACATACGTCCGACTTGGGTGCCATGCAGGGCTTTTGTTCTGCCAGGGCTTTTTTACATTGAACTTAAGTTACGGGGGTGGTTGGTGGCTTTTTTTCACGTGCGGATTGATAACCTTATCGTCACCGCTTGTTACACGACGACGCTGACGACGTGCTGGAGGGGTGATGTTTTTTGGTGCTTTTCTTTTTGCAGGTTGGAGGGGGTGATGTAGTAGGTGCTATGTTGAGAAAGTGGATTGTGGGTGGGCATGTTATCATTGTGTAGCCTTGCCTGGTGTGTCCTGTCAGATGAGATGAGGGCATTTACGGTGATGTTCTGGATCGACAGGACATGGTCCACGTCGTCCATCTCGTCGTCTCCTCCATGCCATGCCATACCTTACCTCACCTTACCCTATCTTGTTTCACCTACAGCTTTGTATGACCCCTCCTCCCGTTCATTGGCTTCTATAGTTATCTGACATCTGCTCATCTAATTCCGCACCGCTTTCTTCCCAAGCTTCGAAGCTCTGCATCCCGTCATCCATGATCCATCTTACACAGGCAACGCTAACTAGAACTACCTCGTATCTACTTGTATTATTGACCGATCTTATGATATGATATAGCTATCTCATCAATTGCATTTATATTGCTTGCCAACCATGATAGCCATCGACATCCTCCACCCATTCATTCACCGATCCATCCTCCCCATACTCGATGTCCCTCCATCCCCCCTCCCCATCCCATTAACATTGCTTTTGGTCCACCCCCGCATGCCTCCCAAGCCAGCCCCAAGCTTGATTCGCCGCCAACGCGGGACGCCCATTCCGTCTTCTCTTTTTCCTGTGCCCGCATTGCATGAGACGTACGTCCTGCGTACATACACACATACGTACGTACATGCACATGTACACGTGTAGGTTCCTTGGACTTTGGGGGAGAAAATACAAAAAGGACAACCTCCACGCTTGGGGAACATGGTTTTAGATTTCCATAGTTGTGTTATGCGACAGGGAAGTTTTTGCTATTATATTTATTATTATACTTGAACGGTCGAACCCAGGCCAAACAAAAAAGCCTATATTGTCTTCTCACATATACATCCCTACCCTATAGCTGAAGAACCCCCCGGGCCTCGTTCAATTTGTAAAGTTGCAGAGCTTAAAGCTTACGACATCTACACCGATTGACTACTGCGTGCGGTGCGGTGCGCGCTCTTCCGATCGTTGCGTGGGGACGTTAGATATATATATCCTCGACCCTGGAAATTCCCTCTGTTTATCTGCTCCGCGATAGCTGTCAGAAGACAAGACAGGACAGGACAAGACGATATAGACTCAATTCCCTCCCCTACACTTATATCTCAAATCAAAAAGAACGAAGACAAACACACACACAATGTCAGCAGCAACACCCACACCCCAAGACTCGGGCCTCCCACCCCCACCCACAACCGCACCCTCAACCTCATCCCCAACCCCAAACCTCCCCACAACAACAGCCCCATCGAAACCCACAATCCTCCACCTCGGCGACGACATACGATGGAACCACACGCTGTACGCGGAGCTGCAGTCGCACTTCCACATCGAGCGCTCGCACTCCATGGACCGCGAGGCGTTCAAGGCTGCCCTGAGGGACCGCCGCTGGGGGGACTTCGTCGGCATGTACAGGCCGTTTTGGAACACGGGCGGGGAGATGGGGAATTGGGACCGCGAGCTGATTGAGCTGCTGCCCGGGAGCTGTAGGATTTATGCGAGTGCGGGGGCTGGGTTCGATTGGGTGGATACGAGGACGATGGCTGAGTTCGGTGAGTCGTGTTGCGTTTTGAATTCTTCTTTTTTATGGTGTCCTGGCCTTTTTTCGTCGCTGTGTTTGCACTTCCGCGGTGGAGTGGAGGTGGTTTGGTTATATGTGTGCTGTGGGTTGGAAAGAGGAATTGGATGATTCTTTCTCAGAAAAATGAGATGTCTGAACATCCGTCCCATTCCAATCTTACACCCTCAACTTCCATTTCCAACTTCTCTCCCTAAAGCTCCTCCTCCTCCTCCTCCTCCTCCTCCTCACGGAAAACCATCCACTAACCCACTTCCCCTATTCCCAGGAATCATATACTGCAACTCCGCGCCCGCGTGCACCGAATCCGTCGCCGACGCTGCCATCCTCCTCATCATCACCACCTTCCGCGCCATCGTGTGGTCCTTCCTCGGCGCGCGCTCCTGCTCGCCGTCGCAGTTCCACGCCGCGAACCAGAACATCGCCGCCGTCACGCACAACCCGCAGAACCACGTGCTGGGCGTCGTCGGGTTCGGCAAGATCGGGTACCGGATCGCGCAGAAGGCGAGCCGGGCGTTCGATATGCGGATTTGGTACCATGATGTGGTGAGGATGGATAGGGAGAGGGAGGAGAGTGTTGGGGCGAGGTTCTGCGAGACGTTGGAGGAGTTGGTGGGCGGGGCCGATTGCGTGGTTTTGGCTACGCCGTTTAATGGGGAGGTGTTGTTGTCGACGGAGCAGTTTGGGTGGTTTAAGAGGGGGAGCCGGTTGGTGAATATCGCGAGGGGGAAGTTGGTGGATGAGGAGGCGTTGGTGAGGGCGCTGGACGAGGGGATCGTGAGTTCGGCGGGGCTCGATGTCCATGCGAATGAGCCGTATGTCAATGAGAAGTTAGCGAAGAGGGACAATGTCATGGTGTTGAGTCACACGGCGGGGGCGAGTGTGGAGAGCCATATTGGGTTCGAGAGGTTGGGGATCGAGAATCTGCTAGGTTTCTTGCATCATGGGACTGGGGCTGTGACGCCGGTGAATCTGCAGTGGTTAAAGGCGAAAGAGGAGAGCGCCGACGCGTGAGGATATTACCCCTCCAGTTAGCAGGCACCGATTGACAATGATTGGCAATTACTTAACAACACCTCTTGAAAGGTATATATTGGGTTGGGTATAGCATATTGCAAGTACAGGCGACGCATTCATCGATAGTACAACATCTACCATCCGTGGAAAAGTGTCCAGCCAGTAGCCAGCCGTCAATCCGACGCTTCATCGCAAGGATTTTTCCCCTTTCGTACGGTCAAGCTTTCTACGAGATAGAACCACCAGATATTGAAGGGCAACTTGACAACGAGCCAGGCTAGAACAATGGGAAGATGGATACCCCAGAAAAAGAAAAGAAAAGGGTTATCGGTCATCCTGTCGAGGATCTGGAGAAAGATCCGCCAGTCTCGCTCCAGCCCTGACAAGTGTTCTCGTCCATAGAATGGAGGCCCATCATGATGATAAAGAAGTTCAACCATAGGCTCGCAAATGTGATGTCCGGCGGTGCCGCAGTAGTCGCAGGGTTCGGCAACTGCTCTATTGTGCACCACTCTGCGACAATTAGCTCCACGAAGGATATGGCAACCGTACGACTGACATTTCGCGGCATGTGCTCATGCCATGTGGACTCATTCTGATCTAATCCAGCAACTCCAGCAACTCCTTGCAAACAGCGGTAGACGGCCGTACGGGATGAATGTGACTCGAAACGGTGGATGATATAAGAGCGAGAACTTTTGGTAGGCAAATTGTTATGCGGTAACTTGCGGATGACGAAACGACGGGAATCCTTCGGTCCTGGAAATATAGGATAAATGGCTTTAAGATGTAGAAGGCGCAGCTTGGGAAGACCAAGGAGGCGCTCTGCAGGTGGAAATCCGGCAGGAGAACAATGTGTGTACAAAGCAAGTGCTCAGAACCTATGAACGCGTAGTTTAGTAGCCTACAACAACAACATAATATAAAGTAGTCCGAAGATCTATACGGAAGCAGCGCAATAATCATCTTCAAAGTTTGATGACGGCCTTCCAGCCATTCTCGATCAGAAGAAGCGGCCATTTTCGAATTGGGTTCCCCATTCTGTTTGTGACTCTAGCATCCAACTGACCGGATCAAAGATTTCGAAACTGTTGGCACTGGCGAGTCCATTAGGCAGAGAGAGTGGCATGCTAAGAGTATTGAGATGTGGGTTGAATTGCGGCAATCCATGTGCAGGATTCTCGATTGCAGCTCCTGGTGGCGGAGTTGAATTGCTCGAACTGTCGGGGTTCGTGGGATTGTTGGCAACAGTCGAGTCAAGTTGTTCAGAGGCACCGCTGACTTGTGATTCGCGCCATCGCCAGACACAGTCGAATACCACGCTCAGACTCATGCGGCTACGAATAATAAGGCCGAGTGGGTCCTCAAGCATACCACTGCTTTCGCGACGCTGTCCTTGGGTGTTCGTTTCTCCGGTAGTACTGAACATCGTTGCCATGCCTGGGTTGCTGACCAAAGGTGATTGCGACATGCTGTGTACGCTACGGCCGCGGGCGCTCTCCTTCCACAACTGTGCCAGGACTTCAGCCAATCGGTCCAGCAGATCGTTAGTCATAACTTTGGATTTACGCATTGCGACCACAGTTCGTGAGACGAAATTGCGTCCTTGTTCGAATGGTAAACGGCTGGCAAAGTCCGAATTCAGCAATTTCAACAGGGCAAATCCGGCGGCCAGAGCCATCTGCATGATGTAGTAAGGCACGAACTTGAGTGTGTCCTTGTCTTGTAATTCGAACGCGCGCTCTAAGAAGCTGGTAGCCGCAAAGTATAGGGCGACAAGATCGTCTCGCTTCTCCAGCCGTTGTTCCGTATTGAAGAATGAGTAAAGATGCAAATGAAGGAATACGGCGCTATGGTGGAGCTCCTCTAGTTCTGTTTTACCTGTCAGTATGTTTATCGATCATGTAGATTTCGATGCTCACCCTTGTTTACACCATCTAACACACCACGTTCTTCTTTGAGTCGGTCTGCTTCTAAGTTCATGTAAGTAGCAGCAGCACCTTCTGAGAACCGGTGGCTCGTGGCTGAATACAACAGCCTGTTGATACGGCTAGCCGCCATTTCCTGGCGCAACCGGACGAACAGATCCGGAGGAATGATTCTCATATGTTCTTCGTCATCCATCCTGAACTCCAATGTCGAGTCGTAAAGCGTTATTGACGGCTGTCCATTGCCAGTAGATACTCTGGTTATCATATTAGTATAGACCTTAGACAAATGAGAGGGCATTAAACATACGTCTGCGCTACAATGTTGCAAACCGCCCAAGTCCGTAACCGATCATGGATGTCTTCTTCTCGTAGCCGAACTTTTGTCCTCGAGAAATCTTGTGGATGTGTCGGTTGGTGCAGGCCGATCTGCATTGCGATCTGCATCATCACTCCGCAAAGCATAAACGTTGGGTCGTTAACTGTCGTCCTCGCTGGAAGGGGCCATGTGCACAATAGACATAATGCCTTGACCACATGATGATTCGGGGACTTCTTGATCGCTTCCCAAATCAAATCCGTAAGCGGTTCTTTGAGCCGGCTTAACAAATTATCATCCGCGCCGTAATGACGGGCTGCGACACTGATAATTGCCCAGAAGAGAAGTCTTGAATCCTGAGAATGTACTTCGTCCGGCGACCGGACGGGATCGAGGAATGGTAGAAATGTGTGATAGTTCTGGAAGAATTCGGCGAATAGCTCGTTAACCTGCGCGGGTGCAAGTCTCACTTCGCCTAATGAGTGGAACATTGGAGATCCGCTGCGCAAGTCCAGCAGCGACGTCGCCACGGCTTCCTGTTGCGATTGAAGGAACGCATTGTCTTCCTCCGTGTGTATTGATCCCGTGCCAAATGTATGGTTTTCCGGTGGTGGATTCAGGGTAGTTTGCTGCTGTTGCGACTGGATGGGGATGCCGGCTGCAGCGCCTTTGCCTTCATAGAATGCCAATCGTTCCCGCAAATCTTCCATCTCCCTTTCCATCTCGGCGTTCCTATTCCGCTTGCCCACACGTTTGAAGTTGGGCTCGATGACGCATCGCAGGCGCTGTTTCAAACACCTATCGCAGCTCTTAAAAGGATCTTGCTGGACGTTGCACTTGAGCTGTGGGGGAGCTGTCAGCGACGCTTCGCGTGAAACATGACCACTTTTGGATCATCTATCTTATCGAGAGCAATTTACGAACCTTCTGTTGCCGACACTCATTGCAGGCGCGCTTCACGGCGGTGTTCTTCCTGCTCGAGGGTTGACGGCCATTGTCACCAACGTCGGCCTCGTCGTCGCTCGACGCTGGTCTCTTGAACGCATTGGGCCGACCACTGGCAGGGCTGTTCGCATAGCTGAGCTGTTGAGCTCCTTGCGTGCCGGGCGTGGTCGGGGACATGGACAGCATTTCTGCGCAAGTGAATCCTGAGCCCTTGTTGCTGCACCGATATCGCTGGGAGAGCTCAGGTGGGCAGCGATGGAGGCTGGCGGGGCGGGCACGCGCTGAAGTCCGATCGGCTCACGCCAAACCTGAAGGGTGAGTAGCCTTTTATGAACGAACGACAACCACGACCTGCTGTCCGAAATTTTTGCTCTGCGGGAAAAAGACGTAATGCGATGCGTTCGCGCGACCAGTCACCACCCACGCCCAGGCTCAGACTCGTTTCCCGAGGCCAGTAATCGTTATTGTCGTCGTTCTCGTCGTCGTCCTCTTCGTTGGCTTCGGCTAGCGATCGTATTCGGGGTTGTCCAATTGCTATTGCTCACCCTACTGCATGTAATGGCAGACGGCAGCAGCAACAGCAGCAACAGAGAGCGAGTGCTGGACTGCAGCAACACTGGAAGGCGAAACCCCCTTTAAGATCCAAACAAATCATTCGTATGGAGTTCATACCGTGAACGGAAAAGGCGCGAAAGAGATCATTATGTACTCCGTACGGCTCATGGCGCCTAACCTATCCCATCTCCCCCGAGTCACGTTATTCCCGCTGCCAGACGGGACGTAATCAACTATGAATAGAATTTCCTTAGAACAGTCATTTCAAGTTTGGACAGCATCGATTGTTCCAATGTGACTCAACGTCATTTTGATAGGTGTGGAGGCTGCAGTAGGCAAGCCTGTACGGAGTAATCGACATAGATTCACTCTCGGAGCATTCATTCGGCATACAAACTTAGCTGATCATTCTACGCTCTCCAAATGCGATCATATTGGGATGTACTTCGAGGACATCGATGTGGGACCAATCCCGGCATATATCGCATTTTGACATCCATGCCTGGCGAGAGATTCATGATGAAGGTTGCAGCACTCATGCGTGAGTAGACCACCATTGGCTATCATTCATATTGTCAGATATGGGAGCAGCATTCCGGCATGAGAACAGAGTCAGGCGATGCTAAAAGTGTAAAAGTATGCACCTGCAGTCAGTACAACATCATTTGCATTCTCGTTCGGGCGTTGTGCGCTCTCGAACGGGATGATAAAGCGACTGGTTCACTGTCCCAAGACTCGCATCCGTCATCGATCACTTGGACACTGGCGCGTCGGTGAAATTTTGGTCCTATTCAGCTACGTCCCTGTAGACGTTTGTGTATGATGCAGAAATCGCCATGATCTCATTGAACCCTAATGAAGCTGGCCTGAACCTGGGAATGCCCATAATGCACATAAACACCGATGGCCCCTGTTTTTCGACATCCGTTCCTCCATCAATCATCAATCGCTTATTTCTTTTGCTGCGACTCCTTGAGCACCTTCTTCACGACCTTCTGCTCCTCAATCAAGAAAGCACGGACAATGCGGTCCTGGACGCAGTTGGCGCATCGCGAACCACCGTAGGCGCGCTGGACGGTCTTCTTGGGGCGGCTGATGGTGGCGTACTCGCGGGGGCGGAGAGCAGGGAGACCGGAGAGCTTGGTGCCGCAGTCCTGAAAACATCGTGAGCCATTTCCTCCTCCACTCCTCAGGCAGATCCAAAACTTACACCGCACTTGGGGGTGGTTCCCCTCTTCTTGATGTGAAGGTATCGGAGCTCGCCTCCAGGGGTCTTGATAACGCGGACCTTGTTGGAGCGGGTGTTGTAGGGAGCCCGTCGGCGCTGTATCCATTCCGTCAGCTTTCATACATCCAATTCCAGGCACTATCGTGTCCATCATTCAGGGGACGGGGATGCGTACGTAGGTGAGTCTGTTGGAAGGCATCCTGGCTGTGTTCCCGGAGAATCAGAGGCGAAGATTTCTAGATGCGATATCGTGGTTAGAAGAGTTCTCGAAGTATCGAACGGGCGGAGCGCAAGGAGGAATAAGGGTACCTACGTCTATAAGTTATATATATTAGTTTACGGATGTTCACTTTGCTTCGTGTAAAGGGCAGAGCAATTACTTACCGGGCGGGATGTGATGGAGTTGTCAATGAGCGTTTTCGCGTGAAGTCGAAAATCCAGTGTGGCTCGCTAAGGATGGCTGCCAAGTCAAAAAACCGCGAGAAAGAACGCTAGGCTACTCCAGGCTTAGTTGGTATCCAAGAATTGCTGACCTTGCCTAGTCGGGAACGTGGATTTTACCGATGTCAAATGTTTCAACATTGAAGGCTCACCAGTTCGAACATTTGGGAATTGAGGAGGTTCATTAACGATTGGTATGTTTATCAATCGCTCTCGAGTCTCCTGCTCGGATCGAGTGCAGTCGCAATATCGTGCTTTGAAGAGATTGGTACGCTTCGCTTGATCTCGATAGCCTACGATCTTACGACGACTGCAAAGTACATTCACTATTTGAAAACTTGGTATCATGTGCTGTGAATCCCATAACATAATCTTGGTCTCGGATCTCTACGTGTGACCTTACCTATCTTCGGGCTATGGCTGTACAAGAGAATACACTTCTAATTGTACTACTGCATGATCCACCCTAGAAACAAGTATACCGATGTAATTGTTGAAATAATATAAAGATGATTTCGTAGAGTTTCTTTGTAAGTGAGCATTGCGTACCTAGAGCTACGAGTGCTACTCCGTACTCATCCAAGAATTGTGGGAACAATCTGGTACTCGTTGCACGTCTCGAATGCTTCCAATTCGCTAATGGCAAAAACGCCCACTTGTGGTAAGCCGATTCTGCGGAACTTTTGTGAGATTGCGAGCCCCAGTTTCACGCTAGCCATTCGAGGATATCACGTGACTGGCGCCCGTGAAAAGATCCCGTCAAGTCGCGACTCCATACTTTTTCGCAGAACGCCTCCTGTCGCAACATCACTTTTCCATCGCGCGAAGTGCAGGAAAACTTCGTCAATCTACATCCTCATCTTCGCGCGTTAGTCCGGCTTGCGATTAATCTATTTGGCGCGTCAATCAGCGCGCACGTGAACGCGGAGCTTGCTCCTAGTTTACAGCTTCACGACAACTGGAGTTCCCATCTCTGGTCGAGCTCCCCAGTCACTCCATATTACATTTCAAAGCTGATACCTTCCCAAAGACCTTCCTGTCACGATGGCCTTTCCTCCCCCCCCTCCTCCCCCTCCTCCTCCACCTCCTGGACCCCCAGGCTCAGCGTATACTCCTGCTCCTCCGCCGCCACCTCCGCCACCAGGTATCGCCGCGCCGCCTCCTCCACCAGGCGTCCGTCCTCCCTCAGATCCAAATGTCGCGAAGTTCAGTCAGAAGAAGAAGGAATGGCTTCGTCAACAACGCCAGCGATTCGGCGAGAGGCGGAAGGCTGGCTTCGTCGAGACCCAAAAGGCCGACATGCCACCGGAGCATCTGCGCAAGGTTTTCAAGGATATTGGCGATGTGTCACAAAAGAAGTTCACTAGTGATAAGAGGAGCTACTTGGGTGCCTTGAAGTTCATGCCACATGCGGTTTTGAAGTTGTTAGAGAACATGCCCATGCCATGGGAGAGCAGGAGAGACGTGAAGGTTCTTTACCACATCAACGGTTGCTTGACACTCGTCAATGAGGTACCGCGCGTTATTGAGCCAGTCTTCCATGCTCAGTGGGCTGCGATGTGGTTGGCCATGCGGAAAGAGAAGAGCGACCGACGGCACTTCAAGCGCATGAGGTTTCCCCCTTTCGATGACGAAGAGCCGCCCATGTCTTATTCGGAGAACATCGAGGATGTCGAGCCTTTGGAACCAATCCAGCTAGAACTTGATGAGGATGAAGACTCACCGGTTATCGAATGGTTTTACGACCACAGACCATTGCTCGATACGTCACACGTCAATGGCCCAAGTTACAAGGAGTGGAATCTCACACTCCCTCAGATGGCCAATCTGTACCGACTTAGTCGACAACTTCTCAGCGACATTGTCGACAAGAACTACTTCCACATGTTCGATATGGACAGCTTTCTTACAGCGAAAGCTCTAAACGTTGCAATTCCGGGTGGTCCACGTTTCGAGCCGTTGTATAAAGATATTGATCCCAACGACGAAGATTTCGGAGAGTTTAACGCCATCGACCGCATCATTTTCCGCGCTCCCATCCGTACAGAATACCGCGTTACATTCCCGTTCCTCTACAACTCGCTTCCCCGCAGTGTCAAGCTAGCATGGTACTCCCATCCTCAAGTCGTCTACGTGCGGGCTGAAGACCCCAGTCTTCCGGCTTTCTATTTTGATCCAATCATCAATCCGATATCTTCGCGCGCAGTTGCGCCGAAGAATCTTGCTGTCAGCCATGAGGACGAAGTCTTTGGTTATGGAAACGATGAAGACGATGACTTTGAACTGCCAGACGATATGGAACCATTCATGGCCGACGAGGAGCTCTATACCACTGAAACGGCTTCCGCGATCGCCTTGTGGTGGGCTCCTCATCCTTTCGATAAGCGCTCTGGTAAAATGGTCAGAGCCGAGGATGTACCGCTTGTTAAGCAGTGGTACCTGGAGCATGTCCCCGCAAACCAGCCCGTCAAGGTTCGAGTGTCATACCAGAAACTTCTGAAGACATACGTCTTGAATGAGCTCCACAAGAAACAGCCCAAGGCACAAAACAAGCAGAATTTGATGCGAACGCTGAAGACCACAAAATTCTTCCAGCAAACTAAGGTCGATTGGGTTGAGGCTGGTCTACAGGTGTGTCGGCAGGGTTACAATATGCTCAACCTCTTGATTCACCGCAAGAATCTTACCTACCTTCATCTTGATTACAACTTCAATCTGAAGCCAGTCAAGACATTGACGACCAAGGAGCGAAAGAAGTCACGTTTCGGAAACGCCTTCCATCTCATGCGTGAAATCCTCCGCCTTACGAAACTCATTGTAGACGCCCAAGTTCAATATCGTCTTGGAAATATCGACGCATTCCAACTCGCTGATGGCATTTTGTACGCTTTCAACCATGTTGGACAGTTGACGGGAATGTACAGATACAAGTACAAGTTGATGCATCAGATTCGATCTTGCAAGGATCTTAAGCATCTCATCTACTACCGATTCAACTCGGGTCCTGTCGGTAAGGGTCCTGGTTGTGGTTTCTGGGCACCTGCATGGCGTGTATGGTTGTTCTTCATGCGCGGTATCATTCCTCTTCTAGAGCGCTGGCTTGGCAATTTGCTATCTCGTCAATTCGAAGGACGTCACAGCAAGGGTGTTGCTAAGACGGTCACCAAGCAGCGAGTTGAGTCCCATTTCGATCTGGAACTACGAGCCGCCGTCATGACTGATCTCATGGACATGATGCCCGAGGGCATCAAGCAGAATAAGGTGAATACTGTACTGCAGCATCTTTCAGAAGCGTGGCGATGCTGGAAGAGTAACATCCCGTGGAAGGTGCCTGGTCTTCCCGCTCCTATTGAGAACATCATTCTTCGATACGTCAAGAGCAAAGCCGATTGGTGGATTTCAGTCGCCCATTACAACCGCGAGCGTATCCGAAGAGGTGCTACAGTCGACAAGACAGTTGCAAAGAAGAATTTGGGACGTTTGACTAGATTGTGGCTGAAGGCCGAGCAAGAGCGACAACACAACTACATGAAGGACGGTCCTTACGTTTCCTCTGAGGAGGCTGTCGCCATCTACACCACCATGGTGCACTGGCTAGAGGCACGAAAGTTCCAGCCAATTCCGTTCCCCAGCGTTTCGTACAAACACGACACCAAGATTCTTATCCTCGCTCTGGAACGTCTTCGCGAAGCTTATTCGGTCAAGGGTCGTCTAAATCAGAGCCAGCGTGAGGAGCTTGCTCTCATTGAGCAGGCTTATGATTCACCAGGCACAACACTTGCCAGGATTAAGCGATTCCTTCTCACCCAACGTGCCTTCAAGGAAGTGGGCATCGACATGAACGACAACTACAACACCATCAATCCTGTATATGATATCGAGCCTATGGAGAAGATCACAGATGCATATCTTGATCAATACCTCTGGTACCAAGCTGATCAGAGGCATTTGTTCCCTGGTTGGATCAAGCCTTCCGATTCTGAAGTGCCACCCCTTCTAACGTACAAGTGGGCGCAAGGAATCAACAACTTGGACAAGGTCTGGGAATACCAAGATGGCGAATGCAATGTCATGATTGAGACCCAATTGTCCAAAGTGTACGAGAAGATTGATATCACGATGCTGAATCGACTTCTCAGGCTGATCATGGATCACAACTTGGCGGATTACATCACTGCGAAGAACAATGTGCAGCTCAATTACAAGGACATGAACCACACTAATACCTACGGTATGATTCGTGGTCTGCAGTTCTCTGCCTTTGTTTTCCAATACTACGGCTTGGTGTTGGATATCTTGCTCTTGGGCCTCCAGCGAGCAAATGAAATTGCTGGAGCACCAGAGAACCCTAACGACTTCCTGCAGTTCAAAGACAAGGATACCGAAGTTCGACATCCAATTCGTCTGTACACACGATACATCGATCGCATCTGGGTATTCTTTAGGTTCACTGCAGAAGAATCAAGAGACCTCATCCAACGTTTCTTGACAGAACAGCCAGATCCCAACTTCGAAAACGTCATCGGCTATCGCAACAAGAAATGCTGGCCTCGCGACTCCAGGATGCGTCTTATGCGACACGACGTCAACCTTGGTCGTGCAGTCTTCTGGGACTTGAAGAATCGACTTCCTCGATCCGTAACTACCATTGAATGGGATGATACATTCGCAAGTGTATACAGTCGAGACAACCCTAACCTTCTCTTTTCCATGTGCGGATTTGAGGTCCGCATCTTGCCCAAGATTCGCAATTTGACTGAGGAGTTCCCTGTCAAGGATAGTGTTTGGTCACTGGTAGATAATGCTACCAAGGAGCGCACTGCACATGCCTTCCTACAAGTGACCGAGGAGGACATTCAAAAGTTCAACAACCGCATTCGCCAGATTCTGATGTCCTCCGGCTCTACGACATTCACGAAGATTGCGAACAAGTGGAACACCACCCTCATCGCCTTGTTCACTTACTACCGAGAGGCCGCAGTGTCCACTGTCAACCTGTTGGACACTATTGTCAAGTGCGAGACCAAGATCCAGACTCGAGTCAAGATTGGCTTGAACTCCAAGATGCCTTCACGTTTCCCTCCTGCTGTCTTCTATACGCCTAAAGAGCTTGGTGGTCTTGGAATGATCTCCGGATCCCACATCCTTATCCCAACTAGCGACAAGCGCTGGTCAAAACAGACCGATACCGGTGTCACACATTACCGAGCCGGTATGTCTCACGACGAGGAGACGTTGATTCCGAACATTTTCCGATACATCATTCCTTGGGAATCGGAGTTCATCGACTCTCAGCGTGTCTGGATGGAATACTCTCAGAAACGACAGGAGGCCAACCAACAAAACCGAAGATTGACCCTTGAGGATCTTGAAGATAGTTGGGATCGAGGTCTACCCCGTATCAACACTCTCTTCCAAAAGGATCGCAGCACGCTCAGTTTTGATAAGGGTTTCCGAGCTCGAACCGAATTTAAGATCTATCAGCACATGAAGAGCAATCCCTTCTGGTGGACTTCACAACGCCATGATGGTAAACTCTGGAATTTGAACGCATATAGAACTGACGTCATTCAAGCACTTGGTGGTGTGGAGACAATTCTTGAACACACCCTTTTCAAGGCTACAGCGTTCCCATCGTGGGAGGGACTTTTCTGGGAAAAAGCAAGGTTCGTACTACAAGTGCCTCACCATTACATTCTGGTATACTAACTCATGACAGTGGTTTCGAGGAGTCGATGAAGTTCAAGAAGCTCACCAATGCCCAACGTTCCGGTTTGAACCAAATCCCTAATCGTCGTTTCACGCTGTGGTGGTCGCCGACTATCAACCGAGCCAACGTTTACGTGGGTTTCCAAGTCCAACTCGATCTAACGGGAATTTTCTTGCACGGCAAGATCCCAACCCTCAAGATTTCTTTGATCCAAATCTTCCGAGCCCATTTGTGGCAGAAGATCCACGAGTCTGTGGTCATGGATTTGTGTCAAGTCTTCGATCAGGAGCTGGAGGCTTTGGGTATCGAGACAGTTCAGAAGGAGACTATTCACCCCCGTAAATCATACAAGATGAACAGTTCCGCTGCCGATATTCTACTATTCGCCAGCCACAAATGGAGCGTTTCTCCACCTTCCATGCTCTACGACACCAAGGATGCAATGAGCTCGACCACAACGAACAAATTCTGGGTGGATGTCCAATTACGATATGGTGATTACGATTCTCATGACATTGAACGATATGTCCGTGCGAAGTACCTCGACTATGGTGGCGACTCTCAGAGTATCTATCCTTCGCCTACCGGTCTCATGATTGCTATAGATCTCGCCTATAACCTTTACTCGGCTTACGGAATGTATTTCCCTGGCTTGAAGCAATTGGTGCAGCAAGCCATGGCGAAGATCATGAAGGCTAATCCCGCATTGTACGTTCTGCGTGAACGTATCCGCAAGGGTTTGCAGCTGTATGCTTCGGAAAGCAACCAGGAATTCCTCAACTCTCAGAACTACTCAGAACTCTTCAGCAACCAGATTCAGCTGTTCATCGACGATACTAATGTCTACCGTGTCACTATTCACAAGACATTCGAGGGTAACTTGACCACGAAGCCAATTAACGGTGCTATCTTCATCTTCAATCCTCGTACTGGACAGCTGTTCCTGAAGATTATCCATACCAGTGTGTGGGCAGGCCAGAAGCGTCTCGGACAGTTGGCCAAATGGAAGACTGCCGAAGAAGTGGCCGCTCTCATCCGGTCATTGCCCGTGGAAGAACAACCGAAGCAGCTTATCGTAACACGAAAGGGTCTGCTCGATCCCCTCGAGGTTCACTTGCTTGATTTCCCGAATATCTCCATTCGCGCATCCGAGTTGCAGTTGCCATTCCAAGCCGCCATGAAGGTAGAGAAGCTCGGTGACATGATCCTTCGTGCCACTGGCCCCCAAATGGTTCTGTTCAACCTCTACGATGAATGGCTGAAGACTATCTCTTCGTACACTGCCTTCTCTCGTTTGATCCTGATCCTTCGTGCACTTCACGTTAATCAGGACAAGACGAAGCTGTTGTTGCGTCCTGACAAGACAGTGATCACACAAGAACATCACATCTGGCCCACGCTCGCCGACGAAGACTGGATTAAGGTCGAGGTGCAACTCCGCGATTTGATCTTGAATGACTATGGCAAGAAGAACAATGTCAACACTTCTTCGCTCACCAGCAGTGAAGTGCGTGACATCATCTTGGGTATGGAGATTTCTGCTCCATCCATGCAGCGTCAACAAGCTGCAGAGATCGACAAGCAGAAGGAGGAGCAGGCGCAACTTACTGCGGTCACCACAAAGACACAGAATGTACACGGTGAAGAAATCATCGTCACAACTACGTCCCAGTACGAACAGGCTTCATTTGCTTCCAAGACAGAGTGGCGCACCCGCGCTGTGGCCACATCCAACCTCCGCACTCGTGCCAACAACATCTACATCAACTCCGAGGATGTCAAGGAAGAGGGTCACTACACTTACGTCATGCCCAAGAACATTCTGAAGCGTTTCATCACGATCGGCGACTTGCGACACCAAGTCGCTGGTTACCTCTACGGAAAATCGCCACCAGACAACGACCAAGTCAAGGAAATCGTTACCATCGTCATGATTCCTCAAGTTGGTGGTACTCGCGACGTACAGTTGCCGAAGCAATTGCCTCAGCATGAGTATCTCAACGACCTTGAGCCATTGGGTATTATTCACACCGTCAGCGGCAACGAGCCTCCATACATGCAGGCCAGCGATGTCACCCAACACGCGCGATTGATGAACACCCACGCAAGCTGGGACAAGAAGACAGTCACCATGACCGTCTCATTCACCCCTGGCTCTGTTTCTCTGGCCGCGTGGGCCCTAACACCAAATGGCTACAAGTGGGGTGCCGAAAACAAGGACATCATGTCCGACAGTCCGGCCGGTTTCTCGACCTCATTCGGTGACAAGTGCCAACTCCTGTTGTCTGACAAGATCCGGGGCTACTACCTCGTGCCAGAGGATGGATTGTGGAACTACAGCTTTATTGGAAGCGTGTTCGGCAACATCGAGAAGAAGCCGGTGCACGTCAAATTGGACACCCCTGTCAAGTTCTACGACAGCATCCACCGCCCCGTGCATTTCAAGAACTTTGCCGAATTGGAAGACGTATGGGTCGATCGGGACAACTCGTTTGAGTAAAAAAAGTAAACAATTCCTAATATTTCCTTTTTCTGAATTACATCCCAATGTTGGGGATGCAACTGCCCTGAACGGGGTGAGTTTGTGGGTCGAGCAGTCACATATGCGTCCGCGTGTCTCGTGGAAATTTTACATAACGGAAAGGGCAGGGGAACCAAAGCATCAAATCAGGCGTTTTTTTTTTCATCTTTCTGGGGGATTTTTGTAAACAATAGTATCTTGTTCATGGTGCAAAGCAGCAGAACCGAGAATGGCTTCTTTGGGGTTGACCTTTTTCCTCCTTTTCCTCTCTTTTTCATCAATCCATCGAAGCCTTGTATTAAACTCTTCCTATTATGTGTCTTATAGCTTTGTCTTATTTAGTGAGGGGTTTGTGGAGACAAAAATGTGCAGTTGATAATCTTCATTTTGCTGTGTTGCGGATGCGTGATTTGTGTGTTCGACGTGACTCTACCTGTTGACTGCCACAACCACGGAACCACAACCCAAGTTCGACGATCTATTTATATGTCATAGGAACCGTGGTATAGCTTTTACTCAATCCTTCTCGAGGTCCCGATAGTCAAAAAGTGTGTTGACGTTCCGATCAATAAAATAACCACTACACTAGTCCCTTCCAAAATTAACTACAAACTCAGACTTTAAAGAACGAATATAATCATTAACATAATCTATCCCGTCGCACGACCCATACACGTACATGTACGGAATCCACTAGAGTAGATACTACATAGGAAAATATGTAGGTACATTGCATTTCACATTTGAATTCCCACTAGGATTGTAACGATGGCGTATGCCGTTACGCAGATGTACCATTTCGGCAATGCTGAGACTAGTTTCCAACGCTCTTATCGGAATTTTATTTCTGGGGGCTTGTTGATGGTATTGGAATGCACATGCAAGGACATTAGAGTCCGATTCAAAACGATGTTTAGTGTGAATAATAGTTCCCCCCGTAGGGAGGGAGGATGTGATTTAGGTATCTTATATATAACAGTAACGTATATGATTGCTCGATGAGTGTAAACAGACAAAGCATGTGGTCTATACAAATGACCAGAGCTACCCAAGAACTCAACTATAACGCCAAATAGACATGCGCCAATGCGAAACCGAAAAGATTAACTTCGAATATGTAACGAATCCTACGTGACTAGACCTAATGCTCGCAATCGCAACCTCTACCATGCACGAGATGCCTCTTCCTAAAATCGCCACTGTAGCTGGCGAGGTGGGTCTGGCCGTCGAGTCGCTGGCCGTCTTCCGGGATCGGACCCATCCAGCTGACTTCTGAGCCGTCGGCAGCTTGTACGTTCAGGCTCGCGCCCTTCTGCTTGAGTTCCTCGGTGATGGCGTCGACGTCCACACCCAGGTAGTTGCGGAGGAAGTCGCCGACTTCGGTGTTCTCGTGGTTTCCTACGAGGGCAAGTGCGGCTTTGGGGTCGCTCGAGTAGATGTTCACGTCCGCGCCGGAGTGGCCGTGGGTTGACCAGCCCGTCTGGCTGCGACGGGAGATCATGTCGGCGTATTGGTAGAGAGCGGTGTCTGGTTCCGTGAGGAGCTTGTCGACTTCTTCCTGGGCGAAGTCTTTGATGCCTAGGCCTTCTGAGATGGATTTACGGACGAATTCGGCCTTGTCGGAAGTCGATGGATGGCTGGTCTCTAGGTAATCCTTGTATTCAAGATCGAGACGTTCGGCGGAGTGGGTAGCGTTGGCGAGAGCACCGGGGTACCAGAGATATTCGGGGTAGGTTGCATGGAGCTCTGGAACCTTGTTAGCACTGATTCAATATGAAGTGATGGGTGGGGGTTACGTACGTCGCGCAGTTGCAAGACCACCGGTCTCATGATCGGATGTAGAAACCATGATACCCTCAGTAGGATCATTCTTCAAAAACTCGAGTACGGTTGAGAAGGCCTTGTCATAGGCAAGGACCTCATGTACCTGGGCTGCGGGATCGTTGTGATGACCAGCGTGATCGATACGGCTTCCTTCAATCATGAGGAAGAAACCCTTTTCGCTATCCTTAGTTGCCTCACTGAGGGCGACGAGCGCAGCTTCGGCCATTTCGTCGAGAGATGGGTAGATATCGTTTTCGTTGCGGCGGTCGATCTCGTAGGGAATGTCGGTTGGGGAAAAGAGCCCTAGCATGGGGAATTCCAGTGCCTTTCCACCCTTTAAATCGTCAAATGCCTTGCGGTCGGAAATGTAATTGAAACCGTTGCTCTTCGCCAATGAAATGACGTCTTTATCATCCGCCCGGCATGAGCCCTCGGTGGTGTTGGCTAAGAAATGGCAGCGTCCTCCTCCTAACATCAAATCGACAACGCGACCCAACGGATAATCTCCAACCATTTGTTCTGCAATGCGATCCTCCTCTGATCGCATGTTGACGTGTGCAGCGAAGCATGCGGGTGTTGCGTCTGTAATCCGAGTAGTAACGACCAAGCCAGTCATGTAGCCGGCCTTCTTTGCGGCTTCGAGCACAGTCCCACATGGTTCATGATCTGGCGTTACAGAAATAGCACCGTTGTAACTCTTGGAAGCACAAGAAAAGGCCGTCGCACCCGCAGCCGAGTCTGTGACCAGACTCGAGCTTGAGCGAGTACGCGATTGCCCTATCATGTGTTGATCGATAACCAATTGTCTGCTCCATGGCTCGCCATTTTGATACTGCATAAAGCTTCTCGTAAGGCTAAGACTTGTCGGACCCATGCCATCGCTAACCATGAATATAAGATTCCTCTTTCCGTTGGGATGAGGACTGGTGTGTTTAGGATCTTGTGACTTTTGATAGATAACGGCGAGGATGATAACAAGGGTAGTTGCTAGGACGGCCCAGACGAAGAGACCTAGCTCTCGCCAGAACTTCCATGTTCGAGGACCATCGCGCTGCGTAGGTTGGCCGGTCAGGAGGGCATCTTCTTCGGCGAGGTCGCGACCGTTCGAAAGTTCGTCGGATGCTCGGTTGGCCAAAAGCGGTCGTTCGCCAGGCATGCTGGAAGGGACGGTGAGAGCTGGACCGCTCTCCGAGTGTGGATGGGTATCAGTGAAGAGACTGAATAGGCAAGGAAACAAGAAAAAGAGTGGGAAAAGGGCGTAATATAAGAAAGGACAGGTTAGATGAGGATACGAGTAGATGAGATCCCTTGATATGAAAGGCTTGGCGTCGCGCCGCCACTTTGAGGGATGCACGTGGGGTCCGCTTTGGGATCGGGATGGAGATCCCTCTACTGTGACTGGTCTACACCATCTCACATGAGATCTGGCCGACCGCCTGACCCGTTGGCATTCCCTATAAGAAGTAATAGTAAGTAGTATGAAAGTAGAATATACAAAACAAAGTATAGTATTGTAAACATTAATAGCACATTTAGAACTACTTAGGCCTATGTGTATCAGGGTAGTTTAGCTAGAGTTACTGGATTACTTCTATTTCTATGGTGATAGAAGATGATAGTGCTTTCAAGGCTAGGCACTTGTTCAGTATTGTTTATTGACAATACTCAAATTCCCAAAAGCAGCTACTGACCACGTAACAGCGGTGCTGTACAAATACTTGTCCGTTTATGGGAAGAGCTGACAGCACTGAATGCGGGCTGTTTCTGTTAACAATCACGACCTTAATTAAAACATACAGGACAGCGCAAAGCAGCCAGAACGCGATGCGGAGTCAAGCAATTTCAATTAGAACAGCTCATTCACAAAACATCTGCATGAAATCGGCTGGGCTTGAAGTATTCATATGTGCTTTGAGGTTACAATCCGACAAGGCCTTCGGCTGCTCTTTTCAGCGACCCGATAGACGTGATGAAGTGGTTCGAGAATGAATTACAATCCGCTTAATAATGAGAAGTAAACAGAAGAACGTTGTATCTGCTTCATTTACAATCATTGGTAATGTGGTACCAAGCAGCAGCCAATAAAATTGTCTCCAGCACACTGCAAGGTTATGCAACACCTGATGGGAATACCCTCGTGCCTTACCGCCCATTGCCCTGCTGACTTACATCCTCCCCAGTTCCGGCAGCCGGCTCTCCGTTGCTGTTGGATTATTTGCAGCCATTATGTGTGACACTGAAGCTTTGATTTATAATGTCAGAACTACTTGCGCAGCTTTGCATTGTATCGTTGTCGAGTATCTTAAATTAAGTATGAAGCCGGCATATCACGGTGATTGCCGGTGACCGTCCTCGGTGCTCCGTGATCCGGGACGCTCACAGAAGCCTTGAATAATGACATACGACAGACACTGTCTTCGTATGCCAGAGCCCCAGATCTTCTATTTCGATACAATATCATAAATAGCTAACATGGTCGTCACTCATTTGAAAAACGCGAGACTTTGTAGTTCCAAAACCGACCCTGCACGAGGGACCTGTTCGGATCACATAACAAACTCAAATCAGCATCTTTACAGGTCACAAAGCAAGTAAATATGGTACGTTAGAAACTAATACTCGCATGAGCACACACTTACGATTCTTCAACCAGTCTTCACACAAGTATCGCACACCGGTCGTGATTGTTGGTGCTGGACCAGCAGGCCTGATTGCAGCACTTCAGCTGTCTGTACAAGGCGTTGAGTGCATGCTGCTAGAACGAAACTTGGACACCACAAAGTGGCCCAAGATGGACGTCACCAATTGTCGGAGCATGGAAATACTGAGACGTTTGGGTGTTGACCAGGGGCTACGGGAAGTTGGTTAGTACTCAATAAGTATCACAGACCGCACCTGGACCCCTTTGTTAATCATGAATAGGTGTTGATCAGCACCATTCATTTGATGTCTTATTCAGCACTGGACTATCTCCTGGTGGGGAGCTAATCACGAAATGGGTACACTGACCAACACTCAATCTTTAAAAAATGCGCTGGAACTGAACTTTTGACAGGATCTACCATCACCTGATGAATGGCGCAAAACCATCAGGGAGAAGAACGATGGCTCGATGTCGAGTCAACCATATCAACGATGCTCGCAGGCTATCTTCGAAGCTTGGTTGAAACCACATATCCAAAAGCAATCCAAAATTGATTCGCGCTTTGGTTGGGAGTTTATTGGGCTTGAGGAAAACGATTCAGGCGTTGTGTCTCAATTCAGGGATACCGCAGGTGAACACCATACTGTCACATCAGATTACCTCATTGCATGCGATGGCGCAGGCAGTCGTGTGAGGAAATCGATTGGTGCACAGCTGATCGGCGGTCCAGTGTAAGCGTCATGAACTTGTAATAATGTACGTGCAAAAACTAATCGTGTATACAGGCCTGGGGTCAACCTTCTTGTGCACTTTAAATCTCCCGATCTTGCTAGATTACACGCTCAAGGACAGTTTTGGCACATCTTCTTTACATCAGCCGCTGTCATAATCGCCCAGGACGAAGTCGATACATGGACAGTACATCTGATGTTTCCTCTTGGCACAGACGTCGACGACATTGACCCTTATGAGGCGGTATATAAAGCACTCGGGGGTCACTTTGCCCCTTACAAGATTGAGATAACAGAAATACTCGTAAAGAGTAAATGGCGCCCTAACATATACCTCGCCGATAAATATATTTCGGAGAAAGGACGTATCTTCCTTTCTGGGGATTCCGCACACCAGAACATCCCTACCGGCGGATATGGGATGAATACAGCTGTCGGCGACAGTTTTGATATCGGTTGGAAGCTTGGAGCTATGGTACTTGGGTATGGTGGTCCACACCTCCTATCATCATACGAACAAGAACGCCGACCAGTCGCGCGTCGCAACATTGAGATGTCCGGTGTTCATCAGAGTGTGCACAACAAGTATCTCGAATTAGTTGCAATCCGTAATCTACATGACTCAGCAAAGTTCCAGGGTCAAGATTGGGAGGACCTGAAGCAGGATATTGCGAATCATCTCCAAACTTTCGATGGAGAGAACAAGGATCATGGCATCGAGATGGGCTATCGCTACAATCAATCCAATATCGCGATACAGGAAGACGGCGCAGTGGAGCCTGTCTGGGACCCAAAGGCTTACATACCGTCGACCTGGCCCGGAGCACGCGCTCCACATGTCTATCTAGCTGATGGAAAGACAAGTATACACGAATACTTTGGCCAAGGCCCGCAATTTACTGTGGTTGACTTCACCGAGCATGGAGAAGCTGCGAACCTGTTCCGAGATCAGGCTGCCGCACTGAAAATCCCCTTAAAGGTAGTACATCTACCACACGAAGATCACGTCCACAAAATCTGGGAAAGAGATGTCGTATTGGTGAGACCCGACGATCACGTCACATGGCGAAGCCAGAAGGGATCGACTCTGGGAGAAGCCGAAGTCAAGGAGGTGTTATTAGTTGCAGTTGGTCAAAAGAAATCACCATCTGTTAAGATTGAAGAATATGCAACGACTGATCAGCAGTTGTTCACTGGAACTGTTGGGAATGTTGAGCATGACAAAGTGGAAGCTTTGGCAGCATTTCAAAAATGACGATAAGTAAGGCTACTTCATTCTATGATATGCTTTCTCCTTCATCATCTGGCCCCGACCCGGAATGAGTGTGCCGCAATTCATCACTTTTAGATTTGACTTTGCTCGCGTCCTACTAATCCTGCAATGACCTCCGCTACCTTGCTAGGCATGCTAAAAAAAGGGCTGTGACTTGAATCCAGCTTCACGGTGTTGATTCCACTGTCCTTCGCAAACACGCGCACTTGCATCTCTTGGACCTCCAATGATAGCGCTTGGTCTTGTGTGCACATGATGTAGGTTGTGGGTACAGCTCGATAACCCTCAAATGGCGTCACCGTGGTTAGCGGTAGGTAAGCAAAAGGTTTGAGGCTCGCAATGGCCTTTTCCGCCTCTTTCTCAGGAACATCGTGGTAGAAGCGCTGCTGAGGATTCACCGGCAGTACAAGAGTCTTATTTTCATTCAATTTGAACCACGGTGGGTCAGGCCCAAACGCCGTTGGTGCCGACCCTTTTGGAAGCAGCCAGGCCGCACAGAGGATCAGGTGTTGGACATGTTCTTCAAATCCCTCTATAGCGGCTGATGCAGATAGTCCGCCGAAGGAGTGTGCGAAGAGCACAACTTTGTAGCCCTTGGAAATCGCTTCTCGCATGCGTGCCTGGATACGCTCGACATCGGGGAAGTAAGTGGTGGGGACATCATTCTCTGGCGGGTCTAATAAAGCCGAATGAATCAAGTCGACTGTGTATCCTGCATTGGACAGAAGCTTTGTGGTTGGAGCAAAACACTCTGGTGGATGCCATGCCCCAGGTATGAATATAATGACAGGCTTTGAATTTGACATAGCTGAGAGATGACTTGGAGCAAATGAAATCCAAAAGCTCAACTATGAATCATTAAACCTTGGTGGCTGTTAAAGTACATGCTGCAATGAGCGGGTTTATATCCTCTTGTCTAGCACAGACGGATTCACGGTGAACATATCGAATGCCGTGCTTGGCATGGTGCACTTTCCTGGGACCTTTTCTTTTCCGATACTACCGCGTAGTAGCCAGCTGGAGCTTGTTAAAGCAAACTCTGCGTTAGTCACACAATCATGACACCCAGAAGAAGTTTTCGATTTGCCCGCGAAGTTTTCATTTACCCCATACTTATCTACATGGTTCCAGCCTACACTCCTTCTTATGCCATGTGACTAATAGTTATACCTCAAAAATCTCAGGGCAAGTGTTCACCACTCCTCATCTCCTTTCTTTTACATGCAATCTCTGAACAGCCTTACCCATCCTGCTATACTTTAGTGCCGCTAAGTTACAAATTGAATATATCTACTGCTCCTTTTATATATTACATAACGCCTACTTAATAGTACTAAGATACACTTGACATCCGCTCCTATACCTTCTCCATCGTGGTAATGAGTCATGTACTAAAAGTCGAATCCGTTACTGGTAGACAGCTTGCTTCTATCAGTTGATTGCGAAGAGATGTATCAATAGGCGTTGAACATCCTATGAAGAACGGCGAATATTCGAGATCGTTCGTCATGTGGCCATTATCGGGGACTTGAATCGATAGTTCGGGATACATCGAGATCTGGGCGGGGCTCATCATCTGCATCTGCGTCTGCATCGTATCCCAGATATTGGGCAGTGGGAGATGGGTAAGCTGACTATCGACCGTCTCGAAGCGATTCGTATCGACCAGGACATTGGAGACTTCTGTCTGCATTGTCTTAGAAGCAATTGAGTGGGGACTGTCGACTGGCGATTGCCTTGAGGAAAATATAGAGAATTGCTTGATGGTGTGTCTGTCTTTCTCAGAGAGTGAAATTCCTTGCTCAACGCCCTCTGCAAATTCTGTAGTACGATCAGCAAAACGTAATGATTCATCAAATGCAAAAGCATACTGAGAAGGATTGAGCCAAGCCTCCACTTTTTGGCATACAACGCAAGGATGAGTTTCACCAGGTCTGAACAAGACCGCACAATTGGACTATTGTGACAGCTGTCCTGTTGGTTGAAGCAAGCACGCACAAGCATACAGGCAAAGAATGGGTGCGAGGTAGCGATCAATTCTGGCTCCCAAAGTCTGAGAAGATGAGATAGCTCAATCGCTCGTTCATACACTGGCTGTGGAGGCGTGCGAAGTCGAGAAAACTTAGGTCCGGCCTCGCTGGCAACCGGAGTGACGCTGTTCATCATGTATGAACATGTAAGTAGCATCAGATGTATGCCAATGATCCAATTGGCTGTTGAATTTGATAAGCATTGCAATGGCTGCTCGTGTTCTAACCGCAACAGTTTCGGCAGGGACATCTTGAAAGAAAATAGCTCGTTGCTCAAAAGGAGTACCTCCTCAGATGACATCGGTTCTTTTTGTTGCAGATTATCAACAAGACGTGCCATAAAGCTATTGGAAGCAAGGAACCAAGCTCTTGCGTCTTGATTATTGCTGTTTCGCAGAGATTCCCATGATTGGCCGGCGTCTTCAACAAGTGGTGATGAAACTGCAGCAGCACTGGTGAACCAGATATCATCGGTAATTGGCAAATTGACGGCCATCTGTTTGCGATCTATCGAGTAAGGCTGCAGCGATATGCTGGACGCGAACATGTCAAGCTCGTATACTGACCACCAGACACGACGAAGTTCCTCTTTGTCGATGTGTTCGACCGAGTTGATGGGTTCCCAATCTGCCGAATCTAGGTTTGACAAGCCAAATTCATAAACCAAGCGTGAACATACACCAATAAGCATCCACCCTTGATGTGTTGGGCCAGATGTGTATATGTGGAAAGCCAGCAAAACGCAGCCCTGAGCCCAGGTGAAAGAAGGCTCTGGCTCCTCTCGCAGACCTTGGTACAATTGCTTCGCATACTCTGCAAATTCGTCTCCTCGCCTGCTCCCATTGATACTTTGTAGGTCTGGGTGCACGGAGTAACGTGCAGAAAGTGAGAACAAGCTGTATAGCAGAAAACGCTCATCAGTTTTGAGAGTACTCAGTTGGAGCGATGACTGTGAGAACAGATTTTGATACCGCGTCTCAAACCGCGGTCGGTGGAATAGTGGGAGCCATGGCTGAATCTTGACAAAGAAGAGACGAATCAGATCCAAAGCCAATGATGCCGAGACTGGAGGCTGTATCGATCGAGAATTCTCTGATGAAGGTTGATGGGCCGTTTGTGATTTGACTCGATTCGAGAGCGAGTGGATAGAAGCCGTGTCAGAACAAGTTTCGTCCTCAAACGCAGGCTCACTAGATTGTTCAAGCTGAGATCGGTTCGTCACCTGCTCAATTGAAGAGCTACAGCTGGACTTTCGATGATGCTGGCTCTGCTGGTCGTCTTGCAATGATGTTTCTTCCAAAGGATCACGCAACGGGGTCCGGGGGATTTCTTGTCTCAGCAGATTATCAATAGCCTCACTGACACATGGTTCCGAATCGATGAGCTCAAGCAAATTTGACAAAGTGTTGCTAGGTCTGCATGCCTGACTCTTCATCGGATGGGCATTCGTGCGTAGAGGCTTTTTCCGCGTGCTTGGGAATCGGCAAGAAGTGCCTGTCCGTAGGCAAAGACCACAGGACGGTCGTCGCATATCGCATTTGGTTTTCTTACGATTGCATGCTTCACATGCCCTGCCTGGAAGAACACGAGACTGGGTCGTCGCCGCCTGGGCTACGATCTGGGGCTTGGTGAGTGTCGAGGAAGCCATGTGGACAAGTGACAAGCAATAAAGTTATTGGTGGGAGAGTTCCCCGAGGGGAGGAGGCAAGCCGAGCCTTCCTCCTAGCCCACGCGGCGAAGACAGCCTGATTGTAGCATGAACATGTCCTCCAGTCAAGCACTTGATCGAGGGCTTATTTGAGCTATAAACCATCCTAAGAAGCAGTCTGGCAGTACAGTCTCCTATGATTTCATGCGGGGGATCCGCAACCTGGGGTAATAGCCGAAAGCCCCGCAGGCCCACCTTCTGGACCAAGTCAGCATCCACGCAATCTGAATTCGAGATAGCGATGTGCCTAGAGATCTAGAATCTACGTTCGCAACGAGCTTTTATCTCGAAGGCTCAACACGAGAAATGGACAGTATAGCTTGAGGAGCACGAATGAGGAGCTTCGATCAATATGTTGTAGGATTATTCATTCGGAAGTTTGACTGGTAAGGCCGAAAACAAACAGTTGTTAGCCCGAGGATGTAGAAGAACACCCTAAAGCTCAAGTAATAGACTGCTGAGGTGTTGAGCTCACATGAAATAGTGGTTCTAATGTGCGCAATGTGATGATTAAGGCTGAACCGGAGCTGTCTGTCACTTATTTCAGCTTCCAGAAATTGATGGAAAAAAAGGTATGATAAAAGTCTATGCCAGTTGAGGTAGATAATCAGAAACACATCTGATGCTACTCGGCGCTCAAGACACGATTCTGAAGAAGCCAAAGCAGTAGATGTGAAATGACTGAACCCACAATAGGAATATACAAGAATATCTCACGTAGCATAATTGTGATACAGATGAACAAGATGACACTTGATCATGAGGAACCTAAGGTCTGCGACCCAACAGAAGCCGAGAATGAACGGATGCCATAGGACGTTGTCATTAATAGCATTCGAACTGGTTCTACGATCGAAATAATCCGACAATCTAACACTATCTGCATGGCTAACCAGGAATCCGCCATCCAGTTGTCGTCTTGGTGATATATGTCTTCTTGAAGATGCTACGGAGTCCATGCAACAATTGTACAATCTCTCGATCCAGAAACCAATCGGACTGGGGTCGCTTCCCATACCAGCCATTCATCAAGCAATTCAAACCAGTGGGCAGGGTGCTTAATGAAAAATGGTTCCTATTTAGAGCCGATACTGGTAATCGATTCGGCCCCAGGTTCTCAACCATGCCGACGTACCACACAGCGTTTCCTACCACGACATCGGATCAGGGACTTCGGTAACGGCACCCCACCTTGCAAAGTCTCAACAGCAACAAGAACCGTTGAGGGAGGAAGCAGAATTACGAAGCATTGTACCATGATGAGGCAAAAAAACCCGTCTTGAAAGACCAATTTACGAAATCAAAGCTTATACCTTATACCTACTTGCTTACCGAACGCCTACACCTCTAGCTTGGGTGCCTGCTTGCAGTTCAGACGAGATATCGTGCAGTGCATAAGTAGTAGGTATTCCAATGTACATGCTTATAATAATGTTGTGCAGATAAAAAAGACTTTCCCACTACCAAGTTTGATCCGAAACCCTAAACATCGCATGGTCGTTCCCATCGCATTCGTTCCAAGCGGATTTGGTGTTCTATTTTAGGCAACGAGATGACTACCATGGGCCCACTACCCTTTTTGGGCACCTAGAAAGGTATACATGTACATGTACCAGGGCGGTGCAAAGTATCGATACGACCGCTTCACGGGGACCAAGGTCTTTTAAAACGTTCCCACTGACGTTTACGTGCATCTCTTTTGGCCTCTCGGCTCTTGTTCATTCCACTCGCTCCTCCTCTCCTACAGGTTGCCTTGACCATACACTCGCTTGAATACCACACTCGCTTTCCGTTACTATTGCGATTGCTCTCATCAAGTCTGTATCCATAAAGTTAATCTTTGTTTACTGGGGGAAGACTTTAATAAAGTGAGTGATTCGTTACATCTAATTCCTGACTTTGTTAGGTTTCCCACGTCGACCACACTGCAGCCTTGGTTACTTCGGATCCCAAATCATCTTCACTTAAAATCATCACATCCAAACCGGATTTCCACACAAAATGTCTTGTGCAGGGCTGCACACTGAATGTGCAATATGCTCTTTCAAGACCGAGGCCATCCGTCGTGGATCCTGGAAACCTAAACCTGTTAAGACAAGCGTCATAATTCTTAATTTCAAGATGCCGATCGTATACCACTCCAAAACTTATCACGCCGTCAAGAGTGTTGTGGGTCGCATCTCTGAGGAAGTCGATCTTATGTCGGATCTATCTAGATTCACTGTATGGTCGCCCTGTTCATTCAACCGACGAGCTGCCGTTATCCTCACATCAGAGGGCCATCTCTGGGCGACTCCCCAATCGCCTATCTTCGAGCCTTTATACAAGTATCTTGTCCTCTCACCGGAAATACAGACCATCAGCCTGAACTACCGAGCTGTTAGCCCATTGGTCAGTCTCTCCACCGACAGACAGCTATCCTTCGACTTGATCACTCTGCAGGGCCCGCCTTCAGCCGCAGCAAAGGTCGGGAGATGCTTTGGCTGGGGACCTAAGACTACATCATTGCGTTCCAAGATCAACAAGAGGGACAAGTTGCGATCTAGCATGTCTAGAGAATTGGTCCAAGATTTCAAAGCGTGGGGAGAATGCGTGGCAGGAGATCCTGTCCCGGCATCGTGCCTTGCCACTCCCAGGAGAGACTCATGCAGCTTCGAAAACCCGTCTAAAGAGGACCTGAGCCGTAGCGATGGCTTGCACGTTGTCCGGAGCAATGAGGGAGAAGAATATGAAAGGTCGAACGAAGAGAAGCTTTTCATGTTCTTTCGATGGAACAACAGAATGAAAGCGAACATGTTCAAGGATCACCGAATGCACCGTCAAGTAACCAATGGTAGAATGAGAGAGTACAACCTCTGGAACCACTTCATCATAGAGCCTGTGGTCGACCTTGCGCGTTCGGGTGCGAAAGTCCAGATGTTCGAACTGGAGCTCCGATGCGTTGAGCCCAAGAAGCGGTCGTTCGGTACTGCGGTCAAGGAATGGTACCACGGCGGGCCTTGCAACACACTCGCACACTGGAACCACAGAGTCCGTACTTTGGCTTCTGGTCTAAAGAATCGTACAAAGACCCTTGTGAAGCGGCGGGCTTCTTCAGGCAAGGCCTCAACTACAGGCACGATCACTCCAGTTGAAGCAAATCCACCCACGGCTCCACCAAAGGAAGCACGTCTCTCTAAGGAATGATCGCATGGCAATCCTATTTATTGCTGTTAGCCTCCCACTGACAATGTCTTTCGAAAACACAAACGCAACATTTTTGTCCTTCAGCCCTTCCAGCTAGTCATCAGGGCTCCAGGCGGCAAGTGGGCAGTGCCAGCATCTTCCCGCCTAGATACAGCCCCAGCGTCAACACAACTCATAGCTATACCGAAAACACCAGCATTAACTCATTTCAGCCTCATCATTCGTGCGAAGGTCATGCGCGCGCCGCCCTAAATTTCTCGATCATCACCATCGGATGTAACACAAGCCTCATCAAGCAACGGGAATACGCGTGCACAACCACGGAATGCTATTAACCCACGGAGCTTACTCCGATGTATCCCAGATCAGTCCATTATTACCTCGAGTTTGAGCTTTTGCCTTTCTTGTACGCGCGGATTACGACATCTTCATCGGAAAGGAAAGGGTGGATACATGGACCACGGTGCGCTGCAGGAGGATCTTTGTATTGGCACCTTAAGGAGTTCGAATGGCGTTATGGATATAAGGAATATTGTTTTGGGTCCATGTAGAAGGATGGTAGCACTACTAAACTTTATTAGAATAATGATAATGTCAATTATGAACAAATCGAATTTGTTACTCATAATGCACATACCCAAACTGTCGATTGTGCAACTTCAATCTCTACTGTGCCACAAAGACGAGCATATGACACCTACGAGTAGGCAGAATAGTCATGACAATTTCCAGATAAGGCGCCGTCGGAATCATCACAAGTTACTAGTCATAAAAATCCGGAGGCGAGGCTGTGGAAATGAGAATTTCTGCACAACGCCGAAGAAACTGAGGGCATTATCAGGCTACAACCGCTACGGCGTAGTACGGCACTGCAAAGCCCAGAGGCCGTGCCAGACAAACAAAAAGGAAATGGGCCACACAAGCCGAAGAGCAAACACTCATATCTTAAGTATCAAGGCACCCCTGTGCGTCATAGGGGTGGTTGACTCTTGAGAATGAAGGTGCTCGGAAATAGTTGCCTGTCCTACATACCCTGCCGAACAAGCGACCAGCTCAAACAGGAAAGTTGAAGGACGACAACGATGAAATTCATTGGACTAGAGAACTTCGAAGACTGAATGCACATTTGATGTCCTTGACCGCCTGAAATATGTTTGTTCACAGGGACTTTACAAGGACTTTGTAAAGAATCTGGCGGTGACGATGGGTGGAGGCGACGGACATCGCCTTTCACGACGACGCACTCAGCAGCAATGAGCTTGATTCGGATAGAATGGCATTTGATATCAAGGACGTGATTGGGAAGAAGAATAGTGTCGATACCGAGTTAGTGGAACATGGGAAGGATTTCTCTGCAAGTGCCTTTGCGAATGGAGAAGAGAGAAGGCGATATTCGCTTTGAAGGCTGATGCTCATTGGATCGCAGGAGTCTCCGAAACCTCTAGCATACGTAAACATGGGGATAGATTGAACAACCACTTGGATGAGTAACATGCATTGCACAATAGGGAGAGGCAGGCACCCTTGTAACTGTGGGGGCTGCTTATAATCGTCAGTTCGATCCTGCTCACGGCGATCTTGAAAAAGGTTTTTCCAATAAGATAGCAATCAACGTTAATCTGGTCTCTGATGGATTGTACTACTCTTTCGCGGGAAAGGCGAGCCACGGCCCAGTCCGCCGGCGCATGAGGCCCGTATTGGAGGCAGAGGCTGTGAGATGGATTGGTGGGGAGAGCTTAATGTTTGCATAGAAGGGTTGCGAGGCTCAGCTCTGTGCCACCTGTGGCTTTGATTGGACATGACTTTGCCGAGCCGGGGTAGGCGATGACCCTTATTTGCTCATGAAAGCTGAGTTTATAGCAATGCATTACGATAGCGGCTCGATTTGTCGCATGGCGGCAAAGTACATTTTGTTTGCGGCGAGGTCACGTTGACAACTTGAGAAAGGAGGATGTCACGGCGAGAGCTGGGGCTCAAGGGCGGCTCAGCAGGGTGGTAACGGATTGGTGCAGCTTAAGAGTCAAATGAGTCGGATAAAGCACGGATTTTGGATTTAAGGTAGTTGATATGTTCATGGCTGCTGCGATGTCATAGCTTGTTGCTCATAACTATTGTGACTCGTGAGGGTCACTATAAGATTGAGGATGGCTTTCTCAAACCATCGATTCAAATACACATACAACGACTGTTACAGATTTCCAACATCTACAACATCCATAACATCCATAACAACCAAAGGCTCAAAGATTTCATACCACGAAATGGACCAAATCGAGGAAGCAAGGCCCGAGGAGGCAAGACTTGAGGAAGCCAAAGTTGGAGAAGCCGAAACTGAGGAAGCAAGACTGGAGAAAGCACGACTTGCGGACGTAGCAAACATTGAGGCTTCTCTCGTCCAAGGACGAATTCTGTGGCTTCCACCACAAGAGCAACTCTTCGGGAAAGAAGTGAAGCGGGCTCATGGCAAAGGGCCGATAGACGAAGGCATCTACAACCACCCTGTCGTTGTGGTTTCCCGGCCTAAAGACCAAGACCACATCGTACATTTCCAAATCGTAAGGAGTGACAACTGTCAGAGACTTGATCATTCGACTGACCATTTTAGATCACATCCTTCCAAGGCAAAGATCTCGGCCAGAAGTACGACAAAGATACCGAATACCACTTGAGCCGTCGATCGTGGTATCTTCCCATATACCCATCTCCTGACCATCCGGATATAGACTCCAAGAAGTCAAGGAAGAAATACCCCACCCTAGAACTTGCTCAGGGTGCTGTTCTCCGCGGGAACTCCTACGTCAAAATTCGCTCCATATACAAGATTGATTGGAGGCTTCTGAAACCATACGATGCCGCCAGTGAATGCAATTACCGCTTCAATAGATCCACGGTGACTACATTGCTGGCAAAGACCAAGCTCCTCACAGAGTACACACCTGGAACGCAATATGAAGGACCACGCTCGCGACAGCGAAACAAGAACAAAGCTCGCGAAGTCTCCCCAAATCCAGAAGCAGAGGCATCAGGGACGCATTTGCAATCGCAGCAGGATTTTTGGGTCTCCAAGAAAGAGTCGAGGCGTTGTCATTGTCGGCCTCCCAAGGCCCCTCCAGATATAATGCACAGCAACCGTGAGGGGATGTCACCCGGGCTCGATTTGTGTCGGGTCGTGGGGTGGCTAGGCGGTGGCCAAGGCAGTCCATGTTGTGACATCGGTGTACCATATGTGGCACCAATTCGGTGCTGATATCACGTAGTAGAACAATTCATTTGTTTCAGACTTAGTATGATTATCCTTTTAGTGCGGAGTCATTGGGTAGGTAACTCAGAATCTGCCTGATCCGTTTAGCGAAGAGGTCAGCGTCCACATCATCCTGCTGTTTTTCACACTGCTGCAGAACATCATGGAGTGAAGCAGCATCTTTCTCTATCGATGGCTCGTCTAACGCCGTACGAATGAATATCCACGCAGACTCGTTATCTAACCGCAGCCTCGTAACGATGTGCACGACGTCCGCAAGTAGATTTCCGTTCGACTTGCTGGGAGACATGCGCAAGAGAAAGAGCAGGAATGACCATCCCGAGATGTCACTGGGGTGGGAACAGCACCAGGATTTAGTAGAGTCAACAGTTTCCTTGATGAAAACGGACAAGAAATCCGCCCGTTCCTGCTGTGTTTCGGTAACGGATTCTTGACTACCAACTAAATGCGTAACCAGTGTTCGTGCATATTGCCACGCGTAATAGTTTTTGGGATGTCGCTCCCCCGATTTGTAGACAGCAGAAAGCTCCTTTCTCGAAAAATCCAAGAGCGTCTCCTTATGATCGCCAGGGAGAGACATTGCATTTGAAACCAGATATTGTAGAAGCCATGAGCGGTGATACCATAACGTTGGGGACTTCGACTGACGATGCAATGGTGAAGTGAGGATGCTGTCAAGGAAGTCTATTTCCCGTCTCAGCAGCGCCTTGAGTGATTCATTTGGTACAGTCTTTTCAGTTTCCTGTTGGACTTGGACTATCTGTTTCTTGCGTAAATTGGCTGCGGTGATTTGTTCGGTGTCAAACAACAACATGACTTTAGATGCAGCCAAAGCAATCTATCTTATTCCATAAGCCACAATCTCACCAAGAGTAGATAAAATAGAATCTTACGGTAGAAACACTAGCATCGTCTTTATGTTGAAAAAACAACCTTCTCGCTTCCAAAAAAGCCAATGCAAGGATCTTTTTAGGGATACCCAGACTAAGTCCATCGATCATACAGATACCATCTTCTGGCTGTATTGCCGGAGGAAGCATCTCGATCTCGACTACTTCATCCTCATGCGCAGTGAAGTATTGGTCCAAAATGGTGTACGCTTTGTTGGAGAGGACCGCATGGCGTCCGCTGAGCTCCATCGAGCGTGCACCATGTGTATAAAGACTGAATATCTTCTGGCAGAAGGGAAGATGCAAAATGTTCGTAATAGAATTGTTTTGTTGATTGAATTACGGACCAGCGACGCCATGAAAGAAGGTGCTTGAAGTGGTATGAGTGCACGGGCCACATACATCCTTACACAATAGGTACATCCCACCTGGCCCTAATTCACATATGCGAGAAATGACATAGCGGCCCTCCTGTCCCGCCGTTTCGCCCTCCACGACAGTATCTGGATCCCTTCTACGCAGTTTGTCGTCTGAAGACCATTGCCCAATATGCCGTCACTACTGCTTGTAGTGTTCATACTACAGTTCCTCTTGCACATCATCAACACAGTGGGCGCGACGACCGTCGATGAGCTTGTAAGTACAACGCCTCCCCTAACGGCGAAATGTCACAACGGAGCAGATGCTAATGATATGGTAGCTATGGATCCTTTATAACAAGTTCCCGACGCCGACCTCGAGTTCCGCACGAAAGGCTCAGTCCCTTAAGAAAGAAGTCGTCCGACTGAAGCGCGAATTGGGTGCCGTGTCTGCACAGGACGACTTCGCAAGATGGGCGAAGCTACAGCGTCAACATGATAAAGCTATGGCAGACTTCCAGAAGTCAGGTACGCGACTTAATTCTCACCCTCCTGCTTGTACAGCCATCTGTCATAGGGGAAAGATCTATTGTTGACCGAGCTAACTGTGATGTATTGTAGACAACTCCATCCGCACGCACCGACAAACGTTCACATCCGCCGTCTCCACTCTCCGCTGGCTCGGAACACAGGGCCTTCGATTCGTCCTGCAGTTCTGGTTCTCGAAGTCGCCCATGTTCTGGATACCTCAGGATTGGGTGCCATATTACGTTGAGTGGCTGTTGTCCTTCCCGAGGGCGCCGCTGGGCAGCGTCAGCATTAATATCTGGGGCATTGCATGCGCGAGCATGATCGCATTGGTCGGAGAAGCCCTCACAGCTACGTATGTACTCGCGACGCGGAAGCCTCTTCCGGTCGGAGAGAAGGCTGGACAGCCCATGGCGTTTGAGGCGAAGCCCCAACAGGCACAGGAGCCAAAGAAGGAGCTATGAGATCGACTGGCAAGTCTCGCCCGTGGCAAGTAGCGATCTCACATGAGATCAATATAAAGAACACATATCGCACGCCTGGAAGGCATAGGCATGGTCATATCAAGACACAAGGTCGAAGCATCATTGAAGCAAAATAACAACATAGGTTGGACATGGTGAATATGTCTCCCAACAAATTGACGCAAAGTCGTCCTGGGTTATCCCTCAGACACTGCAACACGAGTGGGATGGACCTTGGCAGGTCACTTGGGCTTGTTCTAGGCACACAGATTGAACTCAGCGACCGTGGAGCTTGAGAGATCACCGAGTCTTCGATAGGGCCAGATTTCTACAGGATGGGGTAGGGGGATAGCATCGAGTAGTCTACTAATTCTACTGTTGCTTTGCTCTTCAGGGCGACAGAAGGCTGCTCGAGAAGTGGACTGTAGCTGTTGTTGACCAAGATATTTAATCAACCCAGGCAGTCAAATTGAGAACATTCTGCTGAAATCTCTGACAAAACGAGCTCAGCGTTCGCACCTGTCGTCATCGTCGTGATGTTTTTGTTGTTTATTTGTTGTGATGAAGAAGAAGAGGAAGAGTTAAAGCTCAAAAGAAAACAAATCTGCGAAGAAAATCCATATTGGCCTCGGTCTATAGTTCTTCCGTCTCCCGGCTTCGGACAACATCGTAACGCACGTGATGCGCTGGTACACCCGACCTTTGCATTTTGTACAACAGTCTTCGAACACCATATTTCTTTATTCCAGAAATATTAAATCTACTTAACATCATACTATGCATGCTCCCCAATCCAGATAGACTTCTGCAATGTCGATCAAACCATCGGGACCGTGACATCAAAGTCTTGGGGCAAAGTCGATGTGAGACAATCAATAAGAGATCCTGATGTAAGAATATGGATTGATCTTACTGGGGTTCATCTAAGATGTAACCTACGCGTGATACGATATGACGCGGCGTGCAGAGCGAGGTCCTCGGTAAGATGTACATCAACATGGCACACGTACGTACACAATATACGATGTGTGACGTCTGTCGTCGACGGTTCATGGGAGGGACGGAGGACGACGACTTGGGGCATTGCTTTTGCATGCGTTGTATTACGGAGTACTGAGATCTTGATTTGCATTTATTTCGTACACCCAGATAACTATGTTTACCCTGGTTGGTTTCATTGGTACTCCGTAGCTTTCTAGGCTTTGAGGTCTTACATGGCATCACGCAATTGATATCGCTTCCCTAATCACTTGTAGGTACATACCTAGTATGTGGGCACGCATGCAAACAGATGCGTAAGAGAGAGCCCAAACTATAATTAGGCATGATACGCGATGCGTCGCCCGCCGGGACTGGATATCGAATAGAAGAAAAGTTCCCGCATCCACAATCTATGGTTACCAGGGCGTTGGGGCGAATGAGAGGCTGCAGCAGAAGGCGAGGAATCAGAACACACATTGGTCTGAAAGAGGATATCGGTCAGACACGAGCTGGACGTGATGGCGCATAGCGGGCATGATACCACAGGTCTCTTGCGGGCCGACCACGCGGCAATCCTGGGAATGATGGGACGGGATGGGGTTTGTAGGTAGGGTTCTCTACGGAGTACATGTGCAGTTGTGAGAAACCAGCCGCGTGCGTTAGAGGCGGCAGCCGTGGCTGTAGGGTGTTACTGCAAGTCTCATCAAGTGTGTAGGTGTGCACTGGATGCGCCGGCTCGCTAAGTGGTTCGTACAAGTGAAGGTGGCTAGAGGAGGCCTGAACGTGTGCAACAAGGGGCAGAAGGTGACCAACCCACGATCAGACGATTGCAAACTGTTTACTATTGCTTGTGTCAGTGGCCGCTTGGAAAGTATTGATTTTTGTTGCTTCTAGCTCGTTGCGAAAATCGATAGGGGTGGGTTCTGAACCAACGGCTAGAAGGCTTCTGGAAGGCAGGCAGAGGAGGCGGCTCGTTTGATAAGCTGTCGTGTAATTGAAGATGACGCATGGATGTAAGCTTCGATCTGGGTACATACATACATGTACATATGTATGTCACTACATGTCCAAGGTAAGACCATGCGGACAATGTCCCGGATTCCATGTCATTGTCCATTGTATTATCGTGAAGAGCAAATGTTCCATCAATCACTTGCGAGATACCCATATCATATCGTCGCACAAAGCTGTGATGGAACTGAGGATGGACCATCCATCCATGGTGACCTCGTAAAATATTGGCTTCCAGAAAGCTTTAGCCTTGTATAGGTATGACGGAATGGGTTCGGGACGGCAAGGCTTGTACTTGTACAAGTAATTTCCATCGAAGCGACTTGTAGCGGCTGATGGTTGCGTGTGCGGACTGGGATGGCATGCTCACACAACCACGTGGAACGGAGAGGCCCGCTCGGAGTGTGGGCCGAACATGCTAAAAAGAGTGAAGAGGCGTCAACCCGGGCTGAGATGTTTTACACTTTGGTTGTCTGTGTGGATTGAACCGTAGGATGGTGATGTGTGTATGCATGTAGGTATGTAAAGTAGGTAGGTTGGTTGGTAATGTAGAATATAGACAATGTCTATGGCTTGTAATGCAGCATTGACTACCTCAAATGATATGATTGGAGATTGAGATGTGATGAGAAAACAACGACAGAACGAGTAATGTACCAGGTCAAAAAGGATGTTGTGAACTAATGACAATTACCTTTGATGCCACCACTCCACCAGGTAGTTCACCCTCTGTTCAGTTCGATGGGTATTATTAGTTAGTCCATATACCATGAATACCAGTAGAAGAGCTGTGATTGTTACACCGTTCATAGCACACTTATTCTTAGGAAGAGGAAAATCAGAGGATGAAAAACATACACAGATAGATGGAGTGAGAGGTGGAAAGGGAACATCTCATCTCAGCACAGTTCCTCCTCTCAGAGTCTCATCTGATCTCATCTCATCTCGTTTGCTCCATGAGGACCATGACCCACCGTCCACATTCATGCAACACCCATTCACACCCTCGTTTGTCGCTCGATGCACAGAAACAGTAAACGAACCGTAATGGAAAAAAAACGTTATCCATGTCCACCCAAGTGACCCAGCCCAACCCTCCTCGTATGTACCGTGCCAATGCCAATAATGCCATGCCATGCCTTACCCTACCCTGCTTTGTTCTACCCTGTTATGCCATGCTATGCCCTGCTTTCCCTTGCTCTGGCTCTCTGCCCTGCCGCCTGAGAACCGCCGCCCCTTGTGGGGTTTTCCCCATTATGTACATATTATTGCCAACCATTTTAATTATTACTCCGTCCCATGCTGCAGTGTGGATGTCCAGCAGCACCAGAAATCAAATCACTTGGATCGCTAGCAAGGGCCGGGACGCTGTTCATCTATCAAGCACACCCTCCCCCCTCCTTAGCTACTTGTAGGAACAACAACACACGCAGTCCTTTGAAGAGGTGAACATCCATACATACGATATAGTGCCCATTTGTGCTATTGTGTATTGTGTATGCCGAAACTGTGTGTCTGTTCTTGTGTCCTACATTAGGTAGTCAGGCATTTTCCCGATCTTCTGGGAACCGCTACCCCCATTATTGACCGAATCGAACCGCTCTGCCGCCCAATTTCTACTTCTTTCACTCTGGTTTAACGCGCGCTCTCGATATCTCCAGACACTTTTGGAGACCTGCATACTCCCACTCCCACTACATACCACCTGCCAACCTGCCTGCCTACCTACCTACCTATCTGAACTACCTGACCACCTTGCTCACTTGCACCATATACAGTCCTGTCCTGTGTCCTGCCCCCGTCTTGCCTGCCTGGTCCCTGGCCCCTCGCCCTCCGCGCTTGTTGATCTCCGCGCCCTCGGTAGCTTTTTGCTCCGTACTGGCTGCTGCTCCGCGCCATGTCCGCCTATCCCACATATGACAACGACAGCGCCATTGAGATCGATCCACAGGTACGTTGCGCTCATATATTATCTCTGTAATTGGCTACGACCGAACTGTAAATACTTGGCCACTCCATTCTGGACATAGGACGTTCGCATTCAAGCTCTCGTCCTCGACTAATGCGACAGCTCACAGGTGCTCCACGATGATGGCTCCTCGATAGCAGACTTCGCCGACGAATTGTACGTTCTTCTTCTCCTCCAAACATCATTCGAATCCATAATCCAGCAATACATCTAACACTTTATCCCCCCTCTCCCAGAGTCTCCTTCACAACATCCTGCAACTCCGCGATAACGAAATACCCCTTCGAGAATGGCCGCCGCTACCACGCCTTCAAGTCAGGCTCGTACCCTCTCCCGAACGACGAGCTCGAGCTGGACCGCCTGAACGTCGTGCACCACATGCTCAAGAAAGCTCTCGACGACCGGTTATTCCTCGCGCCCGTCGCGGCCGACACCATCCACCGCGTGCTCGACCTGGGCACGGGCACTGGGATCTGGACCGTCGAGATGGCAGACAAGTACCCGCAGGCGGAGTTCCTGGGCAACGACCTCTCGCCGCTGCAGCCGGCGTGGGTGCCGCCGAACGTGCGCTTCGAGGTCGACGACATCGAGAGCGGGTGGGCGTACAGCGGGCCGTTCGATTACATCTTCTGCAGGGCGTTGGCGTGCGCGGTCGGCGACTGGCCGAAGCTCGTGAGGCAGGCGTACGCGAATGTCAGACCCGGGGGGTGGGCGGAGTTCCAGGACTTTGACATGTCGTTCTACTCCGAGGACGATAGTTACAGCAATGAGAGCGACACGGCGAAGTTTATGCGATTGCTGCGGGAGGCGACGAGGGGTGCGGGCGCTGGGAAGGAAGCGAGCCCCGGTCCGAGGTTGGAGCAATGGGTGAGAGACGCAGGGTTTGAGAATATCGTTCACCAGAAGATTAAACTGCCTCTGGGGCCCTGGCCGAAGGACACAAGACAGGTATGTTTCTCTCCCCTCTCCACAAGGAATCATGTGGAACATAATCTAAGACCACAATGTTCTACAGAAAGAAGTCGGCCTCTTCAACCTATCACAGACATTGGACGGCCTGGAGGCCTTCTCCATGCGTCTCTTCACCTCGGTCCTCAAGTGGGAACCCCTGGAGGTGGAAGTCCTCTGCGCCAAAGTCCGCAAGGAACTGAAGACGAAAGACGCACACAGGATACAAGATTTGTACGTCCCAGGTCACTCCAAAGCCCCCGTGTCTAAAGCTAACCCGTACACAAAGCCACGTCGTATACGGCCGAAGACCAACCCGCGCATCCTCATCAACCTCATCATCACCGTAACTGTCCACCTCAGCATCCGTTATTTTATACCTACCTTACCCACCTTACCAAACCCCTACAATCCCATTGTAATGAGAGAGGGAGGGGAAACACCCCATATCCCTCCCCTCAGGAAGCCGACTTTCTTGTACATCTAAATCTAAACCTAAACGTCGACTTTTGAACCCCCGGCCCCGCGTGATAATCGTTACAATGGTGCACGCGGGCGAGGAGGGCTCGAAAGTATACGCTTCTTTTTTCTGGGAAAGATCGCCCTGTCGAAAGACATATCGTCTTATTTATATATCTATCTATATCTTTTAAAATACCATTTTTCTTGTTGAATACTGCCAACTTCTCTATCCATCGATTGGGCTTGCAATGTCAGCTCTACGTGAACCTGATCTTACCTAGTCACAGTCTATATGTGTAGTATATGAGGCATCACAGGAGCATGGGGTACATTAAGTCTCTTTTTGGAAATCTTGAAATTGGATACCTCGGATGTTTACAAGTACATGAAACATGAAAGGCTAGCTGGTCGAGAAGAGCGGAGGATAGGGAGACGGAATGTATTACTTTTTCCACCCACACACCGGCCGGGAACCCATTGAAGACGAAGACGCGTTCAGTACATACTCTCGCGCTGCCGCCGTAGCGCATTGCAGTCTACCACGACATAAACGACCATTTTTTCAAATGCAAAAGGTGTTCCCCAAATGCATGCCCTGAACACCCAACAAACGCCACCGTTCATAACCTGCATTCCACAGACCTCCGTCGTGAATGCATTTCAAAGGAAACAAGAAGAAGCACCGACGCAATGCAACCAGCCGCTGACTGGTGTCTAGAAGTCATAAAGCCATTAGGTAGTTTTTTTTAAGGAGGCAGACCAGCACCTGATTCCACTCGCGGTAGAGGATCCATGGGAACTCGAGCCGCCAGATTAGATGTTAGTGGGAAGTCGTGGACCTGTTGGAAATGCACTTTGTCCTGGAAGATTGAACTTAGGAGGCTGTGGTTGAGCCGGAGCTGGTGGTTTTGGCGGCAAGTGAGAAGGCGTACCCCACTTAGCGATACTGCTTTGAGTCGGGACTTGAGCCAGCGTGGGTTGTGAGAAGGTCGGCGTGGCCATCATTGCATTCTGGGAGTTGACCATGTAGGGTGCTTGCCCGGCTCCTGAGCTGTTGTTCATAGGCGCGGGGACGATGTTGTGTGTACTCATAGGGGAGCCGAAAGCCTGTTGGTGAACAGAGGGAGGGCTTGGCCCTGACATTGGTCCTGGCATCTGGTTGGCAGGGGGCATTTGATAATTCCCAAAATTGTTCATTCCCTGATTCATCATGCCGGGCATGTTTTGCTGCATTTGATAGGGAACGGACCTGCCACCAGGGATGAATGCTTGACTCTGGGGATTGAACTGTTGACGATTGAAACTGCCCGGAAGGGGGTGTTGATTTCTATTCGGCTTGCCATTGTATGCTGACGGAGGATATTGCCCATAGGCATAATGATTAGGATGCCCCTGCATCGGAGCCGACAGAGGGCGGTTTCCAGAAGGTCCATTTGGAGTGAAAGGCGCTTGGCTCATCTGGTAGGTAGGCTGCTGGTTGGGCTGGGTCCATCCTGGATTCATAGGCATCGCTTGCTGGAAATTATCTTGGTAGGGTGCCATGGGGGCGGTTGACATTTTCGGAGTTACCTGAGAAGGCATGCCAGCCGATTGAAACGATTGCATACCGCGTTGAAAGTCATTTGATAGGTCGTAGACGTTCTGGTTGGAGCCATAATTAGAGTAGTTCATTGGCCCGTTTGCCTGTGGGTATTGTTGGCCTTGCCAGCCATAGGAATTTTGTGCCTCTTGTGGTACCATGACCGGGTACCCAGAGTTGAAGTTGGGAGGGGGTGAGGTAGCCGCGTTCATGCCATTATATTGCTGATTTTGCATCCCTCCTGGATACCCAGGATAGTACATGCTCTGGTCGTTCTCAAAACCGGAGACTTGGTACGGAGGATAATAGGCATTGTACCGTGAGCGTGCCTCGAAATCATCGTCGTAACTGCGTTGCTTCTTGCTCTTCTTCTTTCCAGAAGCCGAACTCGACCTTGAAGCATCCTTTTCTTCGCCACTTGCTGCGTCATTCGCGTCGCTCTCCGCGTTTTCGACGCTTCCAAAGATACGCTCTCGTGCTTCTCGATATCTAGCTTCGCGCTCCTCTCTCGTCATGGTTGATTTGTCTTTACTTTCTGTGCCGTTCGCCTCGTTGTTATCGCCTTCACTGCCGCTACCTCCGCCGACTTCGGATGTGGTCTTCGAAGGACCCTCCGAGTTTGCAGTGGTATTGGTACCAGATTTCGCGCCATCCTCGCGGCGCATGATCTTGCGTGCTGGGAGGTCTACTGGAGGAGTACTCGTATTCTTAGAAGAGACAGGGAGTCCTGAAAGTGGAGGGGGTCTGCCATAGAGTCAGTGGGCTTCTTGAACAAGGTGAGGTAGTTATTACATCCGACAATATGGAGTCCTTGTAATTTTCACGCCAGTCATGGTGTTGTCGACTACATGGCCAAGTAGATAATAATCTGCCAGTCGGTGTGCAAGCATCCTATAAAACGTGTTACAGTTGGGTAAGGACAACTCGTTTTCACTGCTCTACGTTAGTCTAACGATTGATGGATAAGGACGTGACTATCGGCTTACCGAGAGTCCTTGACAAAGTCAATAAAATCTTGCTCGAGCTTGAGGACGAAGAGTCGGTCTCTCGGGGATTCGAGGGCTTCGATCAGCTTCTCATCCGGTGTTGCTTGCACGCTGTGTGTTCCTGCAACATTGGGCATACCATTGCCTAGCGGCTGAGAAATTGGTCTATTTCCACCATTCTGGGATTGGGTAGGATCATAAAGGCTGTGTGTGCCGTTCGCATTCAAGTTCGGAAAGCGTCCTGGGGGAGCACCTCGCTGTGGCAATGGTCCCATTACTGCAATTTCGTGCAGCTGGTCCCGGAACGCTCGAGCAACACCACTATCGGACCCAACGCGCGAACCAGCAGCTACCGAGTCGGGAGGGGATGTGATGTCCTCTTCCTCAACTGCTCTAAGACTGGCACTGTCGTCGGGACGTAGGGATTCCTTCTCGTCCATGGCAAATGTAGTAGTGGATGCAACGCTCTTGCCATCAAGGCTTGAAGGTTTCGCCGAGCCATCAGACGATGACAATTGGGTAGAATTGTCTTCCGTAGCGAGCGACTTGCCTACAATGATAGGCGCACGTGGTTTTTCCACTTCATCGTCCTTGGAGCCTGGTTGTGAGGGGCCTTGTTGCTTAGGCCCTTTTTCCCAGTGCCCATTACGGGACACAACGCCAGCAGATTTGTTCGCAATGGTATTGACTTGTTCCTTCTCTGTGCGCGTTATGGGAGGGTTTGCGCTATCTGGGGAAGCATTTGCGGGTGTCTGTGAGGAGACGATTGGTGGTGAGCTCGCAACTACAGGTGCTGTGGTCATGGGGATATTTTCTTTGGGAGTATGGGGCTTGTACGAAGAAGCAGCAACCTTACGGAGCATGAGTAAGAAGATTCATGGCAAGTCGCAACTGGAGAGTACAAACTTACCTTGGCAAAAGAAGGTTTAGCCTTTTGAGGCTCGTAGGGTATCGTGGTTGTAGAAGCCATCGCTGAATCAAAGCTCCCAGACGCAGTTGCTAAGGCAATCGGTGGTAGCACAATAGGGATTGACCCAGGATATGGTGTTTTTGGCTCGAGCTTCTGCGCAAGAAACCGAACGACAGGCAAAAGCAAAGCTGCGTATTAAGATCTTGCAGTGAGGACGGCACTGTGGTGCTTGAGGAGGTCGAGTAAGTCACCAAGAGCGCACGCCGGAAAGCCGCAGACTTTTTGAGGCCGTGTCCCAGCCAAAGGAAGGAATTAATTCAAGCAAAGATGGGGGATATTTCAAGAAATGGGGTGCTCAAGGAAAGTCGAAGATGGCAGAGCCGCAGTGCTGGACATTGTGGAGTGTCGACATTCGCACGAGGTGGGGTTGCGGGGCTGGGAAGGGATCGAATATGCGAGGGCAGGTGAAGAAGTGGATATATACCTTAGGTGCAAGGTCTGGTTATGAACGGGCGTGTGGCCTATATTGGAGGCGGTGGAGCTGCAAGAGCAGTAGCAGCAACAATGACCGTGATAGTAGCGGCAGCGGCCAAGGGCACGCCAAAGGCGAGGCGCACAAAAGGTAGTGACGTCCTAACCCAGTAAAAAAGAGGCCAGCGCTGACGAAAAGCAGCAGCAGGTCCTTTTTTATATTTTGTACTCAACCGCAACGGGGAGAGGAGGGAAAAGGGTTGTCGAAGTGGAGGTTGAGGTGGAGGTGGAGGTAAAAGTGAAAAGAGGGTTGCTCCTCTGAATGGAGAGCGGTAGAGACGAGTAGAGAGAGGTTGGAGGAGTGCGATGGATCATTTAGGCTTGGCTTTGGTAGGTGGGCGGCCCTCAGTTGACGTTGGACGGGCCGACCTTTTTTCCCTTCCTTGGACTTTACGTATGTACCAGAGACTAGAGAGTAGCCCCAGACTATGGAAGCTTCTATCACGTGCTTATTCATTTTCATTACATTTCCCTACCTTGCCCTAGTTAGTTACCTAGTTATTACTTCTACGATTACCAAAAGGATCAATCATTCATTAACAATTAAATCAATTTCCCCCGCCTGGTTTCCTAGGACTCGCCCCCGATAAACCACCTCGCCAACTCCTTATTACCCGCCACATATCTTCTTCATTCGCTCGGTTCAACGACCTTTCTTTTTTCCTCCCTTTGGCTACACTGGGGCGCACTATCTCTCCCTCCAGATTCAGGTTCGGGTTCAGGTTCAGCTCCAACAAACCTATCAACCATCCTGTCCATTCTCGCGTACCAGAATCAATAGCATCGCCATCAGCTCGACCTCAGCTACGAGTTACAGCTTAGAATGTACCGCGGCCCATCTCGCGGCGGTCGCTCCAGGGCAACGCCCACGACCCTCTGCCAGAAATGTCTTCAACGAGATATGTCTCCGTTTCCCTTTCCCCCCAACTGCGTTGCTGACAGTAAATACGGCATTACAGCTATGAGTGCAAAGCCACGACACAAGAACGGCCCTACAAAGCGCGACCATCTCGAACACAGCAACTCTTGAATCCTAGCCTGAAGCCTAAGCTGACGACCGAGGTGCCAAATGATTTGCTTCGCAAGTAAGCACGAATTCTGTTCTTGTCATTCCTAGCACTGTACTAATGCTATTCTTAGAAAAGGTGTCGCCGACGAGCTATTGGCAAAGAAAGAGCAGGAGCGTGGAAGACGGGCGAGCCGCGACGGGGACAAGGCACGGAGGATTCGGTCGCGATCCTATTCCTCGGACTCAGTCTCCACAATATCTACATCACGTTCTCTTTCACGATCGAGATCGCCACAACAAGCAGAGCGCAACAGAAAATCCACACATCATGACGGGGCCAACGCACGGAAACGGAGCAGGAGGTCGGTGTCCTCGGATTATCACTCTTCTGACAGTGTCAAGCACAAATCCGACCGTCACACGCGGCGGCGCTTGAGCTCTTTCAGCCCAGAGCAGAGAGGTCGACGGGGCAGATCACGGTCCAGCCGAATGTCGCACGACCACGAGATCACAAAAGATGCATCGCGAAGGAACCCCCGCAGCAGAAGTGGTAGTAGAGGGCGAAGGCGCAACAGGGCTCGAAGCAGAGATCATGGGCACCACAATCGACGACCTGTTAGACAGCTATCTTCCAGATCGCGTTCGAGAAGCTCGAACCGTATGGACACTTCTGATGATCGTGAGAAGGGTTCGTCAGCCAGGCGTACTTCCGAGTCTCGATCACAGATAGGAAAGACTAGAAACGATGATGGGAAAAGTGGGTTGAGGGAACAGTCTGCGTCCATGGGCGACCGAAGCCCTAGCCCCTACTCTCGAAGAGCTGCTCGAGGATCACCAAAGCCTAATTCTCGGAGGGGCCCACCCCGCTCTCCAAGCCCTCATAGGATTCAGAATGGTCGACGCGACACGAGGCACCAGCGACCCAATTTTGTCGGCTCTGCGGCCAATAATGCAAGCAGAGATTTTGAGACGCAAGGTCCTCCACCTCCCCAGCGAGAGCGAAGCCTGAGTCCCTATAGCAAACGCCTGGCTTTGACTCGGGCCATGCAGGCCTGATGCTAGCAGCATGAAGCTTTACGCCTTTCGGTTCAAACTAGAATACGAAGAGCGCCGGGCGATGACGTCCATACTATTATCTCACTTGAGACTCGGAGTTCGTAATATTTCTCGCAAAGCAGTTCTGCGACGTAGCATTCGGAGACTAATGCGAGTACATCACCACTATCACTGGCCACATCGGCATTGACAGGATAAATGTATTAGAATATTGGATTAGGGCTAGGTATTGGTGCACAACTTTTGGATTGGAGTTTGATGGCAACCTTAGCATAGTAGCTGAACTTTAATACCCAAACATTGATATCCCGCTTCTGTATTACCTCAACCCTTTGCTCTCCCCCATGGGTATCCGCGCCTCTCTAGGCTTCTTTTCATGAGCGCAGCGTGAAGTATAATCCTGATAGGGCGCACGACACTCAGTATGGCTCTTGTACGGCGACAGGCTGTGTAAATGTACACGGGACTGGCTAATGGTGTAATTTCCTCATCGCACTGCGACCGACTCAGCTCCCATCGTCCTCGTCCCCTCGTTTCCGCTCCGCCTCCTCTTCTTGCTCTTTCAAATGCATGGCTTCCACAAGCTCACTGCCCTCCATGCCCACCTCCTGACGCTCATCATCCCCGTCCACCCTTTGCCCCGACCTCGCCTTCTTCTGCCCCTCCACGCGCTCTCTCACAAGCTTCGCAATGGCATTCTCCGTCCACACATCCACACTCTCCAACTTCTTCTCCAAGTCGCGCTTCAAATCCCAATTCGGCCTCTTCGGCTGCAACTTAAACAGGTCCAACGGCTGATCTTCCTTCGCCTCCTTCGCCTGCGCTTCCTTCGACGAAAGCGCTATCTGCGCCGCCTTGTACTCTAACGTCTGCGTGGGGTCGCCGATGGGTCCTGATTCGAACGCGAGGCGCACGTTTCGCGTCGTGGGGTCGAAGTTGCGGCCGCTCAGGAATACCTCTGTCACTGGGCGTTCTGACGGCTCTTCTTCTGCTTCTGTCCGCACGAGGGCTGTGGAGGGGTCGGGGCTGTCATTGTGAGAGTCGTCTTCGGTGGGCGCTTGTTTCCTCTTCAGGGACTTGAGCTGTGCGAGGCGGGCTTTGCGGTCGTTGGAAGCGGCCGCGAGGGCTTCGTGTGAAGGCATGGCTTTGTGATGTCGCGGTGTGGTTTGGTACCGCTGATGACCGAGTATTGCGAAACGATTGGATTGCCAAGCAATGTATTCGAGGTTCCAGGAATAGTTGTTGGAAATTGATCTGTGTTTGGAGAAGTTTGGAAGTTGGAGAAGGCGAGACGTCGCGTAGAGGATGCGAGAACGCAGGCTAGGATTCTCTAGTCCTGCAGACATTTGCGGAGAAAAGCTCGGTGGTGAGCTGCCGCCGCCAAGATTTCAACATCAACGAAATTTCAGAAACGCCTACAATAGAACCATCAACGACCATCCCCTTCCACCATCTAAGAACAATATGGTCCGATAACCGCCTCGATATTGTCGCCGTAGATGCCCTCTGTCCGCCTGCCCGATGCCAGGTGTCGAGCCTACGCAGACCTACCGGTTCTTCCTTTCCTCGCGCCGAGTGCTTTCCACGAGTCTCCTTTTCTGGGGACAAAGCCGCTATGCAATGGACGGCCACATACACCTAGGGTGAATAATGAGAACGAGAAATATGTACAAAATCAGAAGCAGTCGGGAAGAAAGTATGGGCTCCATGGAAAGGTTTTCACGGCCTCCAAGCACGGTGTCGTAGGGTCGAGTCAACGACCTATCGCACCATCATTCAATTGGAGATGGGACAGCATTCCATGCTCAACTGGCTTTCTACTTCCACAAACCCAGCACAGAGAATATTCCTCAGCTTCAGGCGCAAACGCTCAAGAAGTTTCCAGCGAGGCACCTCCCGAATCAATAGGGACATCGTTGAATCTGAACCCCTCCGAGCTCGGTGAGCCCAACACGATTGCAAGGCTCCCAGCTGCCATAAAAAATGTTCAGTCAAAGCGCAGTACTGTATCCAGGGTTACATACATTGAGCATCGGGTTTCTCGAAAACGACCCACAACACCTCGTCCTAGCATCCGTCAAACGACGCAGAGACTAGTCAACTTCCAGAATCACGTTGGGAAAAGTAGCAATCTACATCTCGTAGATAAACGCCGGGAAATACCAATCCAAAAGCTACTTCGGGATATCAAGATCTTTGAATCATATGCTCCAGACGCCCGACGTACTAGACTGCTCCAAAGGAGTAGATACCGGGCTCTTACGCGCCAATTGTGGACTTACCAACGAAAAGCTCCGGAAATTCTTACCTTGTCAAGTGACACGACTCCACATGATGAGGCAATCGTTATCAGAGCCTTCACGGCTCTGGATCGAAAGATCTACCCTTCCTTAGAACGGAGAAGTCACAAGATCGTGATTCGATACCCCTCCGAAATCGGCACTTGGCTTCGACAACTTCAGAATGGAATCCCCCATGGAAGACATAACGAGGAGCAGATGCTGAAGAATTGGGGAGAACTCGGCGAAGCAGAGCGAGATCAAAGATGGCACCACTTACTCCTATACCTCCTCAGCAAGGATCCAGACAGCGCCCTCCAATTCATACGAGTCCTGCTACGCGAGCCTCACGTTCGGAACTGGAATGCAGTTATTGTCGCCGACGCTCTGGAGCACCTAGCGAGGCTGTACAGAAACAGAGAGTCTCTGGGATTGGTCCTCAATTACTCCTTATACCTCGTGCCAACACTCCACGCTTTCATTCGAGATGGATCCGCCAACATGCTTAGTGTGTGCTCGCAAGACTTGCTATACAATGCCGCAAAGCTAGCAGCCGCATCCGAACTGAAAGCCTTGTACGATCTGTTGATAGAGAAGAACTATCATATGGGCTTCAACACACGCCTGCAGTATGCTCATTCGTTTACCATTTGCAGCGAGCACGATCATGCCATGAAATGTCTCGCCGGAGCTATCGAGAAGAAAGATGTATCCGAACTAAGCAGAAGACTTATGCACAGCAAGCGCTGCGTCAGAATCTGCGCTTTGGTGCTCCGTAAATGTGTCCAGGGTGGTAAGAACTACCACCTGATGAACCAAATAGTCGCGAAGCTTCTCGATCTCGGTATCGAGCTTGATGTACATCTCTACAACGTCATCATGAGCAATGCTATGGAGGCTGCAGACCCTGATACCGCATTCCAAGTATTTGGAGCCTTAGGGAAGACAAACCTAGAACCGGACAAGTTCACTTATTCTATCCTTCTCCATGGTTGCACCATGTCCAACAATACCGCCAATCACCCTGACTTCGTGGAGACTTGCAAGCTGAAGGCGCAGGAGCTGGGGGATCCATGGCTAGCAACTGACTGCCTCTACAACCTCTACGTTCGACACCAAGATTCAAGTATTCAGGAAATAAGCTCGGTTCTCACGCACCTATACGCACAGCTTTTCGACACGAGGCCCCTTAGTCCTTTTGGCATCTTCAGCACAGAACAAGCAGGATCTCCAGCAGCTCCAGCAGAACAAGCGCCCTTCGGCCTTGAACCTACCTCTATCGCACTATACCTGATGCTGCAGATCGAGATCCGAAAGGCGCAGTCCCTAGGCACGACACACGTCTGGCGCCTCATGGAATACTTCATCCGCCTCGTAACCGAAGACCAAGTCCCCCAGCTCACCCAACTCGCCAAGGACACGCGCATCTGGAACGCCTTCCTGTACGCCTTCTGCAAAGAGCAGCAATTCGAAAGCGCCTCGCAGCTCATCTCCAAGATGGCGAAGGGCCACATCCCCGGCGTGCCCGCCCCGGACGTCTTCACCTGGAACATCTTCATGCAGGCCTTCTTCAGGACGCGCCAGTTCCGCGCCGCGGAACGCATCTTCGAGATGATGAAGGCGAGAGGCGTCGAGCCGGACCAGTACACGTACGGTGTCATGCTGAGGGGATATGCCAGTGCCCAGCACGTGGAGAGGCTCGGACAGATTCTGCCGCATGTGAACGACGGGCCCTTGCCGGACAGTCTCGTGCGGGCGCTGATGAAAGTGGTCGATCGGGCGAAGTTGGAAATGGAACTCGAGAAGGCGGAGAAGATCACGCAGAGTAGGAAGCAAGCTCAGGTCGAAGCTGAGCAGGAAGAGATGGCGCGGCGTTGGGATGCATCGGTTCCTACTCCTCCCGCGGAGCAGAGGATGAGCCTGTCTGCCTCGAGCAATTGGGCGAATCGATTGCAGTCTCCGAACGTTTTACGTCGTAATACATCTTCGTGATGCCAACTGAGACTGGCATCAGGAGAATCATTCTTAGCGTGTACAATTTCACAAATATTGCGCTTCCCTTCTCACGAGCTTTGTAACATTACTACTTCAATCCAAGTAAAACATTTGAGCGCATCATGTATCATAATAGATACGGGCTTTGCTACACACGTATAGCTACATACCGTACTTACTTCAAGGCAAATAAAATCGTCATGGCCTACGTATAAAAACCCAGCCACCCAACCAACTAGCAAAAATTCAAGTCATGTAATCATTCAGTGCCGTGCTTCCAATCCGCCCGCAAGGCGAGTGGAATAACCCTCCAACTTTCACACTAACGGGTCATTGAAATCGAAGTCCATGTCCTCAAACCCCTCCTCGTCGTCATCCAACAACGCATCCATCTCCTCCATCCTCGCCGACTTCAATCCATATCTGCTCTCCTCACCCGTGGCACCCAATCGAAAAGCCCCCTCCCTCTCACTTGCACTCAGTCCAATCTCCTTATCCACATACGCTGCCCATCCTTCCCAAACCGCACCTCTATTTCCCGCCAAGCCCCTTCCTGATGCCCTCCATCTCTTCGTAAGCTCACCCTCTCTATCCTTCGAACTCGTCATCAAGCCCGCCGCCTGGACAAGCCTGTCATACGCCAATCTATGAGCGTCCACTCCGTTATTCCCCGCGGCGCCGGGAAAGCTATTCCTCGAATACGTCTCCAGCACCGTGCAGTCCCCGTTCCTCACACGACGGAGCAGCACGGTGTTGATCTGCGCGGGAAGGAACATGGCGTGGGAGAGTCGGATTTCGCCGGTTGGCTCGAAGAAGTGGCCGAGCATGACGGCGTCGGTTCGCTCGGGCACCACGACGATCTTGCGGGTTTGCATCACTTTGGGGAAGTAGACGAGGATGGGGATGGATTTGGAGAAGGGGGACGAGAGGCGCGCGGTCTGGGGCGTGGAGGTTCTCCGTGCGAATGCTGCGGCGATGGTGCGAGCGGTTGTGGGGGGAGGAGGCGCGAGGTTGAGGGGCGCGGGTGGTGTGCGGTTTATGCCGGGTCTATTAAGGCCTATGCCTAGTGGAGGGTGCGTAGCTGGTGGGTTGATATTGATAGATGGCGGAGGGAAACTCATTCCTGGTGCGTGTACGTTTGTACCCAGTGGGTCTTGTTGGACGATACCAGCTGAAGGGTGTACGATAGGATGTTGAGGTGTCATATGGTGATGTTGCATTTGGGGTTGCGGCTGTTGATGCCAGGCTTGATGGGTGTGACCGAACATATTAGCTTGTACATTGTTAGCATTATTGAAGGCTGCAAATTGTTGGGCTGCCGAAGCATATGCTGATATGAACGGTATTGTCGCCGAGTTGAAGCCAGCCGATAGAGGAGGTGGGATTTGAGGACCGGCGGTGGCAGGAATTGATGGATTAGGCGGAAATGGAGGTGGTTGATGTAGGGCCGAGTTGAAGGCCAGGTGCTGATTGTGCGCATTCAGCATTGCCTGTAGATTTGCTCCTGCTGCTTGGTGGTAGGATGAGATGGCGTTGTAAATCAGTTGATGACTGTTCGTTGGCACGGGATTCTGTTGCTGAAACCCCACGGGCAATGTGTTGTTTGCAAAGGACACATTGCCAGCGCCGACGTTGTTATTGTAATTGTTTTCGTCCCGTTCCATGGGATCAATGTCATCCCCTTCGTACTCGTAGTCGGTGGAGCTTTGATCGTCATCAGAACCATATGCATACATGCTGCTGTCGTCACCCATAGCGCGATCGGGCATTTGGGGGCGTGCGTGCACAAAAGCAGCAGACTTGAGTCGTCCAAGTAGATGATTCGGAACCGACTTGATGGCATGCTCGAACCATTCAGATTTCTTCTCTTTTGCCGCATTTGTAGCAGGTAAGTGGGATCCATGCATCGCCGTTGGAAGAATCAACGGAGGAGGAACGTTCCTTGTACCGCCCCCTCCTTCGACAGCCAATTCCAATTCATTTTCATGAGCTTCCTCGGCTTCAGTGGCAAGTCGGTTGCTAATTTCCGTCTCCGTACACTTCTCATACACCATCCTTGTATATTTGTTATGGGAATAATATGGCTCTTCGTTAATCAAACGTTCGAGTCCACGGGCGCCGTCTTGCTTTAACTTTGAAGTGTCCTTAGGGTGGAGTTCTTGCCCACGAACAAAATTCCGAGCCTGTTCCACGGTTATACCCGCCTTGTAGAGGAGATGGAGTGCTGTCATTCGGGACCTGTGGCACATGGCAAAGTAGTAATTCCGCTTGACGCGCGACCTGGGCAGGTTGAAAAGCGGCCTGACTAGGCCTGGACTGTCAGTGCCCACCCGCAGGCCGTACTTGACTTCACGATATCGAAGACGCTCGCTCTCTTCAGCCCAATCTTCAAGGTCATTCCGTCCCGACTCTTGCCCATCGCCGTTGTTTCGACTGGTGCCGCCACCTTTTTGCTGTGGAATCTCCACAGGATGGCGTTCGAAATCCCACAAGTTTGGTATCTCGTCTCGGATCGCACACTGCAGTGCGTAGCCATCTCCTTCATAGGTGTCAATCCAGCGGTAGAGGAACTCGATGTAGTTCGGCAGCATCGAAGCGTGGCACTGGACGATGTCCAACAAGATCCGAAGCAAATCCTCCTCCTGGATGAGATCATTAGAGAGAAGCCGTTGGGCCCCAAAAGTAGGAGACAGTTTGGTAGGTGAGTCAAGTCGCATTTTCTTGGTCCTGTCTGACAGTCCTGGGGTGTTTGCGTTCGGATGCCCGACTTTCCACTGGACTACCCACGTCCACAGTTCTCGTTCGATCTTTCTGGAGATCCGATCCGTGAAGTCCTGCGTGAGTGCTAAGAATACGCATGTAGGTGCATCCATCTTATACACTATGATGTTATCCGAACAATCTTCGTAAGGGACGAGCCCTGGGAACGGCGCCACATCGCCTTTGACATCTTGTAGCCTCAGGTACTTATCCTGGAAGAGGTCGAGCACTTTGCCGTGATATGCCATGATGTCGGAGATTTGCGCCGAGCTTCAGTGAAGTGTGAAATGATTTGCGAAGCTTGCGGTTGAAGTCACCTCGAGCTTACGACGCTGTATTTGTTGCAGCAGCGGTTGGTTGGAGACGTCGGCGCGTCGCTAGGCAACGTTACTGTTTTGGTAAGATCAAGAACAATAGGAACGCGCAGACACAATAGCCGTCAATAAGATAACAATAGCAGTCTGGTGCATGGGCCTCTCACCTCCAGGCGGTCAACAGAGGAGGAATCGGCTGGTAAGTAGAAAATAGGCAAAGTGAGAACGAGAAAAGAAATACTTAATCGTTAACTTTGTTGACTGAAATTCTGTTTCCACCATACAATACAGCCCAGCGGTACAATGTGAATACAGTATGTCTATACAATTCTCGCACCAATACAAATGGAAAACCTCCAAAGTCTAATATGCTAGCAAGAAGGGTATACTCATCACTTCTTTTCATCGCCTGGTCGATCAAACAGCATCGGCGTATTTCACACTTCCACCAGACACCTCCATCAGAAAGGCACGCAACTTCACCCTACTTGTTATCTTTCATTCTGTTAACAACCCCACCAATCCTATCCTCAACGTCCTCTCTCACCCTCCTCCAGTCGGTGTTGTAGACTCTCCTCACAACGCCCTCGAGCTCCCTATTCCATCGGTCCTTGGCCATCTCTGTCACACCCACAGGCGCTTCCCTTGATGTCGGTTCCGGTGCCGGGGGTTGTGGCTCGATCACGCTTGTGAGTACGGAGCGTTGCTGGCGGAGGAGGGCTGCTTGCGTCGCGCGGTTCTGCTGGTGGAGGGCCACTGTGAGATAGAGGACGGCGGAGGTGAGAGTGAAGCCTCCGAGCTGTGAGTGGTCAGTGGACACGATCGTAGATGGAGAGGAAGAGGGCTAGGTCATACGAAGCCTGTTGTGAAGCCCATGATAGGCAAAATTGATAATAAACAGTCGCCGGTCAGGTATACTAGGCGACTGATGAATAAGGCCAATGGCAAAGATAGTGCAATTTGGAATTGGGACTTGCTTCAAGGCAATGACAAGGCGCGCAAAGGATTATGCAGTGCTCAGACGTAGAGGACGCTGGCGATAATTGACATCAACTTGAGGTGAGGTCAGCTTTGAGGCATGCGACGATCAAGTTACTAGGGAGTGGGGCCGCCGGACGGATGGGATACGGAGCGAGCGCCACCCAATCAGGTAAGTTTATGACCATAGTTAGGGCAAGAACCAACGTACACAAAAGTCAACACGCCCTTCCTTTCATCAAAACACATCAGACAAGTCTTCACAGATGATCGTGTTTGGATCTTCTAGTAAGGTTCTAAAATCAATTTGTGGTTTATATTTTTGTAGGCTTGTGCCTATATATCGCTATGCATTTGTACAACATGAAGGAACTTCTTAACCATGGGAGCCGACAACAATGCTCAAACATCATCGGGGTATCTCATCTGAAAATTACGTCGTCGAAAACCACCAATCAAACCTCCCATTACATCATCGATATCGCAACTGCGATCACCAATGCGAACGCTGCAACGCTAACGCGAATGCTACCAGCGGAGTTGGGCTTACCAGACTGCCCTGGCTTCTGGCTCGTAGGCGTAGACTTGGGGAGATCTTCGTCCTTGACCTCGCCAGTTCCGAAAGGCTTGAAGCCTCCGCTGATGCTGGACTCGTGCTTGGTAGAGCCCTCGACACACTTCTTGTCGTCGTTGAAGGCATCCCAGGTCTGGGCCCAGAGGCCACTTGGGTCGACCCAGGTCTTCGCGGTGTAGAAGATCTTGCAGTCAGCTGCTTCGTACACAAACTCGAGCGGGGTGCCTGTGTCGTCTCCCTTGCGGAGATGCTCCTTAACCTGCACACGATTGCGCTCATCACCGGCGCGGATCAGAACTTGCTCGAGCTCGGCAAGATCCTTGACCTTGGTGTTGTTCAAGTTGTTCTCATAGTTGGCAGTTGCGGAGTACGCGATCAACCTTTTGGCGCGGTCAGGGAATTGCCCGGCGATAGAGACCTGGCCACCCTTGCTGCCAGCAACACCCTGCATAGGCTTGTTCTCGGGGCGACCACCGACAACGACAGTCTTGACGCCAGCAAGGTTCTTCATGTTCTCTGCGAAGGCAGCGCATGCAGAACCGCAGAGTCCATCAGTAAGCATGACGATGTTCTTGGCCTCGAATGGGGGGTTCTGAGAGCTGTCGTTGAAGAAGTTGAAGCCAGGAGACAAGAGAACGTTGGTCTCAACGTTGTCCAACTGTGACGAGTTAGCTTGGTATGTTACTTATTGGATGGGAGAATAACTTACGCTCCATTGCATCAGGGTAGTGAAAGAGTCGCCGTTCAGCTCAACGGGGCCGTTGAAGTCGTCCCAGCTCTTGAAGTACTCGCCCTTACCAGTCTTGTACACCCAGTAGGCCCAGAAGTAGAACGATTGTGCGAAAAGGTCCTTGGTGTACTCACTGCCCTTGTTCTCGTCGATGATCTTAGAAACGGCATCACCAATTCCAAGGAACTGCTCTTGCGCACGCCAGTATTGACCAGAGTAGGGAGTATCCTTGGGGAAGAGCTGCTTGAAGAGATCGAGGTAAAGCTGGATCATGCCTCCGCCGTTCTCGCGCAAGTCGATAACAAGCTTCGTCTTCTTCTCTTGCTTGGCCTGGGCCAAGAATTCAGCCACAGTAGCCTGGAACTCCTCTCCGTTGGTGTCTTCTTCGGGGCTGAAAGAAATGACCTTCAAGACGGCAACATCCTGATACCCTTGGCCTTCGAGGAAGTAACCTGCGACGACCTCGCTTGTATCCTCAACGATAGGCTCGGGGTAGGTCTCAGGGATGGTTTGGCGCTTGCGGAGGTGCTGGGGAGTGCGGATCTTTCCGGTGTGAACAGGACGATCGTCCAACTTTTGAGCAACGGGAGCTTCGAAGCTGGTGGTGTTCTTATCGTTCGAGAACTGGTTGCCGACGACATCTCCAGTGAAGTTACCTTGGCAGAAGACATCGAACAGCGAAGCTCCATCAAGGACGTCATACCAGTAAGAAGTCTCGTTGAAATCGCCCCGTGCGTAGGCAGAAGCTGTACCAAAACGAGCGTAGTTCTGGAAGGTTGCACTGCTGCCGTTCTTAAACTTGATCTCGGTCTCGGCCCCGTGATAGTTGGCCTGGACCTCGAAAGCACCGTAAGACTCGCCACCGCTTGGGGTGAAAACGTTTGCCATACGGGCATCAAGATCAAGATATTGCTCCAGGTTGGCGACCGACTCTAGGTACTGCCAAGCATCTTGTCCGTTGATCTGCTCGATCTCGGAGAACTTAGTGGCATCGGAGGAGGCCATGGCGAGAGCATCAGATTCGGTGTAAAGTTTTGGGAGCTTGATACCGTCCTCAGAGATGGCCATGACACCAACGCCTCGCCAGAAACGGAACATACGCGTAATATCGGGGCGGTAGTTGAAATGGAAGTTACCGCTCCTGATTGTGATATTTTGGATAGCCATTTGAACTGCATACTCGCTCTCGAACTTGTCGAGGTTGGACTTGATGTTGTCTAGCTCCTTCTCGATGTCGAGAGCTCCATTAGACCATGTGTCAGGCGTCTTCTTCAACCAGCCTCCATCAGACTGCCATTCCCAAAGGATCTTGAGTTCATCGAGGAGCTTCGAGTCGCCATCCTTGTCGACTGGGACCGAGTTCAAACAATTGTGAACAAGCTCGGCAGGAAATCTCCTGTCACCGTCCAAAACGAGTTCTGCGAGCTGCGCGCAAGGCTCTCCAGGGTTGCTTGTTGGTGTGGGGATGGACAACGTCTCTGTCGAGAATGGTGCTTCCGAGGTCCTGGAGGGTGCGGTCTCGATTGGGGCGGAAACAGATCTCAATGAGGCCGTGGTCTCGAACTGAGCAGAGGCAACAGAGGCCAGCAACAGGGCCGAAAGTACGAATGCCATGATTAAAAACCGCTTCTCAATTGCACCAAGAGATTGGCGCTTAGTAAATGGTAGATCTTTCCTCCAACACTATAGGTAAACAACGTCGAAATTACCTAATACGAGATGGTGAAGAACAGAAAAAAGAGATCGCGGAGAAAGGCAAAGACAGAGCTGAACCTATGGGGTTATTATGCCTGCCGGTAGAGACCACAGGGCTGAGAGTAAGAAATTCATCGCATGGGCAGACAGCTTTCATTTAATATTGGGAGCATCGAGGCTGAAGGCGCCTCGGATAAGTGCGTTAGCTCAGGCCGGGCAACCGCGCTGGTGGCCCTATTCGAAGCCATGACCCGCATCCTCCTGGGGGCTGAGTCCAATAAGCGGCCCATGATCTATACTTACACTCGCTCGAGCAGGCCCATGGAGGGCCATCAAGGCCTACAGCCTGCCGCTCCAGGCATAGCGGCTCGCTTTCCAGGCAGCACTCGCCCCCAGATGGCCCCTGAACTCTGCCTCTATGCTTGGCATTGTCTTGCATCTGTTCATACACGGAACAAATATATGGAACTCCAGGAGGAACGTCGCTTGATGGAGAGAGATTGGGTGCCTGGTATCAGGGCGCAATGTCACGTCGAGACAGTGCTCGCACGAAGGAGCCACGCACCGCCTAAACGTCTTGGATTCGACCTCTCATCGTACCATCCCATGTATGCCATATGGATGTCTTTCTGAGCCACAGTGCTGCTCGTTTCCAATGCCATCATTGTGGAGGTGATGAGCAGCATTAGTGGACTACCTGTACGTAAGTGGCAATCAATCGACGTGTCGCATCAACTGCATGGTTGAATGACCACCAAAAGCGAATGAGCCAAGATCAGGATCTATGGAGGTTAATTTAAAAAAGGGAATTCCTTCGAGACACTAGAGTATGCGGTTAGTAGAGTAGTGACTGTAAGTGTAGACTACTGTGGATGACTACCTACCACTACAGTAACTACGGAGTTGAGCATGACTGACCTTCTGAAGGATGGCAGCGAATTTCGCAGTAAGTTGGAGAGCGACGGGCTGGGGTCAAATCTAACTCACGTGCACTACGCCCCTTTCAGCCCAAGCCCTTCCCAATCGGGGCTGATCCTCAAACCTTCAGGAGAACTCGGGTCCAAAAGACCTTCACCGGTGACAAGGTTGGATGCTCCTATGGACCTCCAGCCGTGTTTTTCTTATTCTTTTCCATCAGTGACGTCCTATTGATCCTATCACATCACCATCACTTCCTTCGCTACAAGTCAATAATAACTAATTAATCCCAGTGGTTAATAAATAAGTATGCATCGTCTATTTCCCTCATAGGTCATCATGAACGCACCACACCCTGTCCAGTTTCCAGAGATTCCAGCCAGGCCCATCATCCATCCCATATAACTACTCCCACCTTTTCGGTCTATGCTTGCACTCTCGTCTTGGCAGCGTAGAGAAACCCGAGCAATCCGAGGTTTCTTTTATGCAGCCCCCCATAATCAACCTATCTCGATGCTTGCATGGAAAATGTAAACATGTGGCGAAGGCTGAGATGCGCGGGGCCTGCCCACGATCAAATCTGATCTTCTCAAGCTAGCACATGGCTACGGTGCCGTGTGCTGTGCAAGCCACGTTGTGAACATCTTGGCCAGTCGCACAGCCGACCATAAGTTTCTTATTCTCCGCGATGATGGGGGATCTGCTATTCTCGTGACCCTTCACGTTTAGTCAACTAGCACCGTGAGGCTGGGCCGCGGTGACTGACCGACTGACTGACTGACCGAGATCCCGCATATCGCATCTTTCGCCCGTAGTACAAAAATAGGTGCCAAAAAAGCTGGGCTGGGCAAGCTTATGAAGAGGCTTGTTTCGCGGTAGATGACAACTTGGGTGAGCAGTCTGGGGTTGCCTGTCAGAGAGGGACTCGGCACAAAACGAAAAAACCTGTGCGCACTGTGCACTGCTATGCGAAACTGGCAACCCATGTTGTGTTGTTCCAGGATGAATGGTCGACGGCCGACCAACGCACGATAATTTCTATCCTCAGCCTCAGCCCTGTTTCAAGATTCATCAATGCGAGCGACAACGAGTGCTCCCCAGCTCATTTTACCAACCACCAGGAAATTAGACGGTCTGGCTCTGGTGAATGGGACTTTGAATGGCAGCCCATTATTGGTGTTTCGTTCATTTGACAATGCGCACTTCGGCATGGCTCTACGTTGCCGTGGGTGAGGACCTGGGAGCGTTCGTCGCCAGGTCAGGTGACGTGGTGCTCTCGAAAGAGCATGTCGTATAGTTGCATCTGTCTATGCGACAACGATGCTCGACTTCAATCCAGATTTATCTTTGTCTGATCGCCTCGACAATTCTATAGTAGCATCGGTCTATGCGACCGCACCGCTCGACTTCAACCCCAATCTATCTTCAATGACTTCGACAATCTCTCTCCAATCTTTCATTGCCCCGCCTCCGACATCACCACAGGCGAGCTCTTTACTCATCGGAGTCAAGACCTCAAACCACCCCCCATTCTTAACACCCCATTCCTCGTTCAGCACATCTAATTGTTTCTTGGTGATGGGCTGCAACCACATCGCTGTATTCATCGCCGGGGCTACGAGTATTCGCTTTTTCCGTTTTGACCCCGCCTGGCCTTGAATACTGTCCGTACCATTCAGCCCTGGGACATCTCTCACAACATCCAATTCCCCAGTTGTGTCCCAAGCCCTTATGACAGAAAGTAACAAATTGTCCGACCATCCCTGTGTGATCTTCGCAAGCGTATCTGCACTCAGCGGCGCAACAACCATGATATCCGCCCAGCGGCGCAACTCAATATGAAGAATGTGATTCCCCCGCACCCACGGATCCCTCCATTCGTCCTCATCAAAGAACATGCCATCGACGTTCGGCAGCGCCGCGATGTCCTGCAACGACGGCTGCTCTGCGCTCTGTCCCGCGAGGAAATTCGTCGCAGACGCGGTGAAGATGAGGCGGATGGAGAGGTTTGGGTGCGCCGAGAGCGCGGTGATGATGTTGGGGATCTTGATCGTCGCGACGGAGCCGGTCGCGCACAGCAGCAGGTGGATCTTGGAGTCGTTCAGCGGGAACGGTATCGGGGATACCGGTCGCGATATGTGTTGGTGCTGCACTGCTTCCAGGTGCAGCGGCCTCAGGTCGCGGATCTCGGCGGCGGACATGGTGGGTCAATTGTGATGGTTGCGATGTGTGTGTGGTGCAGGATCGGAGTCGATGCAATTGGCTTCGTTGCTTCCGACGATCCTCGTTTTTGCACAGTGCGATAATGATATCACTCGTAAATTGCATCCAAGAGAAAAGGACGAAAAGCCGCGGTTGGAGGTTCGTGGGGTCGGAGTGTGGGTTGCGGATTTACGGAAATAAGCATTGGACTTAAGCCCCTCTCAAAGTGACTACTGGATCGACGAACGACGCTCCGATCCGAATCAAAGAAGAAGTGGAGTACCTAAGTAGATGTCCACCAAAATTGCATGTTTTTTGCACTTTGGACTATGGCGTAACTAGTGCCATGCTCCGTTGGTCCTCTCCGCAATGAATAACGCCCAATTGCTGGCCAACCAGTCGGCTTTAACGGACGATCTATTCGACTAACCGTCATGATTGTTCCTCGCCCACTTACAGGTTAGCCCTGCATATGAAGGAATCGTCGTATGAGAAATTATCTGAGTAAACATTAAACATCTATCGAAGAACTATATTAAGGACATGCTCCCTCCATCTTGAAAACTCATATCCAATTTACAATCACAAACACATATAGAGGTCCGATCTGCCTTAATCCAGCCCTGAGAAGACAGTGTTCGATATATTCTTCCAGCCCTAACTTCCATACAATCTCTCCTCGCCTGCACAATGTCTCTACCCACCGCTCCATTTGGCAAGAATGGCCCCCAAGTCCCGCGTCTAGGCCTTGGCCTCATGGGTCTCAGTACCGCCTATGGCCCAGCGAAGCCAGACGAGGAACGCCTAAAGTTCCTCGACGCTGCCTATGAATTGGGCGAACGATTCTGGGATAGTTCGGACGTGTACGGAGACAACGAACTCCTCATAGGAAAATGGTTCAAGGCGAATCCCGAGAAGCGCGACGACATCTTCCTCGCCACCAAGTTTGCACTCAAGATGGTCGACGGCAATATCACCATCAACAACTCCCCCGAATATGTCAAAGAGGCCTGTGCATTGTCCCTCCAGAGGCTGGAACTCCCATCCGTGGATCTCTACTACTGCCATCGTCTTGATGGCAATACTCCCATCGAGAAACTCATGGAGGCACTGGTCGAGCTCAAGAATGAGGGCAAGTTCAAGTATATCGGTCTCTCGGAAGTTAGCTCGGCATCGCTGCGACGAGCACACAAGATTCACCCAGTCACAGCAGTACAAGTCGAGTACTCTCCCTTCGCCCTAGAAATCGAGTCCGAGCAGATCGACCTCCTGAGGACATGTCGCGAGCTCGGCGTTGCTGTCGTTGCATACTCCCCGCTTGGTCGCGGCATGCTCACGGGTGCGTATCGTTCGCCAGACGACTTTGGGGACATGGACTTCCGCAAGTATGCGCCTCGCTTCTCGAAAGAGAACTTCCCCAAGAATCTCAAGCTCGTCGATCAACTCGCAGAGATTGCAAAGGCGAAGAACGTTTCAGCAGGTCAGTTGGCGCTGAGCTGGCTTCTGGCACAAGGCGAGGATATCTTTCCCATTCCGGGAACTACTCGTTTGGACAGGCTGAAGGAGAACATCGGTAGCTTGGATGTGAAATTGTCGAAAGAGGAGGAGCAGACGATCCGAAAGTATTGCAATGAAGCGGAGGTTGTCGGGGAAAGGTATCCGGGTTCGTTCATGGATGCTTGCTACATGGATTCTCCTGCTTTGTAAAGATAGTTTTGGGAATGACGTACCTTCCTGCTGGAGTATTTGATATTCAATAAATTGAAAATAGCACCTTCTTACTGATGATGTGTTCAACATATCACTTCTATGACTCAAGTGGGCTACACGCCCCTCACTCTCGTTCTGTGAAATTCTGCTGTGATCCATGGTGTTCTGACAGGTTTTGTCGAATACCTTACAGAACATTTTTTTTGCTGTTTCAGCTCCATCCCGTGGTAGAGGTTTTGATGTGCGCAAGTTTCCCGGATGCTAGTCCCATGTGAGGGTCCGTGATCATTGAGTAACTTTTTTGGCACGACGACGGAGTCACAGCTACTGAATCGGCTATGCATGTGATGGCGATTCCCAACAATAACTGGCCCCATATCAGGTATAAAACGATCAGTGTCCGCCAGTCCTTCACTCCTCACTCATGTCACTGGGGTGCAACCACCCCCTTGAGAACACTGTAGAAGAGAAATCCTATGCTTGTTCTTGACTATCGCATGCTGTGTGATAAGTGATAAGTGACTTGAGATCATGAACGAAAAAAAAGGAAACCACTGGCCAGAATCACTATGGCAGCGGCCACGCCGGCCCCCCTTTCGCTTCGATGGCACTGCTATTGCTTGCTCGTCATACTTCCAGCCACCTAGGGGCACTGCCGGACCGGACTTCATCAGCACCTTCTCCTGGGGATGTTCTTACCTCGACCAGGCCGGATCAATTGTACAGAAAGAGATAGTAATGGACCTTCCTGAGGGTTGGGAATTGTTGGGCATTCGACCTTGTTGCTCCAGGCTATTACTTGCACAAATGACTGGCCCGAACCTACCTCATTGGACGCCTTGTATCGATTCTACCGGACGGGATCTCTTTATCGATTCTATCAGACAGAACTCCTTGATGAATTTCTCAAGGCAGAACTGCTTCCACCAATTTTTCAGACGAAAATCCTTCTACCGATTTTTGCAGACGAAACTCCTATCTTCTCGGTATCTCAACACTTATGAAGGAATTTCACAGCCAAAAGTAGTTCAGGAGAGAACAGGCCATCTACACTTCGACTCGATCTCAATCAAATGGTCCTCAATCTCACACAGGTGTGGGCAATTGGGGCAGTATGATGTCTGATTTCAACTTCATGAAACCCGAATGGTTCACCAAATATCGTTGACTCAGGGGTTAGGCTCGACACTACATCATCTGTTCCAGCCTGGATTGCCTCCAATGCATTCAATTCGCGTAACAGATATTGTATGACCTGTCCTGAAGATGGAGATGGACTCCCAACAGTTCGTTCTTTCGCAACGTTGAGGCCCGTATCACGAAGAGAGCCGCCGTATCGTCATTGTCCATCGTATGAGGAGCTGTTTCCTTCAAATCGGTTCGGGGTTGGGTGTTTCCATGACTTTTGAACCATGGTGGCTTCTCAATTCATTCAGGTCCTCCCATAGCGGCTTACAGGTTTCGATACAATGTACCCCCTCGCGGTATCCCAACACTCCCCAACAGGAAGTCTTCGAGCACCTTCAATATTCATCACCCATCGTTCTTTTGAAGCTGTTGAGTCTCAAGTTCTCAACAGCTTTCAGAAAAGATGTATTTATGGCAGCTTTTCGCTCCCCTTTCCCTCCATCTCTTACATCTCACTCCACTCTTATTACATCGAATTGCTATACCAAGCAGCTCACATTTTTATCAACACACATTTATCTTTTACCAACATTCTTCTTTCTCTTTCTTCCCACCTTCTCATCGTTGCATCCTTCCATATTGCAACAGCCATGGAGTGGCGGAAAGACGCAAAGCCGCTGGCAACCCCGGCAATCAGTTTCCGCTCGAAAACATCATCCTCTCCCACCTGGAGGCGTCGTGGATCAGATGAATCCACACTCTCATCTTCCTCTCTCTCTTCAAACTTCTCATCACTCTCTCTTTCTTCTCGCTCCTCAAACTCCTCCCTCTCTTCTTACCTTTCCTCTCCTCCTTCCTCTCCTTCTTCCTCGCCATGGGATCACATTGGCAACATTCGTCACGGGGTGGTAGCGCCGAAAGCACCACGCCCAACAAACCCAAAGTTCGAGGACATCAAAGTCGGCAAGGTGTACTACATGTCCAAGAATGTGCCGACAACCAGCAGGCTCTACAAGTCGCTGGCGGCAGGCAACCAAGGAGCGGGAAACTTGGGCGCCCTTGGCCACATGGTGGTTGTCACCGCCAAATGGGCCGTTTACGACGAGGAGGTTGTGAGGTTTAGGATTTGCACCTCCAATGACAAGTCCCTCTCGAGGGACCACGACCTGATCTATCCCAGAGAGGAGATCAGCCAAGATCAGTCCTTGCTCCATGTAGCAAAGGACTCCAGGGATTTCGGCAAGAAGACCTGGTTGCAAAAGACTGCTTACGTCTGCAACCCAGGAGATCTTGACTTCGCCAACTGGGAGATTCAACTGGCAGCAAGCTGCCACAAGACTCTAATTTTGGGCCAGCAACCGGCAAGCAACAGGCATTAGGATAGTGGTTTCCGAACAACCCTTCCACTCAATATCCACCAGCTTCGCCGAAAGAGCAAACCCCACCATCAGATGGACCCTACTTAGGCCTTGCCAAAATCCCTTCGAGTCAACAAATCGGAAATCCAGCCGCTGACCTTAATGGTCTGAATGGATCCGATTTCCAAAAGTTACTCGACAACACTCGTCTTGTGTGCATCGGAATCCAGCCGCTGACCTTTTGGTCTGAATGGATCCGAGCTCCAAACAAACACCCTTCAACACTCCTCTCGTGGTCGACTCGGAATCCAGCCGCTGACCTTTTGGTCTGAATGGGTTCGAGCACCAAATGAATAACCTACAACAATCCTCTTGTGGTTAGCATATTTCATGCCTTCCAGGATCACCACATCCAGTAAGGTCAAAGGGGCACTGCTTTCTCCCCCTGCCGGCAGACAACTACCTGACCACGTCCGAATTCGACCATCACATTTCGACAAGACCTCACAATGTTTAAGGTCAGCAGCCTTCAAGGAAACCTCAAAGCGGGTTCCGACAAACACCCAATTATTTCATCGAATCATCTGTGGGGTAGACTCGTTTTAAGAATCTGCACATTATGTCGAAAGCTGGGATACACCTTTCCCAGTCATGCGCGATTCTACTGCGATCAACGTCCGGCTCCTACCTGGAACTACCTCTGCTTAGCCCTCAGTTTCCATAGGATCGAAAAATCGAATCTTCAATCACTGCTGCCTACAAAAGACAAGCTACCGCGAGCGAGATATCTAGTCAGCCAAATTTGAGCAATATCTGCTCATGCTACCGCCCTTGGAATCAATGTATTCTTGGAACGCCAGGACCCACAACATCTACCGTCCATTCCACAGAGAAGCTTTGCGCTCTTACCAGGTCATCCCCTAATGCAACTTCGCCTACTATGGGAGCTACTGAGGATCCCAGATCCCTTGAAGTTCCAACCCGTACTGAAGTCGGCACTCTCCTTAAGCGCAACCATTTTCTTACCGGGGGAAGATCTAGGCGGACCCTCAATGAGATTGGAGGGTTGCGCTCCGGGAGTGAAATGGGAGAAAACAGCATTCATCGCGGACTCGAAATCTCTGCGCAACCGATGGAACTCATCCGAGAGTACGGGATAGCTGCCGGAACGGGGCTTGTTCGAGTCCCGTCCAATAGTGGAAGCTTCCAGGACATGAGCTCCGGAGTTGCGACAGAATGACAGTCGTTGAAACTGCGGCGAAGCTTCGGGTGCTCCACAAAGAGAGCGGACTCTATTCAGCATGTCTTCTTGGATTTATGACAAGCAGAGCAAGAGTTTCCACGCCCAGGACGGAAGTGTGCAGCACCCATCCTGGCGAGCTTAGAGATACTCAAATATTATCGACTGGCTCTATTAAGTTACTTTATGGAAACAAATCGACCTTGGAAACAAATCATTCTTGGAATCAAACCATTCTTAGAATCAAAGGTCATGGCGACTAGGCACACTCTCGAAGATGCCAAAGATGGCCACAATCTGATCAGCTGTGCAATGGACGCTGTCCGGTCGACTACCGCGACGGGCATGACAGTAACAATGGCATCATCTTTGCTTTCGAAGGTATAAACGCGCTTTTGAGACAGGCGCAGATTCCTTGGCCGAGGAGAACTACCGCCGAATACGAAGAGGATACCAACCAGCTCAGCCTTTGGCTTGATAGCGAACCTCTGCGAAAGGAGGCAATTCAGCTTTTCCTTCCGTCTATTAAACCATATCGCCTTCCCTTTACGCCAACTGAGCCCGGCTTTCAGCTTCCCGAGCCCCAGTCAAGTTTGAATGAACAGTTGTTGGAACCTTTGCCTAACGTCGCTCCCTTGCCCGACGGGAATCGAGGTCATCCGAGTTTGAACGAACAGTTGTTGGAAACCTTGAAATCGTCCTTGGAAACAATTCATTATTGGAATCAAACCATTCTTGGAAACAAATTCAGCCTTATTCAACAAAAATCTAGAACCTTCTCAACCAAAAAACCCCTCTACCAACAAAACACCAATGACCCCTCAAGGCAGCGAACAAAGCAGCTTGGGATTTTTACGAACCACAACTCTCAAATGGTGGAAAATAAAATTTAATATGTTGGACGGGCCATGTGAAGTTGAAGATGTTGCTCTGATTCACTCTCTCGGTCGAAGATCTTAGGAAAATAGCAATGTGGCATGCATCTCCAAATAGGACTTCGTCGCATTTTGTTGAAGAATAAATCTTAATGTCTTTTCATTTGCTCACTCAGGCCTTCATTATATGGTGATCTTGTGCTTCTGAAATCGTTGCCTATACGTCGTACCATGGTCGCGGTTCTAAAAATGACTTTTAAGTCGCAGTAAACGTCTCGTTTCCAAGGGAAAGGAACAACGACACGTCACTAAATAATCGTCTTTAAATATACTTGCTGCTCCCATTACCCATCCATCTATGTATAAAATAAAGCAGAAAATGAATACCAATTACAAAATAGTTTGAATGCGCGTATGTTAACATGGTGCGGTTACGCGACTACAGGTACCCGCACACATCTCTTATCGTTCACTTCACTTAAAATCGGCAGAGAAGGTAGACCTAAGGCTTGCATCCAGATTCACTTCATCACTAAAAGTAAATTAAGCTTTTTGGAACCGCCTAGGCGGAAACAAAAAAGCTAACTTTGCGGTGAATCATACCGCGTGTTACTGTTGGATCAACACAGCACACTGTTTACAACACAATAGAACATCTAACACGCGCACGCGACTGTAGCCTGCCATGGACGCGCTCAGGACATGTAAGTACTGCAAGGTAAATTAAAGTTCTTTGATGCTGAGGTCGGCATCTTAAGGCCTCATTCCAAACATCAACCTCGATTTACAACTTTTCGAAAATCTACCTTGGTCATCGAAACTATACTAACATCAACCAGCACCCTCTTGGCCAGATACACCCCGCCTCTTGGATCCCTCGCGAGCTATAGAGTTAGAGTACTCTTGGTATAGTGCAAGTATAATGGCGAATGGACTGATCCGGTTCAAAGTATACTATCTCCCTCGAGGGAAGCACATATCTGAGTCATCGGTTGCTCACAACCAAAAACTTCAGGAAGGATTTTTCCAACACCCGGTGCTTGTCACTGAAGTTGACCAGTACTTTGTTCACTTCTACGCCCTGACTCGCAATCCACCAATAGCCATCCGGGACCTGAAGATGTGTTTGCAAATCGGAGACACTACGAGAGACGAAGGGCCTATGATTCTGCGGCTCGGGGAAGGTTCTGATAGTATGAGGTTCTTGACCTGGGTAAACCTCGAGCAGCGATTCTTTATCGAACACAACGAGCTGCAATCATGGAACGCGGACGTCTTCATTCCGACCGACCAGGAGTACAAGCTGTACGGCCGGATCGACGAGCTCGAGATGCTACAGAACCGCTTCATCTACAAGCCACTGATTCGCGACATGAACTTCGTCCGACCCGGAACCGTTGTGATGCGGCCAAACAACGACCACCCATCCACGACGTTCGGCTCTCCTATCGTTGTCGTGGATCTGAAGCAGAATGCCACAGGCACACTTGTGAGGTACTTCCGGATCAAGGAGATCAAATCCGGCAGAGGCAGCAGTCCACTCCATATCCCGATCGCCAGACATCCAAATGAACCTGCCATGCATCACGGTCGACCAGTCATGTTTCTCGAACCCGGCAGCCCGACCACACGTACGCCCTCGTTCGTCGACCTCCTCAAGTCTCCCCAGTGGATGGGCCTGCAAATCTGTCAAACTTGGTGCTATCCCCCAATCCAGATCACACAGCAGTCGATGGTCCAAATGTTCCAAGTATACGTGAGGTCGTGGCCACGGGACGTCAATCGTAACCCGTCTCTACTGCCGCGTTGGTGGCAGCACGCTTCGTATTCGCCTCAGTATATCTGGCCTCCGATGTACCTTTCTCCAGCATCATTATTTCCACATCCTCAGGCCGGCATGCTGCAGAGGTGGATCGACGGATCTTATACTGGTCGCATGACTGGATATGCAGCGGGATTGTCGTCGAGCAGTGGATCCTCCAACCAACCGACCAACAACGCTGCCTTTACATCAGTCTTCGCAGGTAACCGCGCCCATTACGATAGCCAGTCTAGCAACAGACAATCTTCTGCGCTTAGTCGAGAGTACCTGATTGAAGGCTCAAACGGGGACAATAGCTCTCCACACAGCAGTGTCCACGGGTTCATCATCGGTGATGTGCCTGAGGATGGACCTGCATCAGTGCCAGACAGTGAGCGCTCGGGACAGCGTAAGTAACCGCTCCTACAATCCCGGATCTCCCAGAGAACAAATGCTAACAGAACATCAGCTGATTTTAGTCCATCGGATTCCCAAATGGCGTTGTGGAGGTTCTGATTCGGGAGTGAATTCAAGGGTACTGTTTGGCACGAAGGGAAGGCATTTTCGTCGGACTGTTTGCATCTTTTTCATTCATACGATACACATACAGACTTCACTTTAGAGGCTTTTTAGAAGTTGAGGATATGCATTGTCGTAGATTTGGAAGCTAGTGGGGGATTTTTCTACGTGTTGAGTCAACACTAAGCATCGACATGTTGTATGGCGTCAAAGCTGCTCATTTCGCCAAATTTCGAAGTTCACTTCATGCATATGAAAGGCATTTGGAAGCTAGTGTCATAGGTAAAACTGAATAATTTCTGGCTTCACTGCAGTGTCTACGCGCTTCAACGTTGCTCTGTGACATAATGAATGACCCCGACATCCCGATATGTGATAATATGCCAAACAGCAATCACAGCGGCAACCAGTCCGAAACCTGCTGTCCTCACCCAGTAAATTCCACTGTATCGAAGGCAGAATGAAACACAAACTATTCATAGTCCTCCCTTTCTCAATACAGAAAGCGCAGCTCTCTTCTCTGCTTACCAAACATCCCAAAACACCTTCTCACCTCTCACGTTCCCCCCAACGCCAAGTCTTACACGGACATTGGAAGAGGCTATCTATAGTCAGCAGCCTTGACATTCTCTCTCTGCCTCGTGGCCAGTCGGGCGTAATCCTGCCCGGCATCACCACAGCGAAAAAAGAGACGTTCGGCGAGGATTACGAGAGATTTTGGCTGACAGTACTGGGGTGCAAGACCACGCGAGACGACGCAGCGGTTGCCTGGGTGGGAATCTGTTAATTGGAATTAAGAAGTCGAAGGGGAAGTGCGCTCTTTTTTTTGGCAGATGCCTGGATCCAGATAATTATGTGAAGCGAATTTTTGATGATAATGATGATGTTCGGTTATTACTGCTTTTGGTCTTGAGAGATAAATCCGTCTTATTCAGACTGGAAAGGCAATCATACGAATAGTTTCCGATTGTCCATGGTTGATAAGGCTGCCTGAACTGAAGTTAGACATGCGAATTGTCATTAGGGAGTTCTTCTTCTTCGATGGTATATTATTTTATGTCGATTTTCCCGTCAGGTACTGAAATCGTATACTTACGTATAGCCGTTGAAAAAACGAGACCGTTGTGAAATCAATGTAATGATACAGTACCTAATTCATACATCAACAGCTAGATCAAATTGTGACCTCAACGATATATTGAGATCCGCTGCGACTAACACTTGAATGTTCACAAGTATGTTCTCGACTTGCCACACTGACAAACCTTTGAGCCCAATTCGCGTCAACCCTGATAATGCATGAGGCCAGGACAGATTCCGGCACTGACAAAGGTAATTCCAGTAAAGCTCCATCACCAACCCTTGAACATGGATGCCCAAGCATCATCAGATCCTCAACTGCCCTCCACTACCGTTTCGACGAAACGAGGATCAAACGGCCGCTCATCCCCCATACCCATGCTCCTCCCTCACCGGCATCGCCGCCTCACCACCATCGCGAATCTTCTTACTCAGGCTTTCCCTGCCCAACTCTGACTGCTCCCACCTCACCGGCAGTTCCAACCACCACCTTCCCCATATGGTCCCGGATCCTCGTTCTCAAGACGTGCAATGCCCCATACATTCCCAGTGCAATGGTAGCGACTGGAAAGGATGACCCGTATTACGGCGGTAACGTCGGCGGAGCGTGCGTGCGTGCGTGCATTGGCGAGAGCAATCGTACAACCAGTTTGTCCAGATCCAATCCGAACGGGGTCCTCACGGTACTTGTTTTGGTCGAGGCGGTCAGGTCGGCTTTATTTCTCGCCCATGGCAGTTGGCTTCCGCGACTCTCCATAAACAGTGTTTCTGCCGGCACATCTGCTCTGCCCCCTTCCGCGAGAACTGACTGGCTGGGGAACTCGCGGATGGAAAGTCGATCATCGAGGCTGTGAACGTTGCGATGGTCGAACAGCATCAAAGCTCCGACGACGGCGCCGATTCGGCCAATTATCTGAGACATTTTTTTCTGGACCACACGTACATTAGACATCGTGTTTTTCTCCGCGAGGCCAGGCCCATTCCCCGGTCCTTGGAGACAATCATGTCAATAGATGTCGGTCTCGTGGATCCGATGAGAGGAGCGGTGGAGGGCCGATTGCGGGCCGTCGTTGCAGCTTGCGCAGGGAGGGTTTGCACGGATGAAGCAGGCAGGCAGGCAGGCATGCATACTGAGTTGGGTACCGAGGGTACGTATGGCCGGTAGTTTCTGGGAAGAATGGATTACTTGGGATGTTCGTCCGAGGATATGTTTCGAGGATGTCGGAGAGTAGGGAGTGCATTCCGGGATAGGTTGGTGATAGTGACGTGTTTGGAGCAGCCGTCGTGGACATGGCTCTGAGATTCGCACTGTTCAGGGGTCGTGATTCTTTCTCATACCTGACAAATCCACGGAGTTAGGATCTCTTGATCAGGGCGAGAGCTTTGAGTTTCTAGATCCTACGTAGTAGTGGTGATCTTCATGATGCGACAGTGTACGGTAGACACCTAAGCTGGCGCAAGCAGAAAGGACTCAATGGATAGAATATGCCGGATGCAGACCATGGAGGTACCGTATCGCACAAACAATGCTCCGTATGTGCAGTCATATCAAACGTACAAACAGTTTAATTTCCCAAAACGGCACCGCATCGATGCTTCAACGACATATGCAACACGCAGTGAAAAGGGGAAGATGGTAAGGAGAAGTTCTTGAGCATCAACCATCGTTCCCAAAATATTCCCCAAAATATTTGGGATAGTGACAAAACTTGGTAGTATTTTATCGACATGTCCCTAAGTATGTAAGTGGACGTTGTAGGTCGATGGTATAAAACACGACATAATTCCCCACAGTATCTACAGGCATGGAGAAAAAAAAGCTTGATGCAACACACCCCTTCTACTGCCCTAACACACTACAACGCATCTACTTGTGGATGTATCTTGTAAATTCAATGATACCTGTCTGCGTTCAGCACACTATGTAGAAAGAATTAGGGTCTCAAGCTCCAAGTTGATGAGGATACCCTCGGAGAGTGAAACTTGACATCCGCCTTCTTCCGCCTACCCAGCGCATGCTTGCACAAGGTTCAATGACAATTCTTCGTCCATACGAGATATCTAGAGCATCATTCGGTATACTTACCAGTTCACTACTTCATCTACACCTTCGCGTACGGCGGCAAATTCGCCCTCACGTATCCCAGAGGCGACAACCTGGTATGTGCATCTTCACCATCATCATTAGCACGTCCACCAGCAGGCAGGATTCATGCTTGTTAGATGACCAAGATCTTTCTCATAGACTCCGTCGTCCCAACGATGCGGAGGATCTCGCGAGATAGCTCCGCCTCCGACTGATAGTTCGGCGAAACTATTTCGAAAATCTTTCCGCGCCGCAAACCAGCCAACAACGCCCCCGAAATCTCAATTCATCTCATGATCATCAACCGATTATGATGGAGAACTAACGCTTGGCTTCTAGAGCGCTGTGATGTGATGGCTGTTACTTACTCACCTCCTTGACTTGCGTCGAGAGGCTTGCTTGATCGTCTGTTGGATTGAGTTATTGGAATTGGCTGGGCTTGAAATTGACTCGACTCGCGTTAGTCTAGCATAGTAGAAACGCCATTTCGTGTCTATCTCTTACTGTGGTACGAGTTCGGCCCTGCCGCTCGATATGATCGACGGGGGCCATACTTGAACCAGACCGTGGCATTCACTCTTTCATCCATGTTGGTCGTTAGACACCAGCTAAACAACGTGAATAATGTGCTACCCCACAATTAAGGCTCCGCAGACTCCAGGGTCCCTTAGATATCGTGCCTTTCGTTGCTTCTATTTTACTTTTCTAGACTTCGAATAACTGGACTACTCCACTAACGTAAGTGACTAAGTATTTACTGACTCTACAAGCATTGTATCTCTGTTCGTCCCAATAGATGGGGTGAAGGGATCCCTGCATTAATGTTCAAGTTCGCCGGTTTTTTTTTGTGTTCCTTTGCGCTTGATGGCACCGAGGGTCCGAGACCAGCGATGGTGCGTTGCGCCGCCGCCGTCGATCCGGCAATTGGACGAGAGAGGCGTCCCGTCGTCTTACACCGACATTCCTTCCTTCCTGAGTCGAACAAGTTACCTTCAAGCAGTGTAGTTGGTGGTCTGAGGCTTGAGTGAGTGCGGTGGCTGCGATGGGGAGGAAAGCGCCATTCCGCGTCGGTGGATGGGAGATTGTGCTATGCGGGCGTTTTGTGCGATTAATCAATCGTGCAATCAATCTAGGTCAGGAAATGAAATGGCACCCTACCATGGACGGAGAAAGGGGGTAGTACGTAGTAGGAAATGATGATGATGAATACGAGTTATGACAATAATGATATTGCTGCATGTCAATTTGATATGAAACCCCAGGGTTTGTCGTTCGATTGCACGCGTGCAGTTCGAAACAGGCTGCAAATAATAGTAACTACATGATTGTTGGAACTTGGAGATTGGCATCCAATTATGCAAGCAGGTTTCAGAGTCATGTTATGGACACCTAGCGCTGGTTTGATTGACGGTGATGGAGACCCTGTGGTTGCCTTGAATCTGAGCATGGGGGCGGGGCGCCTGGCCTTATCCACATACCAGTATCATTGAACTCATTAAGCGGTAGAATCACGCAACGGGATGGAGACGGATGTGTTGTTCCCGTCAAAGGGAGGGGGAATCCTTCGAGAACATACATGTACATAAATGACTGATTGCTGGGATGGTTTGTTGTCAGATTGATTGGGTCTGTTGATCTGGAACCGTAGCACATGGAGATGATGATTGGAAGAAGCTTAATAGTCGTTACCTGGTAAGATGTACAAGTAAATCTACCTAAAATGTAGTTGTAGCACGAGTAGACGCAACATGATAGGCAGGCAACGGTGGGTTGTTGGTGTACGACTCAGGAGAAGAGGAGTCGTAGTCGTTCACGCCAGGCGGCCGCTAGGCGTCAGAAGGGAGGGGAGCGGAAGGGTCGGTTTGGGCTGCCACGTGGTTGTTGGACCTGGGCGGGCCACGCGAGCTCTCGTGGTCCTGGTGGGCGTTTTTTTTTCTTCCTAATTTTTCCTTTTCTTCCTTACACGAGGTTCTGCCCATGACTCGACAACCTTGCCTCTTTTTCTTTCGTCTCTCTCGTTGACTATCTAGGTACTCCGTACCTCAACTTATCTAACCACCCTAGTCGTGATATTGTGTACATCTGAACTTTTGCCCACTTGGCGGTAACGATCCACGCCATAATTGACTATCTACTCTACTGCGAGATGGATAGATAGGAACAAGACGCCGGACGCCGAATTTAGTATTATTGCGCCTTCCAATCTAACGCCCTCAATGTCGTTCTTCCAATATATGTCGGTGGATCTTCTTACGGCGCGCGCTGAACTATCATGCGCATTAGGTATGCATACCTAATGTCGTTGTAAGATATTGTATCACCGTGGCCTGATGAATGCAGCAACCCGGCCCAGGTCAGGTATCTTTCCTTGCCTAGGGTCAGCACGCGTTGAAGGCTAGCGATCATGCCCATCTGGTGAAACGCTGGCCGTGGCTCGCAGCCTTTGCAGAACACAACTACGCACGCCAGAGGACCAGACCAGTCGCCAGTCACCAGTTGCCAGTCGACCCCACCCATTAATAGTGTTCGATAATGGAGGACTTCTCCCCTGCGGATACCCGCCGTACAGTATAATAGGCTGTAACCGTTGGTACGGTATGGGCTATGGAGGCTAAGTGGCCTTTCAAGGCTACCTACATTACGAGTAATAACCAAACCATCGTCGCGACCAATTTACCTTAACTAGGCACTGTACGGGGTCTGTACCTGGTTGTTCAAGCAGGGCAAGCATGGCGGCGGGCGCCCACCGTACGATTTCCCTTTTTCGCGGGAATCTCGGTTCGCCACATGACTGCCTCAACCATTCCGTTTTCTTCCACTTGATGCTATCCTGCAAACGGCCTTTGCTGCCCCATCGACCATCGACTCTGCTTCACGACCGTGTTATGACGAAAGCCACGGCGCAGGGGTTTGTCCCTTAGCGACGGCGAAGGGAAAGCCAGAAGGATGGGCTGGGCAGAGACGAAATAGGGCGCGAGATTGGACTTTCGCCTTTGCCTGCCCTTGCACCAACGAACGGACGTTGCTGCAATTACTATTTTCATCAACGATGGGGAAAATACGTCTGTGAATCTCGCCCTGGCCCGGGTTGGAAGAATGGAATTACTGGGAGGATGAGGGAAAAGGGGGGGGCATTTTTCTGGTCCGAAGAGTTTCGGAACGCACCCACCACCTTTCCCACCTCCCCCCCTTTCCCATTCCTTACGTCTTGTCCTAAGATCTGACAGGAAGGGATGGGAAGAGGGGGAATGAAGAGGAGAGCAGACGGAAAAAAACGTGGGGGAAGAAAAGGCTAAACCCTTTTCCTCCGTAACACACATAACGCACACCATGCATCGCACAAAAAAAATGCCACCTGGTCCCTCAAATCCTCGTATTCGCACGTGTCGGACACGCACAACGCACGCTCGGAGATTTTTCCCTTCCCTCCCCCTCCCTTAATAATACAATATCACACAAAGCGAATCCTGTCGTGCGATTTGCAAAGCAGGCCGCCGTGGTACAGGCTTGTGTCATATTCTGTTGGGTCGGGAAGGCAGAGGTTTCGGGATTGGAGGAGAAACACGATGACGACGAGATTGTGCGTGTGTGCATGGACGTTGAGAGAAAGTGAGGTGACGGTACGACGGTCTGTCTGCGCCGGTGCGGTTTTCTTGTCGCCTTCAAAGAGTCCAGAGTCCACGATCCAGACTGATGGGATCGGTGAAGGGTTACCTAGGAGTGTGCTCCGCGCCGCGCCGCGCGCGCACGTGTGTACTGCTCTGCTTTCCATGATTTGATTTTGACACGAAACGATACACACAACCTTGTGGTGTCATTCGTTTGCAGGTCTCTCCTGGTTGCGGTGCACGATGCCTGGCGCACGTCGGACGATGAATGCTAAATAAAACAGTGTGCACTGTGCAGGCGAGACATGATGCGAATTGATGAGAGCATTGATTATCTGGGCGACACGATTTGACACGCACAGAGCGGAGAGGCAGAAGGGCGGCCCATGGAGCGGAGTAATCTCCATAGTCTTTCGCGCCGGAAGCGGAAAGGATGAGATGGTTTTCCGTTCCCGAGAGGACGGGTGGAATCTCTTTCAACGCGCGTGAGTTAATGGGCGTCTTTCCCTGGGCCGGCCAGCCGCCGTCGCCGTGTTGAACGACAAAGTGCACTGCACTACCCTAATATAGTGGTAGTTAGATTCGGTTCATTGTGTGTTTCGGGTACGCAGCCAGGCCAGGACAGGCAAGGGGAACAGAGTAGAGACTCTTACTAGAGAGAGAAAGAGAAGGTAGGTAAAGAAAAAAAACGTGTCAGCCAGTCCAGACCAGAACGAGTTTGATACAACATCGTGTTTTTGAGTGGGGGGCCTTGCGTTGGCACAACACGTGGGAATGCGGCACATCATCCCAATGCCAATTGATCCCAACGTCCGTCTCCCAAAAACCCAGCTAAACCTCATTGCGATCCTGTGAGATCCCGTCCGCGCCGCACGACCTCTCTATTTGTTACGCTCTGTTGGTTCCATTTGCTCCGTTTCGTCTTGCACTGTCTGTCGTTGTTTTATTTTCATTTTAATCATCACCATCTTAGAGACACGCACAGAGACACACAAAGAAAGATACGTACATAGCAGACCCCAGCGTCACCTATCACGCACGTAGCTGTCTGAGTACCCATACCCTCGTCTTTTCTTACCCCTTCAAGCACCCCCCGCCGACCAGACGGACCCTCTCACCCGAAAAAGAAATAACGAAGATAATTACATGTAAAAGAGGAAAAAACCACGATGGCATGACTCGTGCTCTTCATGCGAGATGGGAAGTTAAAAAAACACACGGACGCAAGAAAGTCATCAGAATCCCGAGAGTTCGTTTTCGCATTGCTTTCCGCTAGTAAGTGAGGGAATGTGGTCTAACTTGAATGGGTATATCTTCGTATCGTGAACGGTACCTACACAGTATCTATTGCATAGTAGATGTACGGAGTAGATATCTTAGAGAAAAGGAACGTGGATTGTTATTTTTACAATCAGTAAATCAATCGAACAGATCGTTTATCCTCCATACCCAACAATCTACAAGCTACTCTCCTCCCCTCATTACCCGCACTCAACCCCGCCAACAACCACTCTTACAGCAACAGCAACAGGTAAACACAGATACATCCATACAACCCCCCCCTTCCGGCCCAACCCGAGGAGCTGAGCAAAAGACTCAACGAAACAAAGAAACCCAAAACCCGCAACCTACCTGTCAACCGTTTTCCGTCCTTCCGTTCCCTCCGCCCCGCTTCCCGTGAGCAAGGGTGCAACGTGGGCTGCACGTGCGTTGCGTGCGTGCGTTGCGTTGCGTGGACGTGAAACAAGCAAACCTCACGAGATGTGGAGGTTTTGTTGGGCACGAAGGGACGTTTGGGCAGGGTGGGACTGGGATGGGATGGGGTGAGCTGAGATGGGATGGGATGAGCTGAGGAGGGGGGATGGAAAGGATGGAAGGGGTTGTTATGTATGGATGTCCGGATGGGAGGTGCTGCGGGGAGAGGGGATGTTGGCCGGTGAGGTTGTACGGCAGCGTGTGTATGGGTGTGTCTGTATCTGTGTATGTATGTATGTATGTATGTATGTAGATGTGCGGAGTATATGCATGTGTTTTACCGCGTGTTTGTTTACTTGCTTGCTTCATTGTGATGCTAAATGTCCGGAAAGGTCTGGCGGGGTACGGTGTACATCGCTGTTCATATCGATACTGCTTGTGACAGCGATGGGCTTCCGTGACATCTCCGTATGTATCTCTCTTTGATGCACGGCGGATGCAGTGCAAGTTTCCTTTCAGTAATTTTTATATCATATACGACATGAGCTTTTGTATAATACTTTATTCGGAAGGACACTAGTATTTCTCGCGTTACAATACGATTAGTTTCGATGTTTGATATATGATGTATATATTAGAAAAGCACGTCTTCCATCTATCATGCAAAACTTTATTATGTTGAAATATCAATGTACATGCTGAATACTCTTCCATGTGATAAACTCTATCATAATTACTTGCATGCATGCATCCTCACCATTCTTCTCTTACCTACCATGCAGGCCTCACGTAAAGCGTAGATCCCCATCCATCCCTCACCGCGTGTGCACTAACTACATACACAACAACGGGAAACGCACATTCTTCCCCAGATCCGCACACAAACCCACAAGCATCTACCTAGATAATCGAACCAGCGGTGAGGCTGCGTGTACGGACGTGATGTGATAGCTTCTTGTGTAGCCCGGTTTCGGTCGCCGCGCGCCAAATCTGACAGCTTTACTACAAGTAACTACGTATTTTGAATGCGAGATGCGAGATGAGGCGAGCTGCTGCAGGCACGCCAGGCTAGCTGGAGAATAGACTTACTTCCAAAATCGGAGGTAGGTAGATCGGAGTAGTGGTGTTGTGAGATGGAGAATTGCCTGCATGTGGTAATGGGGATGACGATGATGATGGATGTGGTGGTTTGGGATGCTGGTAGGTGGCGGTTGATGATCGGCGGTGTCAACGTCGGCGTCGGTGTCGGCGTGGTCGGCGTCATATAGTATTATTGAATCTATTGGATCTGCGGCACGAGATATGTTGCATAGTTTCCCGCGCTGTGGATGATGCACATGGTATGAGTATGGATATTGTCATGGTTATACGGAGATGATGGCTTATGAACGGAGATCACGTCGTGGTTGATTGTCATGATTAATGTGATCATTATGATCGTTGCGACTTCGACTATGATTGTCGCGGTCATTAATACAGGTACGTACACGGGGTGGTACCAGTGCTTAGTGTACTCTGTGTAAGGATACAATAACTCAATGTCAGATACCTACCCAGTCGTAATTGTGTGTGTTATTGGTCGTGGTGGCTGTGATGGTGGGAATAACGGAAAAGGGTCTCGGACTATTTCCACGTTGGCGCTGGGTGCGTTCCCCGGGAAGAGTTGCAAGATGGAGGGGCGGGGAGGGGGGCAAATTGCAGAGGGGAGATGATCTGCTGCGATGCCTCGTGGCAGTTACGAGTTGTGTAACTTTAACTTTAGGGCACACCACCAGGGAATCATGCTTCCTTGTTTGACGGGACACGGCGTCAGTTTCGACCGGTAGTTCTTTGGTGTTGGGTGTTGGTGATGGTGATGGTGTATCGTGGTTCATTGATGGGAAGAGTATCCGTGATGGACGTACGGTAACCTCTAGCATTGTGCCTCTAGTGAGGCGGGAAGTGTAGTTGTAAGTAATCCGTAATCGTACAGTATCTTTCACAGTTGATCATTAAGGATTAAGGTTCTGCATATCTGGTGGTAGAGTCTTTAATTGGTGGTGAGGTTGGAGATATGGAGATGATCATCCAGACAAGCAATCGTTCCAATCTTGGGGAAGAGACTGTTGCTGCAAGTGCGGGTATCAGCAGATAGAGCTACAGCTACAGCTACAGCTAGAGCTAGGTACAGCTAGAGCTAGAGCTCCAGATAGCTACAGGCTTCCACAAAGAAGGGCATACACCGACACATGGTGCATTAATTGTTGAATTGTGTAGGTACACAAGTCAGAACACAGTCGACGGTACGGAATAGATAGCGAAAGCTCTCGGAATTGGTGGTTATAAGGCGAGTGCAGGGATGTTGCTCCGCGGAGGGTGAGATTATGTAATTGGGCGGTCGGTGGCTCTGTGACTCTGTGTAACATACAAGAGGGGAGGGGAGGGGCAGCTAATCCGGATTGGGCTTGGTGGACAAAGAGTACAAGCACGATACGGATAGTTATCCTGCACTACGAGGTACCACTGACTAACTATTATTGTATCTGGCAATTATTGCGCAATGATTCTCCCACTCATCAAGTGCTGCTGCTATTGCGTAGATTATAGGGTCTGGTAGGGGAGTATTTGGGTGCGTATTCGATGAAACAAGACTGCGGAGATGGCGGCGTTGGCGGCGGCGTTTGCTGTTGGCGGCGTGGCCACATGGATGTTTGATGATGATGAGGATGATGATGATGGCGGCGGTGGTGAGCTGCAGGCTGCAGGTAAGCCCAGGCTAGGACTTTGCCAGGATGTCAGGATGTGCCAGGCCAGGGATATGCCATGATGCCCAGAGAGATGCCGGGATACCTCGTGGGCGCCTCCATGCGCCATCACAAGTAGAGTAACAAGAATATCTCCCTAGCAAGGGCCATCTCGACAAGGGCTGCCAGACAAGGTAGATCCTACACTTTACAGTCTGTAGTCTGTTCTGTACTCCGTACTGTACATTTTTCATTCCATTCCATTACCCCCCTCCTCCTCCTCCCTCCCCTCCGCTCACCCCCCTCCGTATAACATACTCCGTACACACCTAGAAAGCCAGATACGAAGTACCCTGATCCCTCTCGTCATCACTGATTGGAGGCCACCATCGATGGGGTGGTCCATCGTTTAGTTCTCCTTTGTCATCGCCAGGCTCGGTTTTAGTCCTGGGACCGGCGTTGCAGCGGCTGTCTGTTTTGGAAATCTCTCTCGGTGCAAAGCCGTGGCCGTGTACGGTACGGTGGTGGTACCCAGCCAGAGAGCGTGTCTCTCTCTCTTTCTTATGTCTCTGTCTTGTGTCTCTGTTTCTGGGGATTCTTCTATCCTTCTTCCCGTCTTCCTCAGCGTGCTACAGCCCAGCTATTCCCGTGCGCCGTGCTCTGCGACCGATGATGGGAATCTATGTGAGTCTGTGTGAATCGGTGAGTGGACTCAGATTTGTACCCCTTCCCTTCTCTACCTATGTCCGGACCTCAACCTTGCCCTTGACCTCCAATCCATCCCCTGTCTTGATTGCCCTGCCCTGTCTTGTCCTGTTCTGCCATGACATGCCCTGTCTTGCCCTGGCCTGCCCTGCCTTGCCGATGTCTGCCCTGTCCTGCCCTGGCCTGAATTGAATATGGACGGGGTGTCATGTTGCATGCGGTGCATGTGCATGTGCATGGTGTGCGCATGGCAGCGTGCGCATGGCAGCAGCGTGCAGAGAGTGTCTCTGAAAGTGAACGTGTCTGAATAATGGGTGTCTGAATTGTCTGGCCCAGCCCTCGTGCTGGTCGGTAAGATATGGAATTGCTCGCCGATCCTGACTGCTTTGACTCTTGAGCGGTGGCCGATATTGCCCCTACCTTCGACACACGGCCTACCCACTGCGCAGTTCTACTGTGTACTCGTCTGTACTGTAATTATTGTTACCATTGTACGGATACCGCGTGTGTACTGTGTACTGTGTACTGTGTACTGTGTAATGTTGGTTCTGTGCTTGGTGTTCTACGATATTGCTCAATTCAATTGACACCCCAATGGTATCATTTTGATCCATGATTCTGTCTCGACTGTGCACCTATCCTGTCCTATCATCAACGCAACCAGCAAACGAAAGGCTGCAACACCTGTTGGCTGTTGGTGCTGAGCTGATGGCCCAGGTATACGGTATACCCCGAAGCGCAAACGGTTGGCACAGAGGGGGGTACAAGCAGAATAAGGGTTCCCCATTCCCCCGACGTTCTCTTGATTGATTACTCTTACACCAACACCTCCGCCTACAATTTACACCTACACCTACGGAGTATATCAAATACCTACATCACCATATCCGTTTCTACTTGGCTAGGCCGGGCAGGAGTGCAGAGACAAGAGCGAAGAGAAATAAAAAAAAAATAAAAACGAAATAGGGATACGCTATTATTGTAGCAGGAGGAGCACACACACACCTACACCCACACCCACACGGACACACAGGCACACACAGACAGACACGCGAACACACACACCAGGACCCCTCACAAATCCCATCCCGTCTCTCTCTATCCTCATCGACCACCTCCACCACTACCACTACCACTACCACCACCACGGCCATCAATTACCGTCGTCGTTGTTCGTTGTGGCTATCCCATCCTTTCCTATCCTATCCCTATCCCTATCCTATCTCATCCTATCCGCCTCTCCCTCTCGGTCACTCATCTTTCTGGCGCTCATCTCTCGCCGCCCATCCTTCGCCCATCGGTCTGTCTACCCAGTGCCCACCCTGCCACCCCTGCTAGCCTTTCTCTTGTATCCACTATTCCACTCTTTGCTCGTCTCGCTCGTTCCCATCCCTCGTGGCCTTCACGCACCCACGACCCACGAAAAGACCCACGCCACTACCACCACCACTACACACTACACTACACACTACACACTACACACTACACACTACACACTACCCATCCACACATTCACTACCATAATTCCTTACCCATTCCTTACAATACCCTAACCACCTCGTACCCTACACCCTACACTACGACACGACCCTACCCTACCTACCCTACCTACCCTTCCTACCCATCACATCCTTACCTTTTTCCTTTTCCCTACTAATCTCTCTCTACTACTGAGTCCACTCTACTCTACTCTACTCTACCCTCGCTACTCCCTCGCTCTACTGGCTAGACATGCCCTACTATACATCTAATTCTCTCCCCTTCACTACTACTATTACTACTCCCACTGCCGCTGTCGCCGCTACTTCTTCTACTTCTACTTCTACTTCTACTACTGCTCCCGCTACTCCCACTACAACTACAACTACAACTACTCCCGCTGCTCCTGCCACTTCAACCTCCGCGACTCAACCCGCTCCCTCCCAAAACAACCAACCTTCCCGACCCTCCACTCTCTCCGCCCAATTCAACCAACACAAGAGCGACTCTTCCTCCTCTACCTCGTCGACCTCCTCCGCCTCGCTCTCACCTTCGCCTTCGGCTTCGCCCGCCCCGCTGGCCACCGACAACTCCACCGGTGTCCAAGACGTAAACGTGCCGCCGTCCGTCGAGCAGCAACTGCAACAGCAGCAACAACAACAACGCCGCCGTCGCTCCACCTTGACTTCACTCCTACGAAAGGACGTCCCCCTCACCTCGTCCCTGTCCTTCTCTCGTGGCCGGCTCCAACAATCCACAAACACTCGCTCGCGAGATCCCTCTATCAGTAATAGCATACGATCCTCGAGCAAGGAAGATCTATTCGACCCTTCCTCCACGCACCTCCGTACCTCTACATCAGCAGTCTCAATAAACGAAAGACTCACCCCCGAACACACCGCAGCCTCAACGCTGGCTCGCAGCATAGATTCAACGCCATCTTCGGCCTCGGCAAATTTGGCAGGCAAGAAGATGCATCAAACATCCTCGCGGTTGCTCCGCATGACGGACGATGAGAGGCCCTTCACAAGAGTATGTACCACATCTGATCCCCCGCCTCTCCCTGCCCGTCCCTAGGTCTCACTCCCTGTCTCGCACAATTCTCCTGTGCCTTCACTGCCCTATCCTTTCGCTCAATTGCCGACAATCGCTTTCCTGTGTTTGCACTATCTGAGCAAATTTTGGAGGCGATTCGACAACTTCTTCTCTCGTGGCTATAGAGGGACATTCGGTAGTAATACTCTCCTCGCCTTCCCCGCGGGCTCATAGCCGAGGTCGGTTTGCCCTCTATGAGTGCCTGCGTGGGAAGAGCATACAGCCGTAGGGTGGCCGGGAGAGTTTATTGCAGGACAAACAATATGGGACGTGAATTCACCCAATTGAACTCCGCAAGGCTCGTTCTGTCTGCGTTTTCCGTTCTACACTGCACATGGCACATTTTTCCTACGGGACCGTCAGAATGAGTACTAACAACTCAACAGGATTTCAAAGACCTGTTCGCCACATTAATGGTCTCTCTTCCATTGACACCCCACCGTGTCCGCTTTCGAATGATCGATAACACATTTACTACAGATGAAGCAATCACTAACCTCGGTTCTCTGAAATTCTCCCAATCAAACCGCATGCCGGATCCCAAGGACTCGTCTCGCGTGGTGACCACTACCACGACCACCACTTTCTCCATGGCGAAAGAGATGGCTAGGTCTGTGTGCAACAAATTCCTCGAGGCCAAGTTCATTGAGTCGGTGGAAGGAAAATTGGACTTCACCAACAAGAGCTCCGTGTGGCAATTGACACCCAAGGGTATCCACATCCTCGAGCGATTCTGTTCCCGCAATGGTATCCAATCCGCACACGTCAAGCACGTTATTGAGTCACAGCGAAACCCCCACCAATTGGTGACACTCGAGCGCGATACCGACACTGACAAGCTGCACCACGACGAGCAGACGATTGAGATTCTGTTCCGTCGCTTCTGCGGTGCCTCTGCTAACGAGACCGTGAACTCCGACTCTGACTCCATTCACGAATTCTCCAGATGCGATGTCGGCGTTCGCATGTCGAAGCACAAGCCAACCGCCTCTCGACCGTACGAGCACATCTTCACCGGCAAGGCAACCGTTGACTGGCTGATGGACTGCTGTACAATGGTCGACCGTCGTGAAGGCCACGAGATTGGCCAGCTCTTTGTCGAGCTTCGCTTGATTGCGCCGGTAGACCCTCGTCAGGAGAAGTTCGTTCCTTCCAAACAGACACATTACTACGTCACTCAACACGGTGAGCAAATAGCTGGCTGGACTCTCCTCGACGAGTCGACGATCCCCGCCGATAGTGGCAACGTAAAGGCTCGCGAGGGTGCTGCCCGCGACTCGAACAGCAACAGGACCAACGTCATCATCCGCAACCCATCGTGGCGTCTTCTGTACCGTGAGTTCTTGAAGGAGACTATGTGCGAGGAAAATTTGTCCTTCTACTTGGAGGTCCAAGAGTTCAACAGTCAATACAAGTCTGCCATCAACACCTCTGGTGACCACAAGATTGAGACCATCCGAGAGACATTGGCTGCTGCTTATGGTATGTTGTTTTAGTTTCCGTTTCATCATGTTCCACAACTGACATTCTGCAGGCCTGTACAACGCTTTCCTAGCCCCAGGTTCCCCCAACGAGCTAAACATCGACCACGCGCTCCGCACGCAACTTGCTACCCGCATGACCCGTGCTGTTGGTGACGACACCGCCATGATGCAGAGTCTCGTTGAGGTCGCTCTGCTGTTTGAGAAGGCACAAAACTCGATCTTCAAGCTCATGTCTAGCGTAAGCTTGCTCCTCTGTGTCACTTCACCGCCCATATACTAACGTTAACTGCAGGACTCGGTGCCCAAATTCATCAAGCACCCCAAGTACGGTCCCCAACTTCGTGGTCTCGATGCCGCAGCCGCGCAAGCCTATGCTACTTCGACACGGTGAAGCTCGGAAACAACATGAAGTAAAGCGTAGCAACCATTCTACTAGCACGCACGCATCCTGATCCGGCATTGAAATGAACGAATTGATCGCCATGTTTCTCCTTCGGTTGTTAGGTCGGCCCACACGTGGACCACCAAAGCATTATTCCCCCATCATATCATTTCCATCATCATCATAACGGTGCATGTCTGTAACCTGTCTAGACTTTGGCGTTCTGGTTCGGGGTGCAAAAAGAGAGTACGAAGCATTTTCGCGGTCGGTTAACATTTATTATTCCTTGGTTTTTACGACTATTGCTGTTTGGTCGAGTCATTGGTGCCATTCGACGGCGACGAAGACAAGTCTGCGGGGGACACTAGCGTACAGCAAGATTCCGCGACGGTCCTACCCCAGGACTTCCTGGACGTCTTCCACACGCCATCGAGACACGGAATTCGGACTCGACAAACAGTAATTTGGTTATGGAAAGAAGAAGAGGAGGAAGTGAGAAAGAAAGTCGGGGCGAGGGAGAGTCGGAAGATGTTGCATTTGCACGGAATCTACTTTTACCATTTTTCTTCTTTGATATCCCAAGCATAAATCTCGGGACGCCTGGTTTATTATTGTTTCTTCTTTAGTTTTTTCTCTCTTTCGGGTTGAGTCTTCACGAAGACAGAATCATCCTCTTTTTTTCTCCATTCTGCTCCTTTCTTGGATAGAAATCCTTTGTTTCTCCATCTGTGTGCGTGTTGGGCCTGTTCTGGACTTGGGCAGTGGTGGTGATGGAGGAGGAGGATGGACTGTCGTTTTTGTTTCCCCGGGACCCTGGCCTACACTCATCGCATGCACGCCCCCGTCATGCCAGCACACCCGGTGCAGAAGGGGAGCAACCAGCGGAACACGAACAAGGCAGGACACTGGTGCCGCTGATAGGGGGAAATGGTCAATCTTAGAAAAACAGAAAGTCACACCCAAAGAAAGAACAGAAGAATAGGCAGAAAAAAAAGAGAAATATTATATATATAATTACTTCAGACTTTACATGGCTGCGCGTGTGCCTCCCTTGCTATGTTGATGTGTAGTATTGAGGTGGGAGTTATGACTTGACTTTGATATGACTTCACTTGATATGACTTGCTACGACTGAGACTTTACGTGTGGCTGGATGTGATATGACTTCACTTGATATGTTGGTATGACTTGATTTGATATGACTCAGACTTTACGTGGCTGGACCGGATATGAATTGCAAATTTACGTGACATTAATTACTGTGTGTCTGAATTGATATGACTGCGACTCTTTGTGACCTGACTTGACTTTACTTCCACCCAACTCACGGCAATGGTGACTGGGCCTTTACTTTGAGCAACTACATGACTGGTATTGATTGTCTACTAGGTAATCAAACCATCCGTCTACCTTTCTGAACTCAACGTAGATAAAACGCCCTATCTCTGTCTGGTTCACCTGGTACCATTTTCTCCTATCCCTTCTCCGCTACTTGACTTCTAGAACACCCAAACATCTCGATCGGAGGATCGTCGGGTCTTTAGAATGTTAGATGTTAGTAAGTGGTATGGTGTGCATTCATTGTTCTCTGGAGCTCATGCTCCCCGGTTATCGATATCGGGTGGTAGGGTCGTTTTGTTTACTTTCGCTCTTGTGTTCTCCCTTCTCCAGGAAAGGGGTAGGGAGGAAATTTGACCTTGGTGGTTTTTTTTTTCCAGGTTATGTCAAAATCATGCTGTTTTTGTCAATGTCACTCGATTGTCGTGATTCTCTCATGTTCGTTGAGGCTTTGAATCGCTGATTCAACAGACATATCGCGATTGACGACTAGTTTGAGCTAGGTACCTAGGTAGGTACTACTGATTGATTGAGGCTGGTTGACAGGCCATCCCCACAAATTCCATGTATGTTGAACAGGCGGAATAGTGGAGACATGGGAACTTGCGTACGAGCGGGACCGGGGAACGGTATCTCTCCTCCGCTGATTAGCAAAAGTGTCGCTATGCGACGCCCTACCTCAAGCCCTCTGTCCGATTGAACGTGTACCAGCACCCGAGTTAGCGCTCGCAAACAAGAGAGGCCAACCGACGTTGAGGACGGTCTGGTGGCCCAGCCCTCATGACTCGGGAGTCCTCGCATCGAGAGGCTGAAAAAGGGTTGAAAGATCTAGAGACTGTGGTGGTGTGGGATAGGGCGCTTGTAGCGGTAAAGGGAAATCTGTTGGCCCTGCCCCATTTGGAGCTTTGGCATTGGTCGGTGGAGGTAAAGGTAGGGTAATGTGTAAACAGATTGTCGTACGAGGAACGTTGGGGCTTATTGCGGGGGATTGTGGGACCGAAGATAACACTCCCGATGGACAAGCAACAACGAACTTGCCTAGATCCCAAAGGGTGACCAGTGGTTTTTTTCTCTTTTTTCTCTCCAATTGGAGGCTGATCTAGGTGGCTAGGTTTCTTAAGCTAACGTGAAAGGTTTTCGTGGAGGAGCGTGGGGAAATTCGCAAACGCCATGTCGAGGCTGGACTGTCGTGGGCCGCATACCATATCGAATGGAAGGATGCTGCAGAAATGACGTTCGACCGTCAGGTTCCTAGGTTCTTTGAAATTCTTCTAGATTTTCTGATTTTGCACCTTAGGAGAGAGAAGAAAGAAGAGCTGCTGAACGCCAGAATTATGCTGGTCATTTGATGATAGGTTCGAACGATGATAGGTGAAGTTGGTACTTGATTGATAACCGGTATACCTTATCTAGTTAGTCTTCAGCGCACCCGCTCTCCAAGTGAATAGACCTAACGGGTAGTCTCTTCTCGGAAGGACCCAGATCTCAGGTTCGAGATTCGACGGGCCCGTCCTAGGTTGAAGCCGCAAGGTAGCGAGTGGGAAGGCGTGAAGGGCAGCGTGGCCGGCGTCGTACCGTAAGACAGAGCTGACAAAACGGATCCTTGCGGGTTTGTCTCCGCGGACATTGCAGATTGGCGTTTTTGGAGCACCCGATGATCTAGGAATTGGCCAATTGTAAAAGCTGGCTGAAGGAACAGCATCTTCAGGGTCAAGCATGGCGCATGGAGATTTCGAAGCTTCGGAGGCCGGGCGGATGGGATTGACGAACGAGAAATGAAGTGACTTCTACGCCGTCCCTAGATATAGCATTGCCAGCGCTAAATCCCCAGATTTTCCAAATAGGCCATCGGATATGGCCCTTGGGGATGTGTTTCATGCACAGAATTCGAAGACTCAATATGCTTAGCTGATGCCGCGAGATCTGCTCTAGACTGTTGTAGCGCTTCACCGTTGCGAGAAAACTCTTATGAATGACTACCTCAGAACATTGTAGTGGATATCTCTCGGACCACTGGGTGCGCCTCGGTTCAAAGATTAGCTTCTCCCATCCAGTCCGTTGGGAAGAGCAACAGTTGATAACCGGGAAGGAAGGCATGTGTTCAGCACGTGCAACACTTCGCGGATTAATCGGATGCTCTGGGCCCTGATACCACGAGGTTCAGCCAAGTCTATCTCGAGCATGCTAGTGCGGAAAGTTTAGTACTGCAAGTAGATAGCTAACCGGAAGCGGGGTATATGCCAAAATGAAAGCGGAGGGCTGTTGCGGATGTGGCCGCTGCGAATCACAAAAGATGGAAATGTCGTCCGAAAAGGAGGCCCTGCGTTCATGTATTGCTTGCTGATCAGTTCCTTGCGTCAATTGTGGAAGCGACAATTGCGAATCTGATGTCAGATCGATGTTCTGGTATCCTTGCAGAAGACATAAAGTAAGAAGAAGCCTGCGATCAGCGGTGGTCTCCGATGAAGATCTGGAAACGCAGCCGCCACATGGTAATGCTTCACTTCGATTGGCAAGGAGTCGTCCGATACATGCCGTTCGCGTCATGGAGAGTGCGGTCGCAAAGGACTGTTGGCTCGTCGGCTGAGTCATGAACAGCCTGAGATATGGAAAACCCTCCAAGGTACGAGTAAAGGTGTATGCCCAAGGATCTGATTGTAGCATTCTCTGTAGAGCCAGTCATGAGGATGGACAAATTGATAAGAACAAAGAGGTCGAATTCATGTGGCTGGGCTGGTTTCTGTCTTGCTCAGTGGTTTTGATGTGGCGTTTACCAAAGTCAGTGATGGTGGGGAACCACTGTGAAGATTTCCTTCAAGCGGCATAGAGCTAGAGGAGTTGCATGTGAAAGGCGTGGGGTTAGTAGGTGTTCTAACTGAGAGAGGCATAGGATATGTAGACTTCTTGATATCCATGATGCTGCTCACTGAGTTTTCATCCGTGGCAGAGGCCGAAAATGACTGATTTGGCCTTGCGGATATCAACATCCAGAAGGTCTTATCCGATGGGGAAAGTTTCGCATTCCTACTTTCTGTTGAGCAGACTTAATGTCCTTTTGTTTTGACACTTACACAGAACAACTGACATTTGCGACTTCAACAGCACTAGCAAACTCGTTGAATCGTACGATTATTTGAGTATTACCCCAGATGCGGGAATAACTAGATGTCAATGTTAGGCAATAGATTGATCGGGATCGTGCCATCTATGAATGATGGAGCTGACCCCTTGGCGGAGTGAGGTTCGATGAGAGTGAGGAAGAATGAGGAAGGTGAAGCGATCAAGAATGGCGGTCTCCAGTGGCTTCCCCTGCTTATTTTTACATCGCACCTATCATTTGCGAAGGTGCTCGTCTATCACTGCAAGCAACCACGGAACGTCCGTACTTCAGGCACATGCTCAGCCAGCTGCAGGTCCACGACCTCCGCGGAGTGGTTCTTCTCGATGACGATGACAACGATGAACGAACCAGTCACGTGACTGGATCTTGCTCAATGCGGTTGCCGCGGCGATCCCTCACGCGCGTTTATTTGCAAGCTTGGCTGGCTCGTGACTTCGCGATTGAGCTAGTCGCGACAACGCGACTTACCTTATCGAAACCTCACTGGAGTCAGTCGTCATCTCTTTGACAAAACAAGATCGAACAGACAATATCCACTTTACATCTTCTTGTTTGTTGCGTGAAGCCACCACTGCCATAACAATCTCATTATCTTTGAAGAGCGTGCCTCCATCTGTGTTCAGTAGAAAATGGCGCCGGCACCTCCAGGCAGTCAAGCAGCGCCACTACCATCAAATCTGCCCTTTCGCCTTGTTAGCAAAACAATTGGCCAGGGCGCATATGCCTCGTACGTATCTGACGACCTTGCAGTGTATGAAACTCGGTTACTTACCTCGTCTCTTGTTGTAGAATTCGAAAAGCTGTTCCTCTCAACGCCCCGAAACCCGTCATTGCTGTGAAATTCATCAACAAAGAGCATGCCTTCCGCATGGGACGCCTCGGGCCTAAGCAGCTCAAGATGGAAATAGTCTTACATCAGCATCTGGGGAAGCATCACAACATAATCCAGTGTTTGGCATCCGGGGAAGATACCATTTGGACCTGGATCGCCATGGAGCTCGCCGATGGCGGAGATCTCTTCGACAAGATCGAGGCAGATGAGGGTGTGGGCGTGGATATTGCGCATTTCTACTTCACGCAGTTGATAAGCGCTGTCAGCTTCATGCACTCAAAGGGTATTGCACATCGAGATCTTAAACCGGAAAACGTGCTATTGAGTGGTGACGGTGACTTGAAACTTGCAGATTTCGGTCTCGCAGCTCTCTTCAAGAAGGACGGACAATTGAGAATGTGCAACACCGTGTGTGGTAGCCCACCGTATATTGCCCCAGAGATCGTCAGTGGGCGAAGAAGTAAAAGAAGAGATTTGCTGGACGATGGATACGCTGCAAACATTTGTGACATCTGGAGTTGTGGCGTGGTTCTCTTCGTTCTGCTTGTGGGAAACACGCCATGGGACGAGCCGACGCAGCAGAGCGAAGAGTTTAGGGAATACGTTGCTACTAATAAGCAAACCACGGACCCGCTTTGGCATCAATTACCACAGGATATGTTGTCTCTGATGAGAGGAATGTTGGAGGTGGATCCCAATCAGCGCTATACCCTAGAGCAGATTCGCACTCATCCATGGTTCACGAGGAGAAACCCATATTTGACATCGAGTGGGAAAAACGCCAACCCTGTGGGACTCGCAACACAAATGCTTTCGCAACTACGAATAGACTTCTCTCAACCTCCTTCTGCGTCACAACGCGGATTCTCGCAGGATTCGGACGCAATGGATATTGATTCAGCACCACATCGGTCCCGCGCAAACCCTACCAATATCAACATGATTTCCTCCACTCAGCCCGAGACCCCTATCGCGGATACGCCATTTGATTGGGAGCGCCCACCGCGTCTCAGCTCACACGACGGTATCTCAGCATCTCAACCGTCGGAGCATAACCAGCGCCCTTCATATGCGACTCAACAGCCCATGCTCTCACAGTTTCCGTCAAGTACGCAGGACATCCTGTCTCAAGATCCGAGCCTTACGCAGTTTACCACCAATCCATCTGTTCCCATGACCTTAACTCAAGCTGCCCGCCACTTCAAAGATGTTTTGCCCAGCTATTCCTTGGCACGATTTCTCTCCCCACTCAGTCTTTCCGCACTCATCCCTCTCCTCACGGATGCTCTGCACAATCTCGGCATCCCTTCCACGCCAGCGGCAGAAGAACAACTAGCTCAGTGGGAGCGTGATGGAGAAGCAAACTTGAGGGTCAAGATGGCAGATGGGAGAAGACAAGGTCTAAATGGTCACATTGTTATTGAAAGAGCCATTATTGGTATGGATACCATGACCGAAGTCCGGTTCGTTAAAGCGAGCGGAGACCCGCTGGAATGGAGGCGGTTCTTCAAGAACGTAGTTTGCTGTGTTGCAGACGTAGTTGTTAGGCCTAATTAGAAAGATTTCATGATACCAATTAAGTATAAAGACTGCATCTCCATCTCATTATTTGCACTCTTACCGTGGCGAACTGGCAATCGGCAGAACAATGATAAATCAGTCATTTACAAGACATCAGGAATTTAGTCAGCCTGTTCACTGAAGATCCAAACCTCGACGTTCTTCCAGTGGTGAAGGCTATTAAGCTCAACCAATCATTTGAACCATCAGATTCACTTCACTTCACTTCACTTTCCCCCCTGGGAAGCACTTCTATTGGTCTGTCACAATACCAAAGCTCGCGCCTACAATGCCATAACCCGTTGTCATTCAGGCTGCCCTTGGACGCTCTTTCTCTCTTCGCTTCGACACCAGCACGAGTCGATCTCAAATAAATTCAGGGTCGCGACCACGATTGAATCTTCCAGCTCCTCTCGGCACGTCGGTCGCGTGTTGACCAAATCGTATCCTTATTCACCCTCTTCCCTTGCACACAACCCTTCCATCAATCGAACCACTTTGAATCAGTCGCTTCGAATTCAGTCTTCGCAAGAAGGGCAAAACGCCATCAACGGTTATGCAACGAGTCGATGAGACCCACTCAGGCAGGGTTAGAGGCATGATTCTTTGCCTGCCCAGTCGGAAATCAATGCCTTCGTCGTCAGTCCTTTTAAAAGATGTTTCGAAGGTGAGCTTCCTTGTGCGCTTTTCTTATGCATTCATCAACCTGACAAGCTGCCCAGACATACTTCCCGTACTTTTCGTACCCAATTGTAATAATAGCTTGCGATTCAATCAGCCACACCTGCCCCAGAGTGACCTTTTTCCCAGTCGTCGTTCTGTCCGGAGGGCACCTGCAAGAGGCGCGGTCAAGCGCTATGAAACTTATTTGGCCGGAATACTTGTACTTGAGCCAGTCCTGGACTCTGGAGGAGACATTACTTGAGCAAAAGACTACTGAAGCGCGGTGGTTTCCTCAGGTATACCTCGATTATACATCGTTGAGGCCAGGCAATCAGCTTTGGGTTCGCACATCTCAAGCCTTCACCATCGAGTTGGAATACCTCCTCCCATTTCCAATACCTGTTAACAACTTTCGATATTCGCTCCCCAACCCACCCATTCGGGTCCACCCAATTTCAGTTAATGGACTCGCGGTTCTGGCGCAAAAACAACGATGCCACCCCCTCAACCGGCAGGCAACACAGATGGAGAGCTTGGCGGATCCATACCAGGTCCAAGTTGGCCAGATCTATCGACTCCCCTCCGTCACAAATAATTTAGCTCTTTGTAGCGCACAAGCGCAATCTTTCTTCGAGAGACCTCTCGGCCAGCCCTTTCTCGTCATACAGATCCGACCACGACGCAGCTCCCCATCTGAGGGGGGACAAGGCCTACCCATCGTGCGCGGTCTGGCTCTCACAAGTTTCCATAACCAGCCGATCAGAAATCACTACCATCGTCAAGACCGTAAGACTGCCTGGATACGCAGACAGTACATACCGGTAGAAGGAAGCGGAACAGAGAGCCACGACGAGATACCCTATGCACAGCTCAGTGAAGACAGTGCACAGCTCAGTGGCAAATGGTATATCAACGTCATGCGCCACTTTGACATTACCTCCCAAGAGCTGTGTGCATGGACGGCCGAGGGTACGAAACCTATTCGAATCTGGAACCTGGACGAGCTGTGGAAGTACTCGACGGCCATGAGGGAAGTCGGAAAGAGAAGGTTCAAGGCTCGATCGCAGGGAAAGGACCAGGATATGGTGGATTTCAATGTCGACTGGACTACTGAGAATGGATTGCCAGAGGTGTTGGGAGAGTACAGGAGCGATTCGTGTATGGATGGTCAGTCAACTGACCATGGGAGCATGGTTGATTCAGTCAGCTCTGGAGATCGGAACGGAAGACTCTCGTAAACAACGGATTCGAGATGAACAGAAGGTCGTATTCGTCAACAACGCTCGTACGCCGACGCCCGCAGGCCGATGAGCAATCATGGTTCAACCATCATTAATGGTTGGATACCGAATTTGGCTGGAGGCTAACCATGGAACAGGGTCGTGAAAACCCTGTAAGGTGGTAATTGTTGACGAAGAGGTTTAAGAAAACTCCAATATTGCAGAAGTATTGGCTTTGGATGGGAATTAACTAAGAATTGTTCGTTAAGGGTTAGAGATCATGCTTTATGGGATAGCGGTCAAGAAAAGATGGTATTGGTAAACGAATAGACACGGTACAGTAAGGGTAGAAATTCAGTCATACTCCGAAACAGGAGCATCTTGGGTTAGAGGGTAGCCTCCACTTTTATCGTTGAATCACTATTAGCAATCGATAAACTATATTAACTCTCCTTATCTTGACCATTCTGACTGATGCAGATAAATCTCCCCTTGTTCATATTGTCCCAGTAAACCCCCTTCCACACAGAGTGAGAACCACACTCTCATTGCAACCCCCACCGGAACATCTATACAAAGGCCATCTCTCCTCGCTACGAAGATTGATTCATTATAATGCACTCATTCAACGCTAATCACATGGAATCTTTATATTGCTAACTTCAGCGTAAGACCTTGGTGATTACTCTCCTGTCCGAGGGAGGATATCTCGGACACGAATATCCCGAGAAGAGCGGAAGGGAGTATATCAAAGAACCAAGAGCATGACTAGGAGATTGATCAGATGATAGGCATTATTGCAAGAAGCCTTGGTCCAATGAGGGGTAAAGTATGTACATCTTCCGGCAAGCTCGCAGAGATACAACCAGAGATCCGGATAGGATATATGTCCGCAATTGACGATATGCATAGTCTAATTACTGATGCGATTGATCACACAGTTCGATGATACGCAGAATGCTATAACTTAATCTTTCGTTGTTCATTCAAACTCGATGCAAAGCAACTGATGATTCCCCATCGTCGAGTACTTGATTACTATCCTGAAGCAATCTTTACGTGTCCCGCTCCGTACTACCATGCTACCCTGCTACCCTGCGATCATACGCTGGTGTTACTGGTCAGCTCATCGTTGTACGGAATCCACCGACTGTCTTTCAATTATTAAAGTGGTAAACAATTGTTTTAGCCCGGTTTCTCAAGCGTCCAGCATCCCCAGCGTCTTTCCACCTGCCCCTCAGAGTCTCGAAGCGAGATAGACCACGATGCGGATGAAGAGTGGACAATTGAACATGACTTTGCATGGCATCCGGGGCATTGAGAGCTGTTCACTGGATAGAGATTAAACTGCGTTGCATGGGAGGCCATGCATTTCGTCCAGGCAATGGCGCCACTAAAAGAGGCATATACAACGATCAGCAAGGCCGACAAACGGAATAGGCAAGCGTATAAGGAGAATTACTCTAGGAACATTTATCTTCTGCAGCCGGGGTGGGGTGCAGGTGCCAACGACCAGGGGGAAGCAGATAAAGACACCCGTCTAGATAAGTTCGAAGCGCAGTTATCGCTCGAATCACATTTAGATTTCCATGGGATTCATGCCGGATTGCCGTGATGTGTAGCGCCCAGGCTGTGATGAGCTTAACAAAATAGCGTCGGCTTGTCTCCTGGACGACTTTCTAAAGGCGGAAGGTCGAAAGTCTACCCGTTTGCGGGGGAGGATGGACAAGCTCAAGGATGATAAACAGTCGAGGGCGCTTCGCCAATCATCGGCCCGTCCCGATTCCTGGTGTTGTGTAAAGAATGACTTGCTTGAAACCCTCGTTTGCCGATGGTTCAGGAAGGTGATGAGCGATAGGCGATAGTCGATGGCTCTAGACTACGTGATACCTGTTTCAAGCCCCTGTCAGCAGCATTTGGTGGGATTGGTACTGTCGTCGAAATTGCCATGCGCTTCTCGTTGAGTCGGAGGACAATAGATTAAATGCCACACTGCGAAAAGCAATTAATTCTACGGACATGCCTATTCAGTGCATGTTGTCCCATTGTCGATGTTTGTGCCGTTGTTATCGTGCAACACGTATGGGAAACCTACTATATGCCACAGACGCACGAAATTGAAGCTTCCTTTTCTTGACCTATCCTCCGAGGGGGAAAAACAATTATCACGAACTGCTTGATCAGGATGAGGTTTCTTCGTGTATAAAGAAGATGGACAATCTCCATTCTTCGAAATGTTTTCCATCAGCATCGACATCGACATCGACATCAACGCTTCTCAATTCCCACCAGATCTTTGTGATTCAGCCTTGTCAAAATGAAGTTCTTCACCCTCACTGCTCTTATTGCATTGGCCAATGCTGCCTCCATCGATCTGTCCAAGCGTTCTGATGGACTTGAGGTAAAGCTTGAATCGACTGGTAACAGTGCTGTCAAGGCCAAGATTACCAACACCGGATCCGAATCAGTCAAGATCCTCAAGACTGGATCCTTCCTTAGCAAGGTCCCGGTCGAGAAGGCTACCATCTTCTCTGGTAGTAAGTGGAATCTTTAACGAAGACAGGGGATTGAGTGTTGCTAACCACTCTACAGGCGAAAAGGTCGAGTTCCAGGGTGTCAAGCTTCGCGTCGACATTACTTCTCCTATCGCCGAGAATGACTTCCAGATCATCAAGGCTGGCGAGACAATTGAGGCCTCATGGGATGTTGCTGAGGTCCACGACCTTTCCAAGGGCGGTGCCTTTGACGTTGTTGTCTCTGGTAACCTCAACACCGCAGCAGTAGACTCCACCGAAATCACTGGTGTCCTCAGCTACAACTCCAACACCGTCTCGATCGACGTCGACGGAAACGAGGCTGCCTCCGTCCGCCACAACTTCAAGCGGTCCGCCGTCCAGTCCGACTGCACCAGCAGCAAGCGAACCTCTACCGTCAATGCCCTCTCCAACTGTGCCAGCCTCGCCCGAGCTGCCTCCGCAGCCGCCTCCTCCAACACTGCCAAAGTGCAGGAGTACTTCAAGTCCACCAGCTCCAGCACCATCTCCACCCTCCAGACCGTCTTCAACCGCGTCGTCTCGGAGTGCTCCTCCACGACCTCCGGTGTCTCCAAGACCTACTGCGTCGACAACTACGGCTACTGCTCCAGCAACGTCCTCGCCTACACCATCCCCTCCCTCAGCCTCATCACCAACTGCAACTTGTACTTCTCTGCCCTCCCCGCCCTTTCCAGGACCTGCCATGCTCAGGATCAGGCTACCACCACCCTCCATGAGGTCACCCATCTGTCGCAGATCAAGGGCACCGACGACCTCGGATACGGATATGCTGCTGCCACCAGGCTTTCCACTGCCAGTGCTCTCAACAACGCCGATTCTTATGCCCTTTTCGCCAACGCTATCTATGTTGGCTGCTAAGCGACTTCAGATCCGGCACGGTCAGACATGGCATGATGTGGTGAGGCGTGTTTGGGGATGGAGACTATTATATAAAATGCTTGTTTACGCACATATCAGTGAAAGTGGGTTAAAGAGATATGTAGATAAGATTAAAATGCAAACCTGCTTGTTGTCTCCTCATGAATGTCTCTCACCATAATGATTTCTATTTCTGTGACAACTGTGCAATCAAATCGCTATTCAAGACTGGTGGGAGGGGCGATTATCTTTTATGTCATGGCGACTTTAATGTTAGAGTAATAGTCGTTGTTGCCCACTTAACAGAATTTTTTAACAAATAGCGTCCATGACGGAACCATGTCTATCAACCGGGTCCAGAGTTCAGTAACGTAGTCGGTCTTGATTGTCGTGGCTGTTGGTATGTATAGAGCACATGTATGCGTACATGACCTTGATGTCAATACCTGCGAAGAGTTACGTAGAACGTAGGACAGGCAACATGTGCTAAGAGTCCGAGAGTTAAATAGTCATTTTCTGTAGCATGCAATATCTACCTTACTCTACGCAACTGCATATGCCAATCAAATTAAACTCCAAGAATGCTTCGCAACAACCATGACCAAATCCCACGCCCATAACAATGGAAAGAATAAGAACACCCTCAAGCAGAACGCCATGCACCAGTTCATTATGTCTTTTTGAGTCTAATCCGAACTCTTCGTCCTCGCTACCTGGAGTAGGATGAGTTGGTCCATATTCGCGATCCACTTCTCCGCGAACCCGCGGTCCGTGAAACGGTTGGCGGACTTGCGCGCACGACGTCGCATAGCGAGTCGCTCTTTGCGTGGGAGCGAGAGGGCTTTGCGGAAGCCTTCGGCGTATTCTTCAGACGTAGAGGCGTGGAAACCTGGTTGATTACAAGTCAATATCAAATCTTCATTCTGTAACGCAGAAAAGGGGGAATGCTCACCAGTCGGCTTTCCGTCGATTGGAACCACGATGTCGAGTTTTGGTCCTCCAGAATCATTAACTACGCTGATGAGACCTGCGGCTTGATACTCGACAACGCCGATGCCGAAATGCTCGTTCCACATGCTGTTCACACCAATGCTAGCACGTCGCATCCAGTCCAACATTTGCGGCCAGGTAGCGTCACACACGAACTCGACATGTTCCTTGATGTGGAGCTCATGCGCAAGCAGGCGGAGGTTATAGACACGTGTAGCATCGTCGGGGTCTCGCACCGAGCCTATCAATACAAGTTTAGGCGTCTCTTTGGGGTATTCGGGAAATGAGGGGTTCGACGACAACAAGGATGCAAAAGCTCTCAGTACGACTTGGTGGTTCTTCTCCGGTCGAAATTGTGCGATGTAGATAAGAGCGGGCCCTCTCTTCTGCTCACTTTCCTCATCGACCGGGACATCCCTTTCGAGCTCTTCGACCGCAACCGGAGGAAAGACGACATCGATGTCATGGTCCGTGGTGCTGTTTCGTCGGTTTCTGTAAGGACCCCAGAGTGTTTTGATGTGCGATTGGGTCCAGGTGGAATTCGTCATGACTACATCTATGCAGCTACCCATGACGCAGTACAATTTCGCGAATAGGCTCCAATACTGTCGCTTGGCCACACCACGATACCCGGCTCCCTGTCCAGTGTGAACACCCTTACCACCAACGTCGAGAGAATCCAGCATATCGGTCGAGATGGTAGGGTAGTGGACGTAGGCACCCGTGGGTACATTGGGGAAGAAAAGCGAGCACAGAGCGACGGCAAAGGCATAACCCATAGTATCGATGAAAATGTCGGGCACAAGCAGGGAGAAGGCATCGTAACCGAGGATCAGGGATCCGATCGACTGCCCCAGAAGCGTGAAGCGAGGCCAGGTGCTGCTGAGGACGTAATGGCGGGTGGTAAGGTACAGGAAGTGTACGGTCGGAGGGTGGAGGTGGATGTTGAAGCGCTCCTTGACTCTCTTAAGAATCGCGTCTTTGTCTACATCGTGATCCCCAGTATACACCACACACGTAGCTTCTGGCCATCGTTTCTGTGTCGCGCGGATAGCTCCCCAGAGAACACGCTCGCCGCCTCCTCCGGCATTGCTATATCGTTCATAATCTTAGCATTCGGCTCCCCCAAGTTGTTTTCCGTATGGAGCTCTGGAAACCTACCAGAAAGGATGAAAGAACCCGACGATCCCGTTCCAGTCCTTGTCCGCCTTGCCCCCGTTCGCCGCGCTGCCTACCGCAGACCTCTCAATCTCCTCCCAGTCATCCTCCTCTTTGCTCTGTTTGCTCGACGACTCGTAGGCTTTTTGCTCAGTCGCTACTCTCGCAAGTAGAAGCTCGCGCCGTGTACGGGAGGATCTCCGCAGGTAGTGTCCTGCCAGCTCCCCCAGGGATCGCAAGGTCGGAACGAAGAATGCGTATGCGAGGACTACTGGAGCTAGGAACGAAAGGAAGAAGTATACAACGCCCATGACTGCGCCTAGGAAACGAGAGGAGGGGGATTATGATGGAATGATGGAAATCATATATGCTGTCCCAACAGCGAGCCAGCAAGCCGTACTCAGGATATGGTAGGCCAAAAAGATCTAGGCAGCAAAGTTTCGAGGGCGGGATGTACTATGACAATGTAGTTAGTAGTAAGTAGTGCGTAGGTGGTCATTGAAGCCCTCCACCGATCACATCCACGAACCCGACAGCCCGGCACCAGACGTGGCCCTAGCTCCCCACCTCCCGCCGTCTCTCCTCCGAAACCTGACCTCACATCATAAAATAATATCTCCGCCGACACTCTGCGTAAACACACTTCATCAATTGCACCTCACCGCAACTCGCGCAATGCGCGCCAACAGCAGCAACACCTCAACACAATCACCACTACCGCCTTCACCATGTTAACATCACGAATACTGCCCCCGTTGCGGCACCACACCCCGCAATTGGCACAACTCCGCCAAACCACCACCAGATTTCCCGCAAACACCACAACAGCGACCACCACCTCACCACTCTTCCGCCCTCTCGCCCGTCGCTCATTCCACGCAACCGCACCCCAGAACAGCGCCCTCGACGCATGGCTATACCTCCCGCACGAGCTCCTCCAAACCCTCCACGTCGCACTGCCCTGGTACGCCGCGATCCCAGTGTCCGCGTTCCTGGTCCGCGGGCTCCTCGTCACGACGCTGGGCTCGCGGTCGCGGTCCCTGACGTCGCGGTACGTGGCGCTGCACCCTCTGCGACAGGCCATCGGCGTCAAGGTGCGGGACCAGATGCTGCGGAAGGGCGGGATGCGGGGGCCGCGGGAGGCCAAGGTCGCGGTGATGAAGGCGATACGGCGGGAGACGGGCGCGCTGGATCGGCGCTGGAGGTGTACGCTGCTCGGGTCGTTCGGGTGGACGCTGCTGCAGTTGCCGCTGTGGTTTACGATGACGGAGGTTGTGAGGAGGATGGGCGGGTTTAGGGATGGCTTGTTGAGGATGGGGATGAATGCTTTGGGGCTTGCGGGGGAGAACAGCGCTGGTGGTGATGCTGCTACGGCGGCGGCGGCGGCGGAGCTGGCGGGGAGTTCGTATCCGAGGGATATCGTGGCGAACCCTTGGTTCGATGCCACGCTGGGACATGAGGGCATGCTGTGGTTTCCGAGTCTGCTAGACGCGGACCCCCTCGGCGCGCTGTCGTACGTCGTGTCGGCGCTCATGTTTGCGAACGTGTACGTGACGAAGAACACGGCTGGGAGCGTGGGCACAGAACCCACTCGCTTTCAGCGCATGCTGAGGAGGACGCTGTTGGGTGTCTCGCTGGCCATAGGTCCGTTGTGTACGGACCTCCCCGCGGGATTGCTGCTGTACTGGGCTTCGAGCACAATGTCCGTCATTGCGTGGAACCAGTATCTCGACTGGAAGTTCCCGGTCGTAAGGAACTTTGGTGCGTGCAAGAGGCCGTTGCTGTTGATGCCGCCGCCTAAGATCAGATCGGGGGGACGGAGCCCTGCCACCTAAGAAATCTTGAATGAAAACAAAGTAAAAGAAAGAAAGGACAAGCCGCCTTGTTGTACAGATAATTGTAGATATACATCACCCGCCATCGTCTCACCCAGGTGCCAAATCTGCCCACCGCAGAAAGGGGGGAATAAGACATAAAGTAGAAACAAAATATAAACATACATACCCCAAAGCTAGGCAAAGCAACCCATAAACCAAAACTATAAGAGGTACGAGTCCCTGACTCCCAGCCTTGCTTCCTTCAGGGGCCTTTGTTAGTTGACTTTGCAGAATATCGAGCATTCTGTTCCATTGGGAGAAAAAAAGGACGACTGATCGTACTGTACTGCACTTTGTTCTTGTACCTGTTTTATATATATATACATTTTTGGCAAAAACGTACAAAGAACAGCCTGTACCGGACCGTTCGTATCGAAAACGAACAAAACTCCCTTCTTCTCTCATCTTCCTTTAATCCCCAGACCTTCGATCAGAAGAAAAAAAAAAAAGAGGGGGAAAAGGGTTGATCGGTTGAATTGTTTATCGATTCGAAAGTTCCCCAGAAAATTGATCTAAAAAACACCCTAGATTTGCTCCCAAAAAATAACACTGAAAATCGGACGGTCCAGAAAAAGGATTCGGTTTTACTTTTTCATTCTTTCTTTTCTCTTTTGTACAATTACCCTCGTCTTCCCCAACATCTCATATCCTCGCTGCATTCCATGTCCAATGATCCTCCTCTTTATTTCCCCGTCACACACACGCAACACCTCCACGCCAATCCCTTACAACATCGCCGCGATGGCGCCCAATCCAGCGAACAGCGCAGCAGCGCTTATCTCGAGCTTTCCAGCAGCGCCGGGGGTCTCAGTGGGGGCAGAGGTGCCGGACGCGGAGCCGGTCTGGGCGGGAGAGTTGACGTTGTTTCCGCCGGTGGTGGTGACGGTGGCCGAGGCGCCGGAGGGCTGCGCGGAGGAGGCTCCTGTGCCGGTGGGTTTGGCGGATCCGGTCGAGCTGGAGATCTTGGTTTCTGTTGCAGTACCCGTGTTAGTTCATTTGTCATTCCCCATGAATCTTCGTTTTCATCTTTGTCGTTTGATATTGCTCGTGGGAGCGGGTTGGGGGAGTGGAGGGGCGAGAGAACACGTACCGACTTCGACACCGGCCTTGTTGCAGATGTCTGCGAAGGCGCTCAGTGCGTCAGAGGTGGCAGCGCCGCAGTATTCCTGGATCTTGGAGGTGGCATCCTTGCTCTTGCAGACGGCGGAGATATCAGAAGGGGACTTGTAGGTGTTGACGGCACCGAGAAGGCAGCCTGGAGGGGAGGCAGCGCTGACGACAGAGGCGACGGCGGTGAAGGCGAGGAAGAGAGTGGTCTTGGAGAACATCTTGTGAGGTGGTATGGGTCGGTTGTTACGATTCGAAGTGGTCGAACGATGGGGAGATTGTAGATTTGATAGGTCCTAGGACGGTGGTGATAGAGAGCGTCGGAAGGTAGAAGTAAAGAATAAAGTAAGGTCTTAAAGAGTGACTATTGAAAAGGGTTTCAAAAGAGTGTAAAAGAGAGTGATGTCGGGAATCCGCAGACTGGAATGGTCAAGTAAGGTGAGTTGAAGTTGAACGTCCCCAGACTTGGGCAAAGGGGCAGCCACACCAACAAGACTTGCGGCCCGTGCATTGCCAAGGCGGAAACGGTCTTAGCGTTTTGGCACGTTTTGAAACTGCACGTGACCCTGCTTATATGCAGAGAGAGTCGTCCACATATTGTGGAGATGCGAAACATTTGAGCAAAGAATGATCCGCAAATGCATGGGCTGTCTCGTGCATCCATGCATTTTTAGAAATTCGGTGATCACTGCGTACACGCATTGGAAGGGCATGCATGATAAGTTTTGAGGTTGATTTTCTTCGAGCTTATGGCTCCAATATACTTCTAAATGCGAGCCACCCTTCTCCACATTCCAGATATTATACAAGAGACCTTGTCCGCGTATTTGTGCAGATGATTGGCCCCACTTCTACTATACTGTGAATCCGCCTGTGCTACAGGTGTGAATGTGTACAGAAGCTCGAGGCTCCCGTGCTGTGTCTTGTACAATAACGTTCTTTGTTGTCCCAATATGCGGAGATTTATATTCGTTCTCCCGGAGATGTCAGAACAAAACCCCCCCAAACCCCGACCGGAAATGCTGAGAAATTCATGCTACCGAAAGCGGAACCTTACTCCAATGGCTCCGTCGCTAGTAGTGTACAATGCAGAAGTGAAAAGAGAATCGAATAAACGTGCCGTGCCAGGTATGAGTGTTTGTGGCGTGTAGAGGTCGTTGCAGATGTGGAGAGTGTAATCATGAGGACGATGGTGGTGTCTTGGGCAGAAGCGCGTTGGGACCGAGCATGGAAGGAATAGGTTTGCGCCTTGCTTTAGACTGTGGGATGCGCGGAACACCTTGGATCACGCGGGGTTCTTTCATTAAAGTTGGATCCAATTTTGCTGGGACTGGAAGAAGATTAGTCGACTGTAGCGAGTCAAAGGAGCGAGGAAACTTACTGCGCTTGATGATGGTCCTGTAGTCGCCAGGGAAGCGCGAGCTAGGTGGATTTGCGGCCGCGGTACGCCAAAGATGATCCGTCGTGTCAGAGAGGAAATCAACCTTCGCTTTGTGGAAGAAAGACGACTTCCCACGATTGCGCTTAGCAAGAATAATCTCATCGAAAAGCTTGATCGAAGGGTCATCAGGGCGTTTGCTCTCGCGTTCATGAATGAATTCGTTCAGGCCCTGTGTTTGCTGCAACATGACCATATATTGCATGTTCTCATTAGGCATGCTTTTCATGAATTCGTCCATCTTGAAATGGTATATAAGACCGGATTTCTTTTGGTCGCCACTTGCAGGGACAAGGTAGCGCCGATATGTGTAAAGGAGACTGGCGAAGCAACGCACGAATGATGCGCGCACTTGATCCGGACGGAAAGCAGCCGGACAGACAAGGCTGATGGTAGGCGCACAGCGGCGGTGAGCATATGTACTACACCCTACTGATTGTTAGAGACGTGATAGAAAATCTAGAAAGTCGATTCATCTTACCTGAGCAGCGATACATGCCCTCATCTGACTTCTCTTCGCAGACGGAACACGCGGCTTTGTCTTCATAGTGTCTCCATTGCAGACAATGGCCTTCTTGCCAAAGAGTTGTATCTGTGTTGCGCACCGGCTGCATGGCCATTCCTGGCATGATGGTAGATGCTGCAAGCGTGGACTGCGCGTACACCGAAGGTGCGTATGCAGATGGTGCATGGAGTTCATGACTCAAAGAAGACGTAGACATGCTAGGTGCATGTCCAAGGAAAGGTTGACTTGGACGCCGCATGGTAGGTTTACGGTCAAAACCAAACTGTCGTTCTGCTCTTAGAAATGCTGTTATTGACCATGGGAAAGAGGTACTTACGGAAGAGCTCCTCCTGGAGGCAGTCTCAAAATGACCGGATCGCTTCTCACGTAGGTTCGCTTGGAGAGCAAATGCCGAGTCGCTGCGAGAGATAGGTGTGCTAGGGAGTGGAGGGAAAACCTGAGAGATCGGCGATACCCTTGGAGACGGCGGGGAATGTTCAAAGTTCTTCACCGTGGTCGCTGTAGATGGCCTATCGTTCCCACGGCTTTGGGCACTCGACTGCAAAAATGCGTTATATATCAAGGGACGTGCGTTTGTTGGTCCATAAGAACCGAACGAGGTCGAGTTGAGTCCAACATAGGTCGAGATTGTGTTGGGATGTGCGCGATGTGAGAAAACATTGGGGTTCTCTGAGCAGAACGCATCGTGTGGGAATGACCCTATAGCATATGCTGGAGGCCCGGTCGGCACACCAAAACGCGTATGATGGGGCGCAGAATGCTGAAGCAAGGCAGTGAGCTTCCGTCGCTGCTGGCGTGGAAGTGCTACTGGTGCGGGGCCATTGGAAACAATGGAATCGTTGTCTAGATCTACGAGGACGTACTCGTCGTCAGGATAATCCGCGGGCTCATATCTCCGCTCGATGCCAACAATGTAAGGACATGGAGCCTCAATAGTTTGTACCAGACGGGCTGGCAGCACCGGAATGAAGACACCATGCCACTTGAAAGGATATATCAAATTCGTTATCGCCATGCTGGCGAGATGCAACATGGCTGTATGGGAGGAGAGAAGGATGATCCTGGACTCCTGTAATACATATTCGAACAGAGACACGATGTTGGGGATCGAGAGGCAACGGAAGAGGCCGTAAATGTCAATGTTTCGTGAGCCGGGTAGCTCGTTGACTGCCTCTTTTCGGGCATAGAGCCGTAGTTCTCGCACGGCGACTTCGACCTGCGTAATGGAAGTCATGGGGCTCAGTGCTTCAGCGCAGAGGTTGATGACATATCTTTCCAGGGGCTGCCACATGCCAATACGTGGAGAGCTTGGGGGGATCCGCATCACGACACCGTCAGTCATTGGGACAACGACTGCTTTCAGCCATTCCTTCCAGAAAGGCGTCAGGCTTGCATCTCTACCCATCACGCCATAGGCGCGAGGGATCCAAAGACCTGTGTCGCCGTCGGTAAGGCCTTCAATCTTGGAAGCGGCACCATGTCTGACTGGGCGTAATAAATCAGTCATGAGGCCGATCTTCTCCTCTACCGCGCTGATCTCTTCCTCCAAGTTCTCGCGCTCTTCAGACTCATATGCGATGGTCGGAAGCATCGCTAGGAGGCGCGACAATTTGGCTCTCTCTAGCGCGAGTCGCTCTCCCAAGCTACTGGCAAGTTCGCGCTCCTCTGCATTCATGTGCAATCTCCTCCATTCTTCGCATTGTCGTTCCAGTCCCTCCGCGGCGGTGAGGTTCAGAGGCAACCAAACAATCATGCAGATGCCGTACAGTTTAGAATTGTCTCCATTTGTCATGGCGAATCCATGCCACGAGGTCTTTGGCCGCTCGTCGGACGACACGACGTTTACATCGTTCGGGAAAGCGAACATGGGTACATAATCCGGGAACGGGTGTCTCCTCTTCATTTCCTCGACCATGTTCTTGGGTGGGTAGCGATCTAGGAGAACGGGCTCGTAGCGGCGGAGTAAGGGGTGCATGTTCGGCGATTGGTTAAAGGGCTGCGGCGCTGGAATGACCGAATTGTACCCTGACAGCCTCTTGGAGGTCCGTACAGATGCTGTGCTCGTATTAGAGTTTCTGAGTTACAAGAAATGGAATGCGCACCACAAATCAGGAGCCAACGATCAAAGAATCTCGATGCACGTTGCCGAGCATCGATCGATCAAAATGGACTTACCTTGTCGAGCCATGGAGGGCTGTCTTTTCAGACTGCTCTGCATGGTAGAGAGACGGCGCCGAATGCTGCCGACACCGGCTTTGAGATTTCCACCTCCATCTTCGGGGGCATGCTGGATGCGCTGGGGTTTCGGCCGTGAGCTCCGTGTAGGGCGGTTTTGCTGCGCAACGCCGGCTGCGGTGAATTGGATCTCCTCCAGAAAGGTATCACGTTCCGAGGCGAACTTGCGCAAGGCATTGTCGAAATCGACGTCGTTGAGGCCAGAGCCACCGATTTGAACGCCTTTGATCGTGGTGCTACTCCGGTTACTGGCTGATTGTTTAGGTTCTGGACCAATAATAGTGCCGACAGAATTACGATTATCAAAGCTTAGGCGCCCGGACTTTCGCTTGATGCTGTCGCCATTGGATAGACCCTCCTGGCTCTTTGGGCGTATTGGGTCGGTTTCGAGAGCTCGATCCTCCTCAATCGTCTCGTCAACATCAATGGCAGGCGGGGAAGACAACGGGGAAGGAAGGCCGGTGGGCTGCAGGCGCTCGTCGTAAACCTGCGAAGATTCGATGCCAGATATGAAGAAGTAGTCGGCGAGTGGGGCGGAAGAGCCGTCGCCTTGGGGTTGGTGTT